CAGTACCGCAACCAAAGGCAGCACTATGTTAACTCTCACCAAGACTACCTAACCCAACCAATGAACCACTCTACCTGTGAAAATTCTCAAACTGATTCGCAGCCGGATTTCAGCCTGTTCTCTGTGAAATCAATAAGTCATGCTCCCATCAATGTACAAGTTAATATCAACGGTAAGAGCATCAGCTTCCAACTTGACACTGGAGCATCTCTAACAGTCATAACAAAGAAAGATTTTGACGCTGTCACAGGAGGATCAGTGTCTCTACAGCCATGTCACAAGTGTCTAACAACATACACTGGTGACAATGTTCCGGTAATAGGAGAGTGTATGGTTCATGTAAATTATAATGGTCAAAGTGTTAAACTTCCTCTTCTTGTGGTTGAAGGAAATGGACCGCCATTACTAGGTAGGAACTGGTTAAGTGATCTTAAGTTAAATTGGGAGAGTATTTGTTCATTGAAGAATGTAAAAGAATCTAGTCTTACTTCACGAGATAAAGTTATATCTGAAAATAAATGTGTTTTTGGTAACTCTGGATTACTAAATGATAGAACAGTGAAGTTAAGCATTAAAGACACAAATCCAAGATACTGCAAAGCTAGAGTTCCACCTTATGCAATGAGGAATAAAATTGAAAATGAGCTAAGTAGATTGGAATCTAATGGCATTATAAAGAAGGTAGACTATTCCGATTGGGCGACACCCATTGTGCCAGTGTTAAAGAAGGATGGTTCTATAAGAATTTGTGGAGATTATAAAACTACACTGAATAAGCAAATAGAGCTAAATAGGTACCCTATACCTAACATTGAGGAAATTTCTTTGAATTTGGCAGGAGGAGACAAATTCACTGAATTAGACTTTAGTCATGCTTACACTCAACTAGAACTGCATCCAGATTCAAAAGTCTATACGACAATAAACACACATAAAGGACTCTACCAATATGAAAGACTATGTTTTGGCATATCATCTAGTCCTGGAATTTTCCAAGCTGTCATGGACAGTATTTTTAAGGACATTCCAAATGTTTGTGTGTACTTTGACAATGTGTACATAACTGGTAAGAATGACACTGAACATCTTAAAACACTTGATAAAGTATTAAAAATTGTTGGTGAAAAAGGTTTAAAGATAAACAAAGATAAATGTCAATTCATGTTGACAGAAATTAGTTTTCTTGGTTATATATTAAGCAAGCAAGGTATCAGACCTCAACCTGAGAAAACAAAAGCCATTAAAGAAGCACCCAAACCTGAAAATACCCAACAACTAAGAGCTTTTTTGGGCTTGATAAATTACTATGCAAAGTTCATAGGGAATCTGTCTGGTAAACTATCACCACTGTACAAGCTGCTACAGAAAAATGCAACTTGGCACTGGGGTAAACAACAAGATACTGCTTTTAATACAGCAAAAGAGGCTTTGTCTGCTGACACCTTACTAACTCACTATGACCCAGGGAAAAGACTTATATTAACATGTGATGCTTCACCAGATGGTGTAGGAGCAGTCTTGTCCCACATGGATGAGAAGGGTGACAGACCCATTGCTTTTGCCAGTAGATCTTTGAACCAGGCTGAGAAAAATTATTCTCAGTTAGATAGGGAAGGCTTAGGCATCATTTTTGGTGTTAAGAAATTTCATAAGTTTCGGTTTGGTAGGAAGTTCACCATCTTTACAGATCATAAACCATTGCTAGGTTTATTTGGAGAAAACAAAACCCTACCTGAGCATGCCTCACCAAGAATTCAAAGAGGGGCTATCACACTAACTGCATACAATTATGAATTGAAATACAAACCTGGATCTGAGAATAGTGCAGATAGTCTTAGTAGATTACCTTTAAAAAACCAAAGCCTGAGCTAAGTATCAGAAGATGTATTTGTTCTCTTCACTATCATGGATAACTCCAATATAAATGTGAATGATATTAAAAGAGAAACACAAAAAGATTAGTGCTTAATAAAAGTATATGAGTACTGTAAGAATGGTTGGCCTGAAGAGTCTGTGAATGATGACTTAAGGCCATATAAAATAAGAAATTAAAACCCTTTGTGAAGATAATATAAAAGATGGAGAAGATGCAGTCCATTATCAGTCAGAGTTGCCTAAACAAAGTATTTGTAACTTAATAAATGATTATGGTGATATGGCAATTTCAAATGCTTTAAGTAAGAAGGAATGTGATCATCAAACAACTTTGCTAACATCATTAGCACTTACAGAAACTAAAAGGGTAACATCAAAAGGAAAGGAAAAAGATTTTTGCCATTTAATACACCCACTTCAAATACTGGATCACAGTTGCAAAGTAATATTGTCCAGGATAGTACTTTTAAACAGTATTTTTGGTTACCAAAAAGCACTATCAGATTACCTGAGGAAATTGATCAATCAAAGAAATCTATGTCAGTCAAGGATCTGAATAACAGCATAATACTTTCAGATGCCAATTCAAAAATGATTCCATTAAATCATGACAAACATTCATTGAAAGAAAATTTGCAGTTAATAAGAATGTGTATCTAAGAAATTATGGGAGAAAGGAAAAATGGATACCAGGTCAAATTGTTCAATGTACAGGACCTGTGCCTTATAAAGTTAAAAATAACTTGTGCAGATAATAAGTGTGAATCTGTCAATCCCACCAAATCTGATCAGTTCACACCAACTCAGTTTGTTCTACAACCAAGTTCTGTTGATATGAGTGAACCAAGTTGTCTGGAGTCAGAAAATGTAAATTCTGGAGTTAATGATTTAAATCCTAGACCTCCTGAGATAGAGAATCCAAATGGTCAGAATCTTGAGTCACCAAATCAAAAGCCACTGAGAAGGTCAAGCAGGACAATCAAAGTCCCAAATAAGTTAGACCTATGATTTTAAAGGTCAAAAAGACTTTGACATCATTGTTTTGTATCTTGATTATGTTGTGGCATATTGTGCATTGTTTGTAAGGATGTAATCTACCATAGTGTTCATGTTACAATATAATTGGTGATTTTAGGATACTATCAATTGTTCTATTGAGAGATGTGTTATTGTGTTCTAAGGGTAAAGGGATGTAATAGATTGAGATAATTGTATTGGTATTATATTTATATTGTTATCTTGAGTGATGTCCCTGACTTGTGTCTCTCGTCACTTCCGTCTGGCCGGTTAACAATAAAAGCTGTTTACATGTTAAGGGCTTCTGTCTCCGTTGTGTAATTCTTAATCTATCTCAAATGGAGATTATGAAATAAAATTTGAAGTAGAGCCCTTAGAAAAATGGATAAGAATGGAGATTATGAAATAAAATTTGAAGTAGAGCCCATAGAAAAATAGATAAGAATGGAGATTATGAAATAAAATTTGAAGTAGAGCCCTTAGAAAAATAGATAAGAATGGAGATTATGAAATAAAATTTGAAGTAGAGCCCATAGAAAAATGGATAAGAATGGAGATTATGAAATAAAATTTAAAGTAGAGCCCATAGAAAAATAGATAAGAATGGAGATTATGAAATAAAATTTGAAGTAGAGCCCTTAGAAAAATGGATAAGAATGGAGATTATGAAATAAAATTTGAAGTAGAGCCCATAGAAAAATAGATAAGAATGGAGATTATGAAATAAAATTTGAAGTAGAGCCCTTAGAAAAATGGATAAGAATGGAGATTATGAAATAAAATTTGAAGTAGAGCCCATAGAAAAATGGATAAGAATGGAGATTATGAAATAATATTTGAAGTAGAGCCCATAGAAAAATAGATAAGAATGGAGATTATGAAATAAAATTTAAAGTAGAGCCCATAGAAAAATAGATAAGAATGGAGATTATGAAATAAAATTTGAAGTAGAGCCCTTAGAAAAATAGATAAGAATGGAGATTATGAAATAAAATTTGAAGTAGAGCCCATAGAAAAATGGATAAGAATGGAGATTATGAAATAAAATTTGAAGTAGAGCCCTTAGAAAAATAGATAAGAATGGAGATTATGAAATAAAATTTGAAGTAGAGCCCATAGAAAAATAGATAAGAATGGAGATTATGAAATAAAATTTAAAGTAGAGCCCATAGAAAAATAGATAAGAATGGAGATTATGGACCAAATTTTTAAGCGTTTTTCACTAAAAGTGGTATAAAAGCCAGAATACTTTATCAATTGATGTAATTTTAAGATATTTTATAGATTTTTGTATGCTGAATCCAATGATGCTATTTTAAAAATTGTCCTTCGATTAATCAACCTACTAATCTCATAGATTATGTAATACCCCCCTTTCAATTTTTTTTTAAACATCTAATAATCAATGTGATAAGAAGTCATTCTTTAAATGTAACGCTGTTTTAATCTAAAATATGACATTTATATATGCTCAAGCTAATGGTAGATTTAAAATGGTCCAACATTGTTACATAACTATCAAATGTTAAGGTTATGTAATCCCACCCTTTGCTCAAAATATACCATGCATTTGTTTTAAAATCACTTTTGCTCATTGTCAGTTAACTTCAAGTTAATAGCCTACTAGAAGAAAATATAACTAATCAAGTTTTTCAATACAAAGAGAAGAATGCTATAGTAAATTTGTGATTATGTAACTTCTTAAAAGATGTTATGTAATCTAAGTGCAATACTATAGGCCTACTCTGTTCCAAAAATAAAGGCCTATCTCATTATAATTATATTTCTTGTTATTTTAAATATCTTAATCCTTTTTGCTATAGAATTAGTCTAGTTACAAATGTGTCTGATTAGAATCAGAGTGTGCTTTATGGTAATTATCTGGCAACTACCATCCTATCGAGTAACTCAGGGTAACAAGACAAAACAAATAAAAACATCATAACGAGACAAATTGTTACAGGTGACACAGGTTACACACATCATAATCCATCAACAGATTAGAGGTCCAGCTTATCTGGACATTTTCTCGCTCGAGACGATCTCCGTGGGGTCGTGAGAGCACTGTCAGATGGTGCTGGTGTAGGTGGTAATATTGGTGGCACTACCTGACGTCTCCGACGGGGAGGGGGTATGGGCACTGCAGGGATCTCTATTTGATAATAACCTTCTTTATGGATGTCATCTTCATGTTTAACATCCGGCAATGTTACGTCAGGAAGGGCAGGTACCGGAACCGCTTCAGTTGGAATATACTTTCGGATCTGAATACCTGACACTCTGCGAGTTATCCTTTCATCAAGTGACTGAATGGTGAAATAACCACCACTATCAGGTGGAACTGAGGTCACAGTATAGGGCTCTGGACCAAACTTATCAGCTATTTTGTTTCTCCCTGTGGGGTGTTGCCTTAAGAGAACCAAATCTCCCACGTTGACAGACTTCATGTTGTCGATGTTTTCATCACATGTAACCATGCTCATTTACTATAGCAGCCATCTTGTTTACATTTTTTTTGGTAATCTTATAGCTGGAGATTCAGGGGAAACCACTTTACTTTATAAATGGCTGCTGTTTATATAGCAAATCTTGCTCGCAAACACTGCAGTTTAAAGATAATTTCTGAACTATATTGATAGATTTAGCCATTGATTTTGGTTTATTATTCAGTTCTTCTTCATTCTTAATTTTAGAGTTTATTATACAGTTATATATATTTGACACAAATATATCACAATATACTTCTATTAAAGCCTTGACATTGAGGTAGCTTTACATCTGCCAAATGAACTTAACTAAAGCGATATATTACCCAAGTATCAAACAATGACAATGAATAATGACAAGATTTTCTCGCTAAACTATTTAGTTATTTTAGTAGGAAGTGGCTATTCTGTTTCAAGTCTGGAAGAAACACTGATGATATATAGGATGTTCTTTATCTGAATGTAGTGTCTACTGTGTTCATGAGAAATTATGTTAGTATATTCGGATTTCATAATTGACTATCTGAAATGTAAATATATTCAGATATCAATGTCTTTTCTTTCAAGGATTAATGATAGTCACAATTTCTTTTTATATTTCAGAGAGGAAAATGAGCAGTTCAAGTGCTGAAGAGGATGTAGACTTAGAGGAGATAGAGGTTGCTCTCTACAGCCAGATCCATTATGGTACTGGCGATCAGGCTCTTCAGAGGTGCCCGCCCACGGCACAAGTGGACCACATCCCAACAACAACAACCTTACCATATATAATAACTAAAACTGTACAAAATAAGGTTATTTATGTTAGCTCCGAGGCTGAATCCCCAGTCAAACCAATCATTGAGGGTAGGAAAGAAAAGGTTTCAGTGCTGGAAAACTTCCTAAAGCTTTCCAAATCAGATGCTTCAGGAAAAATCTCTAAGAAAAAAAGGCTCTCAAAAATGGAGGCCATCCAAACAATAAAGCCAGTAAGGTTACGGCGAGACCCCCAGGTTGTTGTTAACACAGACACAGACACGGACACACACTCAGAGAGTGAGGATGAGAAAAGCTGTAGCCGCAGGTTAAGCCATGGTACATATCATTTCTCTTTCTTGGAACATTTTCTTTAAAAATAATTTCACTGCCATGTTATTAAATGTTACGCTTAAAAAATTGAATTTTACAAGCTTTTATTTACTTCTCAACGACCATTTGTTTATTTGTTTGTGGCAAATATTGTAACTCAATTTCGACCACCTTCTAATACAGCAATTTCGTACACATTTTTCAGATACCTTCTTTTTTGCAGGCAATGAATGAATATCTATTTTTTAATCTAATTAGACATTGGATTAGTCATTTAAATATAACTAAACGGTTTCAAAACTAAGGGGAGTTAACAAGATCAAATGCCATCAATCACTCCGTAGAATACTGTATTCAATAACAGAAGTGGAGATAACTAGCTAGTGTCAACCACGTATAAGGGGCAGACAGCTGTCTTTTAGAGATTGCAAACAATAGGATGGGTTTTAACTATATTCAATAATAAAAGGAGAGATAACAAGATTAAATACTAGGGGTTGCATGATCAGCTTGCAGTAGAGGGTGAACTATTGTTAAGGTTGACTACAAAGATTGCAAACTAGTAATTGGGTTTTAACCCAAATATTTAAGTGAAGTCTATATAGACCTAGTGTCACCTTCATTTCTTTAGCTTCCATATTTTATTGCATTTAATTTCTGTCAAGTCAGCGTTGCTACTAAAATACACTACTCTTTTACCCTTGCTACCAAGTTACCACACCTTGCTACCAAGTTACCACACCTTGCTACCAAGTTACCCCATCTTGCTACCAAGTTACCCCACCTTGCTACCAAGTTACCCCACCTTGCTACCAAGTTACCCCACCCTTCTACCAAGTTACCCCACCCTTCTACCAAGTTACCCCACCTTGCTACCAAGTTACCCCACCTTGCTACCAAGTTACCCCACCCTTCTACCAAGTTACCCCACCCTTCTACCAAGTTACCCCACCTTGCTACCAAATTACCCCACCTTGCTTCCAAGTTACCCCACCTTGCTACCAAGTTACCCCACCTTGCTACCAAGTTACCCCACCCTTCTACCAAGTTACCCCACCTTGCTACCAAGTTACCCCACCTTGCTACCAAGTTACCCCACCCTTCTACCAAGTTACCCCACCCTTCTACCAAGTTACCCCATCTTGCTACCAAGTTACCCCACCTTGCTACCAAGTTACCCCACCTTGCTACCAAGTTACCCCACCCTTCTACCAAGTTACCCCACCCTTCTACCAAGTTACCCCACCCTTCTACCAAATTACCCCACCTTGCTACCAAGTTACCCCACCTTGCTACCAAGTTACCCCACCTTGCTACCAAGTTACCCCACCCTTCTACCAAGTTACCCCACCTTGCTACCAAGTTACCCCACCTTGCTACCAAGTTACCCCACCCTTCTACCAAGTTACCCCACCCTTCTACCAAGTTACCCCATCTTGCTACCAAGTTACCCCACCTTGCTACCAAGTTACCCCACCTTGCTACCAAGTTACCCCACCCTTCTACCAAGTTACCCCACCCTTCTACCAAGTTACCCCACCCTTCTACCAAATTACCCCACCTTGCTACCAAGTTACCCCACCTTGCTACCAAGTTACCCCACCCTTCTACCAAGTTACCCCACCCTTCTACCAAGTTACCCCACCTTGCTACCAAATTACCCCACCTTGCTTCCAAGTTACCCCACCTTGCTACCAAGTTACCCCACCTTGCTACCAAGTTACCCCACCCTTCTACCAAGTTACCCCACCTTGCTACCAAGTTACCCCACCTTGCTACCAAGTTACCCCACCCTTCTACCAAGTTACCCCACCCTTCTACCAAGTTACCCCACCTTGCTACCAAGTTACCCCACCTTGCTACCAAGTTACCCCACCCTTCTACCAAGTTACCCCATCTTGCTACCAAGTTACCACACCTTGCTACCAAGTTACCCCACCTTGCTACCAAGTTACCCCACCCTTCTACCAAGTTACCCCACCCTTCTACCAAGTTACCCCACCTTGCTACCAAGTTACCCCACCCTTCTACCAAGTTACCACACCTTGCTACCAAGTTACCCCATCTTGCTACCAAGTTACCCCATCTTGCTACCAAGTTACCCCACCCTTCTACCAAGTTACCCCACCCTTCTACCAAGTTACCCCATCTTGCTACCAAGTTACCCCACCTTGCTACCAAGTTACCCCACCTAGCTACCAAGTTACCCCACCTTTCTACCAAGTTACCCCACCTAGCTACCAAGTTACCCCACCCTTCTACCAAGTTACCCCACCTTGCTACCAAGTTACCCCACCTAGCTACCAAGTTATCCCACCTTGCTACCAAGTTACCCCATCTTGCTACCAAGTTACCCCACCCTTCTACCAAGTTACCCCACCCTTCTACCAAGTTACCCCACCCTTCTACCAAGTTACCCCACCCTTCTACCAAGTTACCCCACCTTACTACCAAGTTACCCCACCTTGCTACCAAGTTACCCCACCCTTCTACCAAGTTACCCCATCTTGCTACCAAGTTACCCCACCTTGCTACCAAGTTACCCCACCTAGCTACCAAGTTACCCTACCTTGCTACCAAGTTACCCCATCTTGCTACCAAGTTACCCCACCTAGCTACCAAGTTACCCCACCTTTCTACCAAGTTACCCCACCTAGCTACCAAGTTACCCCACCTTGCTACCAAGTTACCCCACCTTGCTACCAAGTTACCCCACCCTTCTACCAAGTTACCCCACCTTGCTACCAAGTTACCCCACCCTTCTACCAAGTTACCCCACCTTGCTACCAAGTTACCCCACCTTGCTACCAAGTTACCCCACCTTGCTACCAAGTTACCCCACCTAGCTACCAAGTTACCCTACCTTGCTACCAAGTTACCCCATCTTGCTACCAAGTTACCCCACCTAGCTACCAAGTTACCCCACCTTTCTACCAAGTTACCCCACCTTGCTACCAAGTTACCCCACCCTTCTACCAAGTTACCCCACCTTGCTACCAAGTTACCCCACCTTTCTACCAAGTTACCACACCTTGCTACCAAGTTACCCCACCTTGCTACCAAGTTACCCCCACCCTTCTATCAAGTTACCCCACCCTTCTACCAAGTTACCCCACCTAGCTACCAAGTTACCCCACCCTTCTACCAAGTTACCCTACCCTAGCTACCAAGTTACCCCACCTAGCTACCAAGTTACCCCATCTTGCTGCCAAGTTACCCCATCTTGCTATAAAGTGACCATTACCTCTAGCAGTGTGTACTTACAGATAAATCACCAGTGTCCGAGGTGGTTGAGATAACATCAGACAGTGAAGATGATGTCATTGAAGTTAACCCAAATTTAGATTTTAATCTTCAAGGTGGAGTTGAGGCTCTACTTACAGCCCCAAAAGGTTTGACTTCTTTCTTCACTTAAAGCCAGATTTTCATTCTAGTTTTTGTTTCTTCATACACAAATAGAAGCCAAACAACAACAAAAATAAGTTTTAAAAGAAGCTTTTATAGCACTAAATTGGAGAAGAAAAAAAAAGAAAGATTTTCTTTAAAGGTATGTGCCATCCATTTATGATGTTCACATATGGGGGGGGGGGGGGGGGGGTTAATAAAATTAGACTTTAGAGGGCGTGTGTGAAATGGGGGGGTTGTCTTTGTAGACGTCAACATGTTGAAGTTTTAACAACAAATTATTAAATTGGCAGTTCTTGTGTTGAATATTCCCAGCACAAACAGTTAGTTCTAGACTCCGATTGTATAACTAAATCATAGTCCAAATCATTAATTTGTGTTAAAGCCTAAATCAACTCAGATCCAGATATATTTTTCAAATACAAAATCAAATGTTTAATATTTTGTAGTTTTTGTTTGGTATTGACAGAAACATTTCTGGTATTGACAGAAACATTTCTGGTATTGACAGAAACATTTCTGGTATTGACAGAAACATTTCAAATAAAACAAGCGCTTATCTCAAGGGGCCTAATTTATACTGAGTCGTTTGAAATTTGCTTATTTTTTTTTTAACACTTTCTAGGCTCAACAGCAAGGTTTGAGAGGTCTACTACATTTTTGTGGGGGGGGGGGGGGGGGGGGACCCACGCTTTTCTTTATAGTTATTTAAATAGTGCTGCGCTATTATACCTTTTAAAAAATTGTTTATTTTTATCCTTTTTAGTGCATAATTATATAAAAGCTTGTTGTTAAAACGTTTTTTATTAATGTTTTTCAAGATTTTTAGTAGAGTAGAATAGCAACCAAAAACAATTGCACGCCAAATAAAAACCAACAATGTTTGTATAATAGCTCATAAAATAGTACCATAGGTTCGAAACTTTAATTAATTCATAAAAAATGAATTAGGCATCCAATAAAGTCAAATTCTATGTCATATTATCATAGCAGTTTTATAGAAAGCATTTAATGTCAAAGTTGTTTCTGACTGAGTTAAAGCAACACTTTCTCCACTAATACTTTGATGTTTGCCCTAACAGTTTTATAGAAAGCATTTAATGTCAAAGTTGTTTCTGACTGAGTTAAAGCAACACTTTCTCCACTAATACTTTGATGTTTGCCCTAACAGTTTTATAGAAAGCATTTAATGTCAAAGTTGTTTCTGACTGAGTTAAAGCAACACTTTCTCCACTAATACTTTGATGTTTGCCCTAACAGTTTCATTGAAAGCATTTAATGTCAAGTTGTTTCTGACTGAGTTAAAGCAACACTTTGTCCACTAATACTTTGATGTTTGCCCTAACAGTTTCATTGAAAGCATTTAATGTCAAGTTGTTTCTGACTGAGTTAAAGCAACACTTTGTCCACTAATACTTTGATGTTTGCCCTAACAGTTTTATAGAAAGCATTTAATGTCAAGTTGTTTCTGACTGAGTTAAAGCAACACTTTGTCCACTAATACTTTGATGTTTGCCCCATACAGGAGTCAGCAATGATTGGAGAATACTGGATGAGGACAGGTATAATACAAACAGTGCAGTCAGTCGCTATTTTTCAAATACATCTGTGCAGTGTAGAAATTGTAAAAAGCTTGGACATTTTTTACGGGACTGCCCAGAGCCTTTGGTACATTTTAAATATTTTGTGTTCAATTCTGTGTGTCTGTTAGTTGCTGTAACATTTTACCTTACATATTTTGTGTTCAATTCTGTATGTCTGTTAGTTGCTTGACATTTTATCTTACATATTTTGTGTTCAATTCTGTGTGTCTGTTAGTTGCTGTAACATTTTATCTTACATATTTTGTGTTCAATTCTGTATGTCTGTTAGTTGCTGTAACATTTTATCTTACATATTTTGTGTTCAATTCTGTGTGTCTGTTAGTTGCTGTAACATTTTACCTTACATATTTTGTGTTCAATTCTGTATGTCTGTTAGTTGCTGTAACATTTTATCTTACATATTTTGTGTTCAATTATGTGTGTCTGTTAGTTGCTGTAACATTTTATCTTACATATTTTGTGTTCATCAATTCTGTGTGTCTGTTAGTTGCTGTAACATTTTATCTTACATATTTTGTTTTCAATTCTGTATGTCTGCTATTTGCTGTAACATTTTACCTTACATATTTTGTGTTCAATTCTGTATGTCTGTTAGTTGCTGTAACATTTTACCTTACATATTTTGTGTTCAATTCTGTGTGTCTGCTAGTTGCTGTAACATTTTACCTTACATATTTTGTGTTCAATTCTGTATGTCTGCTAGTTGCTGTAACATTTTATCTTACATATTTTGTGTTCAATTCTGTATGTCTGTTAGTTGCTGTAACATTTTATCTTACATATTTTGTGTTCAATTATGTGTGTCTGTTAGTTGCTGTAACATTTTATCTTACATATTTTGTGTTCATCAATTCTGTGTGTCTGTTAGTTGCTTTAACATTTTATCTTACATATTTTGTGTTCAATTCTGTATGTCTGTTAGTTGCTGTAACATTTTATCTTACATATTTTGTGTTCAATTCTGTATGTCTGTTAGTTGCTGTAACATTTATTTTATCACATGTCCCCCTTCTTATTCTATAGAATGTTATGAGGCCCCCTTCTTTAGTTTATAGAGTTTTATAAGCCCCCCCCCCCTTCTTTAGCCTGAAAGTTATGTTTGGAATTCTGTGTTCAGTCTTTATTTGTTAGTGGGTTTGTGACAAATCTTGGAACTCAATTTTGACCCATTTCAAATGCAGCGATTTCATTTAAACTTTCCAGATATATTCCACTTTGATAAGAATACCAGGATAATTATTTTTTAATTTAGACATTACGTTAGTCATAAAGCTTGATAAAACGGTTTTAAAACTAAGGGGAGATAACAAAATTAAACAATAACAACAAGCTTTTAAATGCACTGAAAATTTTTAAAAAATAAAACTAATTTGCCATCTTTCATAAAAGCTTTGGTAGCTCAAGAGATTTTTTACATGTTTTAGCGGCCAAAGCTTTTATGAATGAAAGCAAATTAGATTTTGTTCTGTGTTCTGTGATGTTCTACCTTTGTTCTGTGATGTTCTACTCTTGTTTTGTGTTCTGTGATGTTCTACCTTTGTTCTGTGTTCTGTGATGTTCTACCTTTGTTCTGTGATGTTCTACTCTTGTTGTGTGTTCTGTGATGTTCTACCTTTGTTCTGTGTTCTGTGATGTTCTAGCTTTGTTCTGTGATGTTCTACTCTTGTTTTGTGTTCTGTGATGTTCTAGCTTTGTTCTGTGATGTTCTACTCTTGTTTTGTGTTCTGTGATGTTCTACCTTTGTTTTGTGTTCTGTGATGTTCTACCCTTGTTGTGTGTTCTGTGATGTTCTACCTTTGTTTTGTGTTCTGTGATGTTCTACCTTCGTTTTGTGTTCTGTGATGTTCTACCCTTGTGTGTTCTGTGATGTTCTACCTTTGTTTTGTGTTCTGTGATGTTCTACCTTTGTTCTGTGTTCTGTGATGTTCTACCTTTGTTTTGTGTTCTGTGATGTTCTACCCTTGTGTGTTCTGTGATGTTCTACCTTTGTTTTGTGTTATGTGATGTTCTACCTTTGTTCTGTGTTCTGTGATGTTCTACCCTTGTTGTGTGTTCTGTGATGTTCTACCTTTGTTTTGTGTTCTGTGATGTTCTACCTTTGTTTTGTGTTCTGTGATGTTCTACCTTTGTTCTGTGTTCTGTGATGTTCTACCTTTGTTTTGTGATGTTCTACCTTTGTTGTGTGTTCTGTGATGTTCTACCTTTGTTTTGTCCCACAGAAACGCCGCTGTGTGTTCTGTGCACTGGAGGGACACACCTGGCAAGCCTGCCCTAACGCTGTCTGCTACAACTGTGAAGCCCCAGGACATAAAGGACATGACTGTCCAGAGCCAAAAACCAGCTGGCAAGTTTCTTGTGACAGGTGTTGGATGGCTGGACACCAAGCAAAGGTTCAAAAAACTAGTCAGAACATTTTCCTTTGGTTTTGGTGTCACATCAGAACATTTTCCTTTGGTTTTGGTGTCACATCAGAACTTTTTCCTTTGGTTTTGGTGTCACATCAGAACATTTTCCTTTGGTTTTGGTGTCACATCAGAACTTTTTCCTTTGGTTTTGGTGTCACATCAGAACATTTTCCTTTGGTTTTGGTGTCACATCAGAACATTTTCCTTTGGTTTTGGTGGCACAACAGAACATTTTCCTTTGGTTTTGGTGTCACATCAGAACATTTTCCTTTGGTTTTGGTGTCGCATCAGAACATTGGTTTCGGTGTGGCTTGAGTTTTTCCTTTGTCTAACAACACATTTTTTTTTTCCAACAGTCGTGTCCAGACAGATGGAGACAATATCATTTAACTGTAAGTTGAGCATCAAGTTTAGTATCAAGTTTAGTGTCAAGTTTAGTATCAAGTTTAGTATCAAGTCTAGCATCAAGTTTAGTATCAAGTTTTGTATCAAGTTTAGTATCAAGTCTAGTATCAAGTTTAGTATCAAGTTAAGTATAAAGTCCAGTATTAAGTTTGAATTTTTTTTCCTGGAAATAGCTTTTTTGTTTGAGAATAATAATTTTCTGCTAGGGAAAAAAACACTAAAATTTCCCATTAAAAAATAAATGTATTTTTTTCTGCTGACAGGGCTTTTAAAAAAAAAATCTGAATTTTTTCTTTATGCCCAATGTGAATCCTGTTCACTCACTCAATACATTATTCAGGGGAAGGGTGAATAGCTAATAAGGGGTCATCCATAAATGATGTCACACTTGTAGGGGGGAGGGGTGGTCAGCAATTTTGTGACGGGGGGGGGGGGGAAGGTGGTGGTGGTTCAGATGGTGTGCCATCACTTTTTTGCATTATAAAAAAGCAATGTTAGAAAATGAGTTTTTGAGTTTTAGAAAACTGTTTTAATAAATTCTAATAGGAATTGATAAAAATACTCTATGTTGACAGAGTTCTGACAAGATTTTGAAAAAATATCTATGTTTTAAGAAAACTTCTACAGCAATTTTTGAGGGGGGTTGTAGACTGAGCTGAAACATGATTTAAAATTACAGGGCTTTTAAAAAAAAAATCTGAATTTTTTTCTTTATGCCCAATGTGATGGAGGGGAGAGGTAAAAATCGTCAAAAAAAGCGTGACGTCATTTATGGATGACCCCTAAGTCTACAGATTATAACCTTTCTGAGACCGTGTGAAGGTTACTATTTCAATTAATTGTTATCTATTGAAAAAGTGATAGGGCATAGGCAATACCTCTTTATTGATTTTGTCAAGTTGCAGGCTATTATTTGACAATAAAGGTTGGGGGTAAAATGTACATAATATAACTCAGTTAAAGTTAAAGTTCTACAAGCAATGTTATTTAAATATTAAATTTGAACTTATTATTTTTAAAAAAAATGAGATTTGCATTGTTTTGGGTAATAAAACAAAATGATGTAGGACTTCAATGATATGGTTACAGGATCTATCCGGGTCAAGAGCTAATTATTTATTTTACCTTCAACTGTTAAAATTTTTTTTTTGAAATGTTTAAAAAACCTTCAAGTCCTGTGTTTGTAATCTGTATTAAGTTCAATATCAAGTTTAATATCAAGTATCCAGTTTTATAACAAGACTATTTCAAGTTGAATGTAGTATAACTTCTAAAACTTGTAGTAAGTTTAGTATCAAGGTTAAAATAAGGCCAGTCTAGTATCACATTATTTACATTACGTATCAAGTTAACAAGTCTAGTATCACATTAAGTATCTAGAAAGTAGAATGCTAGTTCAATTCTGGTAACAATGTTGATTTCAAGTTTAGTATCAAAGTACAGTAATTAACAAGTTTGTAGTGTTAATATTTAGTTTACTATTAAATTACAGTGATTAGTTAAGCTCCTCTTTAGGCCTAGCAATCCATTGGGCTGAGAAAGTAGAGTTTGTTTCTTTAAACATCGGACCACCCTTCCACCCCATTAATTCCAGTAATTAAAAGTTTTGTTAATTCCAGTAATTAAAAGTTTTGTTAATTCCAGTAATTAAAAGTTTTGTTAATTCCAGTAATTAAAAGTTTTGTTAATTCCAGTAATTAAAAGTTTTGTTAATTCCAGTAATTAAAAGTTTTGTTAATTCCAGTAATTAAAAGTTTTGTTAATTCCAGTAATTAAAAGTTTTGTTAATTCCAGTAATTAAAAGTTTTGTTAATTAATTCCAGTAATTAAAAGTTTTGTTAATTAATTCCAGTAATTAAAAGTTTTGTTAATTAATTCCAGTAATTAAAAGTTTTGTTAATTAATTCCAGTAATTAAAAGTTTTGTTAATTAATTCCAGTAATTAAAAGTTTTGTTAATTAATTCCAGTAATTAAAAGTTTTGATTGTTGTTGACAGACTGATATCCACAACATGCAGACCTCTTCAGACAAAAACACAAAGGTTTATTGCTACAACTGTAGTGCTAAAGGTCACCTGGGCTATGTAAGTGTAGTGCTAAAGGTCACCTGGGTTATGTAAGTAACTGTAGTGCTATAGGTCACATGGGTTATGTAAGTAACTGTAGTGCTAAAGGTCACCTGGGCTATGTAAGTAACTGTAGTGCTATAGGTCACCTGGGCTATGTAAGTAACTGTAGTGCTAAAGGTCATCTGGGTTATGTAACTGTAGTGCTAAAGGTCACCTGGGTTATGTAAGTAACTGTAGTGCTAAAGGTCACCTGGGCTATGTAAGTAACTGTAGTGCTATAGGTCACCTGGGCTATGTAAGTAACTGTAGTGCTAAAGGTCATCTGGGTTATGTAACTGTAGTGCTAAAGGTCACCTGGGCTATGTAAGTAACTAGTGCTAAAGGTCACCTGGGTTATGTAAGTAACTAGTGCTAAAGGTCACCTGGGTTATGTAACTGTAGTGCTAAAGGTCACCTGGGTTATGTAAGTAACTGTAGTGCTAAAGGTCACCTGGGTTATGTAAGTAACTAGTGCTAAAGGTCATCTGGGTTATGTAACTGTAGTGCTAAAGGTCACCTGGGTTATGTAAGTAACTAGTGCTAAAGGTCACCTGGGTTATGTAACTGTAGTGCTAAAGGTCACCTGGGTTATGTAACTAGTGCTAAAGGTCACCTGGGTTATGTAAGTAACTGTAGTGCTATAGGTCACATGGGTTATGTAAGTAACTGTAGTGCTAAAGGTCACCTGGGCTATGTAACTGTAGTGCTAAAGGTCATCTGGGTTATGTAAGTAACTGTAGTGCTATAGGTCACATGGGTTATGTAAGTAACTGTAGTGCTATAGGTCACATGGGCTATGTAAGTAACTGTAGTGCTAAAGGTCACCTGGGCTATGTAACTGTTCTTCAGTGTTGAGAAATGTAAACATTAACACTTGAAATTTGTCTTGTTTAGGAATGTAAGCTTCAACGTATGAATCACTATGTGTCGCCATCATACCCTCTGATAGCAAGGTATGACTTGAAAAGGCGCAACAGAAACTCCAAATTTTCAGGTAAAACAATTGTTATTTGATGTAGTTGTCAGTTGTTGGAGTGTGGCTATCATTCAAATTATTGACATGTCCTTACCTCCAACAGAAAAAAGAGAAAAGAAAGACAAGCTTAGCCAAAGTTCCCCTGATGTTGCCCAACTACAAGTCTACAGCACTGATGGCCGTACAATATATTATTCCCAGTCCCAGCAACACATGACATTTTCCAGAAGTCATCATGAAGATGTATCTCATGAAGAACCCAGCTACCACAGAAGTCAGGGTGGGGAAGCTGCCACAGGTTCCCTGTTTGGTGTCAGCCGCAGGAAAAGGTGTGCCAGTGGCCACAGTGAGGACAGTGTGGAGGATCTCTATGAGGATCTCCACAGGCACCAGGTTCATGACAATAATTGGTGGGACAAAAAATCTTCCAAAAAAAAAAAAAGGCATAACCACCAATATGCAGACAGTCACAGTAAGTAGGATGTGATGCTATTAGCTTTTGGTCAGGTCGTCCATAAATCTTTGTTTTGTATAGATGGTCCATAAGTCTTTGTTTTATATAGGTGCTCCATAAATCTTTGTTTTGTATAGAAGGTCCATAAAGCTTTGCTTTGTTTAGGTGTTCGATTAATCTTTGTTTTGTATAGGTGGTCCATTAAACCTCTGTTTTGTATAGATGGTCCATAAATCTTTGTTTTGTATAGGTGCTCCATAAATCTTTGTTTTGTATAGGTGCTCCATAAATCTTTGTTTTGTATAGGTGCTCCATAAATCTTTGTTTTGTATAGGTGCTCCATAAATCTTTGTTTTGTATAGATGGTCCATAAATCTTTGTTTTGTATAGGTGCTCCATAAATCTTTTTTTTTTGTATAGGTGCTCCAAGCAACCAAAGCCCTAAATATGAACTGAGAGTCACTAAAAAAAGACATACAAATTGGGGGACTGAAGAAAGCAGCCAGTCTAACAAGAGATTCAATGAGCAGAGAGGCCACAGTTACCAGAAAAATAAAATGAAACCTTCCACTTCATGGCCAACATTAAATGAAGATAAAAAACAGAAAAATGCAAGAGGATTTAGGGCAAAAAATAAAAACTTTATGGCCATAAAAAGCAATTGTGATCGCCGGGTGCAGCTTAGAAAATAGTTTTATACAAATACTTTTCTTATATATAACTGAAAGACATTATAAAAGACATTAACATACACAAAAATTTCATTTAAAAATGAATTTAGAAATAAATTAGTGTTAACATTTTATCTTGTACGCTCTATTACTGGGGTGGGTTTTTTTTTTTTTTGTAAATAAAAAACTATTCAAAATATTTTGACTTCTGTTCAGCTGTACCTTGAAATTGTGTTGTACCAGTTTTTCAGGTTTGTGAAATTTGTCCCTGCACCAGTTGTAAAAGCCCATGTTTGAAAAAACTCATAAAAAATGGTAATAAATGCAAAGCCTGTTTTTATTTTAACTCATATAAATAAATACCTACTGAGCAATAAAAAAATTAAGCATTAGGAACAACAAACATTCTCTCCATGGTCCAAACTTCTGTGTCCACATTGCAATGACCAAATGCATTTAAGTACATTGTAAATATATTTTTAAAATGATTCTACCCAATATATACATTTGAAACAAACATAATTTTATAAACATAGGGTCATATAAACATAACCTTTAATTAAAACTAGGGCCATATAAACATTCAACTTGTCAACATAGGGTCATATAAACATAACCTTTAATTAAAACTAGGGCCATATAAACATTCAACATAGGGTCACATAAACAACCTTATAAAACGGCATCTTATAAATATAACAATATCACACTAACAATTTTATTCTCTCACATTTAAATCCAACCTCAACTGCTTGCAACAACTAATGGATGGAATGTATTTAGCTTTTTTTTTTCAGTGTCATTTCTCATCTTTTTGTCACTGCCATTTCTCATTCTTTCTGTCACTGCCATTTCTCATTCTTTCTGTCACTGCCATTTCTCATTCTTTCTGTCACTGCCATTTCTCATCTTTCTCTCACTACCATTTCTCATCTTTCGGTGTCAACCATTCCCCTTGTTGAGCAGGGGAAACTCCTCGAATTGACACATGGGCCCAACCGCTCTGAAAAGGAATTTTAAGTTCTAATGGGAAAACGTTTAAAATTGTATTTGTGGGATAGAACTCTATTTTACAAGCGATTCAACTTTTAAAAACCTAGAATAACACCTATAGAGGTGTGGCAATATCCCAAAAACCTCCCAGGGAGGTGTCCCATTAATTACCCTATAACCACCTCCCAGTACTTACCCCTATAACCACCTCCCAGTACTTACCCCTATAACCACCTCCCAGTACCAGTACTTACCCCTATAACCACCTCCCAGTACTTACCCCTATAACCACCTCCCAGTACTTACCCATATAACCACCTCCCAGTACTTACCCCTAAAACCACCTCCCAGTACCAGAACTTACCCCTATAACCACCTCCCAGCACCAGTACTAACCCCTATAACCACCTCCCAGTACTTACCCCTATAACCACCTCCCAGTACCAGTACTTACCCCTATAACCACCTCCCAGTACTTACCCCTATAACCACCTCCCAGTACTTACCCCTATAACCACCTCCCAGAACTTACCCCTATAACCACCTCCTTTCACTTACCCCTATAACCACCTCCCAGTACTTACCCCTATAACCACATCCCAGTACTTACCCCTATAACCACCTCCTTTCACTTACCCCTATAACCACCTCCCAGTACCAGTACTTACCCCTATAACCACCTCCCAGTACTTACCCCTATAACCACCTCCCAGTACTAACCCCTATAACCACCTCCCAGTACCAGTACTTACCCCTATAACCACCTCCCAGTACTTACCCCTATAACCACCTCCCAGTACTAACCCCTATAACCACCTCCCAGTACCAGTACTAACCCCTATAACCACCTCCCAGTACCAGTACTTACCCCTATAACCACCTCCCAGTACTTACCCCTATAACCACCTCCCAGTCTGAGCCTGAAGGATTTGATGATGAAATTCCAAGTCTGTTGTAGATCATGCCTGGTCCATGCTTCGAGCGGGAGAAAAAAGCATCAGCCACAATCCAAACCTAAAAGTTGACCAACAAAACCTAAAATTTAAATGTTTACCTCATGCGGCCCTAGACTAAATGTTACCTCATCATGTGGCCCTAGACTAAATGTTTACTTCATGTGGCCCTAGACTAAATGTTTACCTCATCATGTGGCCCTAGACTAAATGTTACCCCATCATGTGGCCCTAGACTAAATGTTTACCTCATCATGTGGCCCTAGACTAAATGTTTACCCCATGTGGTCCTAGACTAAATGTTTACCTCATGTGGCCCTAGACTAAATTTTTACCCCATCATGTGGCCCTAGACTAAATGTTTACCTCATGTGGCCCTAGACTAAATGTTTACCCCATCATGTGGCCCTAGACTAAATGTTTACCCCATGTGACCCTAGACTAAATGTTTACCCCATCATGTGGCCCTAGGCTAAATGTTTACCTCATGTGGCCCTAGACTAAATGTTTACCCCATCATGTGGCCCTAGACTAAATGTTACCCCATCATGTGGCCCTAGACTAAATGTTTACCTCATCATGTGGCCCTAGACTAAATGTTTACCCCATGTGGTCCTAGACTAAATGTTTACCTCATGTGGCCCTAGACTAAATGTTTACCCCATCATGTGGCCCTAGACTAAATGTTTACCCCATCATGTGGCCCTAGACTAAATGTTTACCCCATGTGGTCCTAGACTAAATGTTTACCCCATTATGTGGCCCTAGACTAAATGTTTACCCCATGTGGCCCTAGACTAAATGTTTACCCCATCATGTGGCCCTAGACTAAATGTTTACCCCATCATGTGGCCCTAGACTAAATGTTTACCCCATGTGGCCCTAGACTAAATGTTTACCCCATCATGTGGCCCTAGACTAAATGTTTACCCCATGTGGCCCTAGACTAAATGTTTACCCCATCATGTGGCCCTAGACTAAATGTTTACCCCATGTGGCCCTAGACTAAATGTTTACCCCATCATGTGGCCCTAGACTAAATGTTTACCTCATCATGTGGCCCTAGACTAAATGTTTACCTCATGTGGCCCTAGACTAAATGTTTACCTCATGTGGCCCTAGACTAAATGTTTACCCCATCATGTGGCCCTAGACTAAATGTTTACCCCATCATGTGGCCCTAGACTAAATGTTTACCTCATGTGGTCCTAGACTAAATGTTTACCTCATCATGTGGCCCTAGACTAAATGTTTACCTCATCATGTGGCCCTAGACTAAATGTTTACCTCATCATGTGGCCCTAGACTAAATGTTTACCCCATGTGGCCCTAGACTAAATGTTTACCCCATCATGTGGCCCTAGACTAAATGTTTACCTCATCATGTGGCCCTAGACTAAATGTTTACCCCATGTGGTCCTAGACTAAATGTTTACCTCATGTGGCCCTAGACTAAATTTTTACCCCATCATGTGGCCCTAGACTAAATGTTTACCTCATGTGGCCCTAGACTAAATGTTTACCCCATCATGTGGCCCTAGACTAAATGTTTACCCCATGTGACCCTAGACTAAATGTTTACCCCATCATGTGGCCCTAGGCTAAATGTTTACCTCATGTGGCCCTAGACTAAATGTTTACCCCATCATGTGGCCCTAGACTAAATGTTACCCCATCATGTGGCCCTAGACTAAATGTTTACCTCATCATGTGGCCCTAGACTAAATGTTTACCCCATGTGGTCCTAGACTAAATGTTTACCTCATGTGGCCCTAGACTAAATGTTTACCCCATCATGTGGCCCTAGACTAAATGTTTACCCCATCATGTGGCCCTAGACTAAATGTTTACCCCATGTGGTCCTAGACTAAATGTTTACCCCATTATGTGGCCCTAGACTAAATGTTTACCCCATGTGGCCCTAGACTAAATGTTTACCCCATCATGTGGCCCTAGACTAAATGTTTACCCCATCATGTGGCCCTAGACTAAATGTTTACCCCATGTGGCCCTAGACTAAATGTTTACCCCATCATGTGGCCCTAGACTAAATGTTTACCCCATGTGGCCCTAGACTAAATGTTTACCCCATCATGTGGCCCTAGACTAAATGTTTACCCCATGTGGCCCTAGACTAAATGTTTACCCCATCATGTGGCCCTAGACTAAATGTTTACCTCATCATGTGGCCCTAGACTAAATGTTTACCTCATGTGGCCCTAGACTAAATGTTTACCTCATGTGGCCCTAGACTAAATGTTTACCCCATCATGTGGCCCTAGACTAAATGTTTACCCCATCATGTGGCCCTAGACTAAATGTTTACCTCATGTGGTCCTAGACTAAATGTTTACCTCATCATGTGGCCCTAGACTAAATGTTTACCTCATCATGTGGCCCTAGACTAAATGTTTACCTCATCATGTGGCCCTAGACTAAATGTTTACCCCATGTGGCCCTAGACTAAATGTTTACCCCATCATGTGGCCCTAGACTAAATGTTTACCTCATCATGTGGCCCTAGACTAAATGTTTACCTCATCATGTGGCCCTAGACTAAATGTTTACCTCATCATGTGGCCCTAGACTAAATGTTTACCTCATCATGTGGCCCTAGACTAAATGTTTACCCCATCATGTGGCCCTAGACTAAATGTTTACCTCATCATGTGGCCCTAGACTAAATGTTTACCCCATGTGGTCCTAGACTAAATGTTTACCCCATTATGTGGCCCTAGACTAAATGTTTACCTCATGTGGCCCTAGACTAAATGTTTACCTCATCATGTGGCCCTAGACTAAATGTTTACCTCATCATGTGGCCCTAGACTAAATGTTTACCCCATGTGGCCCTAGACTAAATGTTTACCCCATCATGTGGCCCTAGACTAAATGTTTACCCCATCATGTGGCCCTAGACTAAATGTTTACCTCATCATGTGGCCCTAGACTAAATGTTTACCCCATGTGGCCCTAGACTAAATGTTTACCCCATCATGTGGCCCTAGACTAAATGTTTACCCCATCATGTGGCCCTAGACTAAATGTTTACCTCATCATGTGGCCCTAGACTAAATGTTTACCCCATGTGGCCCTAGACTAAATGTTTACCCCATGTGGTCCTAGACTAAATGTTTACCTCATGTGGTCCTAGACTAAATGTTTACCCCATCATGTGGCCCTAGACTAAATGTTTACCCCATGTGGTCCTAGACTAAATGTTTACCTCATGTGGCCCTAGACTAAATGTTTACCCCATCATGTGGCCCTAGACTAAATGTTTACCCCATGTGGTCCTAGACTAAATGTTTACCTCATCATGTGGCCCTAGACTAAATGTTTACCCCATCATGTGGCCCTAGACTAAATGTTTACCCCATGTGGCCCTAGACTAAATGTTTACCTCATCATGTGGCCCTAGACTAAATGTTTACCTCATCATGTGGCCCTAGACTAAATGTTTACCCCATCATGTGGCCCTAGACTAAATGTTTACCTCATCATGTGGCCCTAGACTAAATGTTTACCTCATGTGGTCCTAGACTAAATGTTTACCCCATCATGTGGCCCTAGACTAAATGTTTACCCCATCATGTGGCCCTAGACTAAATGTTTACCCCATCATGTGGTCCTAGACTAAATGTTTACCTCATCATGTGGCCCTAGACTAAATGTTTACCTCATCATGTGGCCCTAGACTAAATGTTTACCCCATCATGTGGCCCTAGACTAAATGTTTACCTCATCATGTGGCCCTAGACTAAATGTTTACCCCATGTGGCCCTAGACTAAATGTTTACCCCATCATGTGGCCCTAGACTAAATGTTTACCTCATGTGGCCCTAGACTAAATGTTTACCCCATCATGTGGCCCTAGACTAAATGTTTACCTCATCATGTGGCCCTAGACTAAATGTTTACCCCATCATGTGGCCCTAGACTAAATGTTTACCTCATCATGTGGCCCTAGACTAAATGTTTACCTCATGTGGCCCTAGACTAAATGTTTACCCCATCATGTGGCCCTAGACTAAATGTTTACCCCATCATGTGGCCCTAGACTAAATGTTTACCTCATCATGTGGCCCTAGACTAAATGTTTACCTCATGTGGCCCTAGACTAAATGTTTACCTCAAGTGGCCCTAGACTAAATGTTTACCTCATGTGGCCCTAGACTAAATGTTTACCTCATCATGTGGCCCTAGACTAAATGTTTACCTCATGTGGTCCTAGACTAAATGTTTACCTCATCATGTGGCCCTAGACTAAATGTTTACCTCATCATGTGGCCCTAGACTAAATGTTTACCCCATCATGTGGTCCTAGACTAAATGTTTACCTCATCATGTGGCCCTAGACTAAATGTTTACCTCATGTGGCCCTAGACTAAATGTTTACCTCATGTGGCCCTAGACTAAATGTTTACCTCATCATGTGGCCCTAGACTAAATGTTTACCTCATCATGTGGCCCTAGACTAAATGTTTACCTCATCATGTGGCCCTAGACTAAATGTTTACCTCATCATGTGGCCCTACAGAAACCCTCTTGACATGGCTAGCCACCAACTCCCACGCTGTGCCCTCTGGAAATGTGGCTGTTATGTTTTCTCTCCTCCACAAATTGTCTGAAGAAAAGTTTTCAAACTAGTTCACATGCAAACTGCAGGCGGGATGGAAGGGGGGGGGGGGGGGGGGGGGGTGTGATATATTTTTGTGACTAGACTACCATTAAGATGTGACTAGACTACCATTAAGATGGGACTAGACTACCATTAACCCTTTCCCCGGCAACATATTTGGTACCCTGTCCCCGGCAACTGGGTGGATCACACCCAAAGACTTTCTTATAGTAAATTCTTTTCTTTGTTCATTGTGGGGTGGGTAACAATACTGACACAGTTGAGGTATTCAGGGCACAGAGGCCATGGGGAACACCAGACAATGTTGTTGTCAATGGGAGAGCTGTAATATGATACTACAGGTTGATGGGATTCTCAAGCAAGAGTTAACCTGTGGGTGGACACATGTAGTGATTTATACTCTTTGCTGGAACTCTGACTTGCAGTTACAGACAGAACTGTAGTTTAGAGTTACAATAGGTTAATGAAATGCAGGGGTAAGATTGCCTGTGGGAGGACATATATAGTGATTTGTACTCTTTTAGGGAGCTCTGGAATGGAGATAGAGACATTCGAGCCTTTTAGAGTAACTTGACATTTACCTCATTAGGAGTACGAATGAGGACAAAAAGGCAAAACAACTTTGTAATGCTGCTTGTAAGTTAATACTGGGCAATTAATTGATCAAACTGGAAGTGGGGTGGGTGTTCTACAGGTTGTGACCCTGAGAGTAAGGTTCATAAATAGTCACAAACGTTATTGAGAACACAGCAGAAACAAGTCTTGAATGCTTTTTCTAAACTCAAGTGCTAATGATAAAGGAATACATTTGCCAGTTTTAGTATAGCAGATGAAAATGACCAACAAGTTTTGAGTCTGAACTATTAGTATCAGAGGTAGAAGATGAAGAATGACAGCCATCAGTATCAGAGGTAGAAGATGAATGGCAGCCAACAGTATCAAGCAGCTCTGATGACGAGGTCTACCCAATATACTGCATTTCAACTATCAATAATGTGTCAACAGTTGGCACTCATAATGAAATGAAACGGCTGGTGCAAAGTGAAGAAAAAGAAATATTTTCACGAAAGACAAAGTAACAGTACACTAGACCACTGCCTGAAGTGCTAATCCAAGGAAATTTATAAACAGTCTGACCCTAAATATTTCTTCTGTGCATGAATACAAAAAATAATACAACCAATATTTGACTGCATTAGCAGAGATGGAGAGAAAGCAAGAGGAGACACTGGCACTCTTCAGAATAACAATTTAGTTGTATGTCAATTCAGTTCTGCTTATGGAAGTTTTTGAAGGCAGAATTTTCTATGAAGAAATTCAGCAACCTTCTGGGTCATATTCACTTCACAACAATAACACTAACAGTCCATCAGGCTCATGGTATATTTGCTTCCATTATGGTAGATATTCCATTCAAATTTAGAAAGGTGTTATGTTTCTGGAGAGATCATTACTAATTAGCAAGTGGTTGATTTTAGAGGTGGGAGTAGATTTATCCAATACATACCAAGCAATTCCGATAAGTATGGAATTAAAATATTTTGGGCATGTGACTCATGTAACACCACTAAAAGGGTCCCATATTTTGTCAAAGAAAACTAAAGTTCCCTGCCAGCAAAAGGAAATGTCCAGTTATTTTAATTTTAACTAACAACTGTGCTCTCTGAGGTGCAAATTTTTAAAACGTGTTAATGTTCTAATATTTTGTTACTAAAGTTGATTACTTCAATTGGTTTGATATTTTTGTTACTCAAATACCTTCAGATTGTTAATTTATAGTTAAACTTTGAAAATGTAACACAATGACTTAACCCACAATGAGTAAAAACAAATTGTTAGAAGCCAGTTTATAAGTTATAAATATTTTTTCCATTCAAAATTGTGTACGGGTGTGTAGCACCCAGTTGCCAGGGACCGTATAAAAAAATTTCAAACCCTCATAAAAAAAAATTTTACGCATATTTTTAAAATTTACAACCTCCAATGTGTTCATCCCAACCACCTTATAGATGGGAGATAAAATAGATTTTATAGATAAAACGAGACTTGAGATATGAGCAAAAATATAGCGACTTCGGGTCGATTACACCCAGTCGCCGAGGAAAGGGTTAAGATGGGACTAGACTACCATTAAGATGGGACTAGACTACCATTAAGATGGGACTAGACTACCATTAAGATGGGACTAGACTACCATTAAGATGGGACTAGACTACCATTAAGATGGGACTAGACTACCATTAAGATGGGACTAGACTACCATTAAGATGGGACTAGACTACCATTAAGATGGGACTAGACTACCATTAAGATGGGACTAGACTACCATTAAGATGGGACTAGACTACCATTAAGATGGGACTAGACTACCATTAAGATGGGACTAGACTACCATTAAGATGGGACTAGACTACCATTAAGATGGGACTAGACTACCATTAAGATGGGACTAGACTACCATTAAGATGGGACTAGACTACCATTAAGATGGGACTAGACTACCATTAAGATGGGACTAGACTACCATTAAGATGGGACTAGACTACCATTAAGATGGGACTAGACTACCATTAAGATGGGACTAGACTACCTACTGCCTGTATCAACAGCCCACACACTTGTGGCACCAGCAGAAACTTGTTGGAGCAGAAAGTCACTTGGTGGGGGTGGCACAACCTGCAACCAACATGTTCCTGGAGACAGGTCAAACAACAGGTGATCAAACAGGTGGTCAAACAACAGGTGGTCAAACAACAGGTGGTCAAACAACAGGTGGTCAAACATGTGGTCAAACAACAGGTGGTCAAACAGGTGGTCAAACAACAGGTGGTCAAACAACAGGTGGTCAAACATGTGGTCAAACAACAGGTGGTCAAACAGGTGGTCAAACAACAGGTGGTCAAACAACAGGTGATCAAACAGGTGGTCAAACAACAGGTGGTCAAACAGGTGGTCAAACAACAGGTGGTCAAACAGGTGGTCAAACAACAGGTGGTCAAACAACAGGTGGTCAAACAACAGGTGGTCAAACAACAGGTGGTCAAACAGGTGGTCAAACAACAGGTGGTCAAACAGGTGGTCAAAGAACAGGTGGTCAAACAGGTGGTCAAACAACAGGTGGTCAAACAGGTGGTCAAACAACAGGTGGTCAAACAGGTGGTCAAACAACAGGTGGTCAAACAACAGGTGGTCAAACAGGTGGTCAAACAACAGGTGGTCAAACAACAGGTGGTCAAACAACAGGTGGTCAAACAACAGGTGGTCAAACAACAGGTGGTCAAACAACAGGTGGTCAAACAACAGGTAGTCAAACAACAGGTGGTCAAACAACAGGTGGTCAAACATGTGGTCAAACAACAGGTGGTCAAACAACAGGTAGTCAAACAACAGGTGGTCAAACAACAGGTGGTCAAACAACAGGTGGTCAAACAACAGGTGGTCAAACAACAGGTGGTCAAACAACAGGTGGTCAAACAACAGGTGGTCAAACAACAGGTGGTCAAACAACAGGTGGTCAAACAACAGGTGGTCAAACAACAGGTAGTCAAACATGTGGTCAAACAACAGGTGGTCAAACATGTGTTCAAACAACAGGTGGTCAAACAACAGGTGGTCAAACAACAGGTGGTCAAACATGTGGTCAAACAACAGGTGGTCAAACAACAGGTAGTCAAACAACAGGTGGTCAAACATGTGGTCAAACAACAGGTGGTCAAACATGTGTTCAAACAACAGGTGGTCAAACAACAGGTGGTCAAACAACAGGTGGTCAAACAACAGGTGGTCAAACAGGTGGTCAAACAACAGGTGGTCAAACAACAGGTGGTCAAACAACAGGTGGTCAAACAACAGGTGGTCAAACAACAGGTGGTCAAACAACAGGTGGTCAAACAACAGGTGGTCAAACAACAGGTGGTCAAACAACAGGTGGTCAAACAACAGGTGGTCAAACAACAGGTGGTCAAACAACAGGTGGTCAAACAACAGGTGGTCAAACATGTGGTCAAACAACAGGTGGTCAAACAACAGGTGGTCAAACAACAGGTGGTCAAACAACAGGTGGTCAAACAACAGGTGGTCAAACAACAGGTGGTCAAACAGGTGGTCAAACAACAGGTGGTCAAACAACAGGTGGTCAAACAGGTGGTCAAACAACAGGTGGTCAAACAACAGGTGGTCAAACAACAGGTGGTCAAACAACAGGTGGTCAAACAACAGGTGGTCAAACAGGTGGTCAAACAACAGGTGGTCAAACAACAGGTGGTCAAACAACAGGTGGTCAAACAACAGGTAGTCAAACAACAGGTGGTCAAACAACAGGTGGTCAAACAGGTGGTCAAACAACAGGTGGTCAAACAGGTGGTCAAAGAACAGGTGGTCAAACAGGTGGTCAAACAACAGGTGGTCAAACAGGTGGTCAAACAACAGGTGGTCAAACAGGTGGTCAAACAACAGGTGGTCAAACAGGTGGTCAAACAACAGGTGGTCAAACAGGTGGTCAAACAACAGGTGGTCAAACAACAGGTGGTCAAACAACAGGTGGTCAAACAACAGGTGGTCAAACAACAGGTGGTCAAACAACAGGTGGTCAAACAACAGGTAGTCAAACAACAGGTGGTCAAACAACAGGTGGTCAAACATGTGGTCAAACAACAGGTGGTCAAACAACAGGTAGTCAAACAACAGGTGGTCAAACAACAGGTGGTCAAACAACAGGTGGTCAAACAACAGGTGGTCAAACAACAGGTGGTCAAACAACAGGTGGTCAAACAACAGGTGGTCAAACAACAGGTGGTCAAACAACAGGTGGTCAAACAACAGGTGGTCAAACAACAGGTAGTCAAACATGTGGTCAAACAACAGGTGGTCAAACATGTGTTCAAACAACAGGTGGTCAAACAACAGGTGGTCAAACAACAGGTGGTCAAACATGTGGTCAAACAACAGGTGGTCAAACAACAGGTAGTCAAACAACAGGTGGTCAAACATGTGTTCAAACAACAGGTGGTCAAACAACAGGTGGTCAAACAACAGGTGGTCAAACAACAGGTGGTCAAACAACAGGTGGTCAAACAACAGGTGGTCAAACAACAGGTGGTCAAACAACAGGTGGTCAAACAACAGGTGGTCAAACAACAGGTGGTCAAACAACAGGTGGTCAAACAACAGGTGGTCAAACAACAGGTGGTCAAACAACAGGTGGTCAAACAACAGGTGGTCAAACATGTGGTCAAACAACAGGTGGTCAAACAACAGGTGGTCAAACAACAGGTGGTCAAACAACAGGTGGTCAAACAACAGGTGGTCAAACAACAGGTGGTCAAACAACAGGTGGTCAAACATGTGGTCAAACAACAGGTGGTCAAACAGGTGGTCAAACAACAGGTGGTCAAACAACAGGTGGTCAAACAGGTGGTCAAACAACAGGTGGTCAAACAACAGGTGGTCAAACAACAGGTGGTCAAACAACAGGTGGTCAAACAACAGGTGGTCAAACAGGTGGTCAAACAACAGGTGGTCAAACAACAGGTGGTCAAACAACAGGTGGTCAAACAACAGGTAGTCAAACAACAGGTGGTCAAACAACAGGTGGTCAAACAACAGGTGGTCAAACAACAGGTGGTCAAACAACATGTGGTCAAACAACAGGTGGTCAAACAGGTGGTCAAACAACAGGTGGTCAAACAACAGGTGATAAAACTTACCACTAGGTTGTTGCCATGTAACACCAGGTCTAAACCATGCAGAACCATCGCTGGCAATTCCCCAGATTCTAAACTTGCCCCCCACAGAGATGGACCTGAAGGGTTTGTCTAGAGCAGTTGCTACATGCACCCAGTTGTGGCCCTGGGGGAGGGGGGGGGGGAGAGATAAAAAACATGGGAATTCTTAAACCAATTAGCAATTATAAAAATATATGTTAGCAATTATAAAAATATATGCAATCTTAAATGTGTGGATAAACTAAAAATATAGCAATTTTAAATATATGAATGATCATAAGCAATTGAATTTTAGCGCTATATTTTTAAAATGTTTTACTTGTTTGCGGAAAATAATTTATAAAATAGTTATTAGTCAAAACACTATGTACTTTACTACACGTTGAACGATATTAGTGACAAAGCAAAGAAATAACTAAACAGCAAAAAATCCGACACGTTTAAAATAATAACATAGGCTACCAATACCTATTAGAAAAAGTAAAACTAAATTATATACATTATTAGTCAACAACACCATATTAAATGCACACACTGATTAAGAGACTTAAATGATTTTGTTAAAAACCCAGCTGTTCAATGATATTTATGTTGTTGTTTAAAGTAATTTGTATTACTTTTGGCCGAGAAGATTGTATACCAGTCATAGCGTATATTTTGATTAGTAGATTTATAGATCTAAATCAAATTTGAACGAAATAGTTCATTTCTTCATATTCTAAAATTGGAAGATGATGCCATTAGTGTTGTGTTTTTTCCGTAGTTTAAACATGTGGCTTGTGACATCATTGTTTATTGCATTCTTGTCACAACAATAAACACTTTTCTAGTTGCATAATTAAAACTGTGTTGCTTTATTACTTTCTCGTATATACGAAGTATAGAGAAAGTATTGTAATCGTGCAAAAAAAAAAATCAAGATTTTTACAAATCTCGACGTTTTACACCTCACTGATACGGAAAAACATAATGTTGCAATCTTGTCTGTGTGTCTGTCTGTCTGTGTGTGTCCGTGTGTAAACACGATAACTTGAGTACCGTTACAGCTAGGTTGATGAAATTTCATTTATAAGTATTTTATCAAAATCGTACATCCGTATCAACTTTTGAGCGATTTCCAATACCCGGAAGTGGTACTTTTTCTACTTTGAATTTTTCAAAAGCCTATAACTTGAGTGTACTATTTCAGATAGATAAATGTAATTAAAAGATCTAATTCTCTACCTTCTGTTAAATTTTGAGTAATTTCCGTTGACCGGAAGTAGTAATTTACGCTACTTCCGATTTCTCAAAAAACTAATGTAAATTTTTAAAGTACTAATAATATTGCGCACTATTATGCACTTTTTTATTTGGCGTTCACTTGGTATACAATTCTTTTGTCTATGAGATTTTATTCTATTTTTAAAACTTTAAGTATTTAAAATGGATTAAAAATCATGTCTATAGCCTGAGTTCCCTTTCCCTGTTATTTTATATAAGAATATTCCAGAAAGTTTAGGCGAGATCACTCCCGGTTTATTTTTATTTTCTTTCTTGAAGTAAAATTTAGTTTATACATTTATAACATCCACCATATTATTTTCAACTTTTAAGTTCTCCATATATCACTGAAGATACTGATCTCTTAGGCTTGGGAATGCGGAGAGAGAGAGAGAGAGAGAGAGAGAGAGAGAGAGAGAAGTGTGCACATGGGCTTTTATATATTAGGATGGGTGATCTTAAGCTTTGGGGCAATCTTTGTATGTGTAGTATAAAACAAATATGAAGAAATTTCAATGAAGTATAAGTACAATATAGAACATTTTAGTACTAGATGGTTGGTGAGACTGACAATATAAAATGCTATAATACCAGGTGGTTGCTAAGGGTGACACCATTGCGGTACAACACGTCTCCATTGGCCCCTATGGCCCAAACCACAAGAGGATCAGCAGGGGAGGTGACTGGGTCAATCTGGATGGAGATGTCAGTCAGACAGAGGGAGCCTGCCGTCTGCCAGGGACCAAACAAAGTGGTCTTACAGCGTCTGGGCAACAGCAGAACATGAGCTTCTTACATGTCGTCTAGATGGAAACACAAACTGCCACCTACTCACCTGACCCACCTCTTCACCTGACCCACCTCTTCACCTGACCCACCTCTACACCTGACCCACCTCTACACCTGACCCACCTACTCACCTGACCCAACCTTCACCTGACCCACCTCTACACCTGACCCACCTCTACACCTGACCCACCTCTACACCTGACCCACCTCTACACCTGACCCACCTCTACACCTGACCCACCTCTACACCTGACCCACCTCTACACCTGACCCACCTCTACACCTGACCCACCTCTACACCTGACCCACCTCTACACCTGACCCACCTCTACACCTGACCCACCTCTACACCTGACCCACCTCTACACCTGACCCACCTCTACACCTGACCCACCTGACCCACCTCTACACCTGACCCACCTGACACACCTCTACACCTGACCCACCTCTACACCTGACCCACCTCTACACCTGACCCACCTCTTCACCTGACCCATCTCGACACCTGACCCACCTCTACACCTGACCCACCTCTACACCTGACCCACCTCTACACCTGACCCACCTCTTCACCTGACCCACCTCTACACCTGACCCAACCTTCACCTGACACACCTACCTACCTGACCCACCTACGTCGTCTGTAAGAATCGCGCAAATGTTGGTTTGAATGGAATGGTCTATAAAGAAACATTTTATTAAACAATAAGTCTATAAGTATAAGAAAATAAACAATAGGTCTATAAGAAAATAAACAATTGGTCAATGAGAAAATAAACAATAGGTCAATAAGAAAATAAACAATAGGTCAATGAGAAAATAAACAATAGGTCTATAAGAAAATAAACAATAAGTCTACAAGAAAAAAACAATAGGTCTATAAGAAAATAAACAATTGGTCAATGAGAAAATAAACAATAGGTCTATAAGAAAATAAACAATTGGTCAATGAGAAAATAATCAATAGGTCTATGAGAAAATAAACAATAGGTCTATAAGAAAATAAACAATATGTCTATAAGAAAAAAAACAATAGGTCTATAAGAAAAAAAACAATAGGTCTATAAGAAAATAAACAATAGGTCTATAAGAAAAAAACAATAGGTCTATAAGAAAAAAATAAACAAAAAGTCTATAAGAAAATAAACAATAGGTCAATGAGAAAATAAAAAAAAGGTCTATAAGAAAATAAACAATTGGTCAATGAGAAAATAAACAATAGGTCTATAAGAAAAAAACAATAGGTCTATAAGAAAATAAACAATAGGTCTATAAGAAAAAAATAAACAATAAGTCTATAAGAAAATAAACAATAGGTCAATGAGAAACTAACAATAGGTCTATAAGAAAATAAACAATAGGTCAATGAGAAAATAAACAATAGGTCTATAAGAAAATAAACAATAGGTCAATGAGAAAACAAGCCAAATGTTTTTCAGGGAATAAACAGAGAGTTAAATAAAATGTTAATAGGGATCATCCATTTAGGACTTCGACAATTTTTTTAAAACCTGCCCCCTCCCCCCCTCTGATCACTTACAACAACCACCCACCCATCCCCACCCAATGTGGACATTCATATAACTTTTGCTAAGTGCTAAACACTTTTTTTGTGGGGGGACAAGTGTTAAAAGAATTGTCTGAACTCATAGGATATTTATAATACCAATCATGAGATAAATAAATGTTTTGCCTCTAATTCTGTATGCTTTCTTACTTGCTTAATAAAAAGAATTCTATTTTGAGAGGGGTGGTAGGCTTAAGTGTGACGTCATGTGCTTTCTGGCTTTATGTGACAATATGTGACACTGGGGGTAGGGGAGGGGTATAAATTGTTGAAAATCTTGATGCTGTTTATGGTAAGATATGGTTTAAATATTATTTACCAAACTGAATTGATTACAAAAAAACCAAATGCACAATTTGACATTTGTATGCAGGATACAAGTTTTATGTTTGTTTTAAAAAGAAAGTCCTTCATTATTTAATTCATTATGTGGACATCCCCCCCCCCCCCCCCGATGTTCATAGTAGTCAATGCTTTAGACCTTTCACAATTCACTTGGATGTTGTAAATGGTTGATTTGATCTCAAAACAACAAAGGTACACTCACCCATACAGATAATGTGATACACTCACCCATACAGATAATGTGATACACTCACCCATACAGATAATGTGATACACTCACCCATACAGATAATGTGATACACTCACCCATACAGATAATGTGATACACTCACCCATACAGATAATGTGATACACTCACCCATACAGATAATGTGAATATTGCCAACCACTTTTGTCCACGCCACCTTCTGTGCTGAAGTCTACAGTCCAATCACTGGTCTGAAAACATTTTTTTGTATTGTTGCCAACTTTTGTGACATAAAGACATAGACTGTCACCTAATGTCACATAAACTGTCACCGAATGTCACATAGACTGTCACCTAATGTCACAAGACCAGTGTCACCTAATGTCACAAGAACAGTGTCACCTAATGTCACAAGAACAGTGTAACCTAATGTCACATAGACTGTCACCTAATGTCACAAGAACAGTGTCACCTAATGTCACAAGAACAGTATCACCTAATGTCACAAGAACAGTGTCACCTAATGTCACATAGACTATCACCTAATGTCACAAGAACAGTGTCACCTAATGTCACAAGAACAGTGTCACCTAATGTAACAAGAACAGTGTCACCTAATGTCACAAGAACAGTGTCACCTAATGTCACAAGACCAGTGTCACCTAATGTCACAAGGACAGTGTCACCTAATGTCACAAGAAAAGTGTCACCTAATGTCACAAGAAAAGTGTCACCTAATGTCACAAGAACAGTGTCACCTAATGTCACAAGGACAGTGTCACCCAATATGACAAGGTTTGTGTTGCCTACCCAATGCCACTTGGAGGATGGAAGTTTCACGTCATCCTTAGAGGCCATACTGCGGCCAGATTCTGTCAGCCAATGGAAGTTGTTGCTCAACACTCCCCTGTCAGTTCAACAAAGGATTAACCAGTAGGCCATAACATCCTGTCAATATGTAGCCATGTCTACCCCACCCAGTCTCCCTCCCCCACCCAGTCTCCCTCCCCCACCCAGTCTCCTCCCCCAGCCAGTCTCCCTCCCCCACCCAGTCACCTTCCCCCACCTAGTCACCCTCCCCCACCCAGTCTCCTCCCCCACCTAGTCACCCTCCCCCACCCAGTCTCCTCCCCCACCTAGTCACCCTCCCCCACCCAGTCACCTTCCCCCACCTAGTCACCCTCCCCCACCCAGTGACCTTCCCCCACCTAGTCACCCTCCCTCACCCAGTCACCTTCCCCCACCTAGTCACCCTCCCCCACCCAGTGACCTTCCCCCACCTAGTCACCCTCCCTCACCCAGTCTCCTCCCCCACCCAGTCACCTTCCCCCACCTAGTCTCCCTCCCCCACCCAGTCTCCCTCCCCCACCCAGTCTCCCTCCCTCCCCCACCCAGTCTCCCTCCCTCCCCCACCCAGTCTCCTCCCCCACCCAGTCCCTTCCCGCACCCAGTCTCCCTCCCCCACCTAGTCTCCCTCCCCCACCTAGTCTCCCTCCCCCACCCAGTCTCCCTCCCCCACCCAGTCTCCCTCCCCCACCTAGTCTCCCTCCCCCACCTAGTCTCCCTCCCCCACCCTCACTTACTTGCAGCACCAGCCCACCAGAGGGAACCACTTCTCAGTCTCGTAGACAAAGACGCGCTGTGAGTCTGAGATTTGGAGAATGTTGTCAGACATGGAGCAGACACCTGAATGTTGGGCAAAAGTTTGGCTTTTTTATCCTTAGAAAATATAGTAGGGACAAAAGTTTGGCTTTTTTTATCCTTAGAAAATAGGGTAGGGGCAAAAGTTTGGCTTTTTTTATCCTTAGAAAATATGGTAGGGGCAAAAGTTTGGTTTTTTTATCCTTAGAAAATATAGTAGGGGCAAAAGTTTGGCTTTTTTTTATCCTTAGAAAATATGGTAGGGGCAAAAGTTTGGCTTTTTATATCCTTAGAAAATATGGTAGGGGCAAAAGTTTGGTTTTTTTTTATCCTTAGAAAATATAGTAGGGGCAAAAGTTTGGCTTTTTTTTATCCTTAGAAAATATGGCAGGGGCAAAAGTTTGGCTTTTTTTATCCTTAGAAAATAGGGTAGGGGCAAAAGTTTGGCTTTTTTTATCCTTAGAAAATATGGTAGGGGCAAAAGTTTGGCTTTTTTTATCCTTAGAAAATAGGGTAGGGGCAAAAGTTTGGCTTTTTTTATCCTTAGAAAATATGGTAGGGGCAAAAGTTTGGCTTTTTTTATCCTTAGAAAATAGGGTAGGGGCAAAAGTTTGGCTTTTTTTATCCTTAGAAAATAGGGTAGGGGCAAAAGTTTGGCTTTTTTTATCCTTAGAAAATATGGTAGGGGCAAAAGTTTGGCTTTTTTTATCCTTAGAAAATATGGTAGGGACAAAAGTTTGGCTTTTTTATATCCTTAGAAAATATGGTAGGGACAAAAGTTTGGCTTTTTTTATCCTTAGAAAATATGGTAGGGGCAAAAGTTTGGCTTTTTTTATCCTTAGAAAATATGGTAGGGGCAAAAGTTTGGCTTTTTTATATCCTTAGAAAATAGGGTAGGGGCAAAAGTTTGGCTTTTTTTATCCTTAGAAAATATGGTAGGGGCAAAAGTTTGGTTTTTTTATCCTTAGAAAATATAGTAGGGGCAAAAGTTTGGCTTTTTTTTATCCTTAGAAAATATGGTAGGGGCAAAAGTTTGGCTTTTTATATCCTTAGAAAATATGGTAGGGGCAAAAGTTTGGTTTTTTTTTATCCTTAGAAAATATAGTAGGGGCAAAAGTTTGGCTTTTTTATCCTTAGAAAATATAGTAGGGGCAAAAGTTTGGCTTTTTTTTATCCTTAGAAAATATGGTAGGGGCAAAAGTTTGGCTTTTTATATCCTTAGAAAATAGGGTAGGGACAAAAGTTTGGCTTTTTTATTATCCTTAGAAAATATGGTAGGGGCAAAAGTTTGGCTTTTTTTATCCTTAGAAAATATGGTAGGGGCAAAAGTTTGGCTTTTTTTATCCTTAGAAAATATAGTAGGGGCAAAAGTTTGGTATCAGGGGTTTATGACCTTCATAAAAATTGTAAACCCCCCTCCCCCTCCCTTTTTGGCCAGATAAATCAGAAATATTACATCTCTAGTAAGGGGATATTTCTAAGCATATCAAGAAGAAAAGGATGAGCGAGTCTCACCATGAGTGAAAGCTCCACCAAATCCACCATTGTAAACATAAGGCATTCGGTCAAAGCCCAGCCCCCATGTGACTCCACTTGGTCCAGTCTCAACTACACTCAGGTGACCTCCCTGCTGGCCCCAACATCTGGACACGATTGGAGGGTTAGTCATCAAACATTAGAGGTTTGTTTAAAGTCATCAAACATTAGAGGATTGTTAGAGGATTGTTTAAAGTCATCAAACATTAGAGGATTGTTTAAAGTCATCAAACATTAGAGGATTGTTAGAGGATTGTTTAAAGTCATCAAACATTAGAGGATTGTTAGAGGATTGTTTAAAGTCATCAAACATTAGAGGATTGTTTAAAGTCATCAAACATTAGAGGATTGTTGAAAGTCATCAAACATTAGAGGATTGTTTAAAGTCATCAAACATTAGAGGATTGTTTAAAGTCATCAAACATTAGAGGATTGTTTAAAGTCATCAAACATTAGAGGATTGTTTAAAGTCATCAAACATTAGAGGATTGTTAGAGGATTGTTTAAAGTCATCAAACATTAGAGGATTGTTTAAAGTCATCAAACATTAGAGGATTGTTTAAAGTCATCAAACAGAGGATTGTTTAAAGTCATCAAATATTAGAGGATTGTTGAAAGTCATCAAACATTAGAGGATTGTTTAAAGTCATCAAACATAGAGGATTGTTTAAAGTCAGATATCAAAGATTAGAGGATCTAACAGACTAACTGCAACTTACAAATCAAAAGGTTTTTTGTGCACAGTGGCAGGGGGTGAAACAAAGACATCCCCTGTTAATGTACAGGACCAAATGGCACCAGGCAAGACAGGATTGGTGAGGTTCCAGGCATTAGCATTGGCTGAGCACAAGTAACCAATCTGTGGACAACAGAGTTAGATAAGTAGTCAATCCTAATATATAAAAGCCCATGTGGGCACTTCTCTCTCTGTCCGCATGTCCCAAGCCTAAGAGATAAGTATCTTCTATGATATATGGAGAACTTAAAGATATGGACTTTTGTTAAAATTAATATGTTGGATGTTTTAAATGTATCAACTAAATTTTATTTAAAGAAAGAAAATAAAAATAAAGCAATATTCGAATGTAGAAACACATTTAATTACGCAACCAGAAAAATGTTTACGGTTGTGACAAGAACGCAATAAACAATGACGTCACATGCCACATGTTTAAACTATGGAAAAAACACAACACTAATGGCGTCATCTTCCAATTTTAGAATATGAAGAAATGAACTATTTCACTAAAATTTGATTAAGATCTAAATTCTATAAATCTACTTATCAAGATGTACGCTAATAAATGTATACAATTTTCTCGGTCAAACTAATACAAATTACTTTAAAAAATATAATGACCATTGAACAGTAAATTATTTAAGTCTCTTAATCATTTAATATGTGCATTTAATATGGTGTTGTGTTGACTCATAATTTATATAATTTAGTTTTAATTTTTCTAATAAGTTTGGTGGCCTACATTATTTTAAATCTGTTGGATTTTTAGCTACTTAGTTATTTATTTTCACTTTCACTAATATTGTTCAACCTGGAGTGAAGCACATAGCAACAGAATATATACATTTTTATTTAGAAAAACACCATATTAAATGCACAAAATGTTTTACTGCCTTTAGAAATTGTTTTTAAAAAAGTTATTCATTGGTATTTTTGGTGTTTTATTTTTAAAAAAAAATGATTTTCCTTTATTGGTAGCTGACAAAAAATGTTTTACAAGTGGTTGGCACATTATTGAACTTTTTTTCTTGGACTGCCATTTATTCTTTAAATACTTTCTATATGTAAAAACGTTTTATAGATCTTCGTTAATTAAATGTGACTTTAAACTGAAATATGTCTCAACATATTTTACTTTTACTTTAGTTAGGCATTACAACATTAAATGGCCATGAAATTTTGGGAGGTTATTGAGTACACTCCAGAAAAGGTTTCTGCCATTAATTTTTCTATACATCAGCCATATCTCCACACCCACAAAAAAGGCTGAAGACTGAATGGTATAAAAGGGAAAATAGACATGTGACCTTGTTTTCTAAAACTGGGATTTTTAAATGTAAACAAAACCAGTGCTATATTTCTTGGATCGTAGTAGTTAGGGTGCAGGTTTGTCCACACTACCCCCTAGCTTAAGTCTCAGGGATTCCCTCAATTTTACCACACATAGATTACTCTATTAAACATGCTTTTATCAATGGTATGGGGTATGTAAAAAGGGGGTCGCTAACCAAAAATGTTTGGGAACCAGTGTCATAGGTTCTTCACTATCTCCAACAATAGTTTCAAAAACTAAAGGGGATGGGAGGTTGATGAAAACTCAATTAGCCAAAATACTTTTTCTAAACCTAATGCTATCATATTTAGCATATAGTTATAACTGAAGGAGTTAGAATAAAAAATTTAAAATGGCCAAAAATTTCCTGCTGTTGCCATGGTGATGGGAACCATCTTGGATTGTTTTTACCATTTTAACATTGAAATAAGTTTCATAATTATTATTAAAATTCATCAAAATGTTTCTAGTTATTCGGTATAACAAAACTGATAGAACACATTTTTGAAAATTTTTATGGTTTTTCTTTTACAGTTAAAATGGTGTATTTTTTGCAGTTTCTAAAGAGATTTTCAGAAAAAAATTGTAAAAACATTTTGTATATTGAAATTTAAAAATGTAATTCATCAGAATTGTTACCAATATGTATCTGTATAAACCTGTAAGGTTTTATCTAATTCACGTAAGCCATCTTTGAGTTATTTCCATGTTAAAAAGGTAAATAAAATCCAAGATTGCCACCATCACCATTGCAATGGCAGGAGATTTTCAGCCCTTTTTTTAATTTTTAGACTTCACTCTTTGAGTTATAACTATATGCTAAATATGATAGAATTAGCTTTAGAAAAAGTGTTTTGGCTAATTGAGTTTTCATCAGCGCCCATGCCCTTGTGTGTAACTGACCCATTCTACAGCCTCTGTCTCAGACGAAGCTCTCAACATCAGTGGCTGATGAATGATGTTGCTCAGTGATGTGTAGATGGTGAAACCTGCAGTCAACTCCGGGTCAGAACACATCTTAACACAGGTCATCTCAACCAAGAGGATCTGTTTGTGCTGAAGCAGATTGTTAAATTAACACACATGCTAATTAATGAAATACCCCCTCCCCCTTAATCTAGTGTTGATAGTGAACCCCCCCCCCCACCTTCTGTTGCCGCTTGTGTTGATAGTGAACCCCCCCTACCTTCTGTTGTCGCTTGTGTTGATAGTGAACCCCCCCCTACCTTCTGTTGTCGCTTGTGTTGATAGTGAACCCCCCCCCCTACCTTCTGTTGCCGCTTGTGTTGATAGTGAACCCCCCCCTTCCTTCTGTTGCCGCTTGTGTTGATAGTGAACCCCCCCCTACCTTCTGTTGCCGCTTGTGTTGATAGTGAACCCCCCCTTCCTTCTGTTGCCGCTTGTGTTGATAGTGAACCCCCCCCTACCTTCTGTTGCTGCTTGTGTTGATAGTGAACCCCCCCTACCTTCTGTTGTCGCTTGTGTTGATAGTGAACCCCCCTACCTTCTGTTGTCGCTTGTGTTGATAGTGAACAGTCAAGCAGCCCTCAGAGAGGTTCCCAATACCCTGCTCCAGCTCCACACTGCACGGCACCCACTGCTGATGTCTGCCGTACTGGTACATGTGCATCACAGATTTCTTGACCCAAGTTGTCTGTCAAGTCAAACACAACCAGAGAGATAACATGGTGCATCACAGATTTCTTGACCCAAGTTGTCTGTCAAGTCAAAAGCTTCACCTGTGTCACCTGACCTGTGTCACTGACTTGTGTCACCTGACCTGTGTCACTGACTTGTGTCACTTCACCTGTGTCACTGACTTGTGTCACCTTACCTGTGTCACCTTACCTGCGTCACCTCACCTGTGTCACCTCACATGTGTCAACTCACCTGTGTCACCTCACCTGTGCCATCTCACCTGTGTCACTTCACCTGTGCCACCTCACTTGTGTCACCTGAACTGTGTCACCTCACCTGTGCCATCTCACCTGTGCCACCTCACCTGTGTCACTGACCTGTGTCACCTCACCTGTGTCACTGACTTGTGTCACTTCACCTGTGTCACCTCACCTGCGCAACACAAACCTTACAAGACAATGAAAACAAAAAATGAGAGCAAAAGCACTTACTGTATTTATAGCTGGCTCAATGTCTTTCATAAATTCCTTCTTGTTGCGCTCACTTATCTTTTTTAAAATTGTATCTCTCAGCTCCCTCTGGATTGGCACCACTTTTGTTTCCAAGTCTGGAAGATAAAAACATCAAACCATGCAGTGCTTTTAAATTGCATTGCATTGTCTTATTATTAGTGGTACAGTAGGATTTGTTTATATAACGACTGTTTTTACTCCTTCGCATAACGTAAAAAAAATATTAAATACACGCAAATTGCTAAAACATATTAAACTGACCAATGTCAAATAATATTTTTGCTAAAACAAAAAATTTGAATATAAATTCCGCTGACGTGCAAGAAGGCATTATTGTTGGAATATTATACTTAGCATGGATTAATATTTAAGTTGTGTTTATGTTATGGTTTGCGTTAGTATTTTCGTTTGTGTTTTTGTGTTTGTATTTGTGTTTGCTGTTTTTATGTGTTTACGTTTTCTTTTGTTTTGTGTTTTCTTTAGTGTTTATTTTTTTGTTTGCGTGTTACATATGTGTTCCGTTTGTATTTGTATTTGTGTTGTGTTTTTTTTGTTTTTTTTGCATTTACATTGTGTATGTGTTTGCATTGTTTTTGTTTTTGTGTTTTCTTTTGTGTTGTATTTTCTTTTCTGTTTGTGCTGTGTTTGTGTTTAGTTATGTTCTGTTCCCAAGTTGGTACATTTAAAAAAGATCACTGTGGCGGAAGACGGGTATGCAGCTAGTATATATATATATATATATATATATATATATATATATATATATATATATATATATATATATATATATATATATATATATATATATATATACATGTATATAATAGCAGCTAGGATTTTCAGCACTGCTATTTTGGGAATATATAAAAAGGTCAACTTAAAATCTATATGCAAATATGGACGCTTAAGAAAATATACATAACCATAACCCTGACTCAAATTTTAATCACAATCACAAAAAATAAACAGTTGGCCAGGCTTTGTACTGTCACGCCAAGTGAGTTCAAAAAAATAAAATATGATCCGTTGAAAAAAAAAAGACTAACCTTTTTTGTTATTAGAAAGCCAGTCAACCAGAGCAGGGTCCTCCACAACACAGCTAGTAGCATCCAGCCAGCGCCAGCAAAGTCTGGGCTGAGCCACAGTCAAGTTCATTATTGAGGAGCCATCTGGAGACACCATCAGGGGGGAGGAGCGGGACTTGCGGTACTTGCCACCTTTTTTACTAGTGTGCGCCAGAGACAGGTCAGGGAATGTCTGACTCTTCAAATGTTCCTGTGGCAGGGGCTGGTGAGGCAGGGGCTGGTGAGGCCAGCCACCCACTGGGAACAACATTGGGCCAGGCTGGAGGGAATCAAATTCTTCATTATCTTTCATTGCCAATGGCTGGTTAGCTTGTTGCTGTTCCTCATCTGACATGAGGTCAGTGACAAAGTTGATGATGTCATCTGAGGACAGGGAGTCCAGTTGCTGGTGACCTGAGTCTGCTGCTACAAGAGGCACTGTACCACTACCCACAGTTTGACAAGCTGGGACATTACTGGCTGGGGCAGCCTCAGTACAAGTAGATACAGCATCCTTAGGGGGTGTGGCTACAACATCCTTAGTGGGGGTGGCTACAGCATCCTTAGGGGGTGTGGCTACAACATCCTTAGTGGGGGGTGTGGCTACAACATCCTTAGTGGGGGTGGCTACAACATCCTTAGTGGGGGTGGCTACAACCTCCTTAGTGGGGGTGGCTACAACATCCTTAGTGGGGGTGGCAGCCTCAATACTGTTTGAGCCAAATGAGTTTTGTGTAGAGAAGTATTCAGGCAACAGCCCAGCAATGTTATGGCCATAGGTGTACACATGGGACATGTCCTGAAACTGTTCCAATAAGGAATCTGTGACGTCACACTCTAATGAATCTGTGACGTCACACTCTAAGGAATCTGTGACGTCACACTCTAATGAATCTGTGACGTCAGACTCTATAGGACGAGCAACATCAGCAGCTGCAGAAAGTGTGACAAGAGACAGAGAAGGACCTGGGGTATCAGATGCTGTAGGACCTGCTTGGTCCATGTCCTCTAAGTCCTGCAACACTTGAGCCCCCTGTCTATCTCGACCACTAGCTGCAGCTTTCTCATTGGATGGCTTTGGTTTACGTCTTCTCCTTTTTTCTTTATAAACAATAGAGTCTGACTCATGTAGCATTTTTTTAGCAGCTTTGATTTTATTTGAGCTTTGATATGTGGTGCTGGTTTGAAATGTGTTGTTGCTATTTTTTTCACAGTTGTGGTTAACATAATTATTGGATTTACATAGACTGTCATTCACCTCCAAGTTGTTAGCTGGGTGCTGCTGGTCAGCTGGGTGGTCAGCTGGGTGGTCAGCTGGGTGGTCAGCTGGGTGCTGCTGGTCAGCTGGGTGGTCAGCTGGGTGCTGCTGGTCAACTGGGTGGTCAGCTGGGTGGTCAGCTGGGTGGTCAGCTGGGTGGTCAGCTGGGTGGTCAGCTGGGTGGTCAGCTGGGTGGTCAGCTGGGTGCTGCTGGTCATTTAGGTGGTTAGCCACTTTGACAGGCTGACCTGAGTTAGCCACTTTGACAGGCTGACCTGAGTTAGCCACTTTGACAAGCTGACCTGAGTTAGTCACTTTGACAAGCTGACCTGAGTTAGTCACTGTGACAGACTGACTAGCCACTATCTCTGTGTTAGTACCCTTCACTGAATCAAGTTCCTGTACACAACTTGATTCTTGCTGGTTGACCACCAATTCCATCTTGCTCCAGCTTTTGTTCCCTTCCATTGTCAGACTGTTTAATATACCATCTGGCAAAATGTCTTCACTGCCCATGGGAAGGAGAATAAAATCTGGCTGCTGGTCAGTGTGTGAGTCAAATTGTTTGCTGACAGTTATGTGTGAGTCAGCGTCTAGGCCTGAAATCTGTACATCATTTGCTTGTTGTGAACTAACAATCTCCTCCTGTATACCATTTGCTTGTTGTGATCTAACAATCTCCTCTTGTATACCATTTGCTTGTTGTGAACTAACAATCTCCTCCTGTATACCATTTGCTTGTTGTGAACTAACAATCTCCTCCTGTATACCATTTGCTTGTTGTGAACTAACAATCTCCTCCTGTATACCATTTGCTTGTTGTGAACTAACAATCTCCTCCTGTATACCATTTGCTTGTTGTGATCTAACAATCTCCTCCTGTATACCATTTGCTTGTTGTGAACTAACAATCTCCTCCTGTATACCATTTGCTTGTTGTGAACTAACAATCTCCTCCTGTATACCATTTGCTTGTTGTGAACTAACAATCTCCTCCTGTATACCATTTGCTTGTTGTGAACTAACAATCTCCTGTATACCATTTGCTTGTTGTGAACTAACAACCTCCTCCTCTTGGCCAAGAAGAAAAAGAGGGTTGCTCCACGTAGACAGTTGGCCGTCCATGTAGGGCCCCGAGTGCTCAGGCCAGACCAGTGGGGAGGGGAGGTTGCAGCCTGGCTCCTCATGGCTGGTCAAGGTGCTGGCACTGCTACAGCTGGTCAGTGTAGAGACAGACCTGGGGCGTGGGTGAAGGGCGCAGATCTTGTCCTCCACCCCACAAGAGCAGACTCCACCTTCTCCATAAAGACCCTGTCTCTCCAGCACCAGTAGGTCCTCTTGCAGCGTCACTGGCTGCCACATCTTGCCTGTCAAGTCTGTCGAGCTCACAGCAGTGCGGAAGTAGACAATTTTATTGCCAATGTCTATCGCAAACACCTGCGATCATACACGTCAATAAAAATTACGATAATAAAATTCATAAGATAGAGGATATATTTTTAAAATACTTTAACCTTAATTTCAGAAACTGTACCCCATCATTGGATGAGGAGACACTGGAACAGTACCTGGTCATGAGAAGAGACACGCTGGTACAGTACCTGGTCATTAGAAGAGACACTGGTACAGTACCTGGTCATTAAAAGAGACACACTGGTACAGTACCTGGTCATTAGAAGAGACACACTGCTACAGTACCTGGTCATTAGAAGACACACTGGTACAGTACCTGATCATTAGAAGAGACACACTGCTACAGTACCTGGTCATTAGAAGACACACTGGTACAGTACCTGGTCATTAGAAGAGACACACTGGTACAGTACCTGGTCATTAGAAGAGACACACTGGTACAGTACCTGGTCATTAGAAGAGACACTGGTACAGTACCTGGTCATTAGACACTGGTACAGTACCTGGTCATTAGAAGAGACACACTGGTACAATACCTGGTCATTAGAAGAGACACTGGTACAGTACCTGGTCATTAGAAGAGACACACTGGTACAGTACCTGGTCATTAGAAGAGACACTGGTACAGTACCTGGTCATTAGTAGAGACACACTGGTACAGTACCTGGTCATTAGAAGAGACACACTGGTACAGTACCTGGTCATTAGAAGAGACACTGGTACAGTACCTGGTCATTAGTAGAGACACACTGGTACAGTACCTGGTCATTAGAAGAGACACACTGGTACAGTACCTGGTCATTAGAAGAGACACACTGGTACAGTACCTGGTCATTAGAAGAGACACACTGGTACAGTACCTGGTCATTAGAAGAGACACACTGGTACAGTACCTGGTCATTAGAAGAGACACACTGGTACAGTACCTGGTCATTAGAAGAGACACTGGTACAGTACCTGGTCATTAGAAGAGACACATTGGTACAGTACCTATTCATTAGAAGACACACTGGTACAGTACCTGGTCATTAGAAGAGACACCGGTACAGTACCTGGTCATTAGAAGACACACTGGTACAGTACCTTGTCATTAGAAAAGACACACTGGTACAGTACCTGGTGATTAGAAGAGACACTGGTACAGTACCTGGTCATTAGAAGAGACACTGGTACAGTACCTGGTCATTAGAAGACACACTGGTACAGTACCATGTCATTAGAAGACACACTGGTACAGTACCTGGTCATTAGAAGAGACACACTGGTACAGTACCTGGTCATTAGAAGACACACTGGTACAGTACCTGGTCATTAGAAGAGACACACTGGTACAGTACCTGGTCATTGGAAGAGACACACTGGTACAGTACCTGGTCATTAGAAGAGACACACTGGTACAGTACCCGGTCATTAGAAGAGACACACTGGTACAGTACCTGGTCATTTGACACTGGTACAGTACCTGGTCATTAGAAGAGACACACTGGTACAGTACCTGGTCATTAGAAGAGACACACTGGTACAATACCTGGTCATTAGAAGAGACACACTGGTACAGTACCTGGTCATTAGAAGAGACACACTGGTACAGTACCTGGTCCTTAGAAGAGACACTGGTACAGTACCTGGTCATTAGAAGAGACACACTAGTACAGTACCTGGTCATTAGAAGAGACACACTGGTACAGTACCTGGTCATTAGAAGAGACACACTGGTACAGTACCTGGTCATTAGAAGAGACACACTGGTACAGTACCTGGTCATTTGACACTGGTACAGTACCTGGTCATTAGAAGAGACACACTGGTACAGTACCTGGTCATTAGAAGAGACACTGGTACAGTACCTGGTCATTAGAAGAGACACTGGTACAGTACCTGGTCATTAGAAGAGACACACTGGTACAGTACCTGGTAATTAGAAGAGACACACTGGTACAGTACCTGGTCATTAGAAGAGACACACTGGTACAGTACCTGGTCATTAGAAGAGACACTGGTACAGTACCTGGTCATTAGACACTGGTACAGTACCTGGTCATTAGAAGAGACACACTGGTACAGTACCTGGTCATTAGAAGAGACACTGGTACAGTACCTGGTCATTAGAAGAGACACACTGGTACAGTACCTGGTCATTAGAAGAGACACTGGTACAGTACCTGGTCATTAGTAGAGACACACTGGTACAGTACCTGGTCATTAGAAGAGACACACTGGTACAGTACCTGGTCATTAGAAGAGACACTGGTACAGTACCTGGTCATTAGTAGAGACACACTGGTACAGTACCTGGTCATTAGAAGAGACACACTGGTACAGTACCTGGTCATTAGAAGAGACACACTGGTACAGTACCTGGTCATTAGAAGAGACACACTGGTACAGTACCTGGTCATTAGAAGAGACACACTGGTACAGTACCTGGTCATTAGAAGAGACACACTGGTACAGTACCTGGTCATTAGAAGAGACACTGGTACAGTACCTGGTCATTAGAAGAGACACATTGGTACAGTACCTATTCATTAGAAGACACACTGGTACAGTACCTGGTCATTAGAAGAGACACTGGTACAGTACCTGGTCATTAGAAGACACACTGGTACAGTACCTTGTCATTAGAAAAGACACACTGGTACAGTACCTGGTGATTAGAAGAGACACTGGTACAGTACCTGGTCATTAGAAGAGACACTGGTACAGTACCTGGTCATTAGAAGACACACTGGTACAGTACCATGTCATTAGAAGACACACTGGTACAGTACCTGGTCATTAGAAGAGACACACTGGTACAGTACCTGGTCATTAGAAGACACACTGGTACAGTACCTGGTCATTAGAAGAGACACACTGGTACAGTACCTGGTCATTGGAAGAGACACACTGGTACAGTACCTGGTCATTAGAAGAGACACACTGGTACAGTACCCGGTCATTAGAAGAGACACACTGGTACAGTACCTGGTCATTTGACACTGGTACAGTACCTGGTCATTAGAAGAGACACACTGGTACAGTACCTGGTCATTAGAAGAGACACACTGGTACAATACCTGGTCATTAGAAGAGACACACTGGTACAGTACCTGGTCATTAGAAGAGACACACTGGTACAGTACCTGGTCCTTAGAAGAGACACTGGTACAGTACCTGGTCATTAGAAGAGACACACTAGTACAGTACCTGGTCATTAGAAGACACACTGGTACAGTACCATGTCATTAGAAGAGACACACTGGTACAGTACCTGGTCGTTAGAAGAGACACACTGGTACAGTACCTGGTCCTTAGAAGAGACACACTGGTACAGTACCTTGTTATTAGAAGAGACACACTGGTACAGTACCTGGTCATTAGAAGAGACACACTGGTACAGTACCTGGTCATTAGAAGAGACACACTGGTACAGTACCTGGTCATTAGAAGAGACACACTGGTACAGTACCTGGTCATTTGACACTGGTACAGTACCTGGTCATTAGAAGAGACACACTGGTACAGTACCTGGTCATTAGAAGAGACACTGGTACAGTACCTGGTCATTAGAAGAGACACACTGGTACAGTACCTGGTCATTAGAAGAGACACTGGTACAGTACCTGGTCATTAGAAGAGACACTGGTACAGTACCTGGTCATTAGAAGAGACACACTGGTACAGTACCTGGTAATTAGAAGAGACACACTGGTACAGTACCTGGTCATTAGAAGAGACACACTGGTACAGTACCTGGTCATTAGAAGAGACACTGGTACAGTACCTGGTCATTAGACACTGGTACAGTACCTGGTCATTAGAAGAGACACACTGGTACAGTACCTGGTCATTAGAAGAGACACTGGTACAGTACCTGGTCATTAGAAGAGACACACTGGTACAGTACCTGGTCATTAGAAGAGACACTGGTACAGTACCTGGTCATTAGTAGAGACACACTGGTACAGTACCTGGTCATTAGAAGAGACACACTGGTACAGTACCTGGTAATTAGAAGAGACACACTGGTACAGTACCTGGTCATTAGAAGAGACACACTGGTACAGTACCTGGTCATTAGAAGAGACACTGGTACAGTACCTGGTCATTAGAAGAGACACTGGTACAGTACCTGGTCATTAGAAGAACACTGGTACAGTACCTGGTCATTAGAAGAGACACACTGGTACAGTACCTGGTCATTAGAAGAGACACACTGGTACAGTACCTGGTCATTAAAAGAGACACACTGGTACAGTACCTGGTCATTAGAAGAGACACACTGGTACAGTACCTGGTCATTAGAAGAGACACACTGGTACAGTACCTGGTCATTAGAAGAGACACACTGGTACAGTACCTGGTCATTAAAAGAGACACACTGGTACAGTACCTGGTCATTAGAAGAGACACACTGGTACAGTACCTGGTCATTAGAAGAGACACACTGGTACAGTACCTGGTCATTAGAAGAGACACACTGGTACAGTACCTGGTCATTAGAAGAGACACACTGGTACAGCACCTGGTCATTAGAAGAGACACACTGGTACAGTACCTGGTCCTTAGAAGAGACACTGGTACAGTACCTGGTCATTAGAAGAGACACACTGCTACAGTACCTGGTCATTAGAAGACACACTGGTACAGTACCTGGTCATTAGAAGAGACACACTGGTACAGTACCTGGTCATTAGAAGAGACACACTGGTACAGTACCTGGTCATTAGAAGAGACACACTGGTACAGTACCTGGTCGTTAGAAGAGACACACTGGTACAGTACCTGGTCATTAGAAGAGACACACTGGTACAATACCTGGTCATTAGAAGAGACACACTGGTACAGCACCTGGTCATTAGAAGAGACACACTGGTACAGTACCTGGTCCTTAGAAGAGACACTGGTACAGTACCTGGTCATTAGAAGAGACACACTGCTACAGTACCTGGTCATTAGAAGACACACTGGTACAGTACCTGGTCATTAGAAGAGACACACTGGTACAGTACCTGGTCATTAGAAGAGACACACTGGTACAGTACCTGGTCATTAGAAGAGACACACTGGTACAGTACCTGGTCATTAGAAGAGACACACTGGTACAATACCTGGTCATTAGAAGAGACACACTGGTACAGTACCTGGTCATTAGAAGAGACACACTGGTACAGTACCTGGTCCTTAGAAGAGACACTGGTACAGTACCTGGTCATTAGAAGAGACACACTGGTACAGTACCTGTTCATTAGAAGAGACACACTGGTACAGTACCTGGTCGTTAGAAGAGACACACTGGTACAGCACCTGGTCATTAGAAGAGACACACTGGTACAGTACCTGGTCATTAGAAGAGACACACTGGTACAGTACCTGGTCATTAGAAGAGACACTGGTACAGTACCTGGTCATTAGAAGAGACACATTGGTACAGTACCTATTCATTAGAAGAGACACACTGGTACAGTACCTGGACATTTGACACTGGTACAGTACCTGGTCATTAGAAGACACACTGGTACAGTACCTGGTCATTAGAAGAGACACTGGTACAGTACCTGGTGATTAGAAGAGACACTGGTACAGTACCTGGTCATTAGAAGAGACACTGGTACAGTACCTGGTCATTAGAAGACACACTGGTACAGTACCTGGTCATTAGAAGAGACACACTGGTACAGTACCTGGTAATTAGAAGAGACACACTGGTACAGTACCTGGTCATTAGAAGAGACACTGGTACAGTACCTGGTCATTAGAAGAGACACTGGTACAGTACCTGGTCATTAGAAGAGACACTGGTACAGTACCTGGTCATTAGAAGAAACACTGGTACAGTACCTGGTCATTAGAAGAGACACACTGGTACAGTACCTGGTCATTAGTAGAGACACACTGGTACAGTACCTGGTCATTAGAAGAGACACACTGGTACAGTACCTGGTCATTAGAAGAGACACACTGGTACAGTACCTGGTCATTAGAAGAGACACACTGGTACAGTACCTGGTCATTAGAAGAGACACACTGGTACAGTACCTGGTCATTAGAAGAGACACTGGTACAGTACCTGGTCATTAGAAGAGACACATTGGTACAGTACCTATTCATTAGAAGACACACTGGTACAGTACCTGGTCATTAGAAGACACACTGGTACAGTACCTGGTCATTAGAAGACACACTGGTACAGTACCTTGTCATTAGAAAAGACACACTGGTACAGTACCTGGTGATTAGAAGAGACACTGGTACAGTACCTGGTCATTAGAAGAGACACTGGTACAGTACCTGGTCATTAGAAGACACACTGGTACAGTACCATGTCATTAGAAGACACACTGGTACAGTACCTGGTCATTAGAAGAGACACACTGGTACAGTACCTGGTCATTAGAAGACACACTGGTACAGTACCTGGTCATTAGAAGAGACACACTGGTACAGTACCTGGTCATTGGAAGAGACACACTGGTACAGTACCTGGTCATTAGAAGAGACACACTGGTACAGTACCCGGTCATTAGAAGAGACACACTGGTACAGTACCTGGTCATTTGACACTGGTACAGTACCTGGTCATTAGAAGAGACACACTGGTACAGTACCTGGTCATTAGAAGAGACACACTGGTACAATACCTGGTCATTAGAAGAGACACACTGGTACAGTACCTGGTCATTAGAAGAGACACACTGGTACAGTACCTGGTCCTTAGAAGAGACACACTGGTACAGTACCTGGTCATTAGAAGAGACACACTGGTACAGTACATGGTCATTAGAAGAGACACACTGGTACAGTACCTGGTCATTAAAAGAGACACACTGGTACAGTACCTGGTCATTAGAAGAGACACACTGGTACAGTACCTGGTCATTAGAAGAGACACACTGGTACAGTACCTGGTCATTAGAAGAGACACACTGGTACAGTACCTGGTCATTAAAAGAGACACACTGGTACAGTACCTGGTCATTAGAAGAGACACACTGGTACAGTACCTGGTCATTAGAAGAGACACACTGGTACAGTACCTGGTCATTAGAAGAGACACACTGGTACAGTACCTGGTCATTAAAAGAGACACACTGGTACAGTACCTGGTCATTATAAGAGACACACTGGTACAGTACCTGGTCATTAGAAGAGACACACTGGTACAGTACCTGGTCATTAGAAGAGACACACTGGTACAGTACCTGGTCATTAGAAGAGACACACTGGCACAGTACCTGGTCATTAGAAGAGACACACTGGTACAGTACCTGGTCATTAGAAGACACACTGGTACAGTACCTGATCATTAGAAGAGACACACTGGTACAGTACCTGGTCATTAGAAGAGACACACTGGTACAGTACCTGGTCATTAGAAGAGACACACTGGTACAGTACCTGGTCATTAGAAGAGACACACTGGTACAGTACCCGGTCATTAGAAGAGACACACTGGTACAGTACCTGGTCATTTGACACTGGTACAGTACCTGGTCATTAGAAGAGACACACTGGTACAGTACCTGGCCATTAGAAGAGACACTGGTACAGTACCTGGTCATTAGAAGAGACACACTGGTACAGTACCTGGTCATTAGAAGAGACACTTATATGTGACATCCTCCCCACCATCTCCACCCAGCTGGTCCCTACAGCTGAGTTCAGATCCCAGAACATACCATCACCACTTGTCCCTTTACGAAACCACACCTGAAAAAAATGTTTACAATAATAATTCAAATTTAAATCATAAAATAAAGTATCTAGGCCTACTTATTGTTAGCACACATTAATCCATACATAATGAATACATTACAATCAACACACCTGGTTTACAATTTAAAAAAATACCTACCCAACACCTGGGGCAGAACCACTATATTGCCAGACCCTGCAATGTGAGGGGGCCCAGGCTGCATGCATAGGGTTGGGGGGGGGGGGGGCTGGGGGGGAGGGGCGGACCAAGCCACTTAGGGGTCCAAAATCTGACATGCCTGGGTTACACTACAATCAACATACCTGATCTACACTACAATCAACATACCTGATCTACACTACAATCAACATACCTGATCTACACTACAATCAACATACCTGATCTACACTACAATCAACATACCTGATCTACACTACAATCAACATACCTGATCTACACTACAATCAACATACCTGATCTACACTACAATCAACATACCTGATCTACACTACAATCAACATACCTGATCTACACTACAATCAACATACCTGATCTACACTACAATCAACATACCTGATCTATACTACAATCAACATACCTGATCTACACTACAATCAACATACCTGATCTACACTACAATCAACATACCTGATCTACACTACAATCAACATACCTGATCTACACTACAATCAACATACCTGATCTATACTACAATCAACATACCTGATCTACACTACAATCAACATACCTGATCTACACTACAATCAACATACCTGATCTACACTACAATCAACATACCTGATCTATACTACAATCAACATACCTGATCTACACTACAATCAACATACCTGATCTACACTACAATAAACACACCTGATCTACACTACAATCAACATACCTGATCTACACTACAATCAACATACCTGATCTACACTACAATCAACATACCTGATCTACACTACAATCAACATACCTGATCTATACTACAATCAACATACCTGATCTACACTACAATCAACATACCTGGCCATAAATCAACATACCTGATCTACACTACAATCAACATACCTGATCTACACTACAATCAACATACCTGATCTACACTACAATCAACTTACCTGTCCCTCCCTGCTCAGTGCCCAGACTGCATGTCGCCCCACAGCTACCTGTGCAAGTCTGGTTTTCTCATCAGGATACTCAACCATCATCCAACTGGATCCTGGGGAGATGTCAGTGCTCAGCATACTGGTGTTTAGTCATCACAAAGTTGCAACACAAAAGAAGGATTGTGCAAAAAGAAGAAAAAACTGCAGAAAAGAAAGATTCCACAAAAGGATAAAGAAAGGTAAAATAGAAAAGCCAGCAGAGAGACTAGCATCTACAGTACCATAAACATTGTTCCTGTTAACATCAGATCTGACAAGTCCGTGGCCATCCCATGTGATAGCCCACACTAGATTGGTGGCCCCCACAGAGATATTGATGATGCCGTTGTGGTCTGCCAGCTCAAGTTCCCTCCAACTGCTGCCTTCAGGGTTCTCAGAGCTCACATTGGTACGGACAAATACCTGGGGAAACAGGTGGGAGGCTATCATCTGATGGACTCACAGGGGAGGGGTAAGTTGTCTGATGGACGTGCAGGGGAGGTAATTGTCTAATGGACGCACAGGGGAGGTAATTGTCTAATGGACTCACAGGGGAGGTAATTGTCAGATGGAGTCACAGGGGAGGTAATTGTCTGATGGGCTCACAGGGGAGGTAATTGTCTGATGGGCTCACAGGGGAGGTAATTGTCTAATGGACTCACAGGGGGGTTAATGAAGAGTGATAGAAAGCAGTCAATCTATTACCATATACTCACATGTCCATTACCATATACTCACATGTCTATTACCATATACACACATGTCCATTACCATATACTCACATGTCCATTACCATATACTCACATGTCCATTACCATATACTCACATGTCCATTACCATATACTCACATGTCCATTACCATATACTCACATGTCTATTACCATATACACACATGTCCATTACCATATACTCACATGTCCATTACCATATACTCACATGTCCATTATTAGTGATGGCCCAGACTGAGAGAAAGCCCTGAGGCTGTGAGGGAAGCAGAAAGCCACCAAGGCTGATGTCAATAAAACATTCTGTTTTTTCTACCACCTCCATGTCGGAGATCTGGAACACATTAGGGTAAACCCTTACTGTCTCATGGAAAACCCTGTCATAACTGTCTCATGGAAAACCCTGTCTTAACTGTCTCATGGAAAACCCTGTCATAACTGTCTCATGGAAAACCCTGTCATAACTGTCTCATGGTAAACCCTGTCATAACTGTCTCATGGTAAACCCTGTCATAACTGTCTCATGGAAAACCCTGTCATAACTGTCTCATGGAAAACCCTGTCTTAACTGTCTCATGGCTTGGGGAAAAAACAAACACAAACATTTACAAAACCCCATACAGACATCGTAAACCCCTTACAGACATACAAAACCCCACAAAGATATATAAAAACTTACACAAACATAGAAAACCTGATACAGTGATAAACTTTTGTATACATTTCATAGCGTACATCTTGATAAGCAGATTTAAATCAAATTTGAAAGAAATAGTTCATTTCTTTATATTCTAAAATTGAAAGATGACGCAATTAGTTTTGTTTACTTTCTTAAACATTAAAAATGTGTTTCCATTCGAATATGCCTTTATTTTTTATTTTCCTTCTATAAATAAAATTTAGTTTATACATTTAAAACATCCAAAATATTATTTTCAACAAAAGTCAGTATCTTTAAGTTCTCCATATATCAGTGAACATACTGATCAAATAGTCTAAAAAATGTTGCGGACAGAGAGAGAGAGAAGTGCGCACATGGGCTTTTATATATAAGGATGACTTTACTTAAGATACTTTTGATCTATTGGGTAATTTAAAAACATGACTTCACTAAGATACTGCTGATCTGTTGGGTAATTCAAAAATATGAACTTAAATCAGAAAATGTTTGGTGGGGTAATTAAAAAAAAAAACCTGACGACTTAATTAGAGAACTATGTTGGCCATGAGATGGAGTTCAGTCATTTCAAATTTTTATTTGCTACTAAACATGTTTACATACCCTTGCCCATTCATCTGTTGATGAGAAGCGACGAAACCTAATCCATTTCCGTTTTCTAACAAAAGAGTTCCAATGTTTATCTGGTGTATATAGACTGGGGAAGTCGACAGCATACTGCCAGCCCTGTTGGTCAGATTACATATTTGGACACATTAGTGTATATAGACTGGGGAAGTCGACTGCATACTGCCAGCCCTGTTGGTCAGATTACATATTTGGACACATTAGTGTATATAGACTGGGGAAGTCGACTGCATACTGCCAGCCCTGTTGGTCAGATTACATATTTGGACACATTAGTGTATATAGACTGGGGAAGTCGACTGCATACTGCCAGCCCTGTAGATCAGATTACATATTTGGACACATTAGTGTATATAGACTGGGGAAGTCGACTGCATACTGCCAGCCCTGGTGGTCAGATTACATATTTGGACACATTAGTGTATATAGACTGGGGAAGTCGACAGCATACTGCCAGCCCTGTTGGTCAGATTACATATTTGGACACATCCATTTTGACAGTTAAAGTCTACATGACAGAAAGATCAGGCACAAAAATCTCATTTTAACATTCAATATTTTAATTTTAACAGCAGGAACACAAATCTGTGTTTACTAATACAGTTTTCTTCACTTGAGTTCTTTATTTTGTACATGGTTCAATTCTAGATAATTTCAGGGAAAGCAAATTAGGAATTATTTAAAGTAACCTTAGTATTTAAATAAACTAGAATGGCTAAAGCAACTAGAATGGCTAAAGCAACTAGAATGCCTAAAGCAACTAGAATGGCTAAAGCAACTAGAATGGCTAAAGCAACTAGAAAGCCTAAAGCAACTAGAATGGCTAAAGCAACTAGAATGCCTAAAGCAACTAGAAAGCCTAAAGCAACTAGAATGGCTAAAGCAACTAGAATGGCTAAAGCAACTAGAAAGCCTAAAGCAACTAGAAAGCCTAAAGCAACTAGAATGGCTAAAGCAACTAGAATGGCTAAAGCAACTAGAATGCCTACCTCTATTCCTACAACATCTCCACGCAGGTTGTCATCAATGAACCAGTCCCCATCCCAGACCCAATGAGCAGATGGTAGTCTAACACTTTCTTTTGGCCTTTCCTCCACCCCTTGCTCATCACTCCATGGTGGACGATCAGTCGGTAGCAAACTTTTTTTTGAGTAAGCTGCTGTAAATATGCTCCAGCGCTAAAAGTAAACATCACAAGAGATAAAAATCAGTGCATAGTATAGAAGGAAGGATTTGATCGAGTACATTTTTTTATTTTACATTTAACACATTTTTAAAAATCTGTTTACATTCTCCTGAATGTGAAATTACTAATTATGAACCCAAACTTACACTTAACATACCCCTAACTTACAATTAGCATACGTCCTAGCACAAATAACACAAAAAAAAACCAAACCTGGTTTTCATATGTGGTTTCAGCAACCCGTATGGGCACATCAGAAGATAAAACATAAGTGTACACCCTGTGGTCATGGCCGATGGCCCAAGCACACCAGTGGCTCGCTGAAAGCCGTTTGACTGTCACAGAGTTCCCCCAGGTGTTCTCAAGTTGTTGGAACGTCCTCTTGTTAGTGCTAAGTGTGAAAGCCACTCCTGCATGATTCACTAGCCACAAGTAGGACTCAGGCATTTTGAGGGATTGTGACCAACCACATCAGCAGCCTGTCTATGTTCACCAACCACATCAGCAACACATAGCCTAAAGATCTAGGCCTGTATGATACTATGTATGAAAAAATTATTGGGAAAACCTCTATTAAAAAAAAAAAAATACAAATTAAGTATTACGCATAATTAAGTTAAAACTTCATAACTTTCTGTTTAACTAAAACTTAAAAATATTAAGTTAAAAACATCTTTGTTCCTGGCTATATAAATATTTGACTGTGCTCAAATGGATTTGTACAGCAAAATGCATATTTGATCTTCGACGTTGATATTTTTCTTAACCCTACATTATTAGACTATTAGAAGACTATTTCCAGGCCTCAAATTATAATTTTAAAAATATATATTAGGCCTGTGCTAATTACTAATTAACTAATAATTAACCCTAATTAATGATTATTTTTATTACTGGAGTCTTAGTATAAAATAGTTTACTATTATAGGGCTAACTATAGTCAATAGTCACATACTGTGACTATAACTATACACTAGGCCAAAATTTAGTAAATTATTACTATGGCACTATCTATAAAAAAATGACTAGATCTACTATCATATTTCATTATCTATCTCATACTTTTTAGGTTTAAGCCTAGATCTAGTAGTTAGTAGTAGTAGTATCAGTATATCATCATTAGTTTAGGTAATCCAGGGGTCTCCAAACTTTTCAGTCCGAGGGCCGCATCAACTATCAAATTTCAGTTCGGGGGCCAGTTTCTTCCAGGCATGTCTACGATTTTTCTGGGCAAACTTCCTCAGCCATCACCAACAAACGATTTTTCCTTGGACAAAAAGATCTACGCGGGCCGGATGAGAGGACTTCGCGGGCCGCATCTGGCCCGCTGGCCGTAGTTTGGAGACCCCTGAGGTAATCTATCGTTTTAGGTACGTAAAATTGGCCAAGACTAGTATTGTGAAAAAAAGGTGACTCATTAAATTTTTTTAACTTTTTCACATTTAGGAGGATTTATGTTTTGAAAGTTACAAAATTGTTTCAAAGTTTCATTAACGTACCTATCTTAAGCAATTGTATTAAAACTTTTCAGTAAAAAATAAAAACTAGCGATGTTTTCATCATTTGTGTGTTTCAGTTGTGTTTATAATAATAATATAATAAAATAAGCTCAACGGGAGGTGAATGTGAAGCGAGGAATAAAATACACTAAAATGGAGTTTTACCATTAAATTTAATATTGTTTTAATTAGGCCTATTAATTATCATAATAGGCCTACTATTATTCTATTAGTTAGGCCATAATAAAAAAAATGATAATATAAAAATAATAAAATATCAGGCCTAATAAATTTAATAAATAAATTATTAATTATTAGGCCCAATTGGCAATTAGGCCCTCTTTTTAGTACAACCTACACTACACTTAACTACACTAATAATTAATTAATTAATACGGCCTAATCCTAATTAATTAATATATAATATATATTATCTAGTAATATCTAGTTATTATCTAGCTAGTTTCTTCGGTAATCTATCGTTTTAGGTACGTAAAATCGCCCGCGACTAGTAATGTGAAAAACAGGTGACTCCGTACATTTTAATAATTATTTCACATTTTGAGGAGGATTTATGTTTTGAAAAATACAAAAATGTTTTCTTGTTTCATTTATGTACCTGTTTTTAAACAATTGAATAAAAACTTTTCAGTAATACATGAACACCTGCGATGTTTCCAACAGATGCAACCATGCTCATTTACTATAGCAGCCATCTTGTTAAAGTTTTATTTTTATAGACTTATAGCGCAAGATTCAGGCGGAAGTCACTCTATTTTACAAATAGCTGCTGTTTATATAGCAAATCTTGCTTGCAGACACTGCTGTTTAAAGTTAATTTCTGGCCTATATTGATATATTTAGCCATTGATTTAGGTTTATTATTCATTTATCTATAATATTTAATACAAACATATCACAATATACTTCTATTACAGCCTTGACATGGGGTCGGCGTGGTCGAGTCGGTAAAGCTCATGTTTGCTAAACCGAAAAGTCTCAAGTTCGAACCCTCGGGCAGATGAGGCTCGTTAGCTGGGGACAGCCACTCTTCTAGGAGAGACAACTCCAAAATCAAACAACTGCTGCCTTGTAGTTTGTTCTTGGTTGAACAAAGGCTATGGAAGCAAATCCAACAAGAAAAGCAGGCTGAAATCGGAGTCAATGGCCTCAATGGCGCATAACCAGTTGACACGTAACGCTTAATTGTGTTGGAGGCGTGGTCGAGTCGGCAAAAAAGCTCATGGTTGATAAAAAATTCGAACAAAAAGTCTCGAGTTCAAAACCCACTGGCAGATAAATCTCGATCCCTTCAACACAAAAAATTAAGAACGAAGAAGAAGAAAAGAAGACAGCCTTGACAATGAGGTAACGTTTTCGGTAATCTATCGTTTTAGGTACGTAAAATCGGCCGCGACTAGTAATGTGAAAAACAGGTGACTCCTTACATTTTAATAATTATTTCACATTTTGATGAGGATTTATGTTTTGAAAAATACAAAAATGTTTCATTTATGTACCTGTTTTTAAACAATTGAATTAAAACTTTTCAGTAATAAATGAACACCAGCGATGTTTCCAACAGATGCAACCACGCTCATTTACTATAGCAGCCATCTTGTTTAAGTTTTATTTTTATAGACATATAAGATCTAGCGCGAGATTCAGGCGGAAGTCACTCTATTTTACAAATGGCTGCTGTTTATATAGCAAATCTTGCTTGCAGACACAGCTGTTTAAAGTTAATTTCTGGCCTATATTGATATATTTAGCCATTGATTTAGGTTTATTATTCATTTATCTATAATATTTGGCACAAACATATCACAATATACTTCTATTACAGCCTTGACAATGAGGTAACGTTTTCGTACATTAATAGCCGCGGGCGATTTTACGTACCCAAAACGATAGATTACCACGTTTTCGGTTAATTGCTTATACCAGTCTCCGGGATTTGACTACATCCGGCATCGGCCAATGAAATACGCGCTTTCTAAACGTTTTGGTAAGGCGTGACGTCATCAGCGCGGTGTGTCAAAACAGCGGTTTTGAAGCCTAAATTTAATTTATAGTTCAAATCGCAACGCGTTTTTTCAAAATGAGGGAAAAATGACCCTTTTTAAAAATGGAGATAGTCGTTTTTTTCAATGATGACGCCACAAAATCTCAAAATATTGCCGTCCGAAAAAGCAATCATTGTTAAATATTTGCCTTTTCGTGCATTAATATTTTGTCAAGTCTACCAAAACGCTTATAAAGTGCGTGTTTCATCGGCCGATGCCGAAAGTATGTAAATAATACAAAGAAAACAGACAATAAATTTATTTTGATCATATTTTATTGCGTATTGTAGTAAAGCAAGCAAACAAAGTTGTCAACAGCACACCGCAGAGAGTTGCGCGGCACGTGTTCCAAATTAGGTCAAAGCACGGATCTAGGCTAGCCCGCGCAGCTAAATGCCAAAATATAATTTCTTAACGTAAAGCCACAAAGCAACGTTAACTTTATAGACACGGGTGTTAAATGCTGTCCCTGCAGGGTTTTAAATTTGCATTATCTAGAACGTGGGGATATTGGTATGTAATTAATTTTAAACTGTAACCGATCGATGGCAAAGTGGTCAAGGCGGGAAAATGAGGTCACGTGATGTCTCAAAAGTTCAGATGGACACCCGGCATCTAAATCTAGTATTTCGATGAAAAGCGGCTTAGCGGCTGAATTTATTGATTAAACGCTTTGATGGAGGTATAGATAATAGATAATTAATAATAAAAAGAAAAAAAATATCCTACTTACAAAATACGACATCATATCCATGCAGAAAAAATTATTCCAACGCCATTTATGAATATTAATTAGATCTGCAATTTTATCACCACATGACCCTCGAAGGCTCAGACGTGTAGGTCTAGGGCTCTAGGTGTAACACACATTCGGCCCGGGATGTTAATAGTAATAATATATTTTATTGGTTTGGGGCCTATGCCTAATTAGTTGGCCCTGACATAAGGATAACCTATTTAAAATATTATTTGTAAATGAAAGTGGGTAAGGGTTAAGAAAATGTGAACACATTTTGTTTTATGTATGGCTATACGTTTAACAAGAAACATGTTTGAAAAGGAGGGCATTTATTTTAAAAATTTGATGAGTGCTGTGTGCTTTTTATTCTCACCTACTTAAAGTGACGTAAGCAAATTTGCATATGGCCTTGACCTTGTACTGCTTTGTAAAGATTCTCAAGCACCAAAAAAGGCCTGATTTATGTTATTAATACGAAAAAAGAAAATACATGGACATATTTATAACCACGATTATCTACGCGGTCAAACGATTTTTGTTACATTTTATTGGGATTGGAATTTAATAATTAATATACACGCAGTGGTCATGGAAAGTTTAAAAGATGTCACTTTTTTGACGAAGTTTACCTCCTCCTCCCCACAGTTTACAATAAAAATTGCGACCCCCCACCCCCCGTCTCTGAAATGTGACGATGTTTATGGACGATTCCTATGTCCCACGTAGAAGGGGGGGGGGGGGGAAATTAGTAAAATATATGTATGTTCTATAAAGTATTATAGATCGTTGTCTATTATGTTCGGGTCGGGGAGGGTGGTAGGCTGTTTAAAAAATAATACTGTTTAAGAATATCTCAGACCTGGCCACGCTTGGTGAGGGGGGGAGGGGGTGTATCCACCCCCCCCCCCCACAAAGTACAGAATAAAAATTAAATGTTGACCTATGTAAATAATCTATTTTAAGTATTCTTCATCTTCCATAGAAAAAAATGTCTGAAATAAATCCTAATTCAGATATGCATGTTTGCCAGAATACACATATCCACTCCTCTTACGGTGACTTACCCCAGCCACAACACAATTGGGTATTTTAAGGAATGTTTATAATTATAATTTTGGGTACTTGTATAATTAATTTAAAAATTAATCAAACTATTCAACTATAAAAACAATCAAATTAATTAGGTTAATCATTTGATTAACATAATCATAATTAATTAATTTGGTCATGATAATATTTAAGTTCAAGAAGCCTTTTCAAGACAAAAAAAACTTTAAAAAAAAAACACACCTTATAAACGAACCCACAAGTGCATTAACGAAGTAATTAGCATAATTAACATATTGTAATTAAGCTAATTAATTAATTAGCACTAATGATAATGAAGGGAGATAGTTTTTTTTTGTTATGGCACCTCTCCAAATCCTATTATTTTCATAATCACTATGCAAAGAGTATTTATGTTACAAAAACTACACATCTCTGTTGTCTCGGTGCCTAGCGCGACCTATTTAGGCCACAGTGAGTTTGTTGACGTTTTATTTTTAGACTTCACGGTACAACGCAGACCATTGGCCGGAAGAATATATTGTCAGACACTGGTATAAGCAATCATCGTTTTTTCGAATTTGCCTATTCAAAACGGAACATAGATCTATTTATTATTATTATTTATCACCGGGCAGTGACTGCAGTTTTAGATTGTCAACAATCTCATGTGATTTACAATAACATACCTTGCCTAAACTTCCGAGAAAATGAGCGCACTGCTATTATTACCACAATGTCATCCTCATGGTCCTTAGAAATATATTTATTTTTAAACACTTGTTTTTAATAAAACAAATATTAATTTTAAAAACAGTAATAATAATTACCTTTTTAATGTACTGAAAATAAGAAAAAAAAAGGTGTTTTCTCTAGCAAAACTAGTGATCACTCATCAAATCTCTATCACATTGATTTTAGCGACCAAAAATAAAACGCTCGACCTTAATGAATTATAGGCCTATTAAAAAAACAAAAAAAAAAACCTCTATACCTTATAATAATAAGCATTAAAATGCACTGAAAATTAAGTAAAACAAACGTGCTTTCTTTAATTAAAACATGAGATCTCAAGAACCAGTGTTTCTTCCAGACTTTTTTCGGGGGGGGGGGGGGCGGACACTGTTAAAAGTATATATTTCTATACAGGGGCGTAGCGAGGGGGGGCGGGGGGTGCGGACCGCACCGGGTGACACCATTTAGGGGGATGACACCAAGGCAAAAAATAGCAAAATATATAGAGAAAAACTCGAGGGGGGTGCAAATCGAAAGTTTGAGGGGGGGGGTGCAAATCGAAAATTTGAAAGTTTGTCCCTGGGAAGGGTCTCTATGCCTCTAGGGGGGGGGGGGTGACACCCGACCTCGCTACGCCACTGTTTCTATATAAATTTCATTTCATTCGGGGGGGGGGGCTATAGCCCCCCCCCCCCCCCCCCTGGAGGGATGCCTGGAAGAAACTCTGTATAGAACGACCAAAGCTTGCATTAAAGAAAGCTAACTACTTTTATTACAAACTTTACTTTTATTTAACTTGCTTCCCCTGTCTGTCGGGCTTTTGTCGTTATAGATCGAAACTGGCGAGCGAAATTTTGGGCACGCATTATCATGTTCATGTAGAGTTGTGTTTGTGGTTCACGTAGGTCTAATGCTGTGTTTTACGTAGGCCTAATGTTGAGTTGTGTTTGTGATTCACGTAGGCCTAATGTTGAGTTGTGTTTGTGATTCACGTAGGCCTAGTGTTGAGTTGTGTTAGTGGTTCACCTAGGTCTAATGTTGTGTTTTACGTAGGCCTAATGTTGAGTTGTGTTTGTGATTCACGTAGGCCTAATGTTGAGTTGTGTTTGTGATTCACGTAGGTCTAATGTTGTGTTTTACGTAGGCCTAGTGTTGCGTTGTTTGTGATTTACGTAAGCCTAGTGTTGAGTTGTGTTATACTAAATCAAACTATTTAAATATTGTTTTAACGCAAAATTGAAGGTTGAATTATAACAACATAACATTATGCAATCAGAATCAACAAAAAAATTCATAAAAAACGTTTTAATAACAAGCTTTTATGTAATGATGCACTAAAAAGTAGAAAATAAATTATAGACTACTATTTAAATAACTATAAAGAAAAGCGTGGGTCACTTTAGTATCTATCGGATACCTTTACTAATGTTAAGGAAGACACCCACGCTTTTCTTTATAGTTATTTAAATAGTAGTCTATAATTTATTTTCTACTTTTTAGTGCATCATTACATAAAAGCTTGTTATTAAAACGTTTTTTATGAATTTTTTTTCAGTACTTTACATGTTTTATCTACAATAGAGTTACATGACTAAAAACCATTGCGCGCCTACTGAATATCACGTTCAGTAGGCGCGCAATAGTTTTTGAACGCAGCCATTACGTGGTCGTGATGGCGCAGCTATTGATGACGCGTGTGGTGTGGTTGACTAGACATGCCTACTAATTCGGTCCAAATTTTAATTAATTCATAAAAAATCAATTAGGCATCCAATTAAGTCAAATTTAGTTTCAGATTGCATTGTCTTCATGTCTTGACCCACGTGCCAACTGTGAATCGTGTCGGTCAAGTAGAACTGTCCAAATTTTCACTCCTGCGTTTCCGTCAAGACAGACTGACGACAGACTGACGACAGACTGTCGAGGAAGTGAGTTAAATAAAAGCTTGTAAAAATTTACTAACTTACTAATTCGATCTATTAATCAGAGTTTCTTTTAGGCATCTTTTCATGGGGAGGGGCGCTTAGCACGAACGAAATGGAATTTATATAGAAAATAAAATATATACTTTTATTTTAACAGTGCTCGCCCCTCCCCCCCCCCCCCCCCCCCGGAGAAAAAAGTCTGGAAGAAACACTGCTATTAATCTACACTTATATGCCCCCACCTACACCCAACCCCACCCATCATTAAGATCAAAAATTGGAAAAGGAAAATGAGTCTGTCCCATGCTATGATGTATCGGGAATGTCTGCAATAAACAACACGCAATGTTCACAACAGAATACTAATGCCAGAGCGTAGATACAGCGTGCTGGGCTGATAAATCAATGAATGAAAACATGCGCATGCGCTACTTTGCGCTGTGAGCGAGTCAACGCTGCGAGACTGGGCTGTCAGCCAATCAAATACATGGGATTGCCCGAAGACGGCAAAAGAAGGGATGGTTGGGGGGGGGGGGGGGTGTTGAGTGAATTTTTCTCCCCACTAGTTATTTCCTAAGTTGGTTCGAGAGAGGCGGTCTATGGTTTCAGACTTTGTTCGTGTCCGTGGCAGTTGAGCGTTCTCATAGGATTCTCGGTGTATTCTGGATAACGCTGCGTTTATTTTTTCCGTTGAAGGATTACTTCTATCTCGGCTTGTGATCCTCTACCATGAGCAACTGTGTGAACGGAAGCAATGGGGTCTGCAGGTCGGAGCTCCAGTGGAAGGTCGGCCTGATCAACAGCTCCGGCAAATATCTGACGGCCGAGTCTTTCGGCTTCAAGATCAACGTGTCTGGGACGTCCCTCAAGAAGAAGCAGACGTTTGTCCTGGAGCAGGACCCACAAGACGAGGTCCTCTACATCAAGAGCCACACGGGCAGGTATATGTCCTCTGACAAGTACGGTAACGTGAGCTGCGAGGCCGAGGACCGGGAGCAGACGGAGAAGTTTACAGTCGAGTACGACAAGAACGGCTCGGGACGCTGGGCCTTTAGAAATGTGGCTCACGGCAACTTTCTGGGCGGACACGAGGACAACTTGAAGTGTTTCGCCAAGTCTGTGACGGAGAGCGAGCTGTGGGTGGTGCAGCTCTCAATCCACCCCCAGGTGAACCTGAGGAACGTCAACAGGAAGCGGTACGCCCAGCTGAAGGACGAAGAGCTGCAGGTGACCGAGGTCATCCCCTGGGGCAAGGAGGCGCTCATCATCCTACACTTTGACAACGGGAAGTACGCCCTCAAAACCTACGACAACCGTTTCCTCAACCGGGATGGAACCCTGGTCTCCGAGCTGACGGACGAGAGCCGTTACACTCTGGAGATGCGGAGCGGCGCCAACAGCGGGCTGGCCTTTAAGGACAGGACCGGCACCTACCTGACGGCCGTGGGCGCCACGGCCACCATGAAGGGCCGCAACAAGACGGTCAGCAAAGACGAGCTCTTCACGCTAGAAGACTCCTGTCCACAGGTCGTCTTGACCTCGCTAGGCAACAACAAGAAAGTGTCCATCAGGCAAGGTAGGCAACCGCTGTTTTAATATTGTCCTGTTGTGGAGGGGGGGGTCCATTAGGCGAAGAAGGCAGATGAATTCATCTCTGTGATACGTTGTTGATAAAAACTGGCATAATCAGCAGCCGCTATAAACACTTAAGTTGTGAAATTAACAGTATACCCCTCCCCTCTACTTGCATTGTTTTCTTGTTGCCTGAAGGGCTGAGAACACAAACATTTAGCTTGGCGGGTCCTCTCCCCTGTCTCCACAAACACCGAGTCGTGTTGTTTGCCAGAAAGTCGAGCCGCCTGTTTTGTTTGATCTCGTTACAACATGGACGCAGCGCCCGACTGTCAGTTCAAACCGTGACAAACACCACGACACCCGCTAAATGGCCTCACACTCACTGCCAACAGCTCCCACACTCACTGCCAACAGCTCCCACACTCACTGCCAACAGCTCCCACACACACTGCCAACAGCTCCCACACTCACTGCCAACAGCTCCCACACTCACTGCCAACAGCTCCCACACTCACTGCCAACAGCTCCCACACTCACTGCCAACAGCTCCCACACTCACTGCCAACAGCTCCCACACACACTGCCAACAGCTCCCACACTCACTGCCAACAGCTCCCACACTCACTGCCAACAGCTCCCACACTCACTGCCAACAGCTCCCACACTCACTGCCAACAGCTCCCTCACTCACTGCCAACAGCTCCCACACTCACTGCCAACAGCTCCCACACTCACTGCCAACAGCTCCCACACACACTGCCAACAGCTCCCACACTCACTGCCAACAGCTCTCACACTCACTGCCAACAGCTCCCACACTCACTGCCAACAGTTCCCTCACTCACTGCCAACAGTTCCCTCACTCACTGCCAACAGTTCCCACACTCACTGCCAACAGTTCCCTCACTCACTGCCAACAGCTCCCACACTCACTGCCAACAGCTCCCTCACTCACTGCCAACAGTTCCCTCACTCACTGCCAACAGCTCCCACACTCACTGCCAACAGTTCCCACACTCACTGCCAACAGCTCCCACACTCACTGCCAACAGCTCCCACACTCACTGCCAACAGTTCCCACACTCACTGCCAACAGCTCCCACACTCACTGCCAACAGTTCCCACACACACAGCTCCCACACACCGGCCTCTATTGGGTCGTCACGTGACTAGTATTTTTAGCTCTAGCTTAGAACATCTGTTTCCGTTATCCCACATTTTTTACCCTGTCCTTTAACTTCAAGTGTTTTCGCTTCACTTTTATTTCTTCTGTCAAAATTTGGACTTCGAGCGTCCAACTGAAACCACCATTATTGAAGCTCATCTTTTATTATTGATTGACAAGGACTACCCCCCTCCCCATCCCCACCCGAACAAAGAACGGATATTCCCTTCATTAACAAAGGATTTGACTGTGACTCATCCAACCTGTGCCCCTTGCTTCATTTACAATCGTACAATTTTACATTGGGCCGTCCAGTCTCCGCCTACTGGCCGTCCACCCCCTGTTACTAGTCGCACACCTCTGCTTACAACAGTGACTGGCCGACCATGAAGGCCGTCCATCTGATACTTCGGACGGTTCGAGTTGATAACGAGCATACAGCACAGGGGCAAATAGTCGAGAGTTCTCTTTCTTTGTTGTGTCTAGTGAACGCCTCACCCCGCCCGCTAACCCGGGTCACGTCAGTCGCTCGTCACTGCGGTGTGTAGGGTGGGATGGGAAAGGTGGAATGGAATGAGGAAGGTGATAAGAAAAGGTGGGGGGGGGGGGGGGGGGGGGGGTTGAAGGAGTGAGTAGTTTCTGAACGTGAGCATTTTTCAGTATCGTTCATAAGTCTGCAAGTAACATGTGGCTACATGCCTGCAAGTATCACGTGGCTACATGCCTGCAAGTATCACGTGGCTACATGCCTGCAGGTATCACGTGGCTACATGCCTGCAAGTATCACGTGGCTACATGCCTGCAGGTATCACGTGGCTACATGCCTGCAAGTATCACGTGGCTACATGCCTGCAAGTATCACGTGGCTACATGCCTGCAAGTATCACGTGGCTACATGCCTGCAAGTATCACGTGGCTACATGCCTGCAGGTATCACGTGGCTACATGCCTGCAAGTATCACGTGGCTACATGCCCATTGCCTGCAAGTATCACGTGGCTACATGCCCATTGCCTGCAAGTATCACGTGGCTACATGCCCATTGCCTGCAAGTATCACGTGGCTACATGCCCATTGCCTGCAAGTATCACGTGGCTACATGCCTGCAAGTATCACGTGGCTACATGCCTGCAAGTATCACGTGGCTACATGCCTGCAGGTATCACGTGACTACATGCCTGCAAGTATCACGTGACTACATGCCTGCAGGTATCACGTGGCTACATGCCTGCAAGTATCACGTGGCTACATGCCTGCAGGTATCACGTGGCTACATGCCTGCAGGTATCACGTGGCTACATGCCTGCAGGTATCACGTGACTACATGCCTGCAAGTATCACGTGGCTACATGCCTGCAGGTATCACGTGGCTACATGCCTGCAAGTATCACGTGGCTACATGCCTGCAAGTATCACGTGGCTACGTGCCTGCAGGTATCACGTGGCTACGTGCCTGCAGGTATCACGTGGCTACATGCCTGCAGGTATCACGTGGCTACATGCCTGCAGGTATCACGTGGCTACATGCCTGCAGGTATCACGTGGCTACATGCCTGCAGGTATCACGTGGCTACATGCCTGCAAGTATCACGTGGCTACATGCCTGCAAGTATCACGTGGCTACATGCCTGCAAGTATCACGTGGCTACATGCCTGCAAGTATCACGTGGCTACATGCCTGCAAGTATCACGTGGCTACATGCCCATTGCCTGCAAGTATCACGTGGCTACATGCCTGCAGGTATCACGTGGCTACATGCCTGCAGGTATCACGTGGCTACATGCCTGCAGGTATCACGTGGCTACATGCCTGCAGGTATCACGTGGCTACATGCCTGCAAGTATCACGTGGCTACATGTGTAGCCCAGGTGACGTGGCCGTGCTTTCTGTGACATGACCTGACATCCTGATTACTAGGTCACCCTGACATAAATTTGACTGCATCCGAGTGATATATAACATTATCATAATACACACACCTTCCTATAACATTATCATAATACATACATCTTTCTATACCCTTTCTAGATCCCCCCCCCCCATACACACACACCCACACAAACAATTGATTAGGAAAATACCCCCACACCCACATTTTAGACTGTTAGATTATGCTAGTGAGCAATAAACCCAAACCACACATCGCCTAAACCTTGTGTGAGCTGTCGTTAGGTCACCGTGTGTGAGCTGTTGTGTGAGCTGTTGTGTGAGCTGTTGTGTGAGCTGTCGTTAGGTCACCTTGTGTGAGCTGTTGTGTGAGCTGTTGTGTGAGCTGTTGTGTGAGCTGTCGTGTGAGCTGTTGTGTGAGCTGTTGTGTGAGCTGTCGTTAGGTCACCTTGTGTGAGCTGTTGTGTGAGCTGTTGTGTGAGCTGTTGTGTGAGCTGTTGTGTGAGCTGTTGTGTGAGCTGTCGTTAGGTCAGACATTTCAAACTTTATGAACTGTGTTACCTAACTTTTTTTTGAAAAGGTCAGAGGTTAGCTAACATTTAACGCTTGTCAACACTTGGGGGTGGGGTGGGGGGGGGGGCTGTCGTCACCCAGCACCATCCAGCACCACAGTGTGAAAGTGATTTCATTTGAATGGTACCTAGCACAGGGATCCACGGGAGTCAGGGTGATCACGTGATGGTGACTAGATGTCAGGGTGATCACGTGATGGTGACTAGATGTCAGGGGGATCACGTGATGACTAGATGTCAGGGGGATCACGTGATGACTAGATGTCAGGGGGATCACGTGATGACTAGATGTCAGGGGGATCACGTGATGACTAGATGTCAGGGGGATCACGTGATGACTAGATGTCAGGGGGATCACGTGATGACTAGATGTCAGGGGGATCACGTGATGACTAGATGTCAGGGGGATCACTTTACACAGTGAAGTGACTTTAGACCGGGAATCCATTGTATCATTCACGTTTTATCAGTCCAGTCAGATGACCAAAAGTTTAGGTGACCCTAGGTGACCCATGTTTCATCAGTCCAGTCAGATGACCAAAAGTTTAGGTGACCCTAGGTGACCCACGTTTCATCAGTCCAGTTAGATGACCAAAAGTTTAGGTGAGCCTAGGTGACCCATGTTTCATCAGTCCAGTCAGATGACCAAAAGTTTAGGTGACCCTAGGTGACCCATGTTTCATCAGTCCAGTCAGATGACCAAAAGTTTAGGTGAGCCTAGGTGACCCATGTTTCATCAGTCCAGTCAGATGACCAAAAGTTTAGGTGAGCCTAGGTGACCCATGTTTCATCAGTCCAGTCAGATGACCAAAAGTTTAGGTTTACTAGAGGGTTCTGCGAGAAACTGGGTCAGTGGAACGGACTGACGTGTTAAGTACCGACCCTCGTTACGTCATGAAGTGTTGGAAGCTGACTGACCATGTGACAAGCCTGTAGCAGCCTGTAGACGTGAGAGCACTTCACGACTGCTGTGAGTTATTGAGAGCCAGATGTCGATGCGCGATATACGGAATCCTTAAATTACCCCCCCCCCCATCAACTTTAACCTACTATCGCTTATCCAAGCTCCTACCCATCCCCAAGGTGTAAGACAGTATTTATGGACGAACTGCCCCCCCCCCTCAACACATTCAAAATAATGGGTAAGTATTTTAAGTTGCTAGTAGTGAAGCAGTGGTCTAGCCAGGAAGAAAACCAACACTAGGCCTAAAATATGCGTGGACGGAGGGGCTGGTGGGGAGAGGGGCTGGTGCACAGTTTCTTCCAGGCATCTCTTCCAAGAAAGTCTACACCCCCCCCCCCGAACGAAATGGAATTTATATAGAAAACACATACTTTTACCAGTGTCCGCCCCCCCCCCCCCCCGGAAAAATGTTGACCCCCCTCCCGAAAATATTAAGTGCCCCCCCCCCCCCCCCCCCCCCGGGAAAAAAAGTCTGGAAGAAACACTGGGCTGGTGGCTAGGTTGTTGTGCAAGCGGAATATATTTCAACTCAATTGTGGACTACGATTTTTAAAGTTTCATTTTTCTTCATCGACTAAATAACATTGTATGGTAAATGTTAATACTAGAACACTACACCAGACATCGGAACAAGAGTAGACTTACTGTTATGTTTGGTTGCGTTATTAAAAAATTACCTAGATTTAGATCTAGTCTGCGAGGCTACTACTAGAAAGTCTACTGGCCTACTGCTCCAATCTAGACTCTCGGGCGTAGTAAATCTAGATCTAGATCCTAGAATACTCAAGATTTTATTAGACCTTATAACATAACTTCATCGATTGTGATGGGGGTGGGGGGTCGTCAATAGCTTGCATAGCCTACCATAGCTGCAGACACGTCGATAGCTTCTATAGCAGACGACGTGTTCCTGACCATCTGTTGGGCTGGGGAGGTCAGTCTGGTGATCACAGACTGCATTGATATGGGATTAACACGCTCGTGTTGAAACATTCAGCACGTCTGCTTAGTTATGCTACCTTGTCGCGGCCTTTGTTTAACCGGGAAATGGAAGTGCTCTCCCTTCGTTAATCGGCCACAACTCTAGCCGCCATGAGACAACTAACAAAAAAAGTCTAACATCGTTCGCTGGTTCAAGCTCTTCTGTTTTCGTGGGCCAAGGGATGCTGAACTGTGATCATGGCCACCAACTAGCTTTAAATTTGGCACGTGACAACAAAGATCGGTATGTTGACAGTTTCAGAACATCGCAGACAGGGGGCGGAGGGGTGTGGGAGATTAGGAAAGAAAGCTTTGAACCTTTATTCAAGACTTTGTATTTCGAGGGGTCATCCCTAAACGACGTCACACAGTGGCGTAGCCAGGATCGTCTCATGGGTGGGGTTCAAATTTTTTCCATCATTTATATATATATAGATATATATAGATATATATATATATATATATATATATATATATATATATATATATAATTATATACTATAGAAATATAGACCAACTAAATGTTAACTGTGCTCTGTAAATCTTATTTTCGACAAAATCCCTATTTTTAAAAACTATAGAAATTTGGAGGATGGGTGGTAGGTTGAGGTGTGATAGTATTTTAGGCAGGTGGTGTGGATTTGGTTTTAGTGATGTGTGAGGGGGTTGGGGTTATAAAGCAGTCCAACAACTGACCAGACAAAAGACAGTCCAACAACTGACCAGACAGTCCAACAACAACTGACCAGACAGTCCAACAACAACTGACCAGACAGTCCAACAACAACTGACCAGACAGTCCAACAACAACTGACCAGACAGTCCAACAACAACTGACCAGACAGTCCAACAACAACTGACCAGACAGTCCAACAACAACTGACCAGACAGTCCAACAACAACTGACCAGACAGTCCAACAACAACTGACCAGACAGTCCAACAACTGACCAGACAGTCCAACAACTGACCATACAGAGGTGTAGCTATGGGATGGTGGGTGGGGCAGCCGACCCGAGCATCAACATTGGGGGGGGGGGGGGTTGTGCACCAAATAGGGTAGAAAAAAATATTAACAATTCAGCTTAAGCTGAAGTATTGAAGGCTTGTGCACACTGATATAAGTGGTGATCTAATGGTGGTTTTTTGGTAGCACATTAAAAAACTGTAAAAGCATTTTGGTTTATAACAATAAGAAGTAAAAATACCATGATAATATGCTCATCAAGCTCACCTTTTTTTTTTCGTATCTAGTAAAATATGCAATAGAATAATTAATTATAAAGGAAATTTATACACATCATTGTTTGCGTATGTTTTTTGGCTTTCATTTGTTGGCTTCTCCTCAGTCTGCCTTGTCCGTCCATTAACATTTCCTTCTGTTGTTAGGTGTGGATGTGACGGCCAATCAGGAAGAAGCTGAGGACACTGACAAAGAGATATTTCAAATGGAACTCTTAGTTCCTGCAACAGAAGAGTCGCCAGCCAAGTGGGGCTTTAGAACAGTGGATAACACATACTGGACCCAAGAACCTTTGGGGGGTATCCAAGCTACAGCAAGAGACAAATCGTAAGTTTTTTTTGTTTCAAATGTGTGATTTCAACATTCTCTTCACATCTGTATTTTTTTAGTTTCATTATTTTCTAAGTCGAAGTGTTTCTTTAAAATGTTTGAAGCTAATCTCAAATGTGAATGTAAAAAATGTCTTAAACGGTTTGAAAAATGTTAGAATTGTAAATTATTGTAAAGGGCCTTATTTGCTTTTTTCTGATCTTTATTTCACAACAAAAAAATTACAGGCAAAGCCTTAAATAAATATACTTCTCTGACCTTATATTTTAATTTCATGAAACAGCAAATGACACCCCCCCCCCCCCACCCCTTTAATTAAGGGAAATGAATATATCAGCAACAAATACTAATTAACTTCCTGTTTGTATGCCAGGTGGCCACTTAGCCGGTTTGAAAAGCTGAATTTGCTCACAAATATTTGACTTGCTTTTAACTTAATTATTCATACTTAAACTTCACTATTTTCAAACAAGAAGTAATTTGAAACTCCAAATGTATTTTTAATTCCCAGCAACCCTAACACAAGATTTGTAGTTGACTGGTTGGGAGATGGCACCATTGCAGTTAAATCTAGTAACGGACACTACATTCAAAGCCGACAGACAGGACAACTTGTAGGTGTCAGCGACTCTGTCACTAACAAGGAAAAGTTCTATGTTAAAATAATCAACCGGCCACTTTTGCTGCTGAAGAATGAGCACGGCTTTGTTGGTCTCAAATCTCCAGGCAAGTCAGAAGTCCAGTGCAGCAAGAGCAACTATGAGATCATCTACCTGGAGCCCAGTAATGACGGACATTATTTCTTAAAAGGTAATCTAGCAATTGGTCAAAAGTATAAGCAGATCTTAAAAATACAGGTGGTACAGTGCATGGGATCTGCACATGTACCTGGGAGTGGAGGGGATTATCATTTTGTTAAATGAGTTAGGGTGGAGATATAAACCAATGCTGCATAACACATCTTTAATTAATAAAATTCATCTTTTAATTGACAGTTTACATCAAATATTTAAATGTAAAAACCCTTTCTGTAATGATTACAGTATTTAAATGTTAAAACCCTTTCTGTAATGATTACAATATTTAAATGTAAAAACCCTTTCCGTAATGATTGCAATATTTAAATGTAAAAACACTTCCTGTAATGATTAAATAATTTCAGGAGCCAACAACAAGTACTGGAGACTTTCAGAGGATGCCTCAATTCTGGCTGATGCGGACACACCAGTACCATTTCTGCTAGAACCTAAGGGCTCGGCCATCCTGACAATTAAGGGTCCTAATGGATGCTATATCAAAGGAGAACACAACGGTTTATTCAGGGCAGTGGGTCAGGAGGTCGACGCCTCAATGCTGTGGGAATATTAATTCCAGTTAACAACTGTCAACATTTGCAAGGACTTGATTCAACTCTTTGAAGGAATGGGACACTATTATTTCACAATTTAATCCAATCATTCCACCAAGGAATTTCCTCAATTTTTAACATCAAGCTCTGTTTTATCTATTGACATTTTTAAAAACTTTGAATTTTCCAGAAATGTTGTCAATTTTGTCTCACCTATGTGGTGAGGTTTTCTCAACCGTTGCTCAACATCTGGCCTTGAACAGCTGCATATCTGTGGATTACCATTTGCAGATATCTGTGGATTACCATTTGTAGATATCTGTGGATTACCATTTGCAGATATCTGTGGATTACCATTTGCAGATATCTGTGGATTACCATTTGCAGATAGTATCTGTGGATTACCATTTGCAGATAGTAACTGTGGATTACCATTTGCAGATAGTAACTGTGGATTACCATTTGCAGATAGTAACTGTGGATTACCATTTGCAGATATTATCTGTGGATTACCATTTTCAGATAGTATCTGTGGATTACCATTTTCAGATAGTATCTGTGGATTACCATTTTCAGATAGTATCTGTGGATTACCATTTTCAGATAGTATCTGTGGATTACCATTTGCAGATAGTATCTGTGGATTACCATTTGCAGATAGTATCTGTGGATTACCATTTGCAGATAGTATCTGTGGATTACCATTTGCAGATAGTATCTGTGGATTACCATTTGCAGATAGTATCTGTGGATTACCATTTGCAGATATCTGTGGATTACCTTTTGCAGATATCTGTGGATTACCTTTTGCAGATATTAACTGCCTCTTTCACTTGCCAACTGGAGAAGTGCTCCAATGGTGTCACTATTTAATGTAGTCATCAGCACTAAATCTTAAATTTGACTTAGATCAATCAGGTTAATTAAATCGTCAGCATTAGTCAATATCTGGGACCACCGTGAGGCTTCAGCTGTGTAACCATGGCAACTATGATCATATTGCTTTGTTGGACCACATCATCGTGTCAAGCTCTTGGACATTATCCTTTTGTTTGACAAATACTTGGTCATGGTATTATAGTTTCAGCAAGCCTTGGAAGAGAGTACTCAATCTCCAATGCTTTTATTCAGCAGTTGCATTTCTGTAGCGATCTTTCAATACTTTTATCAAGTCAGCCATGGTATTATAGTTCCAGCAAGCCTAGGAAGAGAGTACTCCATTCCCAATGCTTTTATTCAGCAGTTGCATTTCTGCAGCGATCTTTCAATACTTTTATCAAGTCAGATAATCTCACACAAACCAGCATTAGTCTTTTCACCATGCAAATATCTATTTTTTTTAATTTGGTCATTAATTGGTTGGCTCCTGCATGCAAATACCATTCAATGCTGTGTCCTTGGTGTCATTCAGCAAGGTTTGTTTGTTGCATAGTTTAGCTTGGGGGAGGGGGGGGGGGGCAAAGCTGGGATTATGACCCTTCCTCCCATAAATGCAGTGAATGGTGGTCTTGTGTGGTGAGTCCACCCTGTTGACAGTTCTAGCTTGTCTGATTTTTGGACCCACTTTGTAATAAAAAGGAAAAATTTCCTTGAAAATGTTTTATAATAGTTTGACATTGATTTTTTTCTTATTATGGTTTCAAAAATTGTTTTACTTTATAATTTATAGAAAAACCAAATCCACTTGGAACAGGGGTTACTTTTTATGAAGTCCACAAATATTGTGAGTTTAAAACCACCCACCCTTTCAATCATTCAATGGACGCTACCCTCCCCCTACAAACACTCACAAAAGTGGTATAGTCCACTCAAAACTGTCAAGGACAATGAATCTACAGTACTAAGTTTTTTTTTTTACTAATTCATGATTCTCCAATGTTAAAATTTGTTTAAAAAATGTTCCATCCAAATAGTCCTAGATTTGCATTTATCAAGCTAAGCCTACAATAGTTAATGTTTTTTAAATTTACATCTTCTATACTATTTGTAAATAGAATTTTTGTTCTTTACAACTCACTGTATTAGCTAATTAATTTTGTTAATTGCATGTTTTATGGAATTGTAGTATACATTTGCTAACCTCATTCAATAAAATATATTTTGAGCTGTGTAGAAAATATAAGGGGCTAACCTTGTTCTGTTGTTAGAAATGTGGTATTGTTTGATAAATTGATGAAATTGTATTTAACATGTATGACATTGCATTAAACATGTATTTGTATGTAAATCTATTTAACATCTGACAGTTATTTGCCGTAAACAATTTTTACTTGTCATTTGTACGGCTGCATCTGCCAGCCTATTGCTCACCATTTGTCAGTGTGTCACACTACATGAGTGACGTCAGTGTGTCACACTACATGAGTCACATTATGGGCGAATGTTGTAGTGAATAAATTATTGTCCTCTTGTTTAGCCGGCCTGTAAATACAGTCTGCGCCTTGAAGTAAACTATCCCTGGGGTTTGCCACCCCCTGGGGTAGGTGCCCCATGGGTTTGACATCGCTTGCATTCACCTTAGCTTGATCTCAGATATTATTGTATTCTTAACACATGTCAGTATTACTATTAGGTAAGATGAATGGACAAAATTGTTTACATTTTCTGGATTTAATTGTACAAGTTAAATTACTTTCCTTTTTGAAACGGTTTATATTTTCCTTGTATTTATATTTTAACGCTAATGATAGCTTAAGTAGGTAATTTATTCATTTTAAAATGTATATTTAGACTAATAGAGATAACTTTCAGGAGATTTACATGGTCTTTTTAATAAACTTTTTTGCAATTTAATTGTAAGTTGTTTATTAATTTATAGTCTGGGGCAGCATGAAAGAATACTATTGAGTCCTACTTGACATTGCTGTCTTCACTCGTCTAGTAAATATGCACTCATGTATTTATACATACATGTGCTTATAGTTATAATTTAACATGAGACAGCTATATGATTGGGGTCCATGCTCCAGTCTACCATTGAGGTGTTCCACCACACATTCCCCAGTCTACCATTGAGGTGTTCCAACCCACCCCCACATTCCCCAGTCTACCATTGAGGTGTTCCACCACACATTCCCCAGTCTACCATTGAGGTGTTCCACCACACATTCCCCAGTCTACCATTGAGGTGTTCCAACCCACCACACATTCCCCAGTCTACCATTGAGGTGTTCCACCACACATTCCCCAGTCTACCATTGAGGTGTTCCACCACACATTCCCCAGTCTACCATTGAGGTGTTCCACCACACATTCCCATCTACCATTGAGGTGTTCCACCACACATTCCCATCTACCATTGAGGTGTTCCACCACACATTCCCCAGTCTACCATTGAGGTGTTCCAACCCACCACACATTCCCCAGTCTACCATTGAGGTGTTCCAACCCACCCCCAGTCTACCATTGAGGTGTTCCACCACACATTCCCATCTACCATTGAGGTGTTCCACCACACATTCCCCAGTCTACCATTGAGGTGTTCCACCACACATTCCCATCTACCATTGAGGTGTTCCACCACACATTCCCCAGTCTACCATTGAGGTGTTCCACCACACATTCCCATCTACCATTGAGGTGTTCCACCACACATTCCCATCTACCATTGAGGTGTTCCACCACACATTCCCCAGTCTACCATTGAGGTGTTCCACCACACATTCCCCAGTCTACCATTGAGGTGTTCCACCACACATTCCCATCTACCATTGAGGTGTTCCACCACACATTCCCCAGTCTACCATTGAGGTGTTCCACCACACATTCCCATCTACCATTGAGGTGTTCCACCACACATTCCCCAGTCTACCATTGAGGTGTTCCACCACACATTCCCCAGTCTACCATTGAGGTGTTCCACCACACATTCCCCAGTCTACCATTGAGGTGTTCCACCACACATTCCCCAGTCTACCATTGAGGTGTTCCACCACACATTCCCCAGTCTACCATTGAGGTGTTCCACCACACATTCCCCAGTCTACCATTGAGGTGTTCCACCACACATTCCCCAGTCTACCATTGAGGTGTTCCACCCCACCCCCACATTCCCCAGTCTACCATTGAGGTGTTCCACCACACATTCCCATCTACCATTGAGGTGTTCCACCCCACCCCCACATTCCCATCTACCATTGAGGTGTTCCACCACACATTCCCCAGTCTACCATTGAGGTGTTCCACCACACATTCCCCAGTCTACCATTGAGGTGTTCCACCACACATTCCCCAGTCTACCATTGAGGTGTTCCACCACACATTCCCCAGTCTACCATTGAGGTGTTCCACCACACATTCCCCAGTCTACCATTGAGGTGTTCCACCACACATTCCCCAGTCTACCATTGAGGTGTTCCACCACACATTCCCCAGTCTACCATTGAGGTGTTCCAACCCACCACACATTCCCCAGTCTACCATTGAGGTGTTCCACCACACATTCCCCAGTCTACCATTGAGGTGTTTCAACCCACCACACATTCCCCAGTCTACCATTGAGGTGTTCCACCACACATTCCCCAGTCTACCATTGAGGTGTTCCACCACACATTCCCCAGTCTACCATTGAGGTGTTTCAACCCACCACACATTCCCCAGTCTACCATTGAGGTGTTCCACCACACATTCCCCAGTCTACCATTGAGGTGTTCCACCACACATTCCCCAGTCTACCATTGAGGTGTTCCACCACACATTCCCCAGTCTACCATTGAGGTGTTCCACCCCACCCCCACATTCCCCAGTCTACCATTGAGGTGTTCCACCACACATTCCCCAGTCTACCATTGAGGTGTTCCACCCCACCCCCACATTCCCCAGTCTACCATTGAGGTGTTCCACCACACATTCCCCAGTCTACCATTGAGGTGTTCCACCCCACCACACATTCCCCAATCTACCATTGAGGTGTTCCACCACACATTCCCCAGTCTACGCCACTGACTAGTCCCTAACATGACAGTAACAAACACAACTTGACCCTGGACATTGTGCCGTCATGAATGATTGAAGATGACAGGGATCATTAAAGACGTGGAACACGAATGACATTCAGACAGGTATGACATACAGCAAGTAATACATTTGATGTCATGCCACCAGATGGCTCATGTCAACCAAAGCTATACAGACACCTATACATATCTGTGGTTGATCATGCATGGAGTAATGGCGGATGAGAAAGCAGAAATTTGTATCGGAATGGGTGCAGTAAAAGCCAGACACAATGAATCATTCATTGAATGGTAGGGGCTTTATTTAATAGTGTTAAGAATATACAAACAACAGCAGGCCACTAGGATGTGGCGGGGTGAGGCTTGGCGTACCCAGGCAGGGGTAGCTGTAGCCCCTCCTTAGCCTCGAAGAACGTGTAGGACAGCATGATGGTGTTAACATGCTCCAGCTTTGGGTCTTCAGCAAACTCGGGGTCAATGTAGAAAAACACGGGCATGTCCACCTTGGAATAGAACAAGTTTAAAATATGGCTCATTAAAAAAACAAACACGGTCATGTTTTAAAATGTATATCTTTGGTGATGATCAAACGGATTTATGGATAGTGAAGCCAATACTGAGGTCACCATGCCTTCAAACGCACACCCTGCCGGTGAAGAATAAATCAATAGCGCGGCCATGACCCAGTTAAAAAAGGCTGAGAGTATCTGATAAAAGTTGCTGGCAGCCAAAAGATGAGTCAAAGTCTGGGATGGTTTTACCATGGAAAGGAGCGTAGGGTTGGTGAATCAGTGGTCGTGCCATCAGTAGCTCTCGTGTAGCTTTCGGTCCGGGTGCACTCAGTACCTGCCGGCCAGTGTGCACTCAGGACATGCCGGCCCGGTGCACTCAGTAACTGCCGGCCAGTGTGCACTCAGTACCTGCCGGCCAGTGTGCACTCAGGACATGCCGGCCCGGTGCACTCAGTACCTGCCGGCCAGTGTGCACTCAGTACCTGCCGGCCAGTGTGCACTCAGTACCGGTCGGCCAGTGTGCACTCAGTACCTGCCGGCCAGTGTGCACTCAGTACCTGTTGGCTCGGGTGCACTCAGTACCTGCCGGCCAGTGTGCACTCAGTACCTGCCGGCCAGTGTGCACTCAGTACCTGCCGGCCAGTGTGCACTCAGTACCTGCCGGCCAGTGTGCACTCAGTACCTGCCGGCCAGTGTGCACTCAGTACCGGTCGGCCAGTGTGCACTCAGTACCTGTCGGCCCGGTGCACTCAGTACCTGTCGGCCAGTGTGCACTCAGTACCTGTTGGCCCGGTGCACTCAGTACCTGTTGGCTCGGGTGCACTCAGTACCTGTCGGCCCGGTGCACTCAGTACCTGTCGGCCCGAGTGCACTCAGTACCGGTCGGCCCCGGTGCACTCAGTACCTGTCGGCCCAGCCTGCGATAGACCAGTAACCTGTAGACAGGGATCCCAGGGGATAACAAGGAGTGACTCATCAGCTACATCGTTTCTTTGGCTGAGCGGTAAGAATGGGGAGGGGGGGGGGGGGGAGAAGGTAGTATCTGCGCAGATATTATCTACATTTGTGGTAATGGGAGATAACATGCAAGGGTAGGAAGGGAGCGGTATGAGGGAACCTGCCGTCACGATCTCAGGGTTCTTTACGTCACGATGTCGGGGCCCTAGACATCGCGATGTCAGGGTTCATGACGTCACGATGTCAGGGCTCTTAACGTCACGATGTCGGGGTTCTTGACGTCACGATGTCGGGGCCCTAGACATCGTGATATCAGGGTTCATGACGTCACAATGTCAGGGTTCTTGACGTCACGATGTCGGGGTTTTTGACGTCACGGTGTCGGGGTTCTTGACGTCCTGATGTAAGGGTTCATGACGTCACAATGTCAGGGTTCTTGACGTCACGGTGTCGGGGTTTTTGACGTCACGATGTCGGGGTTCTTGACGTCACGATGTCGGGGTTTTTGACGTCACGATGTAAGGGTTCATGACGTCACAATGTCAGAGTTCTTGACGTCACAATGTCGGGGTTCTTGACTTCACGATGTCGAGGTTCTTGACGTCACGATGTCGGGGCCCTAGACGTCACGATGTCGGGGCTCTAGACGTCACGGAATGTCTGACTGACAACGTTCGCGTGCAGGAGCAGAATGAGGTCAAACGTTTTGTGAATGAAGACATGCACCAGTCGCAGCTGTCTCTATTGACAGGTAGGGCGTGTCACATGACGTATGAAGACATGCACCAGTCGCAGCTGTCTCTATTGACAGGTAGGGCGTGTCACATGACGTATGAAGACATGCACCAGTCGCAGCTGTCTCTATTGACAGGTAGGGCGTGTCACATGACGTCACACGCATCAATAAACGACACCGTATGTCTCTCAGTATTTCGCACCTTATCATGGACATCTAACGCAAGACACCACCCTCCTACATAGACCAACACCCTCCTACATAGACCAATACCCTACATAAACCAACACCCTCCTACATAGACCAACACCCTACATAGACCAACACTTTCCTACATAGACCAACACCCTACATAGACCAACACCCTACATAGACCAACACCCTCCTACATAGACCAACACCCTCCTACATAGACTAACACCTTCCTACATAGACCAACACCCTCCTACATAGACCAACACCCTCCTACATAGACCAACACCCTCCTACATAGACCAACACCCTACATACACCAACACCCTCATACATAGACCAACACCCTCCTACATAGACCAACACCCTCCTACATAGACCTACATAGACCAACACCCTACATAGACCAACACCCTCCTACATAGACCAACACCCTACATAGACCAAAACCCTCCTACATAGACCAACACCCTCCTACATAGACCAACACCCTCCTACATAGACTAACACCCTCCTACATAGACCAACACCCTCCTACATAGACCAACACCCTACATACACCAACACCCTCATACATAGACCAACACCCTCCTACATAGACCAACACCCTCCTACATAGACCTACATAGACCAACACCCTACATAGACCAACACCCTCCTACATAGACCAACACCCTCCTACATAGACCAACACCTTCCTACATAGACCAACACCCTACATAAACCAACATCCTACATAGACCAACACCTTCCTACATAGACCAACACCCTCCTTCATAGACCAACACCCTCCTACATAGACCAACACCTTCCTACATAGACCAACACCCTACATAGACCAACACCCTCCTACATAGACTAACACCCTCCTACATAGACCAACACCCTCCTACATAGACCAACACCCTACATACACCAACACCCTCATACATAGACCAACACCCTCCTACATAGACCAACACCCTCCTACATAGACCTACATAGACCAACACCCTACATAGACCAACGCCCTACATAGACCAACACCCTCCTACATAGACCAACACCCTCCTACATAGACCAACACCCTACATAGACCAACACCCTCCTACATAGACCAACACCCTCCTACATAGACCAACACCTTCCTACATAGACCAACGCCCTACATAGACCAACACCCTACATAGACCAACACCTTCCTACATAGACCAACACCCTCCTACATAGACCAACACCCTACATAGACCAACACCCTCCTACATAGACCAACACCCTCCTACATAGACCAACACCCTCCTACATAGACCAACACCCTACATAGACCAACACCCTACATAGACCACCCCCAACCCCACATGAACCAATACAATAAGACAGAAGGAACTGAAGGGCAGACATTCTAGTAGTCTGCCACTGTGATCCCCCCCCCCCCCTCCTCTGACAGCTGACTTTGCCCTGAGGGAAATGTCAAATCAATGCCTGCAACTAGAGGTAATGACACAATCTGCAGTCAACCAAAGTGCTGACATAACAAAATTGACTTTTGCTAAGGGGAGACAAGACTAGCCCATCAACAGGAGACAGTGGTTTCAATTGACTGGGGCAGACAAGACTAGAACATCAACAGGAGACAATGGTTTCAATTGACTGGGGCAGACAAGACTAGAACATCAATAGGAGACAGTGGTTTCAATTGACTGGGGCAGACAAGACTAGAACATCAACAGGAGACAGTGGTTTCAATTGACTGGGGCAGACAAGACTAGAACATCAACAGGAGACAGTGGTTTCAATTGACTGGGGCAGACAAGACTAGAACATCAACAGGAGACAGTGGTTTCAATTGACTGGGGCAGACAAGACTAGAACATCAACAGGAGACAGTGGTTACAATTGACTGGGGCAGACAAGACTAGAACATCAACAGGAGACAGTGGTTTCAATTGACTGGGGCAGACAAGACTAGAACATCAACAGGAGACAGTGGTTTCAATTGACTGGGGCAGACAAGACTAGAACATCAACAGGAGACAGTGGTTTCAATTGACTGGGGCAGACAAGACTAGAACATCAACAGGAGACAGTGGTTTCAATTGACTGGGGCAGACAAGACTAGAACATCAACAGGAGACAGTGGTTTCAATTGACTGGGGCAGACAAGACTAGAACATCAACAGGAGACAGTGGTTTCAATTGACTGGGGCAGACAAGACTAGAACATCAACAGGAGACAGTGGTTTCAATTGACTGGGGCAGACAAGACTAGAACATCAACAGGAGACAGTGGTTTCAATTGACTGGGGTAGACAAGACTAGAACATCAACAGGAGACAGTGGTTTCAATTGACTGGGGCAGACAAGACTAGAACATCAACAGGAGACAGTGGTTTCAATTGACTGGGGCAGACAAGACTAGAACATCAACAGGAGACAGTGGTTTCAATTGACTGGGGCAGACAAGACTAGCCCATCAACAGGAGAAATGGTTTCAATTGACTGATTACAAGATTGATCCACACTGGGGATTTGGGCTCACTTAAAGTTTTATTCATCTGCCACTCAAAGTTTTATTCATCTTCCACTCAAACAAGTTTTATTCATCTGCCACTCAAGTCCACTCCCCACACAGGGTGCCTACTAAAATTAGAATTATATGAACTTCAAAAGTTAAACCACCTGGACATAAAAAGATTATATAAACAACGGCACCACATTTACGATTTACATTTTTGTCTTTTGCTTCACAAGCCTTTACCAACCGTACTGTACACACTTTAAAAGATAAACGTTTCCAAACATTACTGTACACACTTTAAAAGATAAACATTTACAAACATTACTGTACACACTTTAAAAGATAAATGTTTACAAACATTACTGTACACACTTTAAAAGATAAACGTTTACAAACATTACTGTACACACTTTAAAAGATAAATGTTTACAAACATTACTGTACACACTTTAAAAGATAAACGTTTACAAACATTACTGTACACACTTTAAAAGATAAATGTTTACAAACATTACTGTACACACTTTAAAAGATAAACGTTTACAAACATTACTGTACACACTTTAAAAGATAAACGTTTACAAACATTACTGTACACACTTTAAAAGATAAATGTTTCCAAACATTACTGTACACACTTTAAAAGATAAACATTTACAAACATTACTGTACACACTTTAAAAGATAAATGTTTACAGACATTACTGTACACACTTTAAAAGATAAACGTTTACAAACATTACTGTACACACTTTAAAAGATAAATGTTTACAATCATTACTGTACACACTTTAAAAGATAAACGTTTACAAACATTACTGTACACACTTTAAAAGATAAATGTTTACAAACATTACTGTACACACTTTAAAAGATAAACGTTTACAAACATTACTGTACACACTTTAAAAGATAAACGTTTACAAACATTACTGTACACACTTTAAAAGATAAATGTTTCCAAACATTACTGTACACACTTTAAAAGATAAACATTTACAAACATTACTGTACACACTTTAAAAGATAAATGTTTACAAACATTACTGTACACACTTTAAAAGATAAACGTTTACAAACATTACTGTACACACTTTAAAAGATAAATGTTTACAATCATTACTGTACACACTTTAAAAGATAAACGTTTACAAACATTACTGTACACACTTTAAAAGATAAATGTTTACAAACATTACTGTACACACTTTAAAAGATAAACGTTTACAAACATTACTGTACACACTTTAAAAGATAAACGTTTACAAACATTACTGTACACACTTTAAAAGATAAATGTTTCCAAACATTACTGTACACACTTTAAAAGATAAACGTTTACAAACATTACTGTACACACTTTAAAAGATAAATGTTTACAAACATTACTGTACACACTTTAAAAGATAAACGTTTACAAACATTACTGTACACACTTTAAAAGATAAACATTTACAAACATTACTGTACACACTTTAAAAGATAAACGTTTACAAACATTACTGTACACACTTTAAAAGATAAACGTTTACAAACATTACTGTACACACTTTAAAAGATAAACGTTTACAAACATTACTGTACACACTTTAAAAGATAAACGTTTACAAACATTACTGTACACACTTTAAAAGATAAACGTTTACAAACATTACTGTACACACTTTAAAAGATAAATGTTTACAAACATTACTGTACACACTTTAAAAGATAAACGTTTACAAACATTACTGTACACACTTTAAAAGATAAACGTTTACAAACATTACTGTACACACTTTAAAAGATAAACGTTTACAAACATTACTGTACACACTTTAAAAGATAAACGTTTACAAACATTACTGTACACACTTTAAAAGATAAACATTTATAAACATTACTGTACACACTTTAAAAGATAAACATTTACCAACATTACTGTACACACTTTAAAAGATAAACATTTCCAAACATTACTGTACACACTTTAAAAGATAAACATTTATAAACATTACTGTACACACTTTAAAAGATAAACATTTACCAACATTACTGTACACACTTTAAAAGATAAACATTTCCAAACATTACTGTACACACTTTAAAAGATAAACATTTCCAAACATTACTGTACACACTTTAAAAGATAAACGTTTACAAACATTACTGTACACACTTTAAAAGATAAACATTTACAAACATTACTGTACACACTTTAAAAGATAAATGTTTACAAACATTACTGTACACACTTTAAAAGATAATCCTAATACATTGGCACGTATCACTATTCTTATCAATCTTAATCTCCTAAACTAATAACCATCTTAAGTTGACACAACCTGAGGGTAATGTCCTACTCCAGTTTTCTGGGCCCAGGTGGGGGGAACTGACAGGGTGGTAAATACAGGGGGTGGGATTTTCATGGGGTAATTGATGGGGGGGGGGGGGGGGGTAATGTCCGAGAGCCAGTGTAGCTTTAGGGTTAACTGACCACAGCTTTAGATGGAGTGTGAAAATTATCTATTTTACCTGTTCATTTGGATTCAGCCTTTGTTCTTCAAAGCAAAAACACTGAAAATTAAAAAGAGAATTCAAAATGGTTTACTTACTATTAATTTAGAAAATTTTCAGTTTACTTTTGTATATTGTTGTATGTGCCACTATTTATAACTGCCCTCAAATGTCACGCCAAATGCTCATGTCATAAGCCAACACACCACACACTCATGTCATCAAATGACAAGCCAGTCACTCATGTCATCAGCTGACAGTAGTCACTCATGAAAAAATGAATCACTTATAATTCCCATCTTTTTTTTTAGCTAGAGCAAACATCTGGAGAGAGGGTGGGTGCTAGGGGTGCAGGGTCTAGTATTATTTAGGTAATCACATTTAAAAACAAACTATAATACTGCAAACCAGCTTCGTGCAAGTATCATAGGGGAACAACTCATTATCTATATATATAGAATTCTCTTTATGGAGGGACCATGAGGGACACCAAGTATACGCACGCCGCCCAGGCCCCTATCTTGCTCTCAAGGCATGCTCAACAGACCATACAGACCAACAGACCATATCGATACCACCCCCACCCCACCAGTCTGGTGAGCTGTTTACAATCGTAGGGCCGGGTCAAATTAGTGACTGTTATTAGGGGCAGATAATTTAGTTTTTGAACAATTTGAAACTAAGAGGAGGTAATCAGTTCTGCTTGATCTTTTCATTGTTGTCTGTAAAGTGTCGCGGACGACTGCTTTCACGGGGGGGGGGGGGTAGGGAGGAAGAGTGGAAAGTGAGGGTGAGGATAATTGTCCTTCACTAGCTACTGACAGTGTTTTAAAGCAAAATATTTTCAGTCGCAGCATTGGTTGTGTCGAATTCACAAATTATGAATTAGTGAAAAATAGAAAATAAAACAACAAAATAGCGGCGTATGCTACGTCGCGGGTCAGCTCGTTATTTTTAAATCTATCATTCTGTGTTGGCTTATTTTAAAATAATAAAATAATTCTTTTTAAAGAATTTGAAAAATCTCACCTGAATTTTATTGAAATATTGACCAGCATCATAAGGTAAGATATTATAAGTAGAAATTCCTATGATAGGTTTGTCTGTAGGATTTTTGGCAGTGTAAAATGCTAGAGCAGTTTCACCTGGATAAACCTGTGGGGGGATAGAAGCATTTAGTCAGATCTAAAGATTTACCTGTGGGGGGACACAAGCATTTAGTCAGATCTATAAATATTTACCTGTGGGGGGACACAAGCATTTAGTCAGATCTAAAGATTTACCTGTGGGGGTACACAAGCATTTAGTCAGATCTAAAGATTTACCTGTGGGGGGACACAAGCATTTAGTCAGATCTAAAGATTTACCTGTGGGGGTACACAAACATTTAGTCAGATCTAAAGATTTACCTGTGGGGGGGGGGGGGGGGGGACACAAGCATTTAGTCAGATCTAAAGATTTACCTGTGGGGGGACACAAGCATTTAGTCAGATCTAAAGATTTACCTGTGGGGGGACACAAGAATTTAGTCAGATCTAAAGATTTACCTGTGGGGGGACACAAGCATTTAGTCAGATCTAAAGATTTACCTGTGGGGGTACACAAACATTTAGTCAGATCTAAAGATTTACCTGTGGGGGGGGGACACAAGCATTTAGTCAGATCTAAAGATTTACCTGTGGGGGGACACAAGCATTTAGTCAGATCTAAAGATTTACCTGTGGGGGGACACAAGCATTTAGTCAGATCTAAAGATTTACCTGTGGGGGTACACAAACATTTAGTCAGATCTAAAGATTTACCTGTGGGGGGGGGGGACACAAGAATTTAGTCAGATCTAAAGATTTACCAGTGGGGGGACACAAGCATTTAGTCAGATCTAAAGATTTACCTGTGGGGGGACACAAGAATTTAGTCAGATCTAAAGATTTACCTGTGGTGGGACACAAGAATTTAGTCAGATGTAAACACCTAACAGGTCATACATCTCCACTTGCTGTGGAGGAGTAAAAAAATTTGGTTAGACCTACCGTGACCTCAGTTTGTTGGGGTCGAAAGTTCCATCTCATACTTGATGCAACATCTGCATTAAATTTAACTAAAATTTTACGGTTGACTTTCTCCATTGTTTCTATTTTTTCTGTGTCATGACCTTTCACAGCTTGACCTCCTAGACCACTAGCCTGAAGCAAATCAAAAGTTACCAGAATCTGATGTATATCATACAATACAAAATTTGTGAAAAAATGATGTAGATCTAAAAAATATATATTTATTTATTTATAATGTACAATAAATAGCAGATCGCGAAGATGACGTACCCCTAATGACATACCTGACAAAATACTCTGTAGAGCGGTACACCAGCATAAGCACCACCCAACATGAATATAAATACAGCTGTGATGTAGATGAGACCTGTCTTGTTTGACTTCCCATAAGGAGACGAGGGGGCAAATCTTCTGACTGAACTGGAGAAAGTTCTACATTCCAGCCTGACCACAAGCCTGCCCCATACTGGACTCATCAAAGTTGTGTCAGATGAAAACTTGACTGCTGAGTGTCTGTCTACCTGAGAGAATCTGGTTTTGTATATTTGTGACAAGCAATGGATCTTAGTGGATCTGGCTATTGATGAGAGAAATCTAGAGGATAAACTAACAAATGGCTCTGGCTGTTTGAGTAGAGACAGACAGGATGTTTTCACAAACAGCCAGGACAGCATTCTTTAGCTGCTTGATATGACTGGTTTGTAGTTGTAGTCCTCTACAACACTGTAGGTAGGCTGAATGCTCAGGTTGTTCTGTTTGTAGTCCTCTACAACACTGTAGGTAGGCTGAATGCTCAGGTTGACCTGATTGTAGTCCTCTACAACACTGTAGGTAGGCTGAATGCTCAGGTTGTTCTGTTTGTAGTCCTCTACAACACTGTAGGTAGGCTGAATGCTCAGGTTGACCTGATTGGTTTGTAGTTGTAGTCCTCTACAACACTGTAGGTAGGCTGAATGCTCAGGTTGATCTGTTTGTAGTCCTCTACAACACTGTAGGTAGGCTGAATGCTCAGGTTGACCTGATTGGTTTGTAGTTGTAGTCCTCTACAACACTGTAGGTAGGCTGAATGCTCAGGTTGTTCTGTTTGTAGTCCTCTACAACACTGTAGGTAGGCTGAATGCTCAGGTTGTTCTGTTTGTAGTCCTCTACAACACTGTAGGTAGGCTGAATGCTCAGGTTGTTCTGTTTGTAGTCCTCTACAACACTGTAGGTAGGCTGAATGCTCAGGTTGTTCTGTTTGTAGTCCTCTACAACACTGTAGGTAGGCTGAATGCTCAGGTTGTTCTGTTTGTAGTCCTCTACAACACTGTAGGTAGGCTGAATGCTCAGGTTGACCTGATTGGTTTGTAGTTGTAGTCCTCTACAACACTGTAGGTAGGCTGAATGCTCAGGTTGTTCTGTTTGTAGTCCTCTACAACACTGTAGGTAGGCTGAATGCTCAGGTTGTTCTGTTTGTAGTCCTCTACAACACTGTAGGTAGGCTGAATGCTCAGGTTGTTCTGTTTGTAGTCCTCTACAACACTGTAGGTAGGCTGAATGCTCAGGTTGATCTGATTGGTTTGTAGTTGTAGTCCTCTACAACACTGTAGGTAGGCTGAATGCTCAGGTTGTTCTGTTTGTAGTCCTCTACAACACTGTAGGTAGGCTGAATGCTCAGGTTGTTCTGTTTGTAGTCCTCTACAACACTGTAGGTAGGCTGAATGCTCAGGTTGTTCTGTTTGTAGTCCTCTACAACACTGTAGGTAGGCTGAATGCTCAGGTTGACCTGATTGGTTTGTAGTTGTAGTCCTCTACAACACTGTAGGTAGGCTGAATGCTCAGGTTGTTCTGTTTGTAGTCCTCTACAACACTGTAGGTAGGCTGAATGCTCAGGTTGTTCTGTTTGTAGTCCTCTACAACACTGTAGGTAGGCTGAATGCTCAGGTTGTTCTGTTTGTAGTCCTCTACAACACTGTAGGTAGGCTGAATGCTCAGGTTGTTCTGTTTGTAGTCCTCTACAACACTGTAGGTAGGCTGAATGCTCAGGTTGTTCTGTTTGTAGTCCTCTACAACACTGTAGGTAGGCTGAATGCTCAGGTTGACCTGATTGGTTTGTAGTCCTCTACAACACTGTAGGTAGGCTGAATGCTCAGGTTGACCTGATTGGTTTGTAGTCCTCTACAACACTGTAGGTAGGCTGAATGCTCAGGTTGATCTGATTGGTTTGTAGTCCTCTACAACACTGTAGGTAGGCTGAATGTTCAGGTTGTTGTGATTGGTTTGTAGTTGTAGTCCTCTACAACACTGTAGGTAGGCTGAATGCTCAGGTTGATCTGATTGGTTTGTAGTCCTCTACAACACTGTAGGTAGGCTGAATGTTCAGGTTGACCTGATTGGTTTGTAGTCCTCTACAACACTGTAGGTAGGCTGAATGCTCAGGTTGATCTGATTGGTTTGTAGTCCTCTACAACACTGTAGGTAGGCTGAATGCTCAGGTTGACCTGATTGGTTTGTAGTCCTCTACAACACTGTAGGTAGGCTGAATGCTCAGGTTGACCTGATTGGTTTGTAGTCCTCTACAACACTGTAGGTAGGCTGAATGCTCAGGTTGACCTGATTGGTTTGTAGTCCTCTACAACACTGTAGGTAGGCTGAATGCTCAGGTTGACCTGATTGGTTTGTAGTCCTCTACAACACTGTAGGTAGGCTGAATGCTCAGGTTGATCTGATTGGTTTGTAGTCCTCTACAACACTGTAGGTAGGCTGAATGTTCAGGTTGTTGTGATTGGTTTGTAGTTGTAGTCCTCTACAACACTGTAGGTAGGCTGAATGCTCAGGTTGATCTGATTGGTTTGTAGTCCTCTACAACACTGTAGGTAGGCTGAATGTTCAGGTTGACCTGATTGGTTTGTAGTCCTCTACAACACTGTAGGTAGGCTGAATGCTCAGGTTGATCTGATTGGTTTGTAGTCCTCTACAACACTGTAGGTAGGCTGAATGTTCAGGTTGACCTGATTGTAGTCCTCTACAACACTGTAGGTAGGCTGAATGCTCAGGTTGACCTGATTGGTTTGTAGTCCTCTACAACACTGTAGGTAGGCTGAATGTTCAGGTTGACCTGATTGTAGTCCTCTACAACACTGTAGGTAGGCTGAATGCTCAGGTTGACCTGATTGGTTTGTAGTCCTCTACAACACTGTAGGTAGGCTGAATGTTCAGGTTGTTGTGATTGGTTTGTAGTTGTAGTCCTCTACAACACTGTAGGTAGGCTGAATGTTCAGGTTGACCTGATTGTAGTCCTCTACAACACTGTAGGTAGGCTGAATGCTCAGGTTGACCTGATTGGTTTGTAGTCCTCTACAACACTGTAGGTAGGCTGAATGTTCAGGTTGTTGTGATTGGTTTGTAGTTGTAGTCCTCTACAACACTGTAGGTAGGCTGAATGCTCAGGTTGACCTGATTGGTTTGTAGTCCTCTACAACACTGTAGGTAGGCTGAATGCTCAGGTTGACCTGATTGGTTTGTAGTCCTCTACAACACTGTAGGTAGGCTGAATGTTCAGGTTGTTGTGATTGGTTTGTAGTTGTAGTCCTCTACAACACTGTAGGTAGGCTGAATGCTCAGGTTGACCTGATTGTAGTCCTCTACAACACTGTAGGTAGGCTGAATGCTCAGGTTGACCTGATTGGTTTGTAGTCCTCTACAACACTGTAGGTAGGCTGAATGCTCAGGTTGACCTGATTGGTTTGTAGTCTGCTGTAGATAATGGTAGACTGAAAAAAATATAAAAAGATGGATATAAAATGGAAGCCATGGAAGCTTTGTTTACAAGTGAGAGCAGTATTTAGATTAGATTATAAAGGTGAGTTTTAAATGCCTTTCTTCATTATAGGTAAATATATTAGTGTTGCTATTTTAATTGTGATAAAAGTTTAGGCAGATTTTAGACGGAAGAAGATGCGCATGGGCATATTAACTAAACAGCGTTACAGTGACCTGGGATTTCTTGTCATCTAAATGTTCGTTATTCAGGCCTATGAGTTGTCCTAATGAGATTAACATGATAAAAACTTAAACAGTAGATTTAAATATGCTATTATAAAAATTTTTTTTTTAAAGATGTTATACTTTACTTACAGACTAGATGGGTAGATATCTTTACTAGTTCTAAATATACTAGATTCTATTCTATCCCCCTAATCATCTGCTCAAAGCGCAACCGGTCAACCACACAATAGTTAGTTTTGTTAGAGGAATAAGGCTATAAGTAATATTGTACAGCCCATTGTACAGCTAGGCTGGGGGGCAAAAGTTTTTTTCCAACTTGCCACTTTAAAAATGTTATCAGTAGAAATAAATTGCTATTTATTGTATTTAAACACAAAAAAGTGAAGGGTGAATAATGTAGCATCATTTTAGTAAGTGGGGTGTCTGATAGTTTGTGATGATTGGGAGGAGGATAAAAACGTCAAAAGAATACTGATGTCATTAAAGAAAGACCATATTTAGAAATCTAGATTTAGCTTTTTTTTTTACTCTCGAAAATATGTGAGTGTCAGTTAAGATTTTCATGGCAATGGGTCAAGTTTTGACAAGTACAGAACTCATAGTTGAAAGGTGGTTAAGTTTGTAAAGTTTTGTATTGTTACAATTATAAGTATCTCACATGCATGATAATATTAAAATAACCTCAAATGAACTCACAATGACCTCCAAAGCTGAGACAACCACAATTGACAAATTCAAATAGCGATTGCCCAAGCTATGACAAATGCTGATAATTAATACTAATAGTATCGCTGTCTGTGTATGTATCTATCTGTCTGTGTATCTATCTATCTATCTGACATAGAGAAAACACAAGCAAAATAAAAACATGCACAGTAAAATGGAAACGAAACATGACGTCACATTGAGTATATAGCAAAAAATTGTCTCAAGCGGGAAAGTGCATAGAATAGTATGACGTCATTGATTCTCGAGTAAACATTGAATTAAAAAGCCAATTTTGTCTAATCTTAAAAGTGGTTTGAGTTAAGAGTTTCTTTCAGTCAAATCTTGGGGTAGGGGCAAAGCCGACCCCCCCCCCCCCCCCCCCCCCAAACTCAAAAGAAATGTTGTCATCGATACTCTGGGTCGGCGTGGTCGAGTCGGTAAAGCTCATGGTTGCTAAACCGAAAAGTCTCGAGTTCGAACCCTCGGGCAGATGAGGCTCATTAGCTGGGGGACAGCCACTCTTCTAGGAGAGACAACTCCAAAATTAAACAACTGCTGCCTTGTAGATTGTTCTTGGTTGGACAAAGGCTATGGAAGCAAATCCAAAAAGAAAAGCAGGCTGAAATCGGAGTCAATGGCCTCAATGGCGCATAAACCAGTTGACACGTAACGCTTGTGTTGGAGGCGTGGTCGAGTCGGCAAAAAGCTGGTTGATAAATTCGAACAAAGTCTCGAGTTTAAACCCACTGGCAGATAAATCTCGATCCCCTTCAACACTAATAATTAAGAACGAAGAAGAAGAAAGATCGATACTCTATAATGAAGGTACAGCCTAATTCATCTGGCTAATGTAAAAAGTGGTTTGCTTGCAGAGTTTCTTTTATGCGAAGCCCATTTAACCTCCCCCCCTCCCCTGATAGAACGTCTAATCCCTCCCCCTAAAAGAGTTTCTTTCATGCAATTCTTCGGGTAGTGGCTAAGCGCGACACCAGTGTTTCTTTCAGACTTTTTCCTCCCCGGAGGGGGAACTTTGTCTAATCTAAAAAGTGTTTAGCGTGCACAGTTTTTTCATGCATCTCTTCCCAAGTAGAGTTGCCTGAAAGAAACACTAAATGCGACTTTTGTCATGAATGAGATTGTTTATATTATTGTTTTGAGTTTATATTTAACCCAATGCAACAAGCCGCCAGTTGGTTGAGGCCACGACGGGGGGACGTTCTGACCGGGATTCAAAGGGACGACTCAAAATATCATCCCCTAGATTGTTATTGTAGTAGATTCTAGTTAGTAAAAAATAGTAGTAGCCTAAACTATAGGCCTAATTATAACACTAATATTAATAAACTAATTAGCCTAGACTATAATATTAGGCCAATAAAATAAACTTTAAAAAAAATAGTACATCTAGCTAGGCATAAAATAATTATTAATTAATTCTGAATTCAGTTTAAAATTAAATGAATAAATAAAATGAAGTTCAAGTAGGCTAAGTAAAAAGTAGTTAAGTATAAAATAAAGGGTAAAATCTTAGTTTAGCGTCGTAAATTCCAACTTAGCTAGTAATGTGCGATGAAGGTAACTAATGAATATTTCTTTCATTTGGCCATATTTATGTCATATTTTACATAATATAACAGATAATTGAATACCAAATCACAACCCAAGACCAAACCAGTCATAAATATCCTGGAATAAACTTTAAACTACCCCGTTCGAGACAACAATGAGTAAATACAAGCAGCGGCCATGTTTTAAAAACAATAAATTGTCTATTCGCATGTCTTTTGTGTTGATTTTGTGGTTTAATATGATTGTTTTGTATTGTTTTAATATATGCCGGGGGTCGTCCATAAATGACGTCACACTCGTAGGGGGGAGGGGGGGCCGTAATTTTGTGACGTTGTGTGTGAGGGGGGGGGGAGGGGTTCAGATGGAGCGACATCACACTTTTGCATTTTAAAAAAGCAATGTTACAAAACGAATTTTAGACGTTATTTTGCGTTTTAAAAAACTGTTTTAATACATTGTAATAACAATTGATTAAAATACTCTATTTTGACAGAGTTCAGACAAGATTTTGGAAAAATATAGCTGTTAAAAAAAAATTCAACTGCAATTTTGAGGGCTGAGGTGTGACGTCATTTTAGGGGGGGGGGGGTCTGGCTTTTTGTGACTACGTTTGACGGAGGGGAGGGGGGGGGAGGTAAAAATCGTCAAAAAAAAGCGTGACATCATTTATGGATGACCCCCTGTATAGTAATTTTTCTTTTTTTAAAAATATAGTTGACATGAATGACTAATAGACCATATCAGACTTAATAGTGTGCATCCAAGACCACAACAATTGTTGGGAGGTCGAACTTTTTAACACTTTATTTGCAGTAAGCAAATCAATATTAGATCGCTCATAAATGACGTCGCTCTTAAGATAGTAATGACAGCGTGCATTATTACAGAGCAAACATATGAACATATTGTTTCAGATAGAAATTGTGATTTGTGGTGGGGAGAGGTTGAGTAGAACTCAGAGATGTGATTTTGGAGACTGGTCAGGTTTTTTTTCTCGTGAAAACGGGATGGTTGTGGGAGAAAGACCAGCTGTAGAAGTATGACGCGTCATTCATTGGTGATCCATTTTCTCAGTGGGGACGAAAGAACTATTAAGAAAGGTCAAGAAATGTCAAAAGCTTGCCGAGTCGCATTTCTTGAACCCTACCTTTTTCATTCCCCCACTTAGCACATCGTCACCGAGTTAACGCTCGCACGTGACGTCATGTAGCGGTACCGCCGACCGTTAGGCTAATTTTATAGAAAAAAACAACAATAAGCACTGCCTTTTTGACGCTTTCGCGACGTTTAGTTTGATTACATAAGTTGGTGTTCATTAAACAGCCCCTAACACATCTATCACTCGTCCATTTAAACGTACGTAGTTATTTCTGCAAGCTTGCTGTCTTGAGACTTTCGGCCCTTTAAAAATGTATTAAGCTCACACCGTATAGAACTAGACTACCCATATTAAGCTCCAAAAGAAGCTTGGTGAAAACAGGATGGCCGTCCGATTTTGTAGCTGCTCTGCGCTTTTTAAAAACCACAATAAACGATAAGATGACACTTATATTAAAGTAAATTATAGTTCTGAATCTTGATACATTAAAAGTGATATTCGGAAATTAAGAGCCAGACCAGACAGTCAACATATTTCAATTTAAGTCCAAGAAAATAAATTTCCTCAAACGATGGAACATGTTAAATTTTCGCGCAGTTTAGCGAAATTGAATTTAAGTATTTACGTCATCTTACAAAGCGCGATAGCTTACTGGTGCTCTAACGTGGCCCATGCTAATGGCCGTATTCCTAACGCCCCGCATTAGACACGGCTTATTCGTCGGCAGGCATTTGGTGGCAAGCCTTTTTGACGGGGATAATGTGTTGCGGACGTTTTGCCGAATGTCTTAAACTAGCAGGCTTGCGACATTTGTGTTTTAAGCAAGGTATACGTATACTAATGCTTATTTATCGTTATTTTGATTGAACAAAGCATTATAGAGGTTCTCCATCAATAACCTAGGTATTTTTCCCCGTTCACCTCCTTCCATGAGACCGACACGTCATAAATTGCAAAGCCGCCTGAGTTGACGTCACAAATCTTCACTCACTCCCGTAGCAAATCATATGTGACATCATTGTGCCATCATTTATGGACAACCCCATATCACTCACTTGTGTACTTGATATTGACGATTTGACAACAAAGGATAACCAAAATGTGTCTGGCAGGTGGAGACTTGGGATCGACCATAATGACAACACGCGCTTAAGGGGTGGACGGGCTCATCGTTTTAGATGATGTTTTACGAGGGAAGCTGGTGGATAATACATTTGGTCTCTTTGTATATGTAAATGATGACAAACATTTAATGTTGTCAAAATTATGGTTAGAGATCTTAGATAAGGCAGAGTGAAGCGTAATTTTTTACATTATGACTTGTTGTGACATTGACGACAAAAATATGACGGAGGTTGGGGTTTAATTAAGGTAAAGAGAAGTAAAAAAAAAAGTCATAAGTTACGATAGAATTACTAACTGATGAAAAGAAAAACCTGAAATGAAAATAGTGAACATTCAAACAATAAGAAAAAACTCACAACTATTTAGTAATAGTAAGATCAGTAGCGTAGCGAGGGGGACGGGGGGGGGGGGGGACACAATGTCCCCGGGCGCCGACCTTAGGGGGCGCCAAAATGGGTTGGAAAAATAAATTGAAAGGTTGAGGGGAGTGCAAATCGAAAGTTTGAGGGGGGGGGGTGCAAATTGAAAGTTTGAGGGGGGTGCAAATCGAAATCTCGAGGGGGGGGGTGCAAATCGAAAAGTTTGTCCCGGGAAGGGTGATTTAATACATGGATACAAGTTGCATCTCACAATGCTTCTAGAATTAATAAAGTTGTTTGTTAGGAAATTCACATTTAAAAAAATGCTTTGTAATACGGACTATACAACAAGACAATCATATTTAAATACATTTTCATATGAATAGAAATGAAAGGGAAGCTACTCTCAATAACATTTTCTTAAGATGGCTGCTGTTCTTAATAGCAAATTTACTATCTCGAACAGGGTTGATAAAAATTAATTTCAGGATATTTAAATTGATTTAACCATCAATGGTGATCTATTATTCAATTATTTATAATATTTTATTAAAATATACGAAAATATACTCATATTTAATGACATATTCATTAATTCACTCTCTCCCACATTACTCTAGTTTTGGCCGAATTTACGACGCTAAACTAAGATTTTACCAAATAAAGTAGGCCTAAGTAATAACTCCAATAAGTAATAATAACTTAAGTACTAAGTAGTAAGTAGGCTAATTAGTAATAAATAATATTAATAAGTAATAATATATATAAATTTAATAAGTACTAAGTAGTTTAAAGTAGGCCTAACATTTTGGACATTAGTAAAAAAAAGTAAGATTTGTTAAACAAACTATTAACTAGCCTAGATCTATATTCTTTTAACCTTGTTTTTGTTTACATTAGATTCTAATTGATTCACTCATTGTTATCGATTTATTTAGGCGTCTAGACCTCTAGAATATATCTAACTCTAGATCTAGATCTAGATCTAGAACTAGATCGAACAGTGTTATTTATTAGTATTTTAGAGGGGAACGAAAGACTAAAACTCAAAAACTAAATAGATCTACTAAATACCTAACTACAACATTTTTCTTTATGAAGACAATAGTTATAATTTATTGTTTTTAGTTTAGACCTATAGCCTAAAGTTTATAACTGAAAGTATGCAGAGGCGTAGCGAGGTGGGGGGGGGGGACATATGTCCCCGGGCGCCGACCTTAGGAGGGCGCCAAAATGGGTTGGAAAAACAAATTGAAAGTTTGATGGGGGGTGCAAATCAAAAGTTCGAATGGGGGGGTGCAAATTGAAAGTTTGAGAGGGGGGGTGCAAATCAAAAGTTTGAGGGGGGTGCAAATCATAAGTTTGAGGGGGGTGCAAATCAAAAGTTCGAGGGGGGGCAAATCGACATTGCTATTTTTTGCCTTGGTGTCACCCCCCTAAATGGTGTCACCCGGTGCGGTCCGCCCCCCCCCTCGCTACGCCTCTGCCTAATACTAATTGAGTAACTAATTGACAATTGTCAATGATTTTAATAACAATAGCTTCCCACTAGTAGATCTAGCTAGAGTAATAAATTTTTCGTTATACTATTACCAAAGAGAATGTAGAAAAATAAAAAGAAATAAATCTACGTTGACTTAATTAATAATTTCATAGAGTGTTTACTTTGTTTACGATGATTATGGTCTTTAGACGAAATTAAATATCCAGATGTTAGTGCTGATATTAGATCTAGACTCTAGAGTCTAGTATCTGTTTACTGTAGAGCAAATGAATACAATTAAAATGATACCCAACAAATTAAATCTTTATCTTACATTTCTTGTCATTAAAGAATGAGTGGCAATAATTAAAATTCTGTTTACTTTATTAAAATAGATTTATATTTAAATCTAGATCTAATATTTAATAGATTGGTTTGTTTTTGGGAAGATTAATTGAACGAAACTTTCATTTGCGCAAGTAATCGATTACCCGAAGCCGGAAATTGGTGTGAAACGAAAGCAAAAACTCACCTGTTGTTAGTACAATTTAAGATCTAGATTTCTAGATCTAGACTAGATCTGTTAATTAAAAATAGATCTAGAATCTGTAAAGATATAATTTTTTCCACTTGTTTTCTCATCATTACCCTGTTAGAATAGATGTAGCATGTAGATCTATTAAAAAAATTGGATGATATTTCGAGTCGTCCCTTTGAATCCCGGACAGATCGTCGCCCTGGCCAACCCCGGAAGCCCCCCCCCCCCCCCCCCTCCAAAAATGTGTTTTAATATATTATATATATATATATATATATAGATGTATAGATATATATACAATATAAATGCACTCGTAATAACACATAAACGTTTTGGAGTTTATAAGCTAATACCAAACTTCTCACTTTAATAACAACAGGTGTTCACCGATCCCACGGTTTACCCAATGTTATTTAATATTTGCTGAGATATTAAATCAATTTTGCCACTTCTATAATTGATACAAATTCACCAAAGAAAATTTAATCAAATGCCAAAAAAAATTGGGCAATGAAGTAGCTAAGCCAATGCAAAAATTTAATTTCAGTAAAACAATATAATAGTTACGTATTTGGATAGAGGCTGTCAATCTAATTACAGATCAGTTTGAATTTTTAAAATCTGACCGTCTACTACAGGTATCCCGCCAGCTCAATAAAAAAACGTCTTCATCTGTCCGAATACAATAGGGTATCTCATTACATGTTTTCCGAAATTTACATCCCATGTCAGGTTGGGGGCTAATTCGCCATCTCCAGTCACCTCAGGTCAAATGCGAGGCGACCATACCCTGCACACAGCGAGGTGTGACACTAATGTCTTTCTATTAGAATAACAGTCTGTCCTAGTTCAGGTGGGTGAAAACTCAGTAACACCAACCGTGGTCTCAGTTTTTCCCAATTGAATTCAGCAACGATCAATCGGATCATTTAAAGTTTACAAACTAATTCAGACAACAATGACGGTGCTTCAAGCGCTGGACCCTGTTTGCCACCCCCAAATGCCGGCTCTGGCGTAAAGCATGGCACTAAGAGTCGTGTGGTATTAGGACCCTATCAGCACAAAAGCCCAAATAAAACTACTAATCTACTTCTGAGGTAACAACCACTGCTTTTCTTAGATAGCAGAGAAGCAGAGGATTCATTTTATGTAATTTATGACCCACTTGGCCCAGCAGGGAGAAGATGATCATTAGAGCAATGGCGTTTAGAAGTGGCTAATTAAAAAATCAAAATTTAGAAAAGATATAGAATCCATAAAAAAATAATAATAAAAAAACAAGCATACAACACTAGTGATAGCTTTAATAGCTTAGATGAATACTTAGGGCAAGGGTCCGAATAGCGACTTCCAAACAAGTAAACCTACATGAAACATTTTTTAAAACCTAAATCTTATTCATCTTACTGTTACATTAATTTAGTAATAGTAATATTATTAGTAGGCTTATAATATTTTAATATTTAATAATTCCAAATCGGCCTAGTCCAATGAAATAATTAAAATTGGGCCTAATAATAATAACAATTGATCCGTCCCACAGCGTTACATACACCACTATTTAGTTGTCTTATTTTCTACTTCTTCATAATTTGTAAATTCAACACTACCCCCTCTCCCCCTGTGAAAGCAGCTGTCCCTGATGACAGTTTACAGACAGCAATGAAAAGATCAAGCAGAAATTGTTGCCTCTCCTTAGTTTCAAATAGTTAAAAAGCTAAATTATTTGCCTCTAATAGCCATCACTAATTTGACCCGGCTCTATGATAGTAACAATCGGGGTAAACCACAGCTCACCAGACTGGTGGGGATGGTAGCGACATGGTCTGTTGCACATGCCTGTAGACAAAGTAGGGGGCGGGAGGAGGGTTAGATAGTCTGCTTGCGTTGTCTTGTCCATGATGAAAAGAATTATATATTTAGATTACTTGGGCATATTAATAATTCACTTCGCCTATAGTTTTTAATTAGTGTTGCTGCTAGTTACTTTTAGGTTTAGTCTGTTTAAGGTAGCCTACAATATCATTTTGATTATTTTTTATTTAAATATGCAATGTGTGGTAGTAGAGTGTGATAATCTATCCAATGTACGTGAGCTAAATGACTGACATGTAATAGATCATACTTGACTAAATTCTCAAGGTCCTGGCATAATGGCCATCAAAATGTAATTTATATTTTCAGATTTTATTTCATTTAAAATTTAATCATGGGTATCCTGGAGAAAATTCAAGAAATTGAAAGGGAAATTTCAAGAACTCAAAAGAATAAAGGTTAGTCATACTGTGTTGATATACAGCTAAAATTATACTTTGTCTAAGAAATCAATTCCAAAGCTGTTGTAGTCACATCTTCTTTGGTAAAATATATTTGATAAATACATTAGTTGTTTTTTGCCTATTAATAAACCAAAACTTTGCAGCAACTGAATATCATTTGGGTCTCCTAAAGGCCAAGATTGCCAAGTTAAGACAGCAGTTGCTAGAACCATCTGGTAAAACTGGACAAAAGGTTGGAACTCAGTTTTTTCTTTTTATTTTAAAACAAACATAATTTCAAATATAATTATCCTTATTGCATTGATTTTGAAGTAAAATGTATGTTCTTTGTATGTGATTTATATGTTTTGTGAAGTTTTTATTTCAAGAAATGTTTAAAGTAGCCTATTGTTCTGTAATAAAGGAAAACGTAATCTATCATTCTATTGTAAAGTGAAACGTAGTCTACTGTTCTAGTATTAAGGAAAATTTAGTCTATTGTTCTGTTATAAAGTGAAAAGTGGTCTATTTATTCTATTATAAAGAGGTTTTCATGTTCTGCAATGTTCTAAACCAGGGGGAAGGGTTTGATGTGATGAAATCTGGAGATGCACGTGTAGCATTGATAGGATTTCCTTCAGTTGGTAAGGTAAGTTTTGATAGGATTTCCTTCAGTTGGTAAGGTAAGTTTTGATACGATTTCCTTCAGTTGGTAAGGTAAGTTTTGATAGGATTTCCTTCAGTTGGTAAGGTAAGTTTTGATACGATTTCCTTCAGTTGGTAAGGTAAGTTTTGATAGGATTTCCTTCAGTTGGTAAGGTAAGTTTTGATACGATTTCCTTCAGTTGGTTAGGTAAGTTTGACACTTGTGCCATGTTTGACTACAAGCTTTCTGTGACACTACTCATAAATAGTATATTGGGTTTGCAAAGAAGAAAAGACCTTGTACATTTAGTATCTGTGTACTGTATGATTCAACTGTTGCCACTTTCTCTGACCAGTCAACTTTATTGAATACAATGACTTCAACCCACAGTGAATCAGCCTCTTATGAATTCACAACATTGACATGCATCCCTGGTGTTATTGAGGTACGTGAACTCTCTTCTCCATCTTATATTCTATGTGTGTCTTGTCCATATAAGCTATGTGTGTCTTGTCCATGGTTTTACATGTATGTTGTAGTTGATGGCAGTTTTACATGTATGTTGTAGTTGATGACAGTTTATGTGTATGTTGTAGTTGATAGCAGTTTTACATGTATGTTGTAGTTGATGACAGTTTTAGGTGTATGTTGTAGTTGATAGCAGTTTTACATGTATGTTGTAGTTGATGACAGTTTACATGTATGTTGTAGTTGATGAAAGTTTTACGTGTATGTTGTAGTTGATGACAGTTTATGTGTATGTTGTAGTTGATAGCAGTTTTACATGTATGTTGTAGTTGATGACAGTTTACATGTATGTTGTAGTTGATGAAAGTTTTACGTGTATGTTGTAGTTGATGACAGTTTATGTGTATGTTGTAGTTGATAGCAGTTTTACATGTATGTTGTAGTTGATGACAGTTTATGTGTATGTTGTAGTTGATAGCAGTTTTACGTGTATGTTGTAGTTGATGACAGTTTTACGTGTATGTTGTAGTTGATGACATCTTACATTTGAACAACTTTCCATTCCAGTATAATGGTGCTAACAGTTTTACATGTATATTGTAGTGTATGTTGTATGTTCCAGTACAGTTTTACGTGTTGTATGTTGTATGTTCCAGTATAATGGTGCTAACAGTTGTACGTGTATGTTGTATGTTCCAGTATAATGGTGCTAACAGTTGTACGTGTATGTTGTATGTTCCAGTATAATGGTGCTAACAGTTGTACGTGTATGTTGTATGTTTCAGTATAATGGTGCTAACAGTTGTACGTGTATGTTGTATGTTCCAGTATAATGGTGCTAACAGTTGTACGTGTATGTTGTATGTTCCAGTATAATGGTGCTAACAGTTGTACGTGTATGTTGTATGTTCCAGTATAATGGTGCTAACAGTTGTACATGTATGTTGTATGTTCCAGTATAATGGTGCTAACAGTTGTACGTGTATGTTGTATGTTCCAGTATAATGGTGCTAACAGTTGTACGTGTATGTTGTATGTTCCAGTATAATGGTGCTAACATCCAGCTGCTTGACTTGCCTGGAATTATTGAAGGGGCTGCACAAGGTAAGTACACATGGTGTACATTGATGTACATGCAAACCACATTGATGTACACATGGTGTACATTGATGTACATGCAAACCACATTGATGTACACATGGAGTGCATTGATGCACATGTATAGCTGTTGTGAACACACGGTGTTCGGGTGATCTGATGCTTAGTGCAACATATAAGACAAACAACCACAAACGGGTTACAAAACAAGACTGAATGAACACAAAGGCTTGTTAAAACTAAAAGAATTTAATAATATCTACACCTAACCCAGTCTATTTTAAGCACAATATACACAAGCTAGTAAAACTATGATACAGTGGCTAAAAACTAGTATAGACCTAACCTATATTAACCTTGGAGATCTGGACAAAACTGAGGCTATCACATACGTTTTCACACACCTTATATACCCTTTCATAAACTGGTACAAACCCGACTATTACAACTCACACAGTACGAGAAGTGAACAAGGACGAACGGGATAGGGTACCAAGTACAAACAATATTTACCCCCATTCATCCCCTTCACTCGTTCTTTACAGTAGCACATTGATGTACACACGGAGTGCATTTATGCACATTGATGTTGTACACATGGAGTGCATTGATGTACACATGGAGTGCATTGATGCACATTGATGTACACATGGAGTGCATTGATGCATATTGATGTACACATGGAGTGCATTGATGCACATATGTAGCACATTGATGTACACATGGAGTGCATTGATGCACATATGTTGCACATTGATGTACACATGGAGTGCATTGATGTACACATTGAGTGCATTGATGCACATATGTAACACTTTGATGTACACATGGAGTGCATTGATGCTCATGTGTAGCACATTGATGTACACATGGAGTGCATTGATGCATATGTGTAGCACATTGATGTACACATGGATTGCATTGATGTACACATGGAGTGCATTGATGCATATGTGTAGCACATTGATGTACACTTACTGGTTTGATTACACAACCACCACACTTTCTTTGTTTTCATCTCCCGATAAGGTGTAATCACTTAATTGTTAAACAATTGTAATAAGTAATTAAAAAATATTTGAGTAGGTTTAATGTTGCTGCATGTCCGCATTCTGTTTAAAACTTGTACGTCCATCTTTAGGTAAGGGGCGAGGAAGGCAGGTGATTGCTGTAGCCAGAACTGCAGATTTAATTATTATTATGTTGGACGCAACAAAAGGTGATATTCAAAGGTTGGTGTTATTTCTCTCAACTTTGTTGCAACAAAAACTGTGCGAGCAGAAAATGTTGCAGCAGATTGAAGGTGGGTTTTATTTAGTGGACAACTGAAGCATGAGATCATTGAACTGAGCTTTAACAAATATATATACAAACCACGTACATTATTTAGCCAGATGTTTTTATTTCTTTTACTGAACTAAAACCTGCTAAAGTCAATTTATAAAAGGTCAGTGATCAATTGCTAATTATAGCTCTAGTGTGTTTTGTAGAGCTCAACCTTTTTGGCTATGATTAGCTATGTAGAGATTTGTCAAAATTACATAGTATTCACTTGTATTTGTAGGCAGTTGAAAGTATTCACTTGTATTTGCAGGGAGCTGCTTGAAAAAGAGTTAGAGGAGGTTGGAATACGTCTAAATACAAGGAAACCAAATATATATTTCAAGGTACAGTATTGATTCATTGACTTGACTGGGTTTATTCTAATATTGTATGTTGTCTAAAATGAAACATCTAATTGCAGCAAAAAAAAGGTGGTGGAATTTCTTTTAACTCTATGGTGCCTCTTACAAAAACAAATGAGAAAATGGTGCAGCTAATCCTGCATGAATACAGTATCCTTTCAAACAACCAATCAACTTTATTGTTTTATGGTGGCACCTTTCAAACAACCAATCAACTTCATTGTTTTATGGTGGCACCTTTCAAACAACCAATCAACTTCATTGTTTTATGGTGGCACCTTTCAAACAACCTATCAACTTCATTGTTTTATGGTGGCACCTTTCAAACAACCAATCAACTTCATTGTTTTATGGTGGCACCTTTCAAACAACCAATCAACTTCATTGTTTTATGGTGGCACCTTTCAAACAACCAATCAACTTTATTGTTTTATGGTGGCACCTTTCAAATAACCAATCAACTCCATTGTTTTATGGTGGCACCTTTCAAACAACCTATCAACTTCATTGTTTTATGGTGGCACCTTTCAAACAACCAATCAACTTCATTGTTTTATGGTGGCAAGTCAGGAGAAATATTTTGTGACAACTGGTGGGTCAAGGTGGGTGGTAAATTTGTGACAACTGGTGGGTGGTAAATTTGTGACAATAGGTGGGTGGTAAATTTGTGACAACTTGTGGGTGGTAAATCAGTGACAACTGGTGGGTGGTAACTTAGTGACAACTGATGGGTCAAGGTGGGTGGTAAATTTGTGACAACTGGTGGGTGGTAAATCAGTGACAACTGGTAGGTCAAGTTGGTTGGGAAATTTGGGACAACTGGTGGGGAAAAATATTTTGCGTGATTGATGAAAGTGTACAAAGTCTGTAAAATGTTCTTTAACACTAGTTCAGAAATCTTCAATGCAGAAGTTTTATTTAGGGAAGACTGTAGCTCCGATGAGTTTGTTGATGTGATCCTTGGCAACAGGGTCTATATGCCTTGCTTATACGTGAGTATTGTTTGATAGTTCAATGTTTCTTCTGCCCATGCATGCTACATCAGAAGGCCAGAGAATTAGTTTTCACCCACAAATATGATAATAAACACATTTTGGACAAATACTTTTTAATAAAATCTTTTCTTGTAGGTTTACAACAAGATAGATCAAATATCTATAGAAGAGGTTGACAGATTAGCCAGGCAACCTCACACTGTTGTTGTAAGGTAATAGAGCTGTTATAGTTGTTATATAGCTGTCTCACACAATAGTTGTTATATAGCTGTCTCACACAGTAGTTGTTATATAGCTGTCTCACACAATAGTTGTTATATAGCTGTCTCACACAATAGTTGTTAATAGCTGTCTCACAATAGTTGGTGCTGTTATATAGCTGTCTGACACGGTTGTAATATACAATGCTCTATGTTACAGTTGTAATATACAATGCTCTATGTTTCAGTTGTAACATGAAAATGAACTTGGTTGTAATATACAATGCTCTATGTTACAGTTGTAATATACAATGCTCTATGTTTCAGTTGTAACATGAAAATGAACTTGGTTGTAATATACAATGCTCTATGTTACAGTTGTAATATACAATGTTCTATGTTTCAGTTGTAATATACAATGCTCTATGTTACAGTTGTAATATACAATGCTCTATGTTTCAGTTGTAATATACAATGCTCTATGTTACAGTTGTAACATGAAAATGAACTTGGACTACTTGTTAGAAGAAATGTGGGAACATCTGGCCTTGTTGAGAGTCTACACAAAAAAAAGAGGGGGTAAGTCAAGAATCATGACTGTTGGTACAATCATGATGGTGCTGTGGCTGTTGGTACAGTCATGATGTTGCTGTGGCTGTTGGAACAATCATGATGGTGCTATTGGTACAATCATGATGGTGCTGTTGGTACAATCATGATGGTGCTGTTGGTACAATCATGATGGTGCTGTTGGTACAATCATGATGGTGCTGTTGGTACAATCATGATGGTGCTGTTGGTACAATCATGATGGTGCTGTTGGTACAATCATGATGGTGCTGTTGGTACAATCATGATGGTGCTGTTGGTACAATCATGATGGTGCTGTTGGTACAATCATGATGGTGCTGTTGGAACAATCATGATGGTGCTGTTGGTACAATCATGATGGTGCTGTTGGAACAATCATGATGGTGCTGTTGGTACAATCATGATGGTGCTGTTGGTACAATCATGATGGTGCTGTTGGTACAATCATGATGGTGCTGTTGGTACAATCATGATGGTGCTGTTGGTACAATCATGATGGTGCTGTTGGTACAATCATGATGGTGCTGTTGGTACAATCATGATGGTGCTGTTGGAACAATCATGATGGTGCTGTTGGTACAATCATGATGGTGCTGTTGGTACAATCATGATGGTGCTGTTGGTACAATCATGATGGTGCTGTTGGAACAATCATGATGGTGCTGTTGGTACAGTCATGATGGTGCTGTTGGTACAGTCATGATGGTGCTGTTGGAACAATCATGATGGTGCTGTTGGTACAATCATGATGGTGCTGTTGGTACAATCATGATGGTGCTGTTGGAACAATCATGATGGTGCTGTTGGTACAATCATGATGGTGCTGTGGCTGTTGGTACAATCATGATGGTGCTGTTGGTACAATCATGATGGTGCTGTGTCTGTTGGTACAGTCATGATGGTGCTGTGTCTGTTGGAACAATCATGATGGTGCTGTTGGAACAATCATGATGGTGCTGTTGGTACAATCATGATGGTGCTGTTGGAACAATCATGATGGTGCTGTTGGTACAATCATGATGGTGCTGTTGGAACAATCATGATGGTGCTGTTGGAACAATCATGATGGTGCTGTTGGAACAATCATGATGGTGCTGTTGGTACAATCATGATGGTGCTGTGGCTGTTGGTACAATCATGATGGTGCTGTTGGTACAATCATGATGGTGCTGTTGGAACAATCATGATGGTGCTGTTAGTACAATCATGATGGTGCTGTTGGAACAATCATGATGGTGCTGTTGGAACAATCATGATGGTGCTGTTGGTACAGTCATGATGGTGCTGTTGGAACAATCATGATGGTGCTGTTGGAACAATCATGATGGTGCTGTTGGTACAATCATGATGGTGCTGTTGGTACAATCATGATGGTGCTGTTGGAACAATCATGATGGTGCTGTTGGTACAATCATGATGGTGCTGTTGGAACAATCATGATGGTGCTGTTGACATTTTGCTGGAGCCATAACTGACCACATGACTATGTAGCATTTGACATTTTGCTGCTACATTGACATAAACCTTCAAAACATTTTCAGAGCGACCTGATTTTGAAGATGGTTTAATTTTACGAAGAGGTGCAACAGTGGAGCACGTGGTAAGAAAATTTGTGGCAAATAATTCTTTTTTTATTCACAATAATGAATATGTTCTAACATGATTGAAATGTTGAAACCTTTACTCCTTCATGTTAGCACATGACAAAAATAAATTGTTGGTACTATTGTGTGTGGAAGTCATTAGTGAGTAAGGATTGATGCATTACAATAACCCTTTGAACCCATAGCTCCTCAACCAAAAATGCCCATCCCCCTGAGTTTAATGTACACACAACAGACTCTCAATAAAGAAATAAAAACTATGGATATAACAACTAGATTAATTTTATTATTTTGATTAACATTTGTACATGAATTATCGTTAATATTTTGACTCAGTAATCTGGTCGCCTGTGTTGGTTGATCCTTCTTTTAGACATAGTTAGATGTAGACATAGTAAATTGTAAATGGTAAACACACCAAAACATTTGGTTCATGGGCGCAGCCATGACAGGAACTTAACATGACCCAAACATCACCAGTTACGTACTTTTTTTTATATATTGCAATTTTATGTACGGACTGCCGGGGTGAGGTGTCTAGTACTGTTTTATCTGTACCTAGTCATGGAGCAGTGGCGGAACTAGAAAAAAAGGGCCACCCCGCAAAAAAAATTCTGCCCCCCCCCCCTCATATATATATATATATATATATATATATATATATATATATATATATATATATATATATATATACAAACACAGAACTCAAACATTGGATACTTATTTCTCGCCTGATCTGGTTTTGGAAAAAAAAATTCTTTTTTTTTTTCAATTTAAACAAATTTCAAACATGTCATGTGTGTGAGTGCATTAGTCTGTTGAAATTTTTTTTTATTTTTTTTTTATAACTAGTTTATTCAATATGTTTGCTGTAATACAGCCGATTGATTATTGATTGTCTTCATCTGTCATGTCATGATTGTCTGCATCTGTCATGTCACGGTTGTCTACATCTGTCATGATTGTCTGCATCTGTCATGTCATGATTGTCTACATCTGTCATGATTGTCTACATCTGTCATGTCATGATTGTCTTCATATGTCTTGATTGTCTACAACTGTCATGTCATGATTGCCTACATCTGTCATGTCATGATTGTCTACATATGTCATGATTGTCTACATGTCTCATGATTGTCTACATGTGTCATGATTGTCTACATCTGTCATGATTGTCTACATCTGTCATGTCATGATTGTCTACATATGTCACAATTTTCAGTGCCATGTGATACACAGATCCATAGCAGAAACTTTTAAATATGCTTTGGTTTGGGTAAGTAGGTTATATTGCTGAAGTTGTTTATTTAGTTTCTCTGTTGTTATGTTGAGTATATATTTTATACAGTTGAACGATTTAGTTTCTCTATTGTTTAGTTATGTTGGGTAGATATTTTATACAGTTGAACGATTTAGTTTCTCTATTGTTTAGTTATGTTGGGTAGATATTTTATACTGTTGAATGGTTTAGTTTCTCTATTGTTTAGTTATGTTGGGTAGATATTTTATACTGTTGAATGGTTTAGTTTCTCTATTGTCTAGTTATGTTGGGTAGATATTTTATACAGTTGAATGGTTTAGTTTCTCTATTGTCTAGTTATGTTGGGTAGATATTTTATACTCTTGAATAATTTGGCTGTAGTCCTATTGACTTGTACCCAACTAATTTAAGAAACAAAAAGTCTAGAGCAGAATTCGACAATCTTTTGAGACAGATAAGCCAAAAGTTAAAGTTTACAAAATTTGTCAGATTTAAAAAAAGCCACTTATTTATTTCAATATTATGTTATTTGATTTAGTTTAGGTACATGAATTTGATTTTTTATTTAAAATAAATAGCTTTAAAAATGAAATAATATTTATTCATCTACAAACTTACAAATGTTTCATACAAAACATATTAACGTATTTTAGCTACCTCTGCTAGAATAATAAAATGATATAACTATTATTATTGTATAATATTTACAATAATTACATGAATGTTTTATTATATTCATGCAAAAAAAAACCTTGCTCGCGTGAATATGTTGACCCTAAGACCGTCAGCACTCCATTTCTTTTAGAGCTGTCCACTTGTATTATAGTGAATGTGTATTATAATCTATATATATAATTCTCTTCTGGGAGACGCTAGAAAACAAGCTGTAAAAACAAGCTCCCTACCACCCCCACCCCTACATGGTCTTAGTGAGTTGTGTTCACTCTAAATGTTTACAAGCAGAGCCGGGTTTAGTGACGACTATTAGGGGCAGATAATTTAGTTTGAAACGATTTTAAACATAGGGGGGGGGGGTGGGAAGGTGGGGGGGTTATGGTTCTTATCTTGCTACATATAGTGTTTTAAAGAAATATTTTCGAATTCACAAATTATGAATTACTGAAAAGTAGAAAAAAAACAACAACTAAATAGCGGCATATGTTATGCCGCGGGACGGCTCGTTCTTAATATTTGTGCATGGAACTGGAGAGCTGCATCTTGACATTAAATGAGTTGCTTGCATCTTGCGAGCGGCAGGCTGTCGACCCCTGGTCTAGAGGGTTAGGGTAAAACTTATCTAAACCTAACCGTATTCCCCCAATATTTAGTGTTAATTTGAAAACATTGCTGGTCAAAAATGACACTAACTAGAAAACTGTTTTTTTGTATATTCAGATTCTTTATTGTTATAATCAACACCATAATTGTGGGTTCATTCAAAACCTGCTTTTTAAAAATGCAATAATCAAGATTGTAGTTTATCTTGATGCTAAACTGTAACTATTTGTAGTTTATCTTGATGCTAAACTGTAACTATTTGTAGTTTATCTTGATGCTAAACTGTAACTATTTGTAGTTTATCTTGATGCTAAACTGTAACTATTACATGACTGACATCAAAATCTTTCTCACCATGCCAGGGCCAAAGTGCCAAGTACAGCCCCCAGAGAGTCGGCCTAAGCCATTTTATGGCAGATGAAGATGTCATTCAGATTGTCAAGAAGTAAATGTCAAGAAGTCTTATGTGATGATTGTGTGCTGTTATTCTGTTGTTTGAATGAACTGAATACATGCATGTATTATAACTGTATTATTATTTTAATTCTATTCAAGCTATTAAATACCAATAGCCTATCCACCACAGACTGTCTTGTTCTATCTATATGACTACAGACTGTCTTGTTTTTGTTCTGTGCCAATTTTTTTCAGTTGACAGATTTTGTTGACCACAAACTAATTAAAGGTAGGTAACTCAACTCCAGAGATCACAAGCCATTGGACAGATTTAACACCACATTTGGTCTTAGACTAGGTAAAGTTCTTTTTAAACAAATGACTAAAATAAAAGGTGTTTAATACATCTCACATAAAAAATAAACACTTTAAGTTCAGGAAAAGATTTTTTTATTATGTTAAAAGAAAAATCACAAATTAAAAAAATGCAATAAAAAGTAAAAAAAAAAATGAATTTAGTTTGTAACCTTACTAAAACAATTCTGGTATGACTGAAAAATATGGACTATATTTTCCCATTCAAAGGGAGTTCATTGATATGTTCTATAATATTATTATTATAAGACCTTTGTTGAATTTTCATCATTGGGCGTCTAGGCTTTACTTTTTAGCCATACCATCATAAAGCTTTAGTAAGGTTACATTAAGTTTACTTTTTAGTGCATTAGTCCCGGGCAGATGAGGCTCGTTAGCTGGGGACAGCCACTCTTCTAGGAGAGACAACTCCAAAATCAAACAACTTCTGCCTTGTAGTTTGTACTTGGTTGGACAAAGGCTATGGAAGCAAATCCAAAAAGAAAAGCAGGCTGAAATCTGAGTCAATGGCGCATAACCAGTTGACACATATCCTTAATTTTGTGATGGAAGCATGGTCGAGTTGGCAAAAGCTCATGGTTGATACATTCGAAAAAAGTATCGAGTTCAAACCCTCTGGCAGATATGGCTCGCTCCCTTCGAACACTAAAAATTAAGAAGAAAGAAGAAGTGCATTTGTTTTTCATTTGTGAGGAGGCTATTAAATTATAAAAGCCTTTAACTATTAAAAATGTTATTGTGTATGACCACAGACGTTATTTTGAAACAACATACAAACCGGAAGCAAACTGTTCTGCCAAGCACCTCTCTAGCCTAGTTAAGGTTAAGATCAAGCATTTTAAGCTGACAAATTATATAGGCTTCTATAGAATGAATGAATGTATATCAGTCCTTTGTGCATTAGTACACCAAAGTGTTGCCTGTAGTCAGAGCCGGCGTTAGGGGGTGGCAAACGGGGCGGTCGCCATAGGCCCCGCGCTTGAAGGGGCCCCGCGCTTCAGCAACGCCATTGTTGCCTGAATTAGTTTGTAAACTTAAATAATCTTTGCTGAATTAAATTTAAAAAAAAAAAAAAAAAACTAAATGGCCGAAATTGTTGGATGTTAAAACTGAGGCCACGGCTGTTGTTAGTGAGTTATCCTCTGCATGGACTGGTACAGACCGTTATTCGATACGAAGACATTAGTGTCACACATCGCTGGCACGGTCGACTCGCTATTGTCCTGAGGTGACTAGAGATGGCGGTCGCGAATTAGCCCCCGACCTGACATGGGAAGTAAAATCGGGAAAAACGTAAAAAGATACCCTATTGTTTGCGGACCGTTGAAGACGTTTTTTTAGTGAGCAGTCGGGGGTGCCTGTAGTAAACAGTCAGTGACCTGATGATGGCTTGCAGAGGAGGATGGGGGGGGGAGCGGATGGGGACATGCCCCGAAAATCCAGAGTATTTATCCCTAAAATCATAATTTATACACTGTATGGGCATCTTTTGTGTAACATCTTTTATGCATATTCACCACGATACGTTTGATAGGCATCCATACAGTAATTATGTTCATATTTATTTTATATATTGCCAGGTCATCTTTAAATACATTATACTTGTATTTATTTTTATATTTTTGAAGGGCATTTATACAGTAATTATGTCCATTTTCATTTAACGGTATTCGTAAAGTGATTAAGCACATGTTTATTTTAATTAATTGTAGGGACAGTGGCGTAGCGAGGTCGGGTGTCACCCGGTGCGGCACTTAATGGTGTCACCCCCCCCCCCCCTTCCCGAGGCGTAGCGACCCTTCCCGGGAAAATTTTTTCAAATTTTCGATTTGTACACCCCCCCCCTCCTCAAACTTTTGATTTGCACCCCCCTCAAGTTTTCGATTTGCGCCCCCCCCCCCCCCCACACCTCAAACTTTCTATTTGCACCCCCCTCAAGTTTTTCTCTATATATTTTGCTATTTTTGCTTTGGTGTCACCCCTCTAAAAGGTGTCACCCGGTGCGATCCGCAACCCCCCCCCCCCCGCCCCCGCTACGCCTCTGTGTAGGGATATTCATTAAATAGTTAAGGCCATAGTGATTCTTGTTTTAAAATAGTGTAGGCACACTAAACAAATTATAAAGTCTATAATGTTTGATACATGATGCCCCAAAATTCCCCAAAGTTAAGTGTTTTGAACGGACACAAATTTTGAAAATTCATAAAAAATTAGTTTGAAGATATGCACTTAAAATTTTTAGCTGATTACCCCAAAATATGGAAGAAGATTATGAATTGATTGTTTATTGGGCTTAAAATGTAATATTTTATGAATGGTGGAAAACCTACGAAGGGGTTAATTTTTCAAGATGGCCGCTGTTGTCATAGTTACCAAGATTTTTTCACCAATTTTTTTAAGTGGAAATGCATATGCGGATGTATCTTAATAAAGCTGTATAGAAATAACTGTTTTCTAACGAGTATTAAAAAAGTTTTTTTTACCGGAGCCTTCCCCCTTAACGTTGCTTCAAAGTGCCCGAAGGTATTAAGTCAGCCAAACAGTGCCTTCAGTACATTTGGAGTATTCGGGATTCCTTTCCCAATACGGCGATCGCCTACAGAATCTTGCTAACAGTTCCAGTCACGAAAGGCAAGAAAAGTAGATCTTCGTTTGTGAACTTTCTGGTAAGATTTTCTTAAATAAACATTAATGTAAAAAAATCAGGTTTGAAGCTGACGTTCATCGTCTCTTTAATGCGTGTATCAAACTTATATCTGTTTTATTTTTTACTTTTCAAACAAAAAGCCTTAACAGAAACAAGCAACGTTTCAAAAGCACTTCTAAGTAAACAAATTATTTGTTAATCAGTGTCTTAATGTTAATACGACATTGATAAACAGCTTAAAAATACCATACATATCGTTATAAATATTAATTCGCGTTGAGAAGAAAAAAAAAAACGCCTCACTGTACATGTTTTATTTAATTATACACCAATGAAAAAAATATAAGGCCCCGCGCGGATGGTTGGCCATAGGCCCCGCGTACCCCTAACGCCGGCTCTGCCTGTAGTGGACCCCAAAATCTCAGTCCTTTGTGCATTAGTACACCAAAGTGTTGCCTCTAGTGGACCCCAAAATCTTTTGAATACTGAAGTGAATGAGTTGACTTTTCCTTAAGGGGATATAACCAAGTTAAGATGATGCTGCCGAAAATAGCAAGTTGTTTCCCAATCAACCAGCTGAAAGATTCAGCAAGTCTGTGTCATTTGATCTATATTTATTGTCAAACGGGGGAGGGGGATGCATCATCGCCTAAATATAATAGCTATCCATTTCATCTATATATATAAAGCAAAGTGGTCAAGTGCCCGTTAGGGCACTTCCCGGCGCCGCATGCTCGTCAAATTTGGCACGATGACCCCTCCCCATAAGAATGTGACGTCATTTATGGACGACCCCCAAAACAATTTAAAGATGGTCAGGAATTTTTCCATTGATTGCTAAACAAAGCTAAACACTAACGCAAACACAACATAAATAATAAATACAAAAATAAACCGGTAGTGATCTCCCCTAAACTTTCTCGAATATTCTTATATAACCAGATCTATAACACTACGGGGGCTGGCAACTCGAGACATAGACAATATTTTTAATCCATTTTTAATTACTTACACTTTTTTAATTACTTAAAATTTTAAAAATAGAATAGAATCTCGTAAAAAAAAAAGAATTGCACAACAAGTGAACGACAAATAAAATGTTCATAATAGTGCGGGATATTATTAGTACTTTATAAATTCACATGCGTTTTTGAGAAATCGGAAATTGCGTAAATTACTACTTCCGGTCAACGGAAATTACTCAAAATTTGAAAGAAGGCAGAGAGTTAGAACTTTTAATTACATGTGAAATTTTATTTATATATCGGAAATAGACATACGGACAAGATTGCACTATGTTTTTCCGACTCAGTGAGGTGTAAAACGTCGAGATTTGCAAAAATCTTGATTTTTTTTTCCACGATTACAAGACTTTCTCTATACTTCGTATATACGAGAAAGTAATAAAAGAAAACATAACACAAACACAAAAGAAAACGCTAACACGAAAACAACACAAACACAATGCAAACGCAAACGCAAAAAAAAAAAACCACAAACGAAAACACAAACGCAAACTCAAAAAAAAAAAACACAATGCAAATGCAACACGCATAACATAAACACAACTTAAATGCATAAACTCATAGTGCTCGCAGTCTAGCCCGGGTTACCAAATCGCACACTACCGGGCGCCGGCGGAACCGTCTGATTCAATTTAGTGAACGACTTTAATACCCCAAGCTAATTCGCAAACGGAAAGATAGATGATAAAAGTAAACATAGAGGACATTTAGGAGCTGGTTTCTAAACTGTTATTGGTTACAAATAATATTTAGTAAACAGTAGCACATTTCACTTGATCAATTATTATTTAATACTCTACCAAACCGTTTACCTCAGCCATATTTTGCAACGTTGAGATAATGTAACTTCCCGCCCACGGCTTTTGCTTTAAACTGTGCTCAGATATAATACTAACGACGATTTTTATCTATAGTCGGTTATAAATACAGCTTGATGTAGCATGTTTTCTCTATAATTATCAGGTGTACGCCATGGTGTCACCCCACCCTTGTCGGGATTTTTCAAATTTGCTCTAAAAAGACTATTTAACACTCTAATTAACCATTTTTTAAAGTGGAATTATCATTTTTCTGTATATATTTCGCTTTTTTTGCTTTGGTGTCACCCCCCCCCCCCTAAATGGTGTCACCCGCGCGCGGTGCGGTCCGCACCCCTCCCCCCCCTCTCTACGCCCCTGAGTCTATTACTATTTTTCTTTTACAGAATTGAACTTTATATATTAGATACTAGCCGTCCCGGTCAGGCCTTAAGCCTCTTTGAAAAACCTATCAAATAACCGTGACATTGTATACATAACGAGCCGGCCCGCGGCATAACATACGCCGCTATTTAGTTGTTTCTAATTTTCAATAATTCATAATTTGTGAATTCGACAGTACCAACGCTGACACTGAAAATATTTCTTTAAAACACTATAAGTAGCTCGTTAAGGACCATAACCCCCCCCCTTCCTTCCCCCCCCCCCTCCTCCCCCCCCCCCCCCCCCCTACGTTTAAAATCGTTGGCTCTGCTTGTAAACATTTAGAGTGAACACAGCTCACTAAAACCATGTAGGGGTGGGGAGGTAGGGAGGGCGTTTGCAGCTTGTTTTCTAACGGCTCGAAGAAGAGAATTATATATATAGATATACCCGGCATTGCCCGGATTAAAGAAGTATGTTACTTTTCCAATTAAATGTCTATATCAGGGGTCGGCAACCTGCGGCTCGCGAGCCGCATGCGGCTCTTTTGATATCAAGATGTGGCTCTCCAGCTCTTTGCACAAATACTAATAATCTTAATAAAAATATAAAATATTTGAAATAAAAAAATGTTAGTGGCTCTTTAAAACCAGAGAAATTTTGAAAATTGTAACTTTTGGCTCTTCCGCTTCAAAAGGTTGCCGACCCCTGGTCTATATGCAAATATGGACGTTTGAGAAAATAACCCTAAACCTAACTCTAATTCTAAACTTAACCCTAACCACAACCAACCACAACAAAGAAAAAAAAACGCAACTTTTCATAGGGATTATAGAAATTGTCAAGGGGTTTTATAGATTGACAAGAACTGCTCAGGCAATCAGTGTTTCTTTCAAAATAAGGGGGGGGGGCGGTAAATTGGACACTGGTAAAAGTATATATTTTCTACTCTGCAGGCAGTGTGAAATGCGCAGATTTTTAAATTCTTTATGGACAAACAGTCAAAAAATGAAAGAAAAGATACAAAATGAACAACCGCAAATGTTTATTGCATAAAATACCTTGGCATTATAAAGAAAGATTGCTAAAGTCTTTAGTAACAAACAGCCGTAGGCGTAGGTAAAAGATTGAAAAAAAAACGACCTGCTACAGCTACAGTATTACTCGTATGGATCCATGCCCCCCCCCCCCAATATAAATATATACATGTGTGTGTATGTCGGCCTACACTGGTCTATAATTTAAATATATGCCGCATACGCGTACATGTATGTGTATAAGCTTTAATCACTGCAGACTTAATAGTAACTATGTTTATCTATAGTCTGTTAATAATACAGTTGGATATAGCATTGTTTTATCTAATGTTTAGCACATTTTTTACGAGATTCTATTCTATTTTAAAAAGTTTAATGTAATTAAAAATGGATTAAAAATGGATTGAAAATCCCCCGTAGTGTTATATAAGAATATTCGAGAAAGTTTAGGGGAGATCACTCCCGGTTTATTTAGGGGGTGACAACAAGGCAAAAATAGCACACAAAAATAACCCAATCATTCCAGTTAAATAAATGATTAATTAGAGTTAAAAAGTCTTTTAATTAAGAGCATAATTGACAAATCCAAACAAAGGTTGGGGGTGGGGGTGACACCGTGACGTTAACCTGATAATAATATAGAAAACAAAACTACATCCAGCTGTATTTATAACCGACTATAGATGAACACCGTTATTATCTGTGGACAGTGTAAAGCTATCACCGGGTGGTTTTCTTGACAATATGAAACGTTAAGCCCAGCCAGGGGTTGGGGTGATACATTTTTAATATTTTTTTTTACTACAAATACAATGATTTTTTCACTTGAATTAATAACTGATAGAGTTAGGACCCGGGACTTTTAGTCCGCCCCCTCTCCCCCCCCCCCCTGAAACTTTCAAGCGCCCTACCGGAGAAAAAATTCTGGAAGAAACACTGCACACACACACATATATTTATGGTGAATTTACGTTGAATTTTATTTTAATGTACCAACTTGAGAACAGAATAAAACTAAACACAAGCGCTTATATCCTGCTTCGCTACGGCGTGGATATCGCCACGGTTTCGAATATGGATATTACCTCAGAGTTTACCGCGCCTCGCGCGGATTGCGGTCCCCGCATTGGGGCGGATAATCCATCAGCGCACCGCGCTGCGCGCGGGTGTCGGTAGCACTCTGGCGCGAATATGGATATTCACAAAAATAAAATTACGGTAAAAAAAAAGAATTCAGAGTTAACGCTCTCACGAACGTCCGCCCAGACATCTCTCCTCCCCGAACCCAAGGCGCAATTTAAACCGCCGCCGAACGACACGTTTTCCCGGCCGTCCGCGCTCAGGGAGAGACCTTCAAAATCTATAGCTTATACACGAGGAAAGACTGACACACTACCACCAGCGTTATATATAGATTATATATATATATATATATATATATATATATATATATATATATATATATATATATATATATATATATATATATATATATATATATATATATATATATTCAAGACCTTCCCCCCCCCCCATCCGAGATATACATGAAATACTTTACATAAACTTTATGTTATAAAGGCTAGGGTTAATAATAAATTCCTTATTAATAAAATCATCCAAATGTTGAAAGTGGGTTATTCATCAAAATATTTGAATGAAAACATTTAGACTATGGGCCTATAGATTCTACTGAGATTTTAGAAAAGTATTATTACTTTAATATAAAACTGTTCTGTATATTAATTAGAGATAGAATCTAGATCTAGATTAAATGTATTACGAAAGTCAATGACTAGGCCTAACTAAATCTAGATCTAGACTAGATCAAGACATAGACTGTCTAGTAGCTGATTGGAAACATTCTGCTAAGATTTTGGCGAACACCAGATAGGCTACCCGCGACCTCGATACAGTCACGTGACTAAGCAGCCATAATGCTTTTAAAGAAGAAGATCGTTGATGTTCTAAGTTAAACAGGATTAAGAATTTTTTTAAAAATTAAAGCGATTTAAAGATTGATAGGTCTTACTACAAACAAGATTGACACAATACAACATGGTTATTTATTATAAAGCTTACTAAAGTTGAGGTGAGATTTTACACGAGGAATCCAATATGGCCGCGGTTAGGGTAGATTGATAGATTTGTATTTGTAACTTGTTTAACCAAATAAAATATTTGTATGGAAAATTATTGGGTGTGATTGTGATTTTTGTAGATCTAGAATCTATAGTCTACCTAGATCTAGATATCTAGATCTATATCGAGATCTAGAAAAAGCTAGTCAAGAACTAGATCTAGTATCTATAGCTCTATCTAATCTACTCTAGACTCTAGATCTCTATTTCTATTTTAGACTGAAGACGTCAATCTCAATCTCACTGATTCAATCTTACTGAATACGGTAATCCCTTAGTTTAGCGTCGGAAATTATCGGGTAATGTTTGTTGAGTTTCGGTAACTAGAGTTACGGTAAACCATGGTTTATTTGACCATTGAAATATAAATAAATTGAAAGTCGATTGTAGTAAATTAATGTTTAAATTTTTTAAGTTTAATCGACAAAAGGAAACGAGAAAAAATATAATAGTAGATTTAAATTAGTAGATCTAAAAATTAAAAAAAAAACAGACTCTATATTAATATAAATATAAATAGGCCCTAATGAAGTCAAATGTAATAATTTAATGTTTTTGGCTTGCAGCGGATTTGCGACCATTAATTAATTAGATCTAGATCTAGCTAGATATCTAGCTGCTAGGCCAAGTAAAAAAATCTAGATAACGAAAATAGTAAAAATGATTACAACATGTAAAAATGATTACAAAAATAAATCTATCCAAATTTTAAACATTCTGTATAAAAATAAAAGAAGACGCCAAATAAAGTATGGTTTACGGTACTTCCGGTGAATTCTGGAAGTGTGTGACAGACTTTGGCATTGTTTTACTGTTTTTTTTACTGCTAAACGATTCCGGAATAATAACCGAGGCTAAACTAAGGGATTACCCTGAATACTATATTACTAATCTTACTTAACTTATTAGTAACTTATTACTTAAAGTACTTAAGTTTCACTCATAAATGTTAAATCTCTAATCTAGATCAAGAATCTACTCTATAGATTTTAGATCTAGATTGTAGTCTCCAGTGATGTGTCAAAAATAGTCTAATGATTCATTAGAATCATTAGCATTTTAGGGCAATTTAGTTGAATTTAGGGGCCTAGACCAATATTATAATAATTAGGCCTAGGCCCTAATAATAATTATTAATATTAATATACCTAGATCCAGTAGGCCTATAAACTATGACTCACTATGACAATTATAATTAGATCTATAGGGCTTGTAAGTCTACGGTCTCGAAATCTACTAACTAGCTGCATAGTACTAGACCGAGAAGTTGTGACCTACTTACAAGCCCTTATAGTAGGGCTTGTAAGGCCTATTAATAATATTCATACTTTGAGGGCCATTCGGTAATCTCACGATATAACGTTGGACGTAAGAAATGATCTGATAAGATAATGTTTGTTGATTTTCGTAAACATTCCTTATTGTAATTTACTGTAAACCATAGTCCAGTTTTTTTAGTTTATTTGACTGTCAAGTGCATTAATGTTTTAACATAGATTTTCTCATTAAATCTAAAATTTATGCTACTCAATTTTCAATTTGAACATGATCACTTAATAATAGACATCCATAGTTAATAGTTTTACTCGCTACCCTGGAGGAGTTGCTGGTTGCTAACAACAATATGGCGTACAGACTGGATGCATCAATTCTGATCATTTTCGTCTTAGTTCCAGTGATCTTCTAAGAATTACTTTTAAAAATGTGGTAATCTATCGTTTTAGGTACGTAAAATCGGCCGAGACTAGTAATGTGAAAAAAGGGTGACTCCTTAAATTTTGGTAATTTTTTCACATTTTTAGGAGGATTTGTTTTAAAATTTACAAAATTGTTTCAAAGTTTCATTTATGTACCTGTTTTTAAACAATTCTATTAAAACTTTTCAGTAATAAATAAAGACTAGCGATGTTTTCATCAGATGCAACCAAGCTAATTTACTACTTTAGCAGCCATCTTGTTTAAGTTTTTTTTTGGTAAACTTATAGCAGGAGATTCAAGGGAAGCCACTCTATTTTACAGGTGGCAGCTGTATATATAGCAAACCTTGCTCGCAAACACTGCTGTTTAAAGTTAATTTCTGGCCTATATTAATATATTTAGCCATTGATTTTGGTTTATTATTCAGTTATCTATAATATTTGACACAAATATATCAATATATTTCTATTAAAGCCTTTTAACAATGAGGCTACGTTTTTTTTACATTACTAGCCGCTGCCGATTTTACGCACCTAAAACCAAAAATTACCAAAAATGTTTACCATGAGCAAAATGGCGGGTTTTTTCAGTATAAAAACAAGCTATAGGTGGCAGGGTGGATGAGTTATGTTACTTACCCACAGTTGATGCCAAGCTTGTTCGGTCACTTGAATTCATGTACACAGTACACTCTTAGGGGTCATGCATTTATGACGTTCACACACACAGGGGGGGGGGGGGGGTCAGAAAAAAAATTGACTTTTGTGGACGCGCATGGACTTTTATAAGGGAAATAAGTGGATTTTTGTGGAGGGGGGGTCCAAAATCCAAAAAAAATTGTGAACTTCATAAATGGATGACCCCTTAACACTAATGCTACAATTAATCCTTAAACGTTACAGCACTTTTGCTTAATTTTGGTCACTGATTTCCTCTTTCCCCACTTTTCCATGCAGGCAGTACAAATAAACCTGTACAAGTACAAGGAGATTTGTTTTGTCCTCCCTTTTAGAAGCTTTTGGAAATGAGTTTAGTGTCATTAAATAGCTCAGATGCACAATCATTACAATGTTTCTTTTTCACAAACTGAGACCAGCGAATTGTGTTAATCGTATCTCAAATTTTGCTTGTATGTCAAAGTAAATTTTAGCTTGCTTGACAGCTTGTATTTAAAAAATCTTGTGTGTCAAATTACCGCTGTGTATATATATATATATATATATATATATATATATATATATATATATATATATATATATATATATATATATATATATATATATATATATATGTATTGTTTTGCTTCATATTGTCTTCTTGGTTTGTTTGAATATAAAACAATCAAATATGCAGTGTAACAATTGTCATAGTTAATGTATTTTATTGTTCTTATTTGAAGGATGAATCATCACTATCCTGATAACTATGGATATGGCAGAACAGCTCCTGGCATTCCAGGAATGGGTTATGGAGGTGGGGGATACACTGATCCCTCTGCTATGGTAAAGATTTTATTTTCTTTCACATTATCTAGGTTATAGTATGGTGTATTTGGTTAGTTTTCTCTTTATTGAAGTATAAGGGTATTTTTCATGGAATTTTTTCATTTTCAGGCAAGAATGGGCCAGCCAAGAGAAGGCTACCCTCACTATCCAGTGATGCCACAGCAGTCTGGGATGTATGGACAAGGTGGATTTAATAGCCATCAAAATACTCCGCCTTATAATATGAGTGCATATGGAAACTACAATATCCAGGGTGTTGGTCAACCCTCCTCAATGATGATTGGAAATAGAGTGGGTGATATGAGCAGAATGAGTGGAGGCAACATGATGAACACATATTACAATAGTGTTATGTCTGGTGAACCTCATGCTTCACCCCAGCATACCTCAATGGGCAACCAGCCTCCAAGCTATGCCCACAGTCAACCAACTACTCACATGCAACAACAACATTTAAATATGATATCTGGGCAGAATACCTCGGGAATGTCAAGTCAATCAGCACTAGGTTCAAATCAAAATCCTGTTGAGTCCCCCATGCCCAATCCAGCAATTCATGTAGCAAGTGGTCAAGCAGTCCATAGTCCCAGTCACAGTATGTCACAACTTAGCACTGTTCAATCCAGTGGGACCTATGGGAGTCAGTCTGCTTCTCACATGTTACCTCGGAGCCATCATGTACCCCAACACCCCATGAGACATACAACAGCTCAGCAAAACCCTCAGGAAGTCGCTGACAATATTCTTCAGATGGCATCAGCATACCCATCTAACCAAACGGTAAAGTTTATTTTCACCCCAAATATTGAAAGTTCATTATCTTGTAATCAGTGTACCCAAGATAAGTTGTAGGCTTTACTTTTCCTGCTCAGCTCATTGGATTAGCAAATCCCTTAGGCAATTAAGTTTAATTTGGGTAAATGGTTCCTGTACACTGTAGCCTTTCAATTCATTTGTCTACATAGCTTTAAAATCAAATGTCCAATATTTTAATTGCCAGAGTAAAGACTGTTTTAAGTTGCCTGATACAACTTGTTTAAACTTTGTTTAGGTTCAAGTTCCATTAAAGAGTCGCCCTGCACCTTACCATGTGCCAAGATCTCCACATTACAGTGTAACTCATGCAGAGCTGTCTCACAGTTCCCCTAATCCTCATCAACAACAGCAAAGTCCACTTACATGTCAGACCAGCCCCAGCCCCTCATCTTCTAGTGTCAAATCACCAACACCTGTTCTGGCACCAATCCCAAACCCTATTCCCTCTCCAGGAATTAGTGGCTTGAGATCTCCTTGCAACCAGGGCATGTCACCATGTCAGCGCTCACCCAGCCATGTGGGATCCACTTACACAGGTCATGGCCAAAACGCCCCACCAAGCCAGTGTGGCGAGCCATCACCATACCACCATGGCATGTCACCATCAGATGTTCAACATTATTCACCTTGTGCAATGACACCAACACATACTTATCCTCCTTATAATGCATCGCCGGGTCATAGGAATACATCTATGTACTCACCATCCAATGATCATAATATGTCCAGCTCAGATCAAGTGCGGCAAAATAATTACAACTGCTCAAACTCTTGCAGTACTTGCACCAGTACAACTCCTTCGTACACTCATTCACCCAAACCAAGTAGTGGCCAGTGTAGTTCATACCCAGGAGCCTCCACCACACATATGGGAAACAATCCATTGATGTCACTGCAGAAGCTAGTCATGTTGCCTGAAACACAGGTGATTGACCCCAAAAGTGTCGTCAGTGATGCTTGTCTTTCTTCACAAGATGAGGGTCCAAAAAACGGTGATGGCCCAGCAGAACGGTTTGTTGAGGGCTCAAGCCATTCTGTCGGGTGTCCAGGTCAATCTAGCTCTCATCAAAGCATTTCAGGCAACAGTTGTGTGTTGGCTTCAGCTGCTGATGACACAAACAGCAGAGAACACACGGCTGATTTGCCTGATGGCAATGAGCCTCCTGTAGGCTCTGCTCGGTCAAGTCAGGAGAAGCATGTCACCAGTGGTCAGCCCCAGTTAGTTGACTCACACAGTCCTGCCCAGGTCCAGTTAGCTGACTCACACGGTTATGCTCATGTCCAATTAGCTGACTCACTAAGTCCTGCTGAGATCAAAGAAGAATTCAAAGAACATAAGGAAACAGAGACTTCAGGCAGCAGGAAGTCTCCTCTCATGCCAGATTCCAATGAAAAGATGAAACAGCCTTCTAATAGTCAGTCCAGTGCCATTTTAGTAAGTGAAGACTTGAGAGAGACCACAGACAAGCCCTTCCATTCAGCTGAGAAAAAAAATGGTAAGCTTAAAGAGGAAAGAACAATCGCCCCATCTCCAGGTGTCCTAGCTGAAGTCCCAGTGGTTCTCAATGGCTTAGAAGATACAAGCCAGGAGTTGGTAGATGGGGTCAAGCACCACAATGGCTTTAGTACACTAGTCAAAGCCAAAATTGCTTGCACCAAAAGAGCTGCACAGCTTGTCGGAGTTACTCCATGTACCATTGCTGTTGGTGCAGATGAGAGGGCCATGTGTGAAAGATTTGCATTTAGAAGAAATGGAATTTGTAGAACCTTGAGAACCACAAGGGTTATTTGCAATGGAAGAAACCGTAGCGATAGCACAGGAAATGCTGACTCGGATGAAAGTTTAGAAAATGTTTCTGAAAGTAATTTTGGTGTGACTGGAAGTCCTCAGGACGGCAACAAAAAAAGACAGGCTTCAAACAAAAGGAGTGAGTGTAAAAAATCTAATTCAAATGAATCAAATGACAGCAATCCTAGGCCTGCCCAGCCAGCTGGTGGTGGCAGCAATGGCTGTATGTCCTACACTACACATGAGATGAGTGATGATGATGTGTGTTATTACGAAGGTGTGGACAGCTCTGACATGTTCATGAATAACTGCAGCAGTGATGAATCTGTAGCTTCATGCCAGGAGGTACAGGAAGGTGTTTCATCCAGTGCTAATAACACAGTCAATACTGAGAAGCTTACAGCACATGGTAAAGAAGAAAAAAGTGGGGCCAAGAATCCTGAAGCAGATAAGCAAGCTCCAGATCTCAGTCCTCCGCCTGCATCAAAAAGGCTTTGCAGGTCGTCAGGACAAAAAGCCCAAGAAAAGTTGAAAGCTCTCTCTGCCAGCAGGCGAACTAACAGTGGTCTGCTCAATGAAAAAGATGATGTTTATGTGACGTTTGCAACTGAAGGTACGCAGACTTTGTCTAAACCTTCAAAGGTAAAAAAAGAATTTGATATTGATGTCAAAGAAAAACCCCTGGATAGGATGAAGTTTTTAAATCACAAATCAGCTCTCAAATATCCAGTAGTTGTCTTGGAAAAGTCCAATGTTATAAGCAGTCCAGTTCCAGTGAAAGTTGAAAAAACTGAAGTGATAGATTTGACAGAGGAATCACCAGAGAGACCTCTTCTAGATGAGAAAAATGGTTTGGGGAAACTTGAAAAAATGGCTACAAGGGAGGATGCTGGAACTGATGAAGCTGTATGTAAAACTGAAGCAACCAGCTCCAAACTTTCTCTTGTTTTACCTAAAAGGAAGCCCAAAAAAAGGTCTCTTAGGATGAAAAAGAGGGGGAAAAAAGAGGTTGCAAAGGTTAAAAAAACTGATGAAGTGACAGATTCTTTCAAGTCAATGAAGTTTAGTCGAACCCTGGACCTAATGAAGTCAAAGCGCAAACGGGACTCGTCTACCCAAGGTCCATTTATTCGAGTGACAGGAAAACAGAGTGCACCAGACACAGTGGCTATCTTTACTCAGCCCATCTCTGAGCTAGCACTGGGAGCAAGCAGTGCTGGCAAGAGGAAGTCCATTGCTGGGGCTCAAGCTGTTCACATGGTGACCAACCTGCCCATGGACAAAAGAGCCATGGTACCTTCAAGTCGTACCATCAGTCAAGACCCCTGGGTTTGTGCCTTCTGTGGCCATCACAGCAGCTACAGATTTTTAGGAGATCTGTTTGGGCCATATTTTAAAGAAGCTGACCTGAGCAGAGTGGAAAGTATTGCTCAAGAAGAAAAGGGCGATGTTTCCAAAGATTCCAGTTTATCTGGTACCAAGTCATCAACAGAAAAAAAAAACAAAAGAAAATCAGCATTAGTAGCCAGGAAAGATGAGTTTCCGCCACCGGAGGAAGTCTGGGTCCATGAAGCTTGTGCCATGTGGTCACCTGGAGTTTGCTTGATTGGCAGCAAGATGTATGGGCTGGATGAGGCTGTCAAAGATGCCAGAGATACTGTACGTATGCTGCACGTAGTTTACTTTCTCACTCTTAGAACTGGTTAGATTAGTTTTCAAATTGTCACTTGTCATTTTAAAGGTTATGGTAGTTTTGGGTTAGTTTCAAATTATACTCAAGGTTTTTTGTTTTGTTAGTCTGTTTAAAAGAATATGTATATTCGAGCCTATTAAAAATATACTTTTTATAAAATAAATCTTGATGATAATTAGAATGTTGATAGTTATTCTCCAATGCCCCATTTTAGGTGTGTTCTGTGTGCCGATCAAATGGTGCTATGATAGGATGTCTTCACAAGGGGTGTGCCATGAAATACCACTTTATTTGTGCTGTTGATAAAGGTCAGTTTAAAACTTTTTGCACACCTAGAAAAGGTTATAACACCATTGTGGTGGTTGAGCTGAAGAAAAATGATGTATTTAAAAAATGTTAGGGAGCATGTTATGATTACATGAAGAATTGTTTGTTCCAGACTGTGTTTTAGATGAGGAAAACCTTTCTCTTCTCTGTCCCAAACACAAGGTAAGTCATCACAATTTTCTCCAAGATGTCTAGACCTCACATTATTGTATATTCTTTACCTCTAGATGTCTAACCATTATATGATTGTAACATTCATCATCATAATTTACATCTAGAAGTCTAGCCATTATATGATTGTAACATTCATCACAATTTACATCTAGTATCTAGAAGTCTAGCCATCACATAACTAGATTTTACTCAATCTATGTTGTGGCTTCTTCTTTAGAACCTGTTCAGTTAATGACTAAATACTTAAGTTATTCTGGATTTGACATTTAATTAATATTTTATGTATGAATACACTGATGCTGCTAAAAGTTGAATTCTTTTTTTAATAGGATAAAAGATTGAGCAACATTTGCACGACAAGGTCTTGACAGTGAATGATCTCCAGACACATTGCCTTGTACATGTCATCTGCACCACAGCAGTGTGAGAACATTAAATCATCTCAATAGTGGGTACCCTCAGCATTGTGAGAACATTACATCATCTCAATAGTGGGTACCCTCAGCATTGTAAGAACATTACATCATCTCAATAGTGGGTACCCTCAGCATTGTGAAAACATCACAAAATCTCTAAATAAAAAATAGTGGGTACCCTCATTCTTGAATCTCCCATTTTCCATCTGTAAATAGGAAGGAAATATTATTTCAATATTTGGTAAAAAATTATACAGTTTTCTATAGTTTGGAGTTGATAATTATATTCATACATGTGTTAAATATAACTTATTATTGCTATAAAATGTTTATATTGTTTATGCATTCTATAGGAAGGGTTACTTAAGATGAAGTGGACAAACACTCTCCTGATTTTGGGGGTAAATTTGGTTGTAATTGTGTTACCCTACTAGTGTCCCTGTATTTGCTATATTTATAGTAGTAGTTCTATGTAAGAACTATTTGTAAGAGATGTATTTTTGGGTATTAATGTTTTAAGATAATTCTAAAGTCTCTTAAAGTAGATGATTAGATATTATGCTGATATGTATTCTTTTTTTATTTACACATTGAAATCATGTACAGATGCTTGTCTACACTTTGCTTTCAGTCCTAGAAGAATGTAATTTTTATACCAAGTTAATTTAGTCACCTATAGTGCATGGCTATAACAAGAACTTTACAATTGTCAACATTTATATGGGCATTTTTAGTTGAGTTTTTTCTTTTAGGTTTCTTTTAGTTTTTCTATGGAACTTGCACACCTGGTGGGCTGGTCATGATTGGACACGTGGTGTATGGGGGGGGGGGGGGGGGGGCTGACACGTGGTGTATGGGGGGGGCTGACACGTGGTGTATGGGGGGCTGAACAGTTGTCATTATCTCTAAGGGAATTTGTATGTCCTGATATCTTCACTTCCTACATGAGGAAAGTGAGTGCTGTCTATGAATTGACTCCTGGTGCAAGATTATCAATTTGATTACACCTTGGTTACATATCAGTTTTGATAGGACAGAAATTGTTGTTGGTTTATTAAGATGACTGTTGTAATAGTTATTTGAGAGCAAACAGTTGTAATCATCTTTAGTTGACAATGATGCTAAAATAGTGCATGAAATTTTTTTAATCAGAGAATGTTCATGTTTTTAAAATCAAATTTTATGTAACATTTTTTCTGTAAGCGAAGACTTTTGAGTTGAGAAGTGAATTATTTAACATTGCCTAATTATTTACCATTGCCTAACCTATCATAATACATTACTTTTCTCAAAATTGAATAGAAAAAGTGTAAACCAACATGAGTGGTTACAGTTTTCAAATATTTTCCTGTGTAAAATATAGAAGCATGTTTTTATAACCCTCAGCTTGGTCCACCCCCATCTGTATATAAATAATGATGTTACTGGGTCAGTTCTTGACTGGCATAAACCAACACATAATTTACATCAATGAAACCCATGTATACTTCCATTCATTGAACCCATTGCATTTCTCAAATTTTTGTTGACTTAATTATTGATCATGTTATTTGGATTTGTGAGGGAAACTGACTTCCATTAGTCACAAGATTTCAAATGTAAATATTTGGAGAAAAAATGTGTAAATATGTTTGGATTGTGAGTCATTTCTCTTGTTGTAATTAGCATACACTAAACTGTTATAAATGTTCCCTAATTTATTTTAACTGTAAGCTGAAAACATACAAATGCTGTGTAATGTACTATTAGATTTATGTGACTTTCAGACGAAATAAAATTGCTTTTCATGCTTTAAAAGTGATTTAATTGTAGAATAAATGTAAGAGTAACTAGAAGAGTAAGTTGAACTAGACGAGTGTAGGTGGAACTAGACGAGTGTAGGCGGAACTAGACAAGTGTAGGTGGATCTAGAAAAGTGTAGGTGGCGCAAATTTAAGAGTTCACCCAGGGCGCCGAAATGAGTCACTTCGCCTCTGGATGGAACTTAAGAAGTGTACTTTGAACTAAAAGAATACATCTAGAAGTGGTCATTTATATGTAATGCACACAATGAAAAGGGAGAGGGGGCGGTGTCCTCAGGCTGGATGTGTATGACATCTGTCAGTGTGATGTGCTGGACGTCTGTCAGTGATGTGCTGGACGTCTGTCAGTGTGATGTGCTAGACGTCTGTCAGTGTGATGTGCTAGACGTCTGTCAGTGATGTGCTGGACGTCTGTCAGTGGTGTGCTGGACGTCTGTCAGTGTGATGTGCTGGACGTCTGTCTGTGCGGTGTGCTGGACGTCTGTCAGTGATGTGCTGGACGTCTGTCAGTGGTGTGCTGGATGTCTGTCAGTGTGATGTGCTGGATGTCTGTCAGTGTGATGTGCTGGACGTCTGTCAGTGTGATGTGCTGGACGTCTGTCAGTGTGATGTGCTGGACGTCTGTCAGTGTGATGTGCTGGACGTCTGTCAGTGTGATGTGCTGGACGTCTGTCAGTGTGATGTGCTGGACGTCTGTCAGTGTGATGTGCTGGACGTCTGTCAGTGTGATGTGCTGGACGTCTGTCAGTGTGATGTGCTGGACGTCTGTCAGTGTGATGTGCTGGACGTCTGTCAGTGTGATGTGCTGGACGTCTGTCAGTGTGATGTGCTGGACGTCTGTCAGTGTGATGTGCTGGACGTCTGTCAGTGTGATGTGCTAGACGTCTGTCAGTGTGGTGTGCTGGACGTCTGTCAGTGGTGTGCTAGACGTCTGTCAGTGTGATGTGCTGGATGTCTGTCAGTGTGGTGTGCTGGATGTCTGTCAGTGTGATGTGCTGGACGTCTGTCAGTGTGGTGTGCTGGATGTCTGTCAGTGTGATGTGCTGGACGTCTGTCTGTGCGGTGTGCTGGACGTCTGTCAGTGTGGTGTGCTGGATGTCTGTCAGTGTGATGTGCTAGACGTCTGTCAGTGGTGTGCTGGATGTCTGTCAGTGTGATGTGCTAGACGTCTGTCAGTGGTGTGTTGGATGTCTGTCAGTGTGGTGTGCTAGACGTCTGTCAGTGATGTGCTGGACGTCTGTCAGTGGTGTGCTGGACGTCTGTCAGTGTGATGTGTTGGACGTCTGTCAGTGTGATGTGCTGGATGTCTGTCAGTGGTGTGCTAGACGTCTGTCAATGTGATGTGCTGGATGTCTGTCAGTGTGATATGCTGGACGTCTGTCAGTGTGATGTGCTGGATGTCTGTCAGTGTGATGTGCTGGATGTCTGTCAGTGTGATGTGCTGGATGTCTGTCAGTGTGATGTGCTGGATGTCTGTCAGTGTGATGTGCTGGATGTCTGTCAGTGTGATGTGCTGGATGTCTGTCAGTGTGATGTGCTGGATGTCTGTCAGTGTGATGTGCTGGATGTCTGTCAGTGTGATGTGCTGGACGTCTGTCAGTGGTGTGCTAGACATCTGTCAGTGGTGTGCTAGACGTCTGTCAGTGATGTGCTGGACGTCTGTCAGTGTGGTGTGCTAGACATCTGTCATTGGTGTGCTAGACGTCTGTCAGTGGTGTGCTAGACGTCTGTCAGTGTGATGTGATGGACGTCTGTCAGTGATGTGCTGGACGTCTGTCAGTGGTGTGCTAGACGTCTGTCAGTGGTGTGCTAGACGTCTGTCAGTATGATGTGATGGACGTCTGTCAGTGATGTGCTAGACGTCTGCCAGTGTGATGTGCTGGATGTCTATACAACCTAAACAACAACCAGATCACGTTCTCTAGGCCGATGATGGTCACACACACATAGACCTTATAAACTAGTAGGATGAGCGAAGTTCTCGCTGCCAATATAAAATACATCAATGCGCATGTTTGCTAGAATGTCCTGAGATCCTGTGTCGGCACTTGCTCTGGCGCCTTGGGGTAAAGATTGCAGGCTCCGACATTCCAACACTTGACTCGTCTTCAAGTGACATCATCATTGTCATGTTTCTATAATCACCTCATTGTCATGTGTATTCTCAAGCGTTATCTTTATTTTCATCGTCATGTTTATTTTTATAGTACCATTATATAGTGTGCAGATAATAACCAATTTAGCACACTATCTTATCTGCTGATACATTCATTAGCCAGAATGGTGGTCTATAATTTCGACTGAAAGTCGTTAATCCTCTGTGTGGATTACACACACACACAGTCTCTACAACATTCGGTAATACTGTGTGGATTACACCCAGCCCCTATAAAATACAGTGTTTCTTCCACTTTTTTTCTCCGGGGGGAGGTGGGGCGGACACTGGTAAAAGTATATGTTTTCTATCTAAATTATGTAGGGGCGGTAGACTCTTCGGGGATGAATGCCGGGAAGAAACTCTGAAACTGCTTGTCAAGCTGCAGACACGTCTATGACGTCACACTTTTGGGGGATTATGTTCACTCCAATGACGCCACATTTCCGCCTTACCTCCTCTAATCAACTATGTTATTATTTGTGTGTGTGTGTAAACCTTACAGCTATTTAGATCTAGTTTAACAATATCAATTGCGCAGGGCCAAGAACATAAGTACATTAATATTCAACTTTAAATAAAGCGGGAGTGATCTCCCCCAAACTTTCTCGAATATACTTGTACAAGGCTACGGGGGATGGCAAATCAGAATATGGACATGATTTTTAATTACTAAAACTTTTAAAAATAGAATAGAATCTCGTAAAAAAAAAAATTACGCACCAAGTGAATGGGAAACAATATGTGTATAGTAGTGCGGAATATTAGTACTTTATAAATTCATATGCGGTTTTTTTTGATAAATCGGAAATAGCATAAAGTTCTACTTCCGGTCAACGGAAATTACTCAAAATTTGACTGAAGGCAGACAATTAGATCTTTTAATTATATGTGAAATATCATGTATCTATCTTAAACAGCGCTCAAGTTATAGGCCTTTGAAAAACCAAAAGTAGAATGAGTTCCACTTCCGGTTACCGGAAATTGATGAAAAGTTGATAAAGAACTACAAATTTGATATGTTGTAAATCAAATTTCATCGACCAAGCTGTAACGGTACTCAAATTATCGTGTTCACAGACATACACTACACAGATACATACATACACACACACAGACATAGGGACAAAATTGCAAAACTATGTTTTTCCGACTCAGGGAGGTGTAAAATCTCAATTTCGATCGATTACAATACTTCGTATACGAGAAAGTAAAAAACAACATAAAACAATAACAGCTAAAAGGCTGTTAAATTTTTTTTAATGCCAAAATGAGACATCATTTTTTCTTAGCCACCGCCCCTACCCCAAGTGGTTGTTCATTTATAAATTATAACGTTACACTCGTGTGTGCTTTTGAGACGATTGACCAATAAATCTTGGATGTAGTTCAAGATCAAGACAAAACAAGTTAATTAAATAAACCGGGAGTGATCTCCCCTAAACTTTCTCGAATATTCTTATATAAAATAACAGGGGATGGGAACTCGGGCTATAGACATGATTTTTAATCCATTTTAAATACTTAAAGTTTTAAAAATAGAATAAAATCTCGTAGACAAATTAATTGCACACCAAGTGAACGCGAATAAAAAAGCGCATAATAGTGCGCAATATTATTAGTACTTTTAAAATTTACATTAGTTTTTTGAGAAATCGGAAGTAGCGTAAATAAGTACTTCCAGTCAACGAAAAATTCTCAAAATTTGACAGAAGGTAGAGAATTAGATCTTTTACTTACATATCAAATTTCATTTATCTATCTGAAATAGTACTCAAGTTATAGGCTTTTGAAAAATTCAAAGTAGAAAAAGTACCACTTCCGGTTATCCGAAATCGCTCAAAAGTTGATACGGATCTACGATTTTGATAAAATACTTGTATATGAAATTTCATCAACCTAGCTGTAACGGTACTCAAGTTATCGTGTTTACACACGGACACACACACACACAGACACACACACAGACACACAGACATACGGACAAGATTGCAAAATTATGTTTTTCCGTATCAGTGAGATGTAAAACGTCGAGATTTGCAAAAATCTCGATTTTTTTTTTTTGCACGATTACAAGACTTTCTCTATACTTCGTATATACGAGAAAGTAAAAAGTCTAGTGACATTTATGCGCAATTTCCTTATGTTATCTAAAAATAGCTCTGACGTATAATGCTGGGGTGCGTTCAAGCTAGAAGAACGATCGGTTTGTAGGTATTTATGTAATTTTAAAATTTGTGCCCGAACGAGAGGATATTTTTGAAAACTTTCTTCGGCATATTGTTCTAAATTATGGCAGGAATCGATTGGTACATGTTTCAAGTCGCTAAGTGGTCTGGTTGCCGAGATATGGGCAAAAAACTGCATTTTTTCTCGGTTTTTTTGCTTTTCCGGGAAATACATGAAAGAAACCCGGAATTTTTATGGCCTATGCTCATCCTCGTAACTTGCTTAACATAATTGCTTTTGGAACTAGTCATCGATATTGCTTCGTTGAGGAGGAGATACGACTTAAAGCTGCGGACACACATCCATCCATCCATTCATTCATACATCCAGAAATGACGGGTTAATAAACGCAATTCTCCAGAATGGAAATTGCGCTAAAAAAATATATACTTTGCTTTGTATGCCTAAAAATGTCACTAAATGAATTTTATTTATAATTATAGCCTTCCTTGTTTTCCTTTAATCGACTATGTCAAGCACAGCGAGTATTTTTGTTTAGTATCAAAATTTAGGAACAAAGGCTTCACCCGAGTTTCAAAGTGACAATGTTTCGTAATTCTCTACGCTGTTCGATTTTTGTTTTGCTAATAAAATCAACACCCCATAAAACACATTAAAATATTTTAACAAATGCCATGACGTATATGGGAAGTGACGAAGCCTACAACATTGTTTTCCAACTTTTTTGTGTTCAAAATGGATGGGCATCCTGAATTGTAACAATCAGTCCTGGCGTTCGCAATGATTTTTACCTGCGTATGTTGCTTCTCAAAACATATCGTGGAAATCAAGGATAACCTTCTTTAGGATTGTGTTGTGGTATCATCTGATTTGCCATATAAGGATAATAATATGCTACCGGAAACAGGAATTCCCGTTAATGGTGACTCAGTTGTGACACATGCATTATTATAAACAATGCTCTGTTTTAACTAGATCTAGCATTGATTTAATTTTAATGGAATTGTTTTGCTGTGAGCATTGATACATTAACTAATGCTAATTAATCACTTAGAATGTGTATTTTCACCTTTCTGTACAATACTTTGGAGGAAAAAGAAAAAGAGAAACGTATCTCCCGCGCTTTATTTTTAGATAGACTATTTTCAACTACCGAATGAAAAAAAAGGTGTGCCTAGTTCCCGATTGTTCACGTGACTCACAGCAGCCAGTGTGTAAGTGACAGTGTTGCTTCATAACTTGTAGTAGACCTCCTAATGGAAGTCTACTGTTAACTACAAATGATAAACATTTAAGTGAAAAATGTCAATTCTATGAAATGGATATTGCTTGACTTTTCGTCTAGGAATCGTTAATTCATTTTACTTATTAATTATTTTTTTAACGTTTAAATTAATTGAACTTTTATGTTATCAGCTTCGGTACTGTGATCCCGGAAAAGCTTAGGTTTTAAAACAAAATGGCGGATTTCGAGGGTGCCTCGGATTTGAGTGCTAACGAGCTCAAGTATCTTGCTATTGACCGTACTGTTATCAATGACCCTGCTGTCCAAGCAGAATGGGCATCGAAAAAACTAGTCTGGGTTCCAGACGAGACACACGGTTTTGTTGCAGCTTCCATAAAGGGCGAAAAAGGAGATCAAGTAGAATGTGTTGTCGACGAAACCGGCCGAAAAATAATTATCCACAGAGATGACATCCAAAAAATGAATCCACCCAAGTTTAATAAAGTTGAGGATATGGCTGAATTGACTTGCCTAAACGAAGCATCAGTTCTTCACAATCTGAAGGATCGTTATTACTCTGGTTTAATTTACGTAAGTTTAAACAATTAGGCCTATTAATAAAAGAAAAATAAAAGAAAAATGAGAAGTCACTTGAAATTGAAACTTTGGATAATAAACTAGGCCTAATAATCATTAATCACCATATAGGCCTATAAACCAGGCCTAATATAAATCAGCCTTAATCCTAACATTGCATTTACACTTGCGACATATATGGTAAAATCACGATATAGCGTCGGTTATTATTCCGGAACTGTACAGCAGTAAAAAAAAGTAAAACCATGGCGTAGTCTGTCAAGCCATTCCGGAAACCACAGTAAATACTGTAAATTAAAACATTAATTTAATGCACCTGACTCTATTTTTTTTTCAACGGTCAAATAAACTATGGTTTACAGTTATGAATGTTACCGAAACTCTACAAACATTACCAGATAATTTCCGACGCTATATCGTGATTTTACCTATACAATAAGTCTATCACAAAGAACTTCGCAATAAGTGAGTGTACCCCCCCCCCCCCAATCCATGTTCTGATAAAATTAACTTAGGCAAAGTGTTTTTTTTTCTAGACATGTAGCCTGAGTATGAAATGTCGCAAGTGTAAAAGTAGTGTAATAGTATACTGATACTAATAGATCTATTTCTATTGACCCTGTTTACTGGTTAATTTTTTACTGGTTGTTAAGGCTACTCTGCTATAATTCAATAATAATAATAATAACATTTAATAGTCTTTAAGTTTAAGTATGTTAGTATGTACAAGATTGAGAGGCCCTATTTAGTATTTAGACTTGCATAAATTAAACTGTTGGCCTAATGGTCAGCTTCAATTTTTTTTTTTTCAGTTTTTCATAAAATCAGACCACTGTTCATGGTGAATTGTTTACTAAATCAACTTTAAACTTGGTAACTGATAAATAAGAAATAGGGCCTAAATATATTTATCATTTTAACAGGAAATAATATGCTTTAAATTAGAGTTAAATTTTCTAATGGGTGCTATTCCTTCTGTTCTAGAGAAATTTGAGATCTATTTAAAAAAAAAAAAGATTAGGCCTATATATCTGAGCAATCTATGGCCAGTCACCCCATTGTCACACATAAAAAGCCTTACCATTTCCTAAAATTATGTCATACTTCAGCCTATCAAGCCCCTAAGTATTGCAGTTTTTATTATTTACCCAGCCATTTCTTTCTAAAATGTTAAAATATTTGCAGAACTTGGTCAACATTGAGTATTTTAATTACAATTTTGAAAATTTCTTTTAAAAAAAACCCACCGAAAACCGCAAGTATGTGGTTACACTTTTTAACCCCCCCCCCCCCACCATCACACATGGATTACCAGAAAAGTAGTGCTTATTACAGTAAATGAGTAATTGTATGTTTATATTTTTTAGCTGTGATCTCTATTCTTGATCATTGTAATTTTGTATTTTTTAACTGTCTTACATCTCTATTCTTGATCATTACATTTTTATACTGAGCAAAGTAAAAAGCAGTTTGTTGTTGATAGCTATTGGTTTTTGCAAGCCTTTAATGAGAAATTTTACTAAATAAATTGTTTGAAAAAATAATTATACTAGGCCTAAATAAATGCAAGGGTATATTGTTATAAAAAGTTTAAATAGGCTGTAACAATTCTTTACAAGTTCTTATTTTATTAATTATTTGTTAAAATCTTGTATTTATTTTTTTGATCAGTAGTAAAACATGTTTAGAACTATTTCTTTTTAAAAAATAGTGTTTTCTAGTTAAAGAAGTGTTTATTTTAAAACTTGCACAATTGAAAAAATAAATAAAATAAGCAACTTGATCTCGATGGCTCCCCCTCCACAATCTTAAAATTGGTTTTAAAAAATGCACTTTTAGACTGCTCTCAAGAAGATGTTAAATTTGATTTGTATTTACACTTATATTAGCTAGTTTTCAAAGTTTAGAATAATTTGAATTTAGTTGATGTGATTGTCATCTGCTTCTCCACATCTTTGTTGTGTCTTGTGTTTTTATCACACTTCTCCACATCTTTGTTGTGTCTTGTGTTTTTATCACCACACTTCTCCACATCTTTGTTGTGTCTTGTGTTTTTATCACACTTCTCCACATCTTTGTTGTGTCTTGTGTTTTTATCACCACACTTCTCCACATCTTTGTTGTGTCTTGTGTTTTTATCACACTTCTCCACATCTTTGTTGTGTCTTGTGTTTTTATCACACTTCTCCACATCTTTGTTGTGTCTTGTGTTTTTATCACACTTCTCCACATCTTTGTTGTGTCTTGTGTTTTTATCACACTTCACCACATCTTTGTTGTGTCTTGTGTTTTTATCACACTTCAACAAATCTTTGTTGTGTCTTGTGTTTTTATCACACTTCTCCACATCTTTGTTGTGTCTTGTGTTTTTATCACACTTCAACAAATCTTTGTTGTGTCTTGTGTTTTTATCACACTTCTCCACATCTTTGTTGTGTCTTGTGTTTTTATCACACTTCTCCACATCTTTGTTGTGTCTTGTGTTTTTATCACACTTCTCCACATCTTTGTTGTGTCTTGTGTTTTTATCACACTTCTCCACATCTTTGTTGTGTCTTGTGTTTTTATCACACTTCTCCACATCTTTGTTGTGTCTTGTGTTTTTATCACACTTCTCCACATCTTTGTTGTATCTCAATGCAATGTACTTGAATAATACATTTTGTTGTAATATGAGATATAAATAGCAGTCAGTTTGATTAAAATTGTGATGTATTTCTAATTTGTGCAGACCTACACTGGCCAGTTTGATTATAATTGTGATGTATTTCTAATTTGTGCAGACCTACTCCGGCCTATTCTGTGTGGTGGTGAACCCTTACAAAAAACTGCCCATCTACACAGAGAAAGTGATTGAGTTGTACAAAGGGAAAAAACGCCATGAAGTCCCTCCACATGTATTTGCCATTGCTGACACTGCATACAGGAGCATGTTGCAAGGTACAGGCCTATCTAACACATTCTTCTTCACTTATAACTCTTCCAGTCTTCTGCTCATACCCACTTGTAACATGAATAGTTTGAAATGTTTGCTATAGCTCAGTTTTGTTCTATTAGAAAATGATGTTTTCATTATCTTAACCATTAATGATCCATTCAGTCTACCAAAACACCACCCTTGATGTCCCAATGTAATTAAATCTGGCTTTCCAACAGTATTAAATAGAACGACCGACCTGCGGCATATCATACATCGCTATTTAGTTGATTTATTTTCTACTTTTCGGTAATTCATAATTTGAATTTGTCCCCCCCACCCCCAGCCCATGAAAGCAGCCATCCATGACGATAGTTTACTGATGACAATGAAAAGATCAAGTAGAAATTCTAACCTCCCCTAAGTTTCAAATAATTTAAATACTAAATTATCTGCTCCTAATAGCTGTCACTTTTTCGACCAGGCTTTACCATTGTAAACATTCGCCATGAGCCATGGCTCATCAGACTGGTGGGGGTGTGGGTGGTAGTGATATTCCTGGAGAGCAAGGGAGGGGAGGCTAGGTCTGGTGGTGGTGTCTCACATGGTCCCCACGTAGAGAAATATTTATATAGATATAATATATTCGATAAAAGTACAATTTAAAAATAAAAAATGTCAGAGAAAATCCTAAATAGGTCATTTTGTGTAGTCAACTCTTATTTATTTTTGTTTACACAACTAAGCATCGAATTTAACTGTTGAATATCAATTTGGTTATGTTAAGATATATAATTCATAATACACATGCCTATATACATTTTTAGGCATGCTTCTATTTTGATTTAAAATTTAAATCAACTAAAAATAGGACAGATGAGTGTAAAGTTTTGGGATGGAAAGAGACTAATATTATGTATATTTCAAAATCGCCATTGAAATTAGTAAACCTGAAAAGGATGTTGAAATGATCCAACTTCCTGATTAGTTAAAAATCAGGATTTGTAGGCCAAACTTTAATGAACATTTTAAAAAATTTTCTATGCTTATTGTAAGCGGGCGTTATGGGTCATCATGGGTTGCGGGCATTTAGGGTCATTAATGGTTAATATGTTGAATGTAACTTATTTGCCACATTACTCTTTGGTGACTAAAAATCATTTTATGGCAATTACATATTAATTAAATATCCTCACTCTATTAGGTGACATGTAGGTGACACACTCTAGTAGGTGACTGTTGTAGGTGACACACTCTAGTAGGTGACTGTTGTAGGTGACACACTCTAGTAGGTGACTGTTGTAGGTGACACACTCTAGTAGGTGACTGTTGTAGGTGACACACTCTAGTAGGTGACTGTTGTAGGTGACACACTCTAGTGGGTGACTGTTGTAGGTGACACACTCTAGTAGGTGACTGTTGTAGGTGACACACTCTAGTAGGTGACTGTTGTAGGTGACACACTCTAGTGGGGAACACACACTCTAGTAGGTGACACACTCTAGTAGGTGACTGTTGTAGATGACAAACTCTAGTAGGTGACTGTTGTAGGTGACACACTCTAGTGGGGAACACACACTCTAGTAGGTGACTGTTGTAGGTGACACACTCTAGTGGGGAACACACACTCTAGTAGGTGACACACTCTAGTAGGTGACTGTTGTAGTTGACACTCTAGTAGGTGACTGTTGTAGGTGACACACTCTAGTAGGTGACACACTCTAGTGGGGAACACACTCTCTAGTAGGTGACTGTTGTAGTTGACACTCTAGTAGGTGACTGTTGTAGGTGACACACTCTAGTAGGTGACTGTTGTAGGTGACACACTCTAGTAGGTGACTGTTGTAGGTGACACACTCTAGTAGGTGACTGTTGTAGGTGACACACTCTAGTAGGTGACTGTTGTAGGTGACACACTCTAGTAGGTGACTGTTGTAGGTGACACACTCTAGTAGGTGACTGTTGTAGGTGACTGTTGTAGGTGACACACTCTAGTAGGTGACTGTTGTAGGTGACACACTCTAGTAGGTGACTGTTGTAGTTGACACTCTAGTAGGTGACTGTTGTAGGTGACTGTTGTAGGTGACACACTCTAGTAGGTGACTGTTGTAGGTGACACACTCTAGTGGGGAACACACACTCTAGTAGGTGACTGTTGTAGGTGACACACTCTAGTGGGGAACACACACTCTAGTAGGTGACTGTTGTAGATGACAAACTCTAGTAGGTGACTGTTGTAGGTGACACACTCTAGTGGGGAACACACACTCTAGTAGGTGACACACTCTAGTAGGTGACTGTTGTAGTTGACACTCTAGTAGGTGACTGTTGTAGGTGACACACTCTAGTAGGTGACACACTCTAGTGGGGAACACACTCTCTAGTAGGTGACTGTTGTAGTTGACACTCTAGTAGGTGACTGTTGTAGGTGACACACTCTAGTAGGTGACTGTTGTAGGTGACACACTCTAGTAGGTGACTGTTGTAGGTGACACACTCTAGTAGGTGACTGTTGTAGGTGACACACTCTAGTAGGTGACTGTTGTAGGTGACACACTCTAGTAGGTGACTGTTGTAGGTGACTGTTGTAGGTGACACACTCTAGTAGGTGACTGTTGTAGGTGACACACTCTAGTAGGTGACTGTTGTAGTTGACACTCTAGTAGGTGACTGTTGTAGGTGACTGTTGTAGGTGACACACTCTAGTAGGTGACTGTTGTAGGTGACACACTCTAGTGGGGAACACACACTCTAGTAGGTGACACACTCTAGTAGGTGACTGTTGTAGATGACAAACTCTAGTAGGTGACTGTTGTAGGTGACACACTCTAGTGGGGAACACACACTCTAGTAGGTGACACACTCTAGTAGGTGACTGTTGTAGGTGACACACTCTAGTGGGGAACACACTCTCTAGTAGGTGACTGTTAGAGGTGACACTCTCTAGTAGGTGACTGTTGTAGGTGACACACTCTAGTGGGGAACACACACTCTAGTAGGTGACACACTCTAGTAGGTGACTGTTGTAGGTGACACACTCTAGTGGGGAACACACTCTCTAGTAGGTGACTGTTAGAGGTGACACTCTCTAGTAGGTGACTGTTGTAGGTGACACACTCTAGTAGGTGACACACTCTAGTGGGGAACACACTCTCTAGTAGGTGACTGTTGTTGGATTCATGTTTTCAAGAAACAGCTTGTCTGTAGTTGACTGGTTAGTGAAGTGTGGCTAGCTGAGAAGGAAGTGTAAGCTCTACAGTTTGAATGGTTTTATTCAGCTGTTCCTCTTGAAACTGAGATAAAAACCACTTCATGTTTTAGTCTTACTAACAAGGGCCAACATAACATGGGCACCTTGCTACTGTTGGGGGGGGGGGGGGGGGGGACAATTAGATTTTTTTATAACATGGGCACCTTGCTACTGTTGGGGGGGGGGGAGGGTGACACAATTAGATCTTTTATAACATGGGCACCTTGCTACTGTTGGGGGGGGGGGGAAGAGGAATGGTGTCAAGTTAAGCATTGAACAATTAGATCTTTTATAACATGGGCACCTAGCTACTGTTTGTGTGTGTATGGCTGGGGGGGAGGAAGGCAGATATATTGTCTAAGAATCCCTGATTGAGCACACACAGCACTTACTGTTTGTGTGTGTATGGCTGGGGGGGGGGGGGAGGAAGGCAGATATATTGTCTAAGAATCCCTGATTGAGCACACACAGCACTTAGGATGTTTTATCAGAGTCCCCAGCATTAGCAGAGTAAACATGTCATATATTGTAAAAAACTAAATTGAAATAGGCTGACATTTTTGTTTAAAACTATCAGATGGATGAAGCTGACATTTTTGTTTAAAACTATCAGATGGATGAAGCTGACATTTTTGTTTAAAACTATCAGATGGATGAAGCTGACATTTTTGTTTAAAACTATCAGATGGATGAAGCTGACATTTTTGTTTAAAACTATCAGATGGATGAAGCTGACATTTTTGTTTAAAACTATCAGATGGATGAAGCTGACATTTTTGTTTAAAACTATCAGATGGATGAAGCTGACGTTTTTGTTACATAACACTTATGAAGTCAACCTTTTAACTGATTCAAGCTACATTATGTGGGACAATTACATAAGAATACAGTTTTTAGAGTTGATAACTCATCACAATCAGTGTAGATAAAACTCTGATGTCAGCACTCCCCACTAATATCAGCACTCCCCACTAATGTCAGCACTCCCCACTAATGTCAGCACTCCCCACTCTGATGTCAGCACTCCCCACTCTAATATCAGCACTCCCCACTCTAATGTCAGCACTCCCCACTCTAATGTCAGCACTCCCCACTCTAATGTCAGCACTCCCCACTCTAATGTCAGCACTCCCCACTCTGATGTCAGCACTCCCCACTCTAATATCAGCACTCCCCACTCTAATGTCAGCACTCCCCACTCTGATGTCAGCACTCCCCACTCTGATGTCAGCACTCCCCACTCTAATGTCAGCACTCCCCACTCTGATGTCAGCACTCCCCACTCTAATGTCAGCACTCCCCACTCTGATGTCAGCACTCCCCACTCTGATGTCAGCACTCCCCACTCTAATGTCAGCACTCCCCACTCTGATGTCATCACTCCCCACTCTGATGTCATCACTCCCCACTCTGATGTCAGCACTCCCCACTCTGATGTCAGCACTCCCCACTCTAATGTCAGCACTCCCCACTCTAATGTCAGCACTCCCCACTCCAATGTCAGCACTCCCCACTCTAATGTCAGCACTCCCCACTCCAATGTCAGCACTCCCCACTCTAATGTTAGCACACGATAGACTAGCTGTCATAGACATGATAGACTAGCTGTCATAGACACGATAGACTAGCTGTCATAGACCCGATAGACTGTAGCTGTCATAGACCCGATAGACTGTAGCTGTCATAGACACGGTAGACTGTAGCTGTCATAGACACAGTAGACTGTAGCTGTCATAGACACAGTAGACTGTAGCTGTCATAGACACAGTTGACTGTAGCTGTCATAGACACAGTAGACTGTAGCTGTCATAGACACAGTAGACTGTGGCTGTCATAGACACAGTAGACAGTAGCTGTCATAGACACAGTAGACTGTAGCTGTCATAGACACAGTAGACTGTAGCTGTCATAGACACAGTAGACTGTAGCTGTCATAGACACAGTAGACAGTAGCTGTCATAGACACGATAGACTGTAGCTGTCATAGACACGGTAGACTGTAGCTGTCATAGACACAGTAGACTGTAGCTGTCATAGACACAGTAGACTGTGGCTATCATAGACACGATAAATGTAGCTGTCATAGACACAGTAGACTGTGGCTATCATAGACACAGTAGACTGTAGCTGTCATAGACACAGTAGACTGTGGCTATCATAGACACAGCTGACCTTTTGGTGCCGTTGACAATAAATCTGACTGTACTAAAGGTTAGACGGATTCGATTTTTGGTAACGTAGTAAATTTTTAAAAGCCGTTCAGTTTTTCATCAGCACATCAGTCAGACAAAATGCAAACTATCCAGTTTAATACCATGATTGCACACACGTTTAAAAATAAATTAGTTTGGTAGAATGGGGTGAAATTTCGTTGGCCCGATTCCACCTCTAGACCTACTAGACATCGTCACCAGCAATCAAGTTTGAGTCATATATTGTCAATACATTTTCATATTATTATTTTTAAATGCAGCATACAGAAGCGATTAAAACTGTATCAAGAGTGTTCTTATTTTCTTCCTTCTTAAGTATTACATAACAATCTGTTATGTGCCGTTGACTCAGATTTCAGCCTGCTTTTCTTTCTGGATTTGCTTCCCAATCCTTTGTCCATTTGAGAACAAACTACAAGGCAGCGGTTGTTTAATTTTGGAGTTGTCTCTCCTAGATGGGTTGCTGTCTCCAACCATCGAGCCTCATCTGCCCGGAGGTTCGAACTCGGGTTTTTTCTGGGAATAGCAACCTTGAACTTGACCGCTCGTACCACACGACACGCGATAGTTGAACGTCTTGTATTGAAATTAGTGGGCCTGCAAATGGCCTTCATTTATGTTCTACAACTTGACATCTTCAATTGTTACTCTAGCATTTTGGTTCTAGGCTGCGGGTACTAGCAGGACTTGGTCCATGGTTCTAGGCTGCGGGTACTAGCAGGACTTGGTCCATGGTTCTAGGCTGCGGGTACTAGCAGGACTTGGTCCATGGTTCTAGGCTGCGGGTACTAGCAGGACTTGGTCCATGGTTCTAGGCTGCGGGTACTAGCAGGACTTGGTCCATGGTTCTAGGCTGCGGGTACTAGCAGCTCAGGACTTGGTCCATGGTTCTAGGCTGCGGGTACTAGCAGGACTTGGTCCATGGTTCTAGGCTGCGGGTACTAGCAGCTCAGGACTTGGTCCATGGTTCTAGGCTGCGGGTACTAGCAGGACTTGGTCCATGGTTCTAGGCTGCGGGTACTAACAGGACTTAGTCCATGGTTCTAGGCTGCGGGTACTAGCAGGACTTGGTCCATGGTTCTAGGCTGCGGGTACTAGCAGCTCAGGACTTGGTCCATGGTTCTAGGCTGCGGGTACTAGCAGCTCAGGACTTGGTCCATGGTTCTAGGCTGCGGGTACTAGCAGGACTTGGTCCATGGTTCTAGGCTGCGGGTACTAGCAGGACTTGGTCCATGGTTCTAGGCTGCGGGTACTAGCAGCTCAGGACTTGGTCCATGGTTCTTGGCTGCGGGTACTAGCAGGACTTGGTCCATGGTTCTAGGCTGCGGGTACTAGCAGGACTTGGTCCATGGTTCTAGGCTGCGGGTACTAGCAGGACTTGGTCCATGGTTCTAGGCTGCGGGTACTAGCAGGACTTGGTCCATGGTTCTAGGCTGCGGGTACTAGCAGGACTTGGTCCATGGTTCTAGGCTGCGGGTACTAGCAGGACTTGGTCCATGGTTCTAGGCTGCGGGTACTAGCAGGACTTGGTCCATGGTTCTAGGCTGCGGGTACTAGCAGGACTTGGTCCATGGTTCTAGGCTGCGGGTACTAGCAGGACTTGGTCCATGGTTCTAGGCTGCGGGTACTAACAGGACTTAGTCCATGGTTCTAGGCTGCGGGTACTAACAGGACTTAGTCCATGGTTCTAGGCTGCGGGTACTAGCAGGACTTGGTCCATGGTTCTAGGCTGCGGGTACTAGCAGCTCAAGACTTGGTCCATGGTTCTAGGCTGCGGGTACTAGCAGCTCAGGACTTGGTCCATGGTTCTAGGCTGCGGGTACTAGCAGGACTTGGTCCATGGTTCTAGGCTGCGGGTACTAGCAGGACTTGGTCCATGGTTCTAGGCTGCGGGTACTAGCAGCTCAGGACTTGGTCCATGGTTCTAGGCTGCGGGTACTAGCAGGACTTGGTCCATGGTTCTAGGCTGCGGGTACTAACAGGACTTAGTCCATGGTTCTAGGCTGCGGGTACTAGCAGGACTTGGTCCATGGTTCTAGGCTGCGGGTACTAGCAGGACTTGGTCCATGGTTCTAGGCTGCGGGTACTAGCAGGACTTGGTCCATCAGATCACGTGGTACACTAACGTGCCACACAACGATGACTCGCATCTCGATGTGTGTACACACCCTTAGTGCTGTCATCAATGTGTGTACACATCAGTATGTGCTGAGTGATGTGCTGAGCATGTTTTGTTGACACATTCCTAGACGATTAACCGCTACAACTTGTGTACACCCTGACTTCACGTCTGCCTTCGGAACCTCAAAATAATTTTGTAAAAGTTGACTATGAGGACAGACTAACCCGCCCCACATTGTAGCAACGGCTGCTTTTGTGAACTGATCATGACCTCAAGTACCTGGTTGGTACAGCTTGTTCGGGGAAAAATTACAGTGACGTCACGGTCAGTCTCAAATAGCTCTCTTACTGCTATGACTATCAGGCCTAGGCCTAGTGATTTCAAAACTATTGTGAACTCACCGTGACCCCTCGACCATGTCTTGTGTGTGTTTGAAGGGGGGGGGGGGGGGTGAATGCGATACCGGCAGTTTTTTTTTAACAGCAGTCGAAGCTATTCTAAAATTATATGTAATAAATATCAGACTTTTTAATTTAAATGTTGGGGGAATAAACATCTAATGTGGTAAAAACATTTTTTAATGACCTGGTCACATTCCTTCAATTTCAATGTGACATCTTCATCCCTTTTTTTGTTTTGATCTTCATCCCATCTCCCATATGTACTTGCACCTGTTATTTAAAATATCTGACTGACATCTTTTTTTAAATTTCAGACCGCGAGGACCAGTCCATTCTCTGCACGTAAGTAATGGTCGCGTTAGTTGTCTTAGACACACTTTGTACCATCGTGTACACCATGTACTGTTGACGTCTTGTGTACTGTTGACTTCCTTGTGTACCACACCATGTACTGTTGACGTCCTTGTGTACCACACCATGTACTGTTGATATGTGTACCAAACCATCACCACACCCTGTACTGCTGACGTGTACTTTTACCACGGTTGACGATCTAGTTGAACACGCGTGTTGACAACGTCACTGGTGTGTATCTCACATTCCTGAGTCACGGCTGAGGTTGGTCCCCAGTCACAGCGGCTAGAAATGGGCCATACGGTCTGCTTGTTACATTACCATAGGCTCTGCTTGTTACCTGCCCATAGGGACTACTTGTTACCTGTACCATACGGTCTACTTGTTACCTGTACCATACGGTCTGCTTGTTACCTGTACCATACGGTCTACTTGTTACCTGTACCATACGGTCTGCTTGTTACCTGTACCATACGGTCTACTTGTTACCTGTACCATACGGTCTGCTTGTTACCTGTACCCTTTCAACCAGTGACGCCCGACATCGGGCAGACGTGGGGCAGACGTGTTCTGAGTGTAGGGTCAACGACCAACAGCCACCTTTGATTAAACTAAACAACAAAAACAACTATTTAAAACGTATCAAGGATTGCTGAAGTATTCCCCCCCCCTACCACGCAAATTGTGTCAACGTGACAGCTATTTAAAACGTATCAAGGATTGCTGAAGTACCCCCCCCCCCCCCCCCCCCCCACCACGCAAATTGTGTCAACGTGGCGAATATTTGTCTCCCCTGCAGATCATTTATTAATAAGGTTTCCGTGTGGAGTTAGGTCATAGTTTGAAATAGAGGCACGTCTCTGCCCGCCTGCTGTGGTGCTGTACATAGTTCTAGTGTAAACAAGGCACAATCCAGACGTTCTTTTAATTTAAAACTCTTGAAACTTTTGAGTTGAACTGTTGTTCATTGAAAACATGACATGTAGAGTTGCACATTTACCCCCAAACAAAGCTATTCTATATTTACTAAATTACATTTATATAAAACAATGTATAACAGTGTACTTACACATGAGCATGTTTTGTAATGTCTAAGAGAATGTAGACATTGTGTAATGTGTAAGAGTGTAGACATTGTGTAATGTGTAAGAGAATGTATACATTGTGTAATGTGTAAGAGAATGTAGACATTGTGTAATGTGTAAGAGAATGTATACATTGTGTAATGTGTAAGAGAATGTAGACATTGTGTAAGAGAATGTAGACATTGTGTAATGTGTAAGAGAGTGTAGACATTGTGTAAGAGAATGTATACATTGTGTAAGAGAATGTATACATTGTGTAATGTGTAAGAGAATGTAGACATTGTGTAATGTGTAAGAGAATGTAGACATTGTGTAATGTGTAAGAGAATGTAGACATTGTGTAATGTGTAAGAGAATGTAGACATTGTGTAATGTGTAGGAGAATGTAGACATTGTGTAATGTGTAAGAGAATGTAGACATTGTGTAATGTGTAAGAGAGTGTAGACATTGTGTAATGTGTAAGAGAATGTAGACATTGTGTAATGTGTAAGAGAATGTAGACATAATGTAATGTGTAAGAGAATGTAGACATTGTGTAAGAGAATGTAGACATTGTGTAATGTGTAAGAGAGTGTAGACATTGTGTAATGTGTAAGAGAATGTAGACATTGTGTAATGTGTACAGGGTTCGTACGCTGTCTGGAAAGTCTGGAAAAAGTCTTGAATTTAGAAAAGTGAATTTAAGACTTAAAAAAGTCTGGAAAATCGCTAGTTTTTGGGCTGGATTTTTTAAAAGTCTGGAAAAAGTCTGGAATCCAGTTTTAGAAACAAAACTTCGAAGTCCATATTTTCCAAGTTAAAAAATTGCTATTTTTAGGTGAAATTACTCCAATTTTTTCCCCGCGCTTTCGCGCGGGTTTACACTGTTGTGACTTTTTTCGCTGGTTCGCAGAAAAAAAACGGATGCTCAGTTGCTACGTCATTGGAAGAGGAGGGGAAGGGAGGGAAGAGATATTTTGTGTTGCGACTGACCGTGTGAATGTGTTACAAGTATTTAAAATTAAATTTAATGAAAGAATGATCGCCTTCAGAATTGTTAGGCTCTCGATTTTACCCGCTATTTTTCATTTTTTAAGTTTTTCACGCAGACAGTCATAACAAAAAAATTATGTGGGAGGTGTATGAATGGTAGTTTAGAAATAATTTATTTGTCTCTGAGGGTCATCCGTTTATGACATCCACAAATTTTTCGGATTTAACCCCCCCCCCCTTCCACACGCGTTCACTTACTTTGGGTTAATATTAACATTTATAAGATTAATAAGTCGCGAGGCCTCCTTGGGTTCATACCCGTATTTCTGTTTACTTCAGCGGTCGCTTACCAAAGACGTACTAATTTTATTTAGGAGTCGTCCATAAATGACGTCACACTCGGAAAAGTCGGAAGGAGGGTTTTATAAAGTGTGACGACACGCTCTTGCAATAATGTTATGGTGATATAAATACAGTGTTTTGTTTACACGCTGGGATGGTTTTTAAAACACAAGCATAGATTTCAATGATGACGATTAAAGCTAGACTACCCCGCCCCTCCTTGTAACTACGGTCACTTGTGTGAACTCACCGTGACCCCAAGTTTGTAGTTGGTACTGCTTGGTAAGGAGGGTGGGGGGGGTATAAGTCACATCTCAGTTCATGTTATGACGTATTAAACAGGCATACTGAAGCCTAGACTACTATGACATCACAATGACCCATTCACCGTGTCTTGTGGTTGTGGGGGGAAGGGGGGGGGGGGAAGGATACCGGCAATTTTTTTTTATTGCAGACCCGTTCCTCAGCTGTAAGTAGTATAAGTGTATAAGCATAAACAGTGAGTGATGTGGTTACAGCCTGCAGAATGTTTTTTTTTTTTTTGCTCCAATTTTTTTCTTTACTAGTAGCCTATATTAGGCTACTTAACAAGAGCAGACCTAAATTAATACATTACGTTAGTATTCTTTAAAGTAATTAACTCTCACTATTATGCAATACCATTTTAATAATAGTTTAATTAAAAACATAAGCATTTTGATCATGAACAGATTACATAAGTCTAATGTTTAAAACAAAATAGCTGCATCGTTTTAATCAATTATTTTAATTGTTAAAACTTTAGGTGGAGTTGAGTAGGCAAACTTAGAAAAGTGATTTTCTGTCAATTTGGCTAGAGAAAGTTCAATATAAATATATCTCAACTGCCTAAAATAAATGTCAATTTAGTACAAGTAATTATGAGAGTACAAATGGTGCATCATTTTATAAATTATCCGCGAACACATTATCTGTATAAAGTCTGGAATTTTTCCAAAAAAGTCTGGAAAATGTCTGGAAAAAGTCTGGAATTTCATTTTGAAAAAGTAGTACGAACCCTGTGTGTAAGAGAATGTAGACATTGTGTAATGTGTAAGAGAATGTAGACATTGTGTAATGTGTAAGAGAATGTAGACATTGTGTAAGAGAATGTAGACATTGTGTAATGTGTAAGAGAATGTAGACTGTCCCCATGTGTTTCAGTGGTGAGTCTGGAGCTGGTAAAACAGAAAACACCAAGAAAGTCATCCAGTACTTGGCCTTTGTTGCAGCCTCCAACAGAACCAACAGGCAGTCCATAGGTGCAGCCCATAACCAGGTCTGTTCACACCACAACTGGTACACCAATCTAGGGAGGGTTCAATGTACACCAATCTAAGGAGGGTTCAATGTACACCAATCTAGGGAGGGTTCACTGTACACCAATCTAGGGAGGGTTCACTGTACACCAGCGTAGGAGGGTTCACTGTACACCAATCTAGGGAGGGTTCACTGTACACCAGCATAGGAGGGTTCACTGTACACCAATCTAGGGAGGGTTCACTGTACACCACAACTAGTACACCAATGTAGGGAGGGTTCAATGTACACCAGCATAGGAGGGTTCAATGTACACAACTAGTGCACCAATGTAGGGAGGGTTCAATGTACACCAATCTAGGGAGGGTTCACTGTACACCAATCTAGTACACCAATGTAGGGAGGGTTCACTGTACACCAATCTAGGGAGGGTTCAATGTACACCAATCTAGGAAGGGTTCAATGTACACCAATGTAGGGAGGGTTCACTTTACACCAATGTAGGGAGGGTTCATTGTACACCAATCTAGGGAGGGTTCACTGTACACAACTAGTACACCAATGCAGGGAGCGTTCACTGTACACCAATCTATGGAGGGTTCACTGTACATCTCAACTAGTACACCAATGTAGGGAGGGTTCACTGTACACCTATGTAGGGAGGGTTCATTGTACACCAGCTTAGGGAGGGTTCATTGTACACCAGTGTAAGGAGGGTTCACTGTACACCATAGTAGGGAGAGTTCACTGTACACCACAACTAGTACACCAATGTAGGGAGGGTTCACTGTACACCACACTTTATGTCAGGGTTATTTCTTGATTAAGATTAATAAACTTAAGTAAAAATATTTTATGATTTAGTGTTATTATCAAGTATAATTTTTTCTTAAAAATGTGTTACTTGAATTAAATTAAGGCATTCTTTTTACTTATATTTTTTTAACTGCTACCATTTTAGATATAGGCTATTGGCATGTGTAGTATGTCTAGTGGCATGAATAGTTTTCACTTCAATTAGTGGCATGTCTAATTCTTTATTCATAACTCATTTTCACAGTTTGCCTGAAATTGTTTCTCTTACCCTTTATTTCCCCATCACCTGTGCTGCAAAAGTGTTAGCATTTAGAGAGTATTTAGATTGACTTGTAATCAAATGATAAATTTAATGTGAACCAAGAGCCATTCTAAGCTACCATAGGTTGGCCCATGTCTTACCTTCAAGCTTAGTGATAGAGCCAGTGGATTAGGATTAGCTTTGGTTGAGGTTAAAGTTAGTATCACCCACAGCTCTATTAACCACCTTCATTAACATCTTGTCATATTCAGGATATAAATAGAATATTTACAAGCAGTTGACCTCACTTAGTTTGCTAGAGTATGTCATAGCCTCTGCTTATAGCTAATCCCCTTTTCCTGACGTTTTTGCTGTTTTTGCTTTTATTTATTGACCTCCATTATTGTTACACCCAGGGATAGGGGAGAGGGTGTCAAACTAACCATTACTTTAATGTGTTTTGTTACATTTTAATACTATAACCTGCCTCATCTTGATGCTATAAAAACTTACTTTTTGACACTATAAAAACTACTACATCTAGACTCAATAAAAACTACTACATATGACACTATAAAAACTATTACATCTAGACTCAATAAAAACTACTACATCTAGACTCAATAAAAACTACTACATCTAGACTCAATAAAAACTACTACATCTAGACTCAATAAAAACTACTACATCTAGACTCAATAAAAACTACTACATCTAGACTCAATAAAAACTACTACATCTAGACTCAATAAAAACTACTACATCTAGACTCAATAAAAACTACTACATATGACACTATAAAAACTATTACATCTAGACTCAATAAAAACTACTACATCTAGACTCAATAAAAACTATTACATCTAGACTCAATAAAAACTACTACATATGACGCTATAAAAACTATTACATCTAGACTCAATAAAAACTACTACATCTAGACTCAATAAAAACTACTACATATGACGCTATAAAAACTATTACATCTAGGCTCGATACTAACGCCATAAAAAGTACTACATCTTGACGATATAAAAACTAGTACATCTAGACCATGGGTTCCCAAACTGTGGGTTGCGACTTGGGGTCGCGAAGGGCTTTGGGGGGGGGGGGGGTGTCACCAACTGGTAGACTAAACCCTAGCTATGAAAAAAAAACATTAATATTTAGAATAATATCTGAAATTCGGCTTTACATCACTGGAAATGGAATAGAGAAGAAACGATGCGTACCTTGCACATCAGTCTATGAAACCTTCAAAACTAAAATGTCATTTTTAGACGAGTCATTTGGAACACACCAAAAAAGATATTGAGTTCTTTCGTCTGTATGAAGCTAGTTGTGAACGTCAGAGACTTAATCGAACAGGACTTCTTCACCAAGAAAACATTAGTGCAAACATCATATAAAGTTGCATTAGAAATTGCCAAGAAAAAAAAATCTCACACAATAGGAGTAAATCTTATCAACCCCTGCGTGTTGAGGATGGTGAAATTAATTCTTGGGGATTCCAGTGCAGTCAAGATGGAACAAATATCTCTGTCTAATAATACTATTCAGCGGCTTATAGCAGACATGACCAAAGATGTTAAAGAACAAATATTGAGTGAAATCAAGCTTTCACCATTGTTTATTTTCAACTTGATGAACCCACAGACGAGTTCGTGTTGGCAGTTTATTGTCTTTGTGAAATATATTCATTAAGATGATAGCAAAGAAGTTTTGCTATTTTATAAAGATATCATGGAGAAAATAAATAAGTTTTTTGAAACTGGATGATTATCATGGGAAAATGGCTGTGGGCTTTGTATGGATGGTGATCCATCTTTTGGTCAAAATCAGGCTCTTATAAAAAAAGGAAACAGATTTAGCTCCCTAACCAAGGGGAATCCATTGCATGATTTACTGGTATGCCCTCGCCAGCAAGACTCTTCCGACTCCATTGATAAGGTATGCCCTCGCCAGCAAGACTCTTCCAACTCCATTGATAAGGTATGCCCTCGCCAGCAAGACTCTTCCAACTCCATTGATAAGGTATGCCCTCGCCAGCAAGACTCTTCCAACTCCATTGATAAGGTATGCCCTCGCCAGCAAGACTCTTCCGACTCCATTGATAAGGTATGCCCTCGCCAGCAAGACTCTTCCAACTCCATTGATAAGGTATGCCCTCGCCAGCAAGACTCTTCCAACTCCATTGATAAGGTATGCCCTCGCCAGCAAGACTCTTCCAACTCCATTGATAAGGTATGCCCTCGCCAGCAAGACTCTTCCAACTCCATTGATAAGGTATGCCCTCGCCAGCAAGACTCTTCCAACTCCATTGATAAGGTATGCCCTCGCCAGCAAGACTCTTCCAACTCCATTGATAAGGTATGCCCTCGCCAGCAAGACTCTTCCAACTCCATTGATAAGGTATGCCCTCGCCAGCAAGACTCTTCCAACTCCATTGATAAGGTATGCCCTCGCCAGCAAGACTCTTCCAACTCCATTGATAAGGTATGCCCTCGCCAGCAAGACTCTTCCAACTCCATTGATAAGGTATGCCCTCGCCAGCAAGACTCTTCCGACTCCATTGATAAGGTATGCCCTCGCCAGCAAGACTCTTCCAACTCCATTGATAAGGTATGCCCTCGCCAGCAAGACTCTTCCAACTCCATTGATAAGGTATGCCCTCGCCAGCAAGACTCTTCAACTCCATTGATAACAAAAGTCATTGATTCCCTTGATGTTGTCAGCATTCCCGATGAATTACAAGAGGAATTTTTAAATTTGTGAAATGATTCCGTGTCACGTATCATGTTAAATGAAAAACTGCTCACACAATTTTGGTGTAGTATGCCTTTTGTGTCTACATATCTTTGCGATAATAGATTTTCAACGCTTCTCCAATTAAAAACAAAACATAAAAATAAATTAAATGTTGAGAATGACATGAGGTTGTCAGATTGTATTTCTTACAGATGCCAAATCAGTCCTGCAATCCCTACAAAATCCGGAGTCCTATATTCAAACACTTATGACATCACTAGAGAGGCTAAAAAATACCTGCAGCAGAATTGTGCTGCAGTGGATCCCGGGCCACTGCCAGATCCAGGGTAACGAGATCGCAGACCAGCTGGCAAAAATTGGGGGAAAGAAACCACAACCGGTAATTTCGCTACACCCAAAAGAAATAAAAAGAATAATTAAAAACAAACAAACGCAAATGTGGTCTGTCACACACCCTCACTACATTAAAGACGACGGCTATTACAATTTAACACGAAAACAACAATACATAATCTTTCGACTTAGAACAGGCCACAACAGACTAAATCAACACATGCACAAAAAACTGAAGGTTGGGTGTAGCGAAATGTGCCCTTGTGGCAAGGCCCCGGAAAACACAGAGCACGTACTCCAGGAATGTACTCTGTATGGCCAGGCAAGAGTCAGACACTGGCCCCAGCCCACCCGACTCAGGGAAAAATTATATGGGACACCTGACAAACTGGAAACCACAGTCCGGTTTGTCCACGAAGTTGGACTTGTTGTCTGAATCCTCCACCATATTCAAAAATTAAGAACGAAGAAGAAGAAGAAGACATGAGGTTGGCGTTAACAAATATTCAACCGCGGATGTTGAGGCTAGTTAATGGCATGCAATTTCATCCATCACATTAAAACTAGAATAATTCACATTGAAAGTGTACTAGAAAATTGTATTTTAGCAATTATTAATTTTCTTACTAATTTCCTCTTTTTAATTATATGGGGGTCACGGGTCACTTACTTTTTTATAAAAGGGTCGCCACTTGAAAAAGTTGGGGAACCACTGATCTAGACACTATAAAAACTATTACATCTAGACGCTATAAAAACTATTACACTTAGACGCTATAAAAAGTATTACATTTAGACACTATAAGAAACGCTATAAAAACTATTACAGGACGCTATAAAAAACTCTATAAAAACTGTCATCTAGACATTATAAAAACTTGAGGATAACCTGTTGAAATGTGCTTGTTATGATGTGAAACTTGTCTGACGTGAATGCAAGTAGAGTTTGTCACATCAGATGTTTTTATTGTCTGTTTTGTTATTGAATAGACAAGTCGTAATGAAAACAACAATTTAATGTCATTCTGTGTTTATACGTGTTGATGTCAGCTGATCTTATTGATTATATTTTTATGTATGTAATCTTATCTACCCTGTTGATTGATGATGCTATGTTGATAAGATTGTTTCTTTTCTCCACCGTGCCCACCAGGATGCAGGAAAAATAGTTGATCTCAAACAGGTAGCTGCCTTGGTGTCCCACCCACCCATCTTGTGTTGTCTGATAGTAGGGATCACCTCCCAGAAACTATTGTTTCTTCTCACTTTTTATTTCTTATGTTTTATGTGCTACACATTTAAAACTAGAAGCAAAGTAAACAGCTTTTGACACTTTTGATTTGTTGTAGTGTTAAAGCATCTTCTTCACCAAACTAGAGAGCACAGTCTGTATGCTTGTACCTACCCACCCGACCACTCACCTAACCACCCACCCACCAAACCACTCACCTACCCACCCAACCACTCACCAAACCACTCACCTAACCACCCACCCACCCAACCACCCACCCACCAAACCACTACTCATGTAGCTTCTCTAGAGATATGTCCAGCTACCATTTGCTTACCATACATCTATACTTACAGATGTATTTACTAACAGGACCAAGAAATTAAAACTGCTTATAGTCTGTTTCTATCAGCATATGTACCTTTAGCTTTAGAGCAATGTGTAACAATATATCCAGCTTTAGAGCAATGTGTAACAATATATTCAGCTTTAGAGCAATGTGTAACAATATATCCAGCTTGCATTCTTTTGGTATGAGTCAGAGACAACACTAACCACAGTTTAATTAAAGAGTAGCAGCTGTCTGAATAATGTTATGTAAGGCTTACCAGCTAAACCACTGGCTATCAGCTTTCTAATCTTACATTACCAAAACCAATTAGCTTATTCACGCTTTGCTTTAGAAAAAAAAATATTTTTGCAATTTAGTACTTAATTAGTAGATTTATTTGAAGCTGGGGATATTGAACTACTCATAGGGCTAAATTTTAGGATAAATGATGGGTTATCTTTGAGCAGCATGTATTAAATTGTTCTCTCTTCTTTCCTCTGTGTTTGTGTGTGGACCCTACCCTCTGCTAGAACAAGGATTTCAACCTTGTAAGTACAGTCATCAACTTGATCATTCCACTCATCCATAAACCACTTCACAAAAATGATTAATCCAGCCTTAATCCATAATTCTCATCATATATTTAATCCAGCCTTTATCCATAACCCACATCACAAACATGCTTAATCCAGTCTTAATCCATAATCCTCATCATATACTTAATCCAGTCTTCATCCATAATCCACATCACAAACATGCTTAATCCAGTCTTAATCCATAATCCTCATCATATACTTAATCCAGTCTTCATCCATAATCCACATCACAAACATGCTTAATCCAGTCTTAATCCATAATCCTCATATACTTAATCCAGCCTTTATCCATAACCCACATCACAAACATGCTTAATCCAGTCTTAATCCATAATCCTCATCATATACTTAATCCAGTCTTCATCCATAATCCACATCACAAACATGCTTAATCCAGTCTTAATCCATAATCCTCATATACTTAATCCAGCCTTTATCCATAACCCACATCACAAACATGCTTAATCCAGTATTAATCCATAATCCTCATCATATAATTAATTCAGCCTTCATCTGTAACCCACATCTCAAACATACTTAGTACAGCCTTAATCCATAATCCTCATTGTATACTTAATCCAAACCTTCATGATCAACCCTTATAGAGTCTCATTTGTAATTAGCAACTAGGTGTTGAATATTGTTATATGTTAACATTTGGTGGCTTGTTGTTGGCTAACATTTTTCTTCTGATTAGAGTTTGATCATTTTCCCCTTTACATTATTCACACATTTATTGTTTAGATAAGTTTCACTTGGTGTATTTAGTTTTTATTTGTCCCTAGCACATACCTATTTTCCTCTTAATGTAGTTTTAGCAGTCAAGTAAAATAACAAGTATTTCAAAGTTAACATCTGACATGTGTGGATGCATGTTGAAAGATAATTTGTGCATTTGCTCATACAACCTCATTCATTTAAGGCTACCTTTTAGAGTGGTAGTAGGGCAGTTTGGGTGTAGGGGGGGGGTTTAGGGGGTATGGTGGGAGGGATAGTTGGATTGGATTGTTGTAATCAAACCATTTGTTCCTGATATAGGGAGAGCTGGAAAACCAATTGCTTCAGGCCAATCCAATTCTAGAAGCTTTTGGAAATGCCAAGACAATCAAGAATGATAACTCCTCCAGATTTGTAAGTCATGCCTTGATTCTCTGGATTTATGATTCTTGTAAAACTGTTTAAAATAGCTTACATATTTAGCCTTTGCTTCTAACCTGGCTAATTTTGCTCACTTCTCAGGGTAAATTCATCCGAATCAACTTTGATTCATCAGGATACATTTCTGGTGCCAACATTGAAACCTGTATCTTTTTTTACACCTAAAAAGTATGTGTTATAGATTATATAACATGACACGTTTTGTAATGTTTGCTTTTAAAAAATTCAATTTTCCTACTTTTTTACAAATGAATTCTACAATGCTAAGCTAGTGTTGTGTCAAGAAAGCCTTAACCAATGAAAGATCTTCTTGAGAAATCCAGAGCTGTGCGCCAGGCGGAGAGTGAGAGGTCCTTCCACATTTTTTATCAGTTTCTCCAGGGAGCCAACGCGCAACAGAAACGTATGTGTCTAATCTTTGTATCCACATCAAGTGGCTGAACTTTTCATTGCTTGCTAGTATCTTTCAAACAAAGTAATACTAACCTGACAACACTCATCCTCAAGTACCATGTGTGAATAGACTTGTAACTAGTTACACATGGAAGTGGTCTATCGCTAGTCTTGTTACACATAGAACTGGTGTTACAAGTTACACATAGAGGAGATGTGTTAATAGACTTGTATTACACAGAACTGGTGTGTCAAGTCTTGTTACACATAGAAGGGGTGAGCCAATAGTCTTGTTACCACAAAGAACTGGTGTGTGAATAGACTTGATACAAGTTACACATAGAAGGGGTGTGCCAATAGACTTAATCCACATATAACTGGTATATGGACTTGTAACAAGTTACACCTGAAATGGTGTCTGAATAGCTCAGCTGTTTCTTATTGTTTTTCTCAGACTTGTAACAAGTTACACCTGAAATGGTGTCTGAATAGCTCAGCTGTTTCTTATTGTTTTTCTCAGAGGAGTTCCTGCTGGAGGACTGGGGCAAGTATTTGTACATGACACACGGCAAGATCCTGGTCACTGGGGTGGATGATGCTGCAGAGTTCAAGAACCTGACAGAGTCCATGAGCATCATGGGGATCTCCCCTGACAACCAGTCTGGTAGGTTACCTGACAGCAGGGCTATCTAACAGGAGGGCTACCTGACAGCTGGGCTACCTGACAGCAGGGCTACCTGACAGCTGGGCTACCTGACAGCTGGGCTACCTGACAGCAGGGCTACCTGACAGCTGGGCTACCTGACAGCTGGGCTACCTAACAGCTGGGCTACCTGACAGCTGGGCTATCTAACAGGAGGGCTACCTGACAGCAGGGCTACCTGACAGCTAGGCTACCTGACAGCTGGGCTACCTGACAGCTGGGCTACCTGACAGCTGGGCTACCTGACAGCAGGGCTACCTGACAGCAGGGCTACCTGACAGCTGGGCTACCTAACAGCTGGGCTACCTGACAGCTGGGCTATCTAACAGGAGGGCTACCTGACAGCAGGGCTACCTGACAGCTAGGCTACCTGACAGCTGGGCTACCTGACAGCTGGGCTACCTGACAGCAGGGCTACCTGACAGCTGGGCTACCTGACAGCTGGGCTACCTGACAGCTGGGCTACCTGACAGCAGGGCTACCTGACAGCTGGGCTACCTAACAGCTGGGCTATCTAACAGGAGGGCTACCTGACAGCAGGGCTACCTGACAGCTAGGCTACCTGACAGCTGGGCTACCTGACAGCTGGGCTACCTGACAGCTGGGCTACCTGACAGCTGGGCTACCTGACAGCAGGGCTACCTGACAGCAGGGCTACCTGACAGCTGGGCTACCTGACAGCTGGGCTACCTGACAGCAGGGCTACCTGACAGCAGGGCTACCTGACACTAGGCTGACTGACTGCTGGGTTACAGGAGGGCTACCTGACAGCAGGGCTGACTTACAACACATGTGAACTTGTCTGATGTTTGACTGACGAATCTGTAACTATGTCTGATGTTTGACTGACCAATCTGTAACTATGTCTGATGTTTGACTGACCAATCTGTAACTATGTCTGATGTTTGACTGACCAATCTGTAACTATGTCTGATGTTTGACTGACCAATCTGTAACTACGTCTGATGTTTGACTGACCAATCTGTAACTATGTCTGATGTTTGACTGACCAATCTGTAACTATGTCTGATGTTTGACTGACCAGAACATAAATGCCTTTTTCAGCTGTTCTTCGCACAGTCTCTGCAGTTTTACTTCTGGGAAACATGCAGTTCAAACAAGACAGGAATTCAGATCAAGCTACTCTGCCAGACAACACTGGTAACCTCCCCTTAAACCTCCCCTTAAACCTCCCCTTAAACCTCCCCTTAAACCTCCCCTTAAACCTCCCTTGACACTCTTGAACCTCCCCTTGACACTATTAAACCTCCCTTTGACACACTTGAACCTCACTTAAACCTCCCATTGACACACTTGAACCTCCCTTAAACCTCCCATTGACACACTTGTCTGATATAACACTTAAACCTCCCTTTGACACACTTGAACCTCCCTTAAACCTCCCATTGACACACTTGTCTGATATAACACTTAAACCTCCCATTGACACACTTGAACCTCCCTTAAACCTCCCATTGACACACTTGTCTGATATAACACTTAAACCTCCCATTGACACACTTGAACCTCCCTTAAACCTCCCATTGACACACTTGTCTGATATAACATTTGAACCTCCCTTTGACACTCTTGAACCTCCCTTAAACCTCCCATTAACACACTTGTCTAATATAACATTTGAACCTCCCCATGAGCCACTTGTCTGATATGAACCTCCCCTGTTCTCTAGTTGCCCAGAAGGCGTGTCACTTGTTAGGTGTCCCTGTCACTGCCCTCACACAAGCATTCCTTAAGCCCAAGATCAAGGTCGGCAGAGATTTTGTTACCAAGGCTCAAACTAAAGCTCAGGTACCCACTACATCACTCGTCTACCAAACTCACTACATCACTCGTCTACCTTTTACCAAACCCACTACATCACTCGTCTACCTTTTACCAAATTCACTACATCACTCGTCTACCTTTTACCAAACTCACTACATCACTCGTCTACCTTTTACCAAACTCACTACATCACTCAACTTGTCTACCTTTTACCAAACTCACTACATCACTCAACTCGTCTACCTTTTACCAAACTCACTACATCACTCAACCATTATATAGTGCTGCGCCTCGATTTTAAACTTCATTATTGGTCAAGATGAATTAAACAATTAAAAACTACATTAATTTACCTTTAATTTGATATCAATTTTAAATATCAAACGGATTTGTTTTAAAATCGCTGCGATGCTTTGACCAAAGTAAAAGTAGGGTTGACCAAATTTACCAAACTCATTACATCACTCAACCATGAGACCAAAATAAAAAGTAGGGTTGACCAAATAGACCAAACTCATTACATCACTCAACCATGAGACCAAAATAAAAGTCTATGTCACTAGTATAGAAAGCATTAGCTCTTTAAGAGATAGTATAGGCTGTTAGTTTTTTCTTGAAAACTGATTAAGCAAACTGTTTGATAGTATAGGCTCTTAGTTTTTTCTATAGAAAGCATTAGAAAACTGATTGAGCAAGCTGTTTGAACTGACAGGTTGAGTTCGCTGTGGAAGCCATCTCTAAAGCTCTGTATGAGAGGCTCTTCAAATGGATTGTCACACGCATCAACAAATCTCTGGACAGGACCAAAAGACAAGGTGCCAGCTTCATTGGTATCTTGGACATTGCCGGCTTTGAGATCTTTAAGGTAATCAACAAGCTGCACGGCTTTCTGTTTGATGTTTCTTACATGGCTGTACATGACCATGTCATACGTGAAGCATACATGACCATGTCATACTTAGAGCATACATGACCATGTCATACTTAGAGCATACATGACCATGTCATACTTGAAGCATACATGACCATGTCATACTTAGAGCATACATGACCATGTCATACTTGAAGCATACATGACCATGTCATACTTGAAGCATACATGACCATGTCATACTTGAAGCATACATGACCATGTCATACTTGAAGCATACATGACCATGTCATACTTGAAGCATACATGACCATGTCATACTTAGAGCATACATGACCACGTCATACTTAGAGCATACATGACCATGTCATACTTGAAGCATACATGACCATGTCATACTTGAAGCATACATGACCATGTCATACTTGAAGCATACATGACCACGTCATACTTAGAGCATACATGACCATGTCATACTTGAAGCATACATGACCATGTCATACTTACAGCATACATGACCATGTCATACTTAGAGCATACATGACCATGTCATACTTGAAGCATACATGACCATGTCATACTTACAGCATACATGACCATGTCATACTTAGAGCATACATGACCATGTCATACTTGAAGCATACATGACCATACCTAAGGGTAGACTGCTCAAACTTGGACCAAGTTGTTTTAGTCAGGGCTTTAAAACTAATCATACAGTGGCGTCTAAGATATTATTTCTTTAAACTAATCATACAGTGGCGTCTAAGATATTATTTCTTTAAAACTAATCATACAGTGGCGTCTAAGATATTATTTCTTTAAAACTAATTATACAGTGGCGTCTAAGATATTATTTCTTTAAAACTAATCATACTGTGGCGTCTAAGATATTATTTCTTTAAAACTAATTATACAGTGGCGTCTAAGATATTATTTCTTTAAAACTAATCATACTGTGGCGTCTAAGATATTATTTCTTTAAAACTAATTATACAGTGGCGTCTAAGATATTATTTCTTTAAAACTAATCATACTGTGGCGTCTAAGATATTATTTCTTTAAAACTAATCATACTGTGGCGTCTAAGATATTATTTCTTTAAAACTAATCATACAGTGGCGTCTAAGATATTATTTCTTTAAAACTAATCATACAGTGGCGTCTAAGATATTATTTCTTTAAAACTAATCATACTGTGGCGTCTAAGATATTATTTCTTTAAAACTAATCATACAGTGGCGTCTAAGATATTATTTCTTTAAAACTAATCATACTGTGGCGTCTAAGATATTATTTCTTTAAAACTAATCATACAGTGGCGTCTAAGATATTATTTCTTTAAAACTAATCATACTGTGGCGTCTAAGATATTATTTCTTTAAAACTAATCATACAGTGGCGTCTAGGATTATAAACATCATTATTCAAGATGACTTAAACAATAAAAAACTACATTTGTTCATCTTTTACTTGACATTACTTTTAATCCTTAAAAAATGTGTTTTGAAAAAATGTGTTAGGAAAGAAATGAGTAACTATTATGTTGAGTTGAGGCGTGTTGTAATGTGTTAGGAAAGAAATGAGTAACTATTATGTTGGGGCGTGTTGTAATGTGTTAGGAAAGAAATGAGTAACTATTATGTTGAGTTGAGGCGTGTTGTAATGTGTTAGGAAAGAAATGAGTAACTATTATGTTGAGGCGTGTTGTAATGTGTTAGGAAAGAAATGAGTAACTATTATGTTGAGGCGTGTTGTAATGTCAGCACAACCTGTGTCCCATTCAAATACCCGGCAAACAAAATGTGTCTGCTAACTTGTCTGGATCAAGTTATTATTTTCAAAAAACCTTCTTAGGAATTTTAAGAACTTAATATGCCTTTATATAGGACAATCTCCCACAATTAAAATGACAAATTTAATACATAATTCATTTTGGCCAGTGATGTTTTTATCATCCCTTATAATTTTTTTTCTGACCACATCTGTCCAAGTTAGAGCAGCCTCGTTAGGGTTAGGGAATCAGTTGATTACCACTCAAGTTTTAGACATTCATTGATTACCACCTAAGATGAAGTGACTAAAATATTTACTATTAAAGATGAAGTGACTAAAATATTGAATATTAAAGATGGAGGGACTCAAATATTTACTATTAAAGATGGAATGACTAAAATAAATAAAGTGTACTAAAGATTGACTGTTAAGCGCTACAAATTAACAATATTTAGCCATAACTTTGAAGTGACTACAATATTTAGCCCTAATACTAGCTAGTTGCACAAGTAAATAAAATATGACGTCACAGGCTCTAAACCTTTCGTGCACACAAAAAATTAAATTCAAATGTAGTAGTTCGCATCGCTTTGTTAACCGTTTAAAAAACGATAGAAAGCGATTATGATTCCAATCATATATGCCCTCCTTATTAGCAGCGGTTATTGACCGTTACCGCTGTATAATTTTTGTTTCAACTTTTTACTTGTTTTGCGTTTAAAAGGTGAGTTTTCAAAAATTTACTTAAAATAGTAAAACATTGAGACTAACTCTGTTTTTAGTCGGATTATCTTTATTATTTATTACGCTTCCTAACTAGCATATTTATTTTAGGTTTATCCGTTTAGCAGACTATGCAAAATATCTCACAAACTAGGTACCCTATTAGCGGTATCGATATAAAGATGTATCTAATATAAGCCAAAGCTGGAAATTATTAATTGAACAGTGGTTGATTAAATTCACCAAGTAGACTGTTGGGATCCAAAATCTTATTAATATAAGAAATATTAGTTAAAAACACATTTTACGAGTGTGTTCATTCTATTGTAACAAGCTGAATGTGTACACTGATAGTCTTCATTTATTTCATATCTCATAAGTTTATCTTGCTAAAGAATAAAACATACCCTTGTAAACAAAGGCCTATATTTATTTGCTTGATACTCACACAAATAAAATCACTCTTTTTTACACACATTCCCCTGCCCCCATCCATAGCTTATCTTTATTGTTGCCAGACGTTTTTAGAGACCCTGTATCCCCAAGCTGTTGTTAAATGTTATCACAACTGGACAGTGTGGTCTAGTATGTAGTATGCTCGCTAACTAAACTGATATATCGGTACACGGCCTGGTGACCGTAGGTCATCCCAAACTGTCCCTCACGTTCAAAACCAGGTGGCAAGATGTCGTATTTAAAACTGGAGGCAAAAGTCAGACAGAAACCCTCGTGTTTAATGTCTGTCTACGTAGCTCTGTGAAATGCTCGACTCTTGATAACGTAGCTGTTTGATTCGCGCTAGCTATGTTCTGTTATCTAACGACACCCAAAGATTATCTCTTAACTGACATGCTTCCAATATGTCAAAAACACTCATATATGTTGTACTGTACTGAGCTGTCTCTATGATACCGTTTACCTAGGAATTAGGAATGTTTATTTTTTTTTTTTACTCAGCCAGTTTCTATTATTTTTACTATTACTGTGACGTTTGAGTTAAATAATTGAATCTATCCAATGGTAATTTAAAAAAAAAAATTCTTAATAGACCACTTTTAAATTAAATAATTTATTAATATCTTGCTAGAGATACTCTATGCAGTTGTAAATGCATTACAAAAAAACCTTATTTCAAAATTTTATAATTGTGCGCCTACACAGAGTTATGTCCCTTTCACATTTTTTCTATACTCTTCGCGTTTTTGTTTTCATTTTCCATAGGCTTAGTTGTCACTGCAATTTTTACACCGAAACCGTCATATCTAGAGAACCGTTTATCCTATAAACATAAATTTGGTATCATTTTGCAGCATTTAGTCCCCTTAATACAAACTCGTTGTTATTTTGTCATTTTAATTATTTTAAAAATGTGTGCAACTAGCTACCTAATACTGAAGTGATAAAAATATTTAGTACTAACGATGAAGTGACAATAATTAGCACTAACGATGAAGTGACTAAGCTATTTTCACTAATGTCCTCCCTCAGACCAAGGATAAGGTAACCATCCAGTCTTGAGTGTCAGTTTGTCATCGTCCTCATAACTTATCAGTTGACTTAAGCATGGGGAATGTTGTCCCACACTGCTGTGTGCTGCTGGTTGTTACTCCAGTACAGCAACGCTTGTCATGGTGTTGTGGACAGGATGTTAGTTGTTCTATCAGCATGATATGTCCAAGTTTGACACTTTGTTGTCTAACTCAGTATGTCCAAGTTTGACACTTTGTTGTCTAACTCAGTATGTCCAAGTTTGACACTTTGTTGTCTAACTCAGTATGTCCAAGTTTGACACTTTGTTGTCTAACTCAGTATGTCCAAGTTTGACACTTTGTTGTCTAACTCAGTATGTCCAAGTTTGACACTTTGTTGTCTAACTCAGTATGTCCAAGTTTGACACTTTGTTGTCTAACTCAGTATGTCCAAGTTTGACACTTTGTTGTCTAACTCAGTATGTCCAAGTTTGACACTTTGTTGTCTAACTCAGTATGTCCAAGTTTGACACTTTGTTGTCTAACTCAGTATGTCCAAGTTTGACACTTTGTTGTCTAACTCAGTATGTCCAAGTTTGACACTTTGTTGTCTAACTCAGTATGTCCAAGTTTGACACTTTGTTGTCTAACTCAGTATGTCCAAGTTTGACACTTTGTTGTCTAACTCAGTATGTCCAAGTTTGACACTTTGTTGTCTAACTCAGTATGTCCAAGTTTGACACTTTGTTGTCTAACTCAGTATGTCCAAGTTTGACACTTTGTTGTCTAACTCAGTACACTCAAGCTTCTGCCTACATCTTTTATTTCTAGCCTAGGGATGGTTCTAAAAGATGGAAGGCGGTGAGGAAATGTAATTGAGAAATTCTGTATTTATTTTTGTTGATGAATTTGAAAACATTTCACTTTCAGTAGAAAAAGCGTTCAAAAACATTTTTTTTTAAATGCAGGTCTAAAACATAACCCTCTCCTCTCGATTACCCTAGTCATATCAGTACCATTACATAATATCAGTACCATTACATAATGTCAGTACCATTAACTTATATCAGTACCATTACATCATGTCAGTACCGTTAACTTATATCAGTACCATTATATCATGTCAGTACGATTACATCATGCCAGTACCATTTCATTGTGATTGAGTTATCTTAGTTACCATGTTGATAGACTACTTGAAATATACTAGCACAAACTTGACATAGGGAGCAATGGCAGGGTAGCTGAATGCTGGGTAATTGAGAGGAGTAACGTCCTGCTTTGGACAACAGCTTAGCTCAAGCCCCAATTTCTATAGGCGCTGTTGTTTTTGCATGTTTGTACATTCAATTTCTAAATTAGTTGGTTTTTTCATCTGCTTTTAAATGTCTTCAATGTTTTCTTTTCGGTGTTTATAAAACTATTTAGACATTTTTTGATAGAAAAATGTCATAGCAAAACAATTGCAGTAAAAATTTCTTTTTTAAAGATCCTTATTTTATTTCCACCTTTTTTTCATTATTCAAGCATATAAAATGTTACATTTAAAAAAAATTGGTTTAAATTTTTTGATTGGAAATATCTATTAAATTATTTAAAAATTCTATTTAAAAATAAATTTTAGCCATTGTAACGTTCGAGTAAATAAAGAACAAGAACTTAGTTAAATGCCATGTCATCAGTGGTCTCAAGACCATTAGATGAATGTCACATGTCATCAGTGGTCTCAAGACCATAAGATGAATGTCACATGTCATCAGTGGTCTCAAGACCATAAGATGAATGTCACATGTCATCAGTGGTCTCAAGACCATTAGATGAATGTCACATGTCATCAGTGGTCTCAAGACCATTAGATGAATGTTACATGTCATCAGTGGTCTCAAGACCATTAGATGAATGTCACATGTCATCAGTGGTCTCAAGACCATTAGATGAATGTCACATGTCATCAGTGGTCTCAAGACCATTAGATGAATGTCACATGTCATCAGTGGTCTCAAGACCATTAGATGAATGAGATGGGCCCAGGTAACCCTAGGTCAATGAGAGGCTCAAGAAATGTGTGTTTTTCAGATGAACTCCTTTGAGCAGCTGTGTATCAACTACACCAATGAGAAGCTCCAGCAGTTGTTCAACCACACCATGTTCATCCTGGAGCAAGAGGAATACCAGAGGGAGGGGATTGAGTGGAAGTTCATTGACTTTGGCCTTGACCTACAGCCCACCATTGACCTACTAGAGAAGGTATCCTCACCCACCCACACATAGCAATACAATGTCATGACACACCACACATCTTAAAAAATATGTGATGCCATTTATGTAAAATCCCTAAAAGAAATTTTTTTCTCCCAGTGTCTAAGTTCTTATTGGTCACTGGTGTATCTAGTTTTAAAATATTCTTAATGATTTAACTCTTTAAGTCCGTAATTATTTTCACGTTTTTTTTTCAGTACCCCTGCGGCTAAATGACCCATATCTTTTTACCTGTTGATTTAAACCCCACACATTATTGATCGTAATTGAATGTCCTACGCACTGATATAAAGTTTAAGTAATTATTTATTTATTAAAGAAAGATAATTACTTAGTTTTAAAGAATAAAAAATAGTGTTAATTTTTTCGGGTAAAAAATACATTTCTGTCTGGAAAATTAATGATAAGAATTACTTTTCATGAGTTCTTATTCATAGAAAATGAAAATACCCATTCATCTACAAAAATCATGGATCGGATTAGTCTTAGTATAAATACTTTAATTTTGGTTAATTTTATAATGCGACGACATAAACGACAAGGCCGCCAAACGACATTCCTCAGTGTTAAAAAAAAATGCCATTTTGCAAGTTGTTTTACAAAAAATTTGTATAAGATACAAAATCAACCTAACGAGAAAACTACAAGAATTAAATACAACAAAAAATGGCCGCTCTAGGTTATCTAGATTTACTATTAAAATTTGGATTCTGAAAAACAACGAATTAAATAGAGAAAATTTTATTGGACGCTGGGAGCGTTGTTACGGTATGGCAGGCCGGCAGACTTGCTGGGAGCGTCGTTACCGTCTTACAGAGTTAATAATAAATGTCATAAGTCACAACAGACCTTAATTGCTCCTGACGTCACAACAGACCGTAATTGCTCCTGACGTCACGACAGACCTTAATTGCTCCTGACGTCACAAACTGGCCTCTATTGGACCTGACAGACTTTAATTGCACCTAAGGTCAGCAACTAACTGAACTTAATTTGTTTCAGCCTATGGGAATCTTGGCTCTGCTAGATGAAGAATGTGTCTTCCCTAAGGCCACAGACAAAACTTTTGTAGAAAAGCTTTTGGCCCAACACACCAGTCACCCCAAGTTTGAGAAACCAGATTTCAGGGCAGATGCAGACTTTAGTCTGATTCACTATGCAGATAAGGTCATTTCATTTTTTAAAAAACAATTTTCAGTAGGAAATTCAGTTTTAAAAAGTTTTATTTGTCTCACGAAGTATGTGTGTGTGTATGCTCACTAAGTATGTGTGTACGTGTTGTATGTGTATGGCTGTGCAAATCTTGGAATATTAATTGAACCCACTTCCCATTGTCCTAATGAGTTGAACCTTGGCACATTGGTAGATCTTGGATGATAATGCAAGAATTGTTCTGACTTTTATTGTTATATTCTCCTTTGCCATTGCGGTTGACTTCACTGAGAGTTCGAGGGCAGTTTTTGAAAATATTTAAATTGATAAAATAATTCAGAACAGCTTTTTAACGGCTTATATTCTATACAAAAATATTAAAATGAGTATTATCGATTGTTCCCAAATGGCTTTAATTTTTACAAATGTAACTATAATTTTTAAAAAGATTTTTCAAAAATTCAGTTTGATTACATAGACTTTTCATGCCTATAGGGCATTGGTTAGAATGCACACTTTTCTGGGAATTCCCAATTACTGTAAACATGAATCAAGTAGTGAATGTAGCTACAGTTGTGGTTTGAGTGACATCAGCTTTGCTTTAGATGGGTTGGGAGGGGGACTAAATTTGTGCCCTTGTTTTCTGCTTTATTTGACATCATGTAGATCAGGGTTATTATCATCTTCAAGAATAGCAGTCAAAATGGGCCCTGTTGTGTCTTTGCCCATGACAGGCCATAAAAGTTGCCGAAGTGAAATGATGGGCAACATTGGCATAGCTGCCTTGTGCTTCACTTGGCTGCCTGTCATGGGGGTATCAGATCCCACTGAGCAGGTATACAGTGGTCATTCAACTCATCAGTTTGTAGACTCATTACTCTGCTGACCAATGCTTTTGTTGTTTGGTTGATTTCTCTGCTGACCAATGCTTTTGTTGTTTGGTTGATTACTCTGCTGACCAATACTTTTGATTTTAGGTTGATTTCTCTGCTGACCAATACTTTTGATTTTAGGTTGATTACTCTGCTGACCAATGGTTGATGAAGAACATGGACCCACTCAATGAGAATGTTGTGTCTATTTTATCCCAGTCTTCAGATCCTTTTTACGTCAACATGTGGAAAGATGGTAAGCTCTTAAAATGTTTTCAACCTGTAGAAGTGCTAGAAATATTACAATTTTGAAACTGTAGGATTGTGAGCTCAAGCAAATGTTGTTTCTCTTTCCCTCCCCTCCCCCCAGCTGAAATAGTGGGTATGGGAGCAGCTGCAGCCGTTGATACAATGTTTGGCTCACGTGCTCGCAAGGGCATGTTCAGGACAGTCAGCCAACTCTACAAGGAACAACTGGCTAAGCTCATGGCTACACTCAGGAACACCAACCCCAACTTTGTTCGATGTATTATTCCCAATCATGAAAAGAAGGTAAGAAAGACAATACTTTCAGAACAAGTGTTTATATAATCGCCACAAAAATGAATTTATACGGCTATAAGTTGAATCCTGTTTGTTCTCTAGGCTGGAAAAATTGATTCAGCATTGGTCTTAGATCAGCTGAGATGTAATGGTGTGCTGGAGGGAATCAGAATTTGCAGACAGGGATTCCCCAACAGGATTTTGTTCCAAGAGTTTCGTCAGCGCTATGAGATCTTGACTCCCGGTGCCATTCCTCGTGGATTCATGGATGGTAAAAAGGCAGTTGAAAAAATGGTACGCCCTTTTTTATCTAGCAATGGCTTGTTGAAGGTGTTCATTAAATAGTGTCCTAGGCTAATTTTTGGACATATTCTGTTTTTAATTTTTAAAAATGCTGAGCAAATTTTGAATTTAAAGTTGCTATAGACATTTCATTGTCATATTTTATGACTCCTCAGATATCAGTTCTAGAATTGGATTCAAATCTTTTTCGCATTGGGCAAAGTAAGATCTTTTTCCGTGCCGGCGTGCTTGCTCACCTAGAGGAGGAGAGGGACCTCAAGTTAACAGATATAATCGTCCAGTTTCAGGCTCTAGCTAGGGGCCTGCTGGCTAGGAGGTAAGTCTTGATCTGGCTAGAGAATAACGTGAAACACATAGTTTGTGTTGACATGCTAATAAATAAAGTACTTTCCTGTAGAAACTACCAGAAGCGCCTGCAGCAGATTAATGCTATCCGTGTTATCCAGAGGAATTGTGCTGCCTATCTTAAGCTGAGAAACTGGCAGTGGTGGAGGCTTTTTACCAAGGTTGGTCACTAGACATACAGGACTGGATGGTATAGACTAGACAGACTAGACTGGATAGTTTAGACTAGACAGACTAGACTGGATGGTATAGACTAGACATACAGGACTGGATGGTATAGACTAGACAGACAGGACTGGATGGTATAGACACAACTCCTGAAATTTTTCCTCTCCCACTAGGTGAAACCACTGTTATCTGTGGCAGGCCAAGAAGAAAAAATCCATGAGAAAGAAGAAGAGCTGAAAAAAGTCAAAGACACATATGAGAAACAGAAGCAGGAAACAGAGGAGCTAGAGAGGCGCTACGCCCAAATCATCGAGGAGAAAAATATCTTGGCTGAACAACTGCAGGCTGAAACAGAGTTGTGTGCTGAGGCTGAAGAGGTGAGTGGTCAGGATGGGTCAACTTGTTGCTTTGTCCATCTGTCAGGATTGGTCAACTTGTTGCTTTGTCCATCTGTCAGGATGGGTCAACTTGTTGCTTTGTCCATCTGTCAGGATGGGTCATCTTGTTGCTTTGTCCATCTGTCAGGATGGGTCAACTTGTTGCTTTGTCCATCTGTCAGGATGGGTCAACTTGTTGCTTTGTCCATCTGTCAGGATGGGTCAACTTGTTGCTTTGTCCATCTGTCAGGACATGGGTCAACTTGTTGCTTTGTCCATCTGTCAGGACTGGTCAACTTTATGAATGGATTTTTGTATTCATTCCTGAAGCTTGCACTGATTGTAAAACAAATTTTTTAGGCAAGATTGCACATGAGCAAGCGCAAAGAAGAATTAGAAGAAATTTTACATGAACTTGAGCTGAGGATAGAAGAGGAGGAGGACAGGAGTACCCAGCTGATGGAGGAGAAGAAAGCAATGCAGCAAAGTTTGAAGGACCTCGAGGAACAGTAAGTGTTTACCTCAATACAACTACAAACTATATTAGCTCCCTATAATACCTAGTGCTATATTAGCTCCCTATAATACTTAGTGCTATATTAGCTCCCTATAATACCTAGTGCTATATTAGCTCCCTATAATACCTAGTGCTATATTAGCTCCCTATAATACCTAGTGCTATATTAGCTCCCTATAATACCTAGTGCTATATTAGCTCCCTATAATACCTAGTGCTATATTAGCTCCCTATAATACCTAGTGCTATATTAGCTCCCTATAATACTTAGTGCTATATTAGCTCCCTATAATACCTAGTGCTATATTAGCTCCCTATAATACCTAGTGCTATATTAGCTCCCTATAATACCTAGTGCTATATTAGCTCCCTATAATACCTAGTGCTATATTAGCTCCCTATAATACCTAGTGCTATATTAGCTCCCTATAATACCTAGTGCTATATTAGCTCCCTATAATACCTAGTGCTATATTAGCTCCCTATAATACCTAGTGCTATATTAGCTCCCTATAATACCTAGTGCTATATTAGCTCCCTATAATACTTAGTGCTATATTAGCTCCCTATAATACCTAGTGCTATATTAGCTCCCTATAATACCTAGTGCTATATTAGCTCCCTATAATACCTAGTGCTATATTAGCTCCCTATAATACCTAGTGCTATATTAGCTCCCTATAATACCTAGTGCTATATTAGCTCCCTATAATACCTAGTGCTATATTAGCTCCCTATAATACTTAGTGCTATATTAGCTCCCTATAATACCTAGTGCTATATTAGCTCCCTATAATACCTAGTGCTATATTAGCTCCCTATAATACCTAGTGCTAGATAATCCCCTACAATACGTAGTGCTAGATAATCCTCTATAATACCTAGTGCTAGATAATCCCCTATAATACCTAGTGCTAGATAATCCCCTATATTACCTAGTGCTAGATAATCCCCTAAATGTTGTTGCAGTCATTGACCTTTGATAAAATGTGTCCAGGCTTGAAGAAGAGGAGCAGACGCGCCAGAAGTTGCAGTTAGAAAAAGTAACAGCTGAGGGTAAGATGAAAAAACTGGAGGAGGAAGCTGCAGCTCTAGATGACATGAACCAGAAGCTCTTGAAAGAGAAGAAGCTGATGGAGGAGAGGCTTGCAGAGGCCCAGCTTAATATGGCTGAAGAGGAGGAGAAATCAAAGCAGCTTGGCAAACTGAAGAATAAATACGAAGCCATTATTGCTGACCTGGAGGAAAGGCTCAGGAAAGAACAGCAGGTATGTTTAAACATTTTCTCAGTATTTGTAATCTTTTGCTTTCAATTTAAATTTTCATGGTTTAACATTTAAATGTATTTGTTGAAAAGTTTTGATAAACTAGTGTACCTTTGTCTGTTAGGCTCGACAGGAACTTGAAAAAATTCGCCGTAGACTGGAAACGGAGTTGGCTGACTTAAGAGACCAGTTAAATGAGAAGAGGCAACAGGTGGAGGAACTCCAGGCACAGCTCTCTAAACGTGAGGAGGAGGTACAGGGAGCCTTGCAGAAGTAAGTAATGCTGGTCCATTGGTTTCTTCTTGCACTTATTGTATTACAATCTTGGACTGGTATGTACAACAATTATTGTATTACAATCTTGGACTGGTATGTACAACAATTATTGTATTACAATCTTGGACTGGTATGTACAACAATTATTGTATTACAATCTTGGACTGGTATGTACAACAATTATTGTATTACAATCTTGGACTGGTATGTACAACAATTGTTGTATTACAAATGTTGGACTGGTATGTACAACAATTGTTGTATTACAAATGTTGGACTGGTATGTACAACAATTATTGTATTTAAAATGCAGGGTTGCCACTTTTCTGGAATATCCTGGATTGCCAAATTTGTCCATCATATTTTTCCAAAGTTGCTAAATTTGAGTTTTACAATTTCCTGGCTTGGGGGTTTAAAAAAATTCAGACTGTTTGAACTTGAAAGGTTTTGCTTTCTAGAAATCTTTTTTTGTGTGTAGAATACTTCAGAGCATATATAGCGCTTATGCCCCTTTGTTCATGCATAGGTGGTGCAGTACAATAGCCACTGCTAAACAAGCCTAGAATCAAGAACCATTTCTTGTTTTCTTAACTGACCCTGATACTTAGTAAATACAAAAACAAATTGGTATAAAATTTTATGTTTGTATACAATAGTCCTTCTCCAATAGACATTAATTTTAGCAGACTACAATCTAGCGAGACTAAATACTAGCATTTATAAATGAGTCTGTGACCATTACTAGCTTTTGTCTACCAACTTCAGGAACATATGGGTCACTACGACCTTTGATCTTTTTTCTTAGGCTATGTGTAAACTTAATGTGACCTGATCTTGCCTGTTGTCTAGAGCTTATCTAGATCTAAATTAAATGTATTAATAAGACTTAGTTTGGACATAAAAATTATATTTAATTATAATAAAATGAATCTTTTGTCTCAAAAAGAAATAACTGTCTTTTTTTTTTTAAATTCTGTGTGACATTAAAATTTCAGGATTTACATTAAAAAATATTGGCAGCCCTGGAAATCTTGTACTGATATGTGCAACAATTATTCTATTACAAATGTTGGTTTAAGAGTTAACTTATTATATTATTATATTCTAACTTTGAAGTTTAAATTGACCAGGGCTGATGAAGAGCAAGTGAGTAAAACAACCCTACAAAAGCAGATGAGAGAGTTGCAAATTCAGCTCCAAGAAATGCAGGAAGACTTTGATTTAGAAAAAGAGCAGCGCCTTAAAGCTGAAAAGCAAAAGAAAGACCTAAATGAGGTAAGTTTTAAGACTAGTTTGTCAACATCTTCCCAAAATGTAGTTTAATAAAGAGATACTTTACATCTGTTATCTTTCAGGGTTTAACTTGTGTTGATAAGTCATGTTTCAGGGTTTAACTTGTGTTGATAAGTCATGTTTCAGGGTTTAACTTGTGTTGATAAGTCATGTTTCAGGGTTTAACTTGTGTTGATAAGTCATGTTTCAGGGTTTAACTTGTGTTGATAAGTCATGTTTCAGGGTTTAACTTGTGTTGATAAGTCATGTTTTAGGGTTTAACTTGTGTTGATAAGTCATGTTTCAGGGTTTAACTTGTGTTGATAAGTCATGTTTCAGGACTTAACTTGTGTTGATAAGTCATGTTTTAGGGTTTAACTTGTGTTGATAAGTCATGTTTCAGGGTTTAACTTGTGTTGATAAGTCATGTTTCAGGACTTAACTTGTGTTGATAAGTCATGTTTCAGGACTTAACTTGTGCTGATGTGTCATGTTTTAGAAGTTGTGTTGATGTGTCATGTTTAACGCCTTGTTTCAGGAATTGGAAGCTTTGAGGGGTGAACTAGAAGACTCACTGGACACAACAGCTGCTGTACAAGAGTTGAGGACAAAGAGAGAACAGGAGGTGTCAGAGTTGAAGAGGATGGTGGAGGGGGCACAGAAGGCACACGAGGAGGGTGTGCAGGAGCTTAGACAAAAATATACTCAACAAGTTGAACAAATTAATGAAGAATTAGAGAATGCTAAGAAGGTAATTTACTCAACAAGTAGAACAAATTAATGAAGAATTAGAGAATGCTAAGAAGGTAATTTACTCAACAAGTAGAACAAATTAATGAAGAATTAGAGAATGCTAAGAAGGTAATTTACTCAACAAGTAGAACAAATTAATGAAGAATTAGAGAATGCTAAGAAGGTAATTTACTCAACAAGTAGAACAAATTAATTTTTGACTGACAAATGTCTCTGTTTGGTTGAAACTCATTCCATGTTTGATCAGAGCCAGATAAAAAAATTTTGACTGATGTTTATCAGATAAAAATCAACCTTGAAAAAGTGAAGACTACCCTAGAAGCAGAAAACAAAGACCTAGAGAATGACCTAAAAAGTGTTCAGATGGCCAAACAAGAATCAGAGCGCAAACGTAAGCAGGCTGAGACTCAGCTGGCAGAGATGAGCATCAAACTGGCTGAACTGGAGCGCATGTCTGGGGACTCAACAGACAAGTCCAAAAAGTTGCAGGTACCACTAGTTTAAACAAGTCATTACCACACCCAGTTTAAACAAGTCATTACCACACCCAGTTTAATAAGTCAATACCACACCCAGTTTAAACAAGTCATTACCACACCATTTAAACAAGTCATTACCACACCCAGTTTAAACAAGTCACTACCACACCATTTAAACAAGTCATTACCACACCCAGTTTAAACAAGTCATTACCACACCCAGTTTAAACAAGTCACTACCACACCATTTAAACAAGTCATTACCACACCCAGTTTAAACAAGTCATTACCACACCCAGTTTAAACAAGTCATTATCACACCCAGTTTAACCAAGTCACTACCACACCCAGTTTAACCAAGTCACTACCACACCCAGTTTAACCAAGTTATTACCACACCCAGTTTAAACAAGTCACTACCACACCATTTAAACAAGTCATTACCACACCCAGTTTAAACAAGTCATTACCACACCCAGTTTAACCAAGTTATTACCACACCCAGTTTAACCAAGTCACTACCACACCAGTTTACATGTTTGTTTGTTTTAAGTTGTCATGTTTTGATACAATTCTGTTTTTTTTTTCTTACAAGACTGAACTAGAGCAAGTTAGTCAGCAACTTCAGATAGCTGAAACAAAAGCTCTTCAAGGTCAGCAGAAGGCATCCTCATTTGAAGCTCAGCTTGCAGACTTACAGGTAGAGAAACTAATATGTTGGGTGACCTGTGTGTTGGGTGACCTGTGTGTTGGATGACCAGTGTGTTGGGTGACCTGTGTGTTGGGTGACCAGTGTGTTGGGTGACCAGTGTGTTGGGTGACCAGTGTGTTGGGTGACCAGTGTGTTGTTGGGATGTTGGGTGACCAGTGTGTTGGGTGACCAGTGTGTTGGGTGACCAGTGTGTTGGGATGTTGGGTGACCAGTGTGTCGGATGTTGGGTGACCAGTGTGTTGGGTGACCAGTGTGTTGGGTGACCAGTGTGTTGGGTGACCAGTGTGTTGGGTGACCAGTGTGTTGGGTGACCAGTGTGTTGGGTGACCAGTGTGTTGGGTGACCAGTGTGTTGGGATGTTGGGTGACCTGTGTGTTGGGTGACCAGTGTGTTGGGTGACCTGTGTGTTGGGTGACCAGTGTGTTGGTTGACCAGTGTGTTGGTTGACCAGTGTGATGGGATGTTGGGTAACCTGTGTTATGGGTGACCAGTGTGTTGGGTGACCAGTGTGTTGGGTGACCAGTGTGTTGGGTGACCAGTGTGTTGGGTGACCAGTGTGTTGGGTGACCAGTGTGTTGGGTGACCAGTGTGTTGGGTGACCAGTGTGTTGGGTGACCAGTGTGTTGTTGGGATGTTGGATGACCTGTGTGTTGGGATGTTGGCTACAGTGTGCCATATTTTGTGCAGGAAACCCTTCAAGATGAAACAAAACAGAAGCTCTCCCTGCAGTCTAAATTACGTGCTATTGAAGATGAAAAGACAAGCCTAGAAGACAGACTAGAGGAGGAGGAAGAAAACAAAAGAGTGTACGAGAAACAGATTCAAGATCTCAACCAGAAGGTAACATTGCTCACCTACTTGGCCATGATGGAAAATTGTTGTTTGTTTTGTTGGTGGGGTGCAAAACTTTATTTGTTTATATAAAAATTTACTTTTATAAAAGGGATAGCGTTAACATATATGTATAAAAAAAATACAATAATAAAATTATGAATGTGTACAAATTGAGTTCTTTTCACTTTGTCTAAACTAACGCGATAAAAAAATTTTAAGACTGGATGTTGTTGCTAATCCTAGACTTCAATTTGTAAATATTCCTTTAATAACTGAGATCAAATTATGTCTTGTAATTTTCCCTAGATAATTGAAATAAAAAAGAAAGCGGAGGAGGATCTGGCTAACAATGAACAGCTGGAGGAGTACAAGAAGAAATCTGCCAGGGACATGGAACAAATGGTCAATCAGCTGGAAGAAATGAGGTCACAGAATGACAAGTTGGAGAAGTCCAGACGAAAACTTCAGGCTGAGGTCAGTATCTCATCAGCAACATTTTATCATATGCCCTGTCTGTTGGTTTGTGGGTTTGAGCTCACCTGTAGTTTCTCTACACACCTGTATCAACCCCCACCTTCTCTACACACCTGTATCAACCCCCACCTTCTCTACTCACCTGTATCAACCCCCCACCTTCTCTACTCACCTGTATCAACCCCCACCTTCTCTACTCACCTGTATCAACCCCCACCTTCTCTACTCACCTGTATCAACCCCCCACCTTCTCTACTCACCTGTATCAACCCCCCACCTTCTCTACTCACCTGTATCAACCCCCACCTTCTCTACTCACCTGTATCAACCCCCCCACCTTCTCTACTCACCTGTATCAACCCCCACCTTCTCTACACACCTGTATCAACCCCCACCTTCTCTACTCACCTGTATCAACCCCCCACCTTCTCTACTCACCTGTATCAACCCCCACCTTCTCTACTCACCTGTATCAACCCCCACCTTCTCTACTCACCTGTATCAACCCCCCACCTTCTCTACTCACCTGTATCAACCCCCCACCTTCTCTACACACCTGTATCAACCCCCACCTTCTCTACACACCTGTATCAACCCCCACCTTCTCTACTCACCTGTATCAACCCCCACCTTCTCTATACACCTGTATCAACCCCCCACCTTCTCTACACACCTGTATCAACCCCCACCTTCTCTATACACCTGTATCAACCTCCCACCTTCTCTATACACCTGTATCAACCCCCACCTTCTCTATACACCTGTATCAACCCCCCCACCTTCTCTACACACCTGTATCAACCCCCACCTTCTCTATACACCTGTATCAACCCCCACCTTCTCTACTCACCTGTATCAACCCCCACCTTCTCTATACACCTGTATCAACCCCCACCTTCTCTATACACCTGTATCAACCCCCACCTTCTCTATACACCTGTATCAACCCCCCCACCTTCTCTACACACCTGTATCAACCCCCACCTTCTCTATACACCTGTATCAACCCCCACCTTCTCTACTCACCTGTATCAACCCCCACCTTCTCTATACACCTGTATCAACCCCCACCTTCTCTATACACCTGTATCAACCCCCCCCACCTTCTATCTACACCTGTATCAACCCCCACCTTCTCTATACACCTGTATCAACCCCCACCTTCTCTATACACCTGTATCAACCCCCCCCACCTTCTATCTACACCTGTATCAACCCCCACCTTCTCTATACACCTGTATCAACCCCCCACCTTCTCTACTCACCTGTATCAGCCCCCCACCTTCTCTACTCACCTGTATCAACCCCCACCTTCTCTACTCACCTGTATCAACCCCCCCACCTTCTCTACTCACCTGTATCAACCCCCACCTTCTCTACTCACCTGTATCAACCCCCACCTTCTCTATACACCTGTATCAACCCCCACCTTCTCTATACACCTGTATCAACCCCCCCCACCTTCTATCTACACCTGTATCAACCCCCACCTTCTCTACTCACCTGTATCAACCCCCACCTTCTATCTACACCTGTATCAACCCCACCTTCTCTACACACCTGTATCAACCCCCCACCTTCTCTATACACCTGTATCAACCCCCACCTTCTCTATACACCTGTATCAACCCCCACCTTCTCTATACACCCGTATCAACCCCCCCCCACCTTCTATCTACACCTGTATCAACCCCCACCTTCTCTATACACCTGTATCAACCCCCACCTTCTCTATACACCTGTATCAACCCCCCCCACCTTCTATCTACACCTGTATCAACCCCCACCTTCTCTATACACCTGTATCAACCCCCCCACCTTCTCTATACACCTGTATCAACCTCCCACCTTCTCTATACACCTGTATCAACCCCCCCACCTTCTATCTACACCTGTATCAACCCCCACCTTCTCTATACACCTGTATCAACCTCCCACCTTCTCTATACACCTGTATCAACCCCCCCACCTTCTATCTACACCTGTATCAACCCCCACCTTCTCTATACACCTGTATCAACCCCCCCACCTTCTATCTACACCTGTATCAACCCCCACCTTCTCTATACACCTGTATCAACCTCCCACCTTCTCTATACACCTGTATCAACCCCCACCTTCTCTATACACCTGTATCAACCCCCACCTTCTCTATACACCTGTATCAACCCCCCACCTTCTCTATACACCTGTATCAACCCCCACCTTCTCTATACACCTGTATCAACCCCCCACCTTCTCTACTCACCTGTATCAACCCCCACCTTCTCTACACACCTGTATCAACCCCCACCTTCTCTACTCACCTGTATCAACCCCCCACCTTCTCTATACACCTGTATCAACCCCCACCTTCTCTATACACCTGTATCAACCTCCCACCTTCTCTATACACCTGTATCAACCTCCCACCTTCTCTATACACCTGTATCAACCCCCACCTTCTCTATACACCTGTATCAACCTCCCACCTTCTCTATACACCTGTATCAACCCCCCCCACCTTCTCTATACACCTGTATCAACCCCCACCTTCTCTACTCACCTGTATCAACCCCCACCTTCTCTATACACCTGTATCAACCCCCCACCTTCTCTACTCACCTGTATCAACCCCCACCTTCTCTACACACCTGTATCAACCCCCACCTTCTCTACTCACCTGTATCAACCCCCCACCTTCTCTATACACCTGTATCAACCCCCACCTTCTCTATACACCTGTATCAACCTCCCACCTTCTCTATACACCTGTATCAACCTCCCACCTTCTCTATACACCTGTATCAACCCCCACCTTCTCTATACACCTGTATCAACCTCCCACCTTCTCTATACACCTGTATCAACCCCCCCCCACCTTCTCTATACACCTGTATCAACCCCCACCTTCTCTATACACCTGTATCAACCCCCACCTTCTCTATACACCTGTATCAACCTCCCACCTTCTCTATACACCCGTATCAACCCCCACCTTCTCTATACACCTGTATCAACCCCCCACCTTCTCTACTTACCTGTATCAACCCCCCACCTGTTGTTTCAGGTTGATGACATGACAGTTGAGTTAGAATCCCAACGATCAAATGTGTCCAATGCAGAGAAGAAACAGCGCAAGTTTGACCAGATGCTCGCTGAAGAAAAAGCTCTCAGAGAGAGGTAACCTGACTAGTACACAAGTTTTTTATTTGCTTGTCATGTTTTTATCCCACTTAAAATTTTAAACTGTGTACTACTAAATAAAACCAAGTAAACTAGCCTTTCAGTGACTGGGTCAGATAAAGGGATAGTGTGGTCAGCTCTATGATCAGCCATCTTTACTTTCCCTAATGTGAGTCAAGTACCCGTCAGAGCTGGGTGGACTCAGTGGCGTTGTACAGACTCAAAACCAGGAGCTAAACTTGAAACTTTTACATTGTCTTTAGTAGTCAAACTCTGTACCACTCTACCACACCTGTGTCACCCCTAAAACCTTGTGTCACCCCTAAAACCCAGTGTCACCCCTAAAACCCGGTGTCACCCCTAAAACCCCGTGTCACCCCTAAAGCCCCATGTCACCCCTAAAACCCTGTGTCACCCCTAAAACCTTGTGTCACCCCTAAAACTTTGTGTCACCCCTAAAACCCTGTGTCACCCCTAAAACCCTGTGTCACCCCTAAAACCCTGTGTCACCCCTAAAACCCTGTGTCACCCCTAAAACCCTGTGTCACCCCTAAAACCCTGTGTCACCCCTAAAACCCTGTGTCACCCCTAAAACCCTGTGTCACCCCTAAAACCCTGTGTCACCCCTAAAACCCTGTGTCACCCCAAAGATTGGCTGCCGAGTATGACCAAGTGGAGAAAGAGAGCAGAGAAAAAGAGACGAAGATTCTCAACCTCCAGAGACACATTGATGAACTTCAGGAGAGGTCTGACCAGCAGGAGCGAGCCAGGCAACAGCTGGCTAGAGAGCTAGAGGACCTTATCTCATCTAAAGATGATGTGGGCAAAAATGTGAGTCTCAGCACAGCTGGGGACATTTTGGCTAGTGCTCTAGTTGTTAGCTGGGGACATTTTGGCTAGTGCTGCAGTTGTTAGCTGGGGACATTTTGGCTAGTGCTCTAGTTGTTAGCTGGGGACATTTTGGCTAGTGCTGCAGTTGTTAGCTGGGGACATTTTGGCTAGTGCTCTAGTTGTTAGCTGGGGACATTTTGGCTAGTGCTCTAGTTGTTAGCTGGGGACATTTTGGCTAGTGCTCTAGTTGTTAGCTGGGAACATTTTGGCTAGTGCTCTAGTTGTTAGCTGGGGTCATTTTGGCTAGTGCTCTAGTTGTTAGCTGGGGACATTTTGGCTAGTGCTGCAGTTGTTAGCTGGGGACATTTTGGCTAGTGCTCTAGTTGTTAGCTGGGGACATTTTAGCTAGTGCTGCAGTTGTTAGCTGGGGACATTTTGGCTAGTGCTCTAGTTGTTAGCTGGGGACATTTTGGCTAGTGCTCTAGTTGTTGGCTGGGGACATTTTGGCTAGTGCTCTAGTTGTTAGCTGGGGACATTTTGGCTAGTGCTCTAGTTGTTAGCTGGGGACATTTTGGCTAGTGCTCTAGTTGTTAGCTGGGGACATTTTGGCTAGTGCTCTAGTTGTTAGCTGGGGACATTTTTGCTAGTGCTGCAGTTGTTAGCTGGGGACATTTTTGCTAGTGCTGCAGTTGTTAGCTATGAACTTAACTATGCTTGTAAACACTTTACACTAACTAAATGATTTCTGTTTACTCCTCGAGGCAAATTTAAAAATTAACCATAATAATTTCAATAAAATGTGTCACATTGACATACATTTTTAAAGGTTAAATTGTTTTTAAATTAATAATTTGAAGGTTCATGACTTGGAAAAAGCCAAACGATCCTTGGAGTCTACAGTTGCTGAACAGAAACAACAGATAGAAGATCTGGAAGATGAACTTCAAGCTGCTGAAGATGCCAAACTTCGTCTTGAAGTTAACATGCAGGCGCTGAAAGCTCAATATGACAGGGACGCTGCTGGCAGAGAGGACCAAGAGGAGGAGGCCAAGAAGTCTTTGTTAAGACAGGTGGGTGGGTCACTGGGGTGGGGTCACTGGGGTGGGGTCACTGGGGTGGGTCACTGGGGTGGGTCACTGGGGTGGGTCACTGGGGTGGTCAATGGTAAAAAGTAAACTATACCGCATTACTGATAATACTCTGTAAAACTGTTTGAAATCTCTCTGTAGGAGAGTCTGAGCCACTTCTCTACTGGGAATTGAGCAAATTAATTTTTACATAACAACCTGGTCTGATGACCTCTTGACTCTGGCAAGGGTCTCCGGCCAGGGAATAAGACTAAATATCAGGTCTGATGACTTTGTGTCAACTCAATGCCCGCAGTTTACAGCCTATAGTAAAATAAAACACAAAGTTACAACAATAGTACAATTTAAGTTATTATTCTTTTAAAACTTAAACTTATTAATCATACATAATTATATTTATGTATTACAAACAATACAGTCAATATAAAATGAGCTAAGTAAATAATACAAAACCAAGCACGTAGTAGTAGGGCCGATGGCCCTCAACTCCATGTGCAAAGCCAGTAAGAGAGTCAGAAGAGAGAGAGACCTTTTTTTTTGGGTTGCATCCCCTGTTATGTATTAAATTGGTGGCTGTGTTAAGTGGACAATCTAGTCAACCAGAGGAGGGAGGGAGGGAGGGGGAGAACAATAGCACAGGTAGAGGTGGTGGAAGCACAAAATGGAGGTAAACAGTTTTACCGTCAAGTGAGCCAGATGCTGGGCGGGTCAGTTTGGTGGACAACATGGGCGGGTCAGTTTGGTGGACAACATGGGCGGGTCAGTTTGGTGGACAACATGGGCGGGTCAGTTTGGTGGACAACATGGGCGGGTCAGTTTGGTGGACAACATGGGCTGGTCAGTTTGGTGGACAACATGGGCGGTTCAGTTTGGTGGAGGGTGACATGTACTGGTCAGTTGTTTAGTGTGTAATGTTTTTTAGTTGAGGGAAATGGAAGCCGAGCTGGAGGATGAATTGTACTGGTCAGTTTAGTGTGTAATGTTTTTTAGTTGAGGGAAATGGAAGCCGAGCTGGAGGATGAGCGTAAACAAAAGGCCGTGGCTGTACAGAGCAGGAACAAGCTGCAGGGCACGTTGGCTGGACTAGAGCAGCAGGTGGAGATGGCCAACAAGGTGAAGGAAGACGCGGTCAAGCAGTACAAGAAGATAGCAGCGCAGCTCAAGGACTACCAGAGGGAGGTGGACGAGGCCAGAGTCTCAAGGGATGAGGCTCTTGGTGCTGCCAAGGACAATGAGAAGAAGGTCAGTTGAACACTTTGTTAAACAGTTGGCTGTTGAATTCATTTTGTAAAGGTTTGTAGTGAATGAATTAAATAAAAGTTAGGTAGTGGATTAATTGGTTTAAAGTTAGGTAGTGGATTAATTAGGTGAATTAGCAAGAGGATGAAGTAGGTCTAACAATGGATGAATGACTCAGGTCAAATACCTGGAGGCGGAGCTGCTGAGGATTCAAGAAGAACTGGCTGCAGCAGAACGTGCTCGTCGTAATGCAGAGTCAGAGAGGGATGAGTTGGCTGATGAGATTGGCAATAGTGCCAGTGGCAAGTAAGTCATTTTGGTTAGTTTTAGTGACAAGTAAGTCTTTTTTGTTTGTGTTAGTGACAAGTAAGTCTTTTTGGTTAGTTTTAGTGACAAGTAAGTCATTTTGGTTAGTGTTAGTGACAAGTAAGTCATTTTGGTTAGTGTTAGTGACAAGTAAGTCTTTTTGGTTAGTGTTAGTGACAAGTAAGTCTTTTTGGTTAGTTTTAGTGACAAGTAAGTCTTTTTTGTTAGTGTTAGTGACAAGTAAGTCTTTTTGGTTAGTGTTAGTGACAAGTAAGTCTTTTTGGTTAGTTTTAGTGACAAGTAAGTCTTTTTGGTTAGTGTTAGTGACAAGTAAGTCATTTTGGTTAGTTTTAGTGACAAGTAAGTCTTTTTGGTTAGTGTTAGTGACAAGTAAGTCATTTTGGTTAGTGTTAGTGACAAGTAAGTCTTTTTGGTTAGTTTTAGTGACAAGTAAGTCTTTTTGGTTAGTGGTAGGCAAATGTTTAGCTAAGATTAGTTAAGGGTGCTCTTAACTACCTAATGTTTTGACTCCTAGACAAGCTCTACTGGATGAGAAGCGCCGTCTTGAGGCCAGAATTTCTGAGCTAGAGGATGAAGTAGAAGATGAACACACCAATACTGAACTGGCTAATGACAAAGCTCGTAAAGCTCAGCTTCAGGTACTTTTTTTTACACCTGTGTGATCTATGTAGATGTGTTACACCTGTGTAGATGTTTACATCTGTGTGATCTGTGTAGATGTGTTACATCTGTGTGATCTGTGTAGATGTGTTACACCTGTGTATTCTGTGTAGATGTTTTACACCTGTGTATTCTGTGTAGATGTTTTACACCTGTGTGATAGACCTGTGGTTGTTTGGTTACTATGTGTGTTGTTTGGTTGCTATGTGTGTTGTTTGGTTGCTATGTGTGTTGTTTGGTTGCTACGTGTGTTGTTTGGTTGCTATGTGTGTTGTTTGGTTGCTATGCGTGTTGTTTGGTTGCTATGTGTGTTGTTTGGTTGCTACATGTGTCCTTTATTTGACCAGCTGGAACAAATGAGCACTGACCTTGCGTCTGAGAGGTCAGTGAGCCAGAAACTGGAGAACCAGCGTCTGGCCCTGGAGAGACAGAACAAAGAGATGAGGGACAAGCTGCAGGAACTGGAGGGGCAGAACAGGGCCCGCACCAAGGCCACAATTGCAGCACTGGAGAGTAAGGTGGCCAACTTAGAGGAGCAGTTGGACCAGGAGGCCAAGTAAGCTACTGCCAGTTTGATTCTACTTTGTAGTTAGGTTGAGAAAGGTTTCCGATATGGTCTCTCTCTCCTAGGGAAAGACAGTTTGATTCTACTTTGTAGTTTGGTTGAGAAAGGTTTCCAACATGGTCTCTCTCTCCTAGGGAAAGACAGAGCCTGTCGCGAGCCAACAGGAAGATGGAGAAGAGAATGAAAGAACTGGCTCTACAGGTGGAGGATGAGAGGCGAAGTGCTGACCAGTATAAGGACCAGGTCAGTACATGTGCTACACGGTCAGCTGACTGCTAGATGTGACGGTCAGCTGACTGCTAGATGTGACGGTCAGCTGACTGCTAGATGTGACGGTCAGCTGACTGCTAGATGTGGACTGGACACGGTCAACTGACTGCTAGATGTGACGGTCAGCTGACTGCTAGATGTGACGGTCAGCTGACTGCTAGATGTGACAGTCAACTGACTGCTAGATGTGACGGTCAGCTGACTGCTAGATGTGACGGTCAGCTGACTGCTAGATGTGACAGTCAGCTGACTGCTAGATGTGGACTGGACATGGTCAACTGACTGCTAGATGTGGACTGGACATGGTCAACTGACTGCTAGATGTGACGGTCAACTGACTGCTAGATGTGACGGTCAACTGACTGCTAGATGTGACGGTCAACTGACTGCTAGATGTGGACTGGACATGGTCAACTGACTGCTAGATGTGGACTGGACATGGTCAACTGACTGCTAGATGTGACGGTCAACTGACTGCTAGATGTGACGGTCAACTGACTGCTAGATGTGACGGTCAACTGACTGCTAGATGTGGACTGGACACGGTCAACTGACTGCTAGATGTGACTGCTGCAGGTTGATAAGATGAACTGACTCTGTTACAGGTTGATAAGATGAACTGACTATGTATGTTACAGGTTGATAAGATGAACTGACTATGTATGTTACAGGTTGATAAGATGAACTGACTCTGTTACAGGTTGATAAGATGAACTGACTATGTATGTTACAGGTTGATAAGATGAACTGACTATGTTACAGGTTGATAAGATGAACTGACTCTGTTACAGGTTGATAAGATGAACTGACTCTGTTACAGGTTGATAAGATGAACTGACTCTGTTACAGGTTGATAAGATGAACTGACTCTGTTACAGGTTGATAAGATGAACTGACTCTGTTACAGGTTGATAAGATGAACTGACTATGTTACAGGTTGATAAGATGAACTGACTCTGTTACAGGTTGATAAGATGAACTGACTCTGTTACAGGTTGATAAGATCAACTGACTCTGTTACAGGTTGATAAGATGAACTGACTCTGTATGTTACAGGTTGATAAGATGAACTGACTCTGTATGTTACAGGTTGATAAGATCAACTGACTCTGTTACAGGTTGATAAGATCAACTGACTCTGTATGTTACAGGTTGATAAGATGAACTGACTGTATGTTACAGGTTGATAAGATGAACTGACTCTGTATGTTACAGGTTGATAAGATGAACTGACTCTGTATGTTACAGGTTGATAAGATGAACTGACTCTGTATGTTACAGGTTGATAAGATCAACAACAGAGTGAAAGCCCTCAAGAGACAGTTGGATGAAGCTGAAGAAGAAGTTGCCAGGTCTAGTGGTCAGAAGAGAAAACTTCAGAGAGAATTGGATGAACAAATGGAAGCTAACGAGGCCATGAGTAGAGAGATGACCACTCTTAGAAAATACAGGTCAGTGGTGCTTCATATATCTTAGTGTTGGTCCATGCGGGTCAGTATTGCTCCATGCGGGTCAGTATTGGCCCATGCGGGTCAGTATTGATCCATGCGGGTCAGTATTGGTCCATGCGGGTCAGTATTGGTCCATGCGGGTCAGTATTGGTCCATGCGGGTCAGTATTGGTCCATGCGGGTCAGTATTGGTCCATGCGGGTCAGTATTGGTCCATGCGGGTCAGTATTGGTCCATGCGGGTCAGTATTGGTCCATGCGGGTCAGTATTGGTCCATGCGGGTCAGTATTGGTCCATGCGGGTCAGTATTGGTCCATGCAGGTCAGTATTGGTCCATAGAGTTGATGCTGCTGATTTGATTGTAGCCAGGGTTGCTCCTAGCATACTTAATGATAGAGTTTGTTTGAACTAGCTGAGTCCCCAGTAGTAGCTTCCCCTCAATGTTTGAACTAGCTGAGTCCCCAGTAGTAGCTTCCCCTCAATGTTTGAACTAGCTGAGTCCCCAGTAGTAGCTTCCCCTCAATGTTTGAACTAGCTGAGTCCCCAGTAGTAGCTTCCCCTCAATGTTTGAACTAGCTGAGTCCCCAGTAGTAGCTTCCCCTCAATGTTTGAACTAGCTGAGTCCCCAGTAGTAGCTTCCCCTCAATGTTTGAACTAGCTGAGTCCCCAGTAGTAGCTTCCCCTCAATGTTTGAACTAGCTGAGTCCCCAGTAGTAGCTTCCCCTCAATGTTTGAACTAGCTGAGTCCCCAGTAGTAGCTTCCCCTCAATGTTTGAACTAGCTGAGTCCCCAGTAGTAGCTTCCCCTCAATGTTTGAACTAGCTGAGTCCCCAGTAGTAGCTTCCCCTCAATGTTTGAACTAGCTGAGTCCCCAGTAGTAGCTTCCCCTCAATGTTTGAACTAGCTGAGTCCCCAGTAGTAGCTTCCCCTCAAGGCATGGCATGCTTGACCACCTCAAGGCTTGGATATTTGATGAATTTATTCTGTGTTTTTTCAGTGAGAGGTAACTAAAGCTAGGATGGTAAAATTCTTGCATTATTCTGTCATGTTAATATCTAACTCTGGAGGCATCTCTGATCTAGTGCCTGATAAGTGTCTTTAACTTTTACAGTAGTAAACCTAAAGAGAAAGAATAAATGATGGTTTGGTAAGAGAATTCCTCGTTTGCTTGAGCCTAGTTTGTTTTTGCTTGATATAAGCTGCCTTGACTGTGTAAACTCTGGCTCTACTTAATGTCAGAGCAAGCATGACACAACCCTCACCTCAAGCATGCCAACTTGTATGTCCGCTTGTCTCTCATGACACCTACTGTCATGATACAATGTTTGACCCACACCAACAAGTTGACCCAAACAAACAAGTTGACCCACACCAACAAGTTGACCCACACCAAGTTGACCCACACCAAGTTGACCCACACCAACAAGTTGACCCACACAAATTGACCCACACCAACAAGTTGACCCACACCAACAAGTTGACCTACACCAACAAGTTGACCCACACACATTGACCCACACTAACAAGTTGACCCACACTAACAAGTTGACCCACACCAACAAGTTGACCCACACCAACAAGTTGACCCACACCAACAAGTTGACCCACACCAAGTTGACCCACACCAAGTTGACCCACACCAACAAGTTGACCCACACAAATTGACCCACACCAACAAGTTGACCCACACCAACAAGTTGACCCACACCAACAAGTTGACCCACACACATTGACCCACACTAACAAGTTGACCCACACTAACAAGTTGACCCACACCAACAAGTTGACCCACACCAACAAGTTGACCCACACCAACAAGTTGACCCACACCAACAAGTTGACCCACACCAACAAGTTGACCCACACCAACAAGTTGACCCACACCAACAAGTTGACCCACACAAATTGACCCACACCAACAAGTTGACCCACACAAATTGACCCACACCAACAAGTTGACCCACACCAACAAGTTGACCCACACACATTGACCTACACCAACAAGTTGACCCACACAAATTGACCCACACCAACAAGTTGACCCACACAAATTGACCCACACCAACAAGTTAACCCACACCAACAAGTTGACCCACACAAACAAGTTGACCCACACAAACAAGTTGACCCACACCAACAAGTTGACCCACACAAATTGACCCACACCAACAAGTTGACCCACACAAATTGACCCACACCAACAAGTTGACCCACACACATTGACCTACACCAACAAGTTGACCCACACAAATTGACCCACACCAACAAGTTGACCCACACCAACAAGTTGACCCACACACATTGACTTACACCAACAAGTTGACCCACACAAACAAGTTGACCTACACAAACAAGTTGACCCACACCAACAAGTTGACCCACACACATTGACCTACACCAACAAGTTGACCCACACAAACAAGTTGACCCACACAAACAAGTTGACCTACACAAACAAGTTGACCCACACAAACAAGTTGACCCACACAAACAAGTTGACCCACACAAACAAGTTGACCCACACCAACAAGTTGACCCACACAAACAAGTTGACCCACACAAACAAGTTGACCCACACCAACAAGTTGACCCACACAAACAAGTTGACCTACACAAACAAGTTGACCCACACCAACAAGTTGACTTACACCAACAAGTTGACCCACACAAACATCCATTAAATCCACCAGCCTCACTATCAGCAGAACATGATAGGAAACTGTAAACTTTGAACAAACTTAAAATAGATTTTTTATTTGGTGGAATGAGACAAAAAACTCAAATAAATTTATCTATATTATAATTTATAAACTCTTTAAAATAAATTTATCTATATTATAATTTATTAACTCTTTAAAATAATTAGCTTTTAAATCTGCAGAAAATCTATAATAATAGTTTGACTAAACTGTCACTTACCTTGTCAATACTATATATCAAATCACAAGATAATGTGCCAAATGTAGATTTCTGAATTTTTCTTATTTATGAAAAAGCTTTTTTAAAATGTATAAACCAATTTTTATTTTAATACAAGACTTTTTAAAATGTAAAAACACAAGTCAAAACAACTTGAACCTACTTTTTGGCCAAAAATGTTCAAAATGAATTAGTTTCAAAGAACCTACTAGAATAACAGAGTAAAATATGAACTAGCAATAACTGTAGCAATATATAGTTTGTGTGTAAATAATGGAAGAAACAGGGCTGGACATAGCTGTAATTAGGCTCAAACAGGGCTGGACATAGCTGTAATTAGGCTCAAACAGGGCTGGACATAGCTGTAATTAGGCTCAAACAGGGCTGGACATAGCTGTAATTAGGCTCAAACAGGGCTGGACATAGCTGTAATTAGGCTCAAACAGGGCTGGACATAGCTGTAATTAGGCTCAAACAGGGCTGGACATAGCTGTAATTAGGCTCAAACAGGGCTGGACATAGCTGTAATTAGGCTCAAACAGGGCTGGACATAGCTGTAATTAGGCTCAAACAGGGCTGGACATAGCTGTAATTAGGCTCAAACAGGACTGGACATAGCTGTAATTAGGCTCAAACAGGACTGGACATAGCTGTAATTAGGCTCAAACAGGGCTGGACATAGCTGTAATTAGGCTCAAACAGGGCTGGACATAGCTGTAATTAGGCTCAAACAGGGCTGGACATAGCTGTAATTAGGCTCAAACAGGGCTGGACATAGCTGTAATTAGGCTCAAACAGGGCTGGACATAGCTGTAATTAGGCTCAAATATGGCTGGACATAGCTGTAATTAGGCTCAAACAGGGCTGGACATAGCTGTAATTAGGCTCAAACAGGGCTGGACATAGCTGTAATTATGCTCAAACAGGGCTGGACATAGCTGTAATTAGGCTCAAACAGGGCTGGACATAGCTGTAATTATGCTCAAACAGGGCTGGACATAGCTGTAATTAGGCTCAAACAGGGCTGGACATAGCTGTAATTAGGCTCAAACAGGGCTGGACATAGCTGTAGGCTCAAACAGGGCTGGACATAGCTGTAATTAGGCTCAAACAGGGCTGGACATAGCTGTAATTAGGCTCAAACAGGGCTGGACATAGCTGTAATTAGGCTCAAACAGGGCTGGACATAGCTGTAATTAGGCTCAAACAGGGCTGGACATAGCTGTAATTAGGCTCAAACAGGGCTGGACATAGCTGTAATTAGGCTCAAACAGGGCTGGACATAGCTGTAATTAGGCTCAAACAGGGCTGGACATAGCTGTAATTAGGCTCAAACAGGGCTGGACATAGCTGTAATTAGGCTCAAACAGGGCTGGACATAGCTGTAATTAGGCTCAAACAGGGCTGGACATAGCTGTAATTAGGCTCAAACAGGGCTGGACATAGCTGTAATTAGGCTCAAACAGGGCTGGACATAGCTGTAATTAGGCTCAAACAGGGCTGGACATAGCTGTAATTAGGCTCAAACAGGGCTGGACATAGCTGTAATTAGGCTCGTCACGTTGTAAAAATGGAAGTCGATATTAAATTTTTTTAAAAATTGACCTGGCCAGGTTTATGTTTCTTGACACCCCTCAAAGATATTTTGCTAAAACTATCAAAAATGTTTGATGTTTGCTTGTTTTAGTTTACACAATCATAGTTGTGCAATGAGTTCAAACTTAGTGCCACTTCTATTTCCCATCTAGACACTTGATAAGCCTTTATTCGCATCCACCTCTATTTAAAATTCATGGTTAATTTAGTATCTAATCATTAATTGAAATTAATAAACTATTGTATTGTTATCTGAGATAATATGTGCAAAATATAAAAGTATTTTAATTTTGTAAAAATATGCCAAATTTCAATAACATATTTGGCTTTCAAAAAAAGGGTCAAATTTGAGTCACATAATTTGCTTGTAAAACAGGGACACAATGGAGTTACTAAACCAGTGCAAAGAGAGATTGTATTTTAAAAAAAACTGTGGTTCTTAAATGACAGTTGTATAATAAATGTTTAAAGTCAATGATAGAAGAAAGAAATAGAACATTTTGTAACTAGCTTTTAACACAAGTTTTATCAACTTAAAATGTTGTGTAAAGCTTATTGAATTAAACTTAACAAAACTGCTCACTTAATACTTTCTTACTTTAACATCATATCTAATTGGACGTGCTGCATCAAAATGGCCAGTGACAAAAAAAACCAGCCGCGACAAAAGGGCAGGCTACAAATAAACCCCATCATATAGGCTCCCATCATATAGGCTCCCATCATATAGGCTCCCATCATATAGGCTCCCATCATATAGGCTCCCATCATATAGGCTCCCATCATATAGGCTCCCATCATATAGGCTCCCATCATATAGGCTCCCATCATATAGGCTCCCATCATATAGGCTCCCATCATATAGGCTCCCATCATATAGGCTCCCATCATATAGGCTCCCATCATATAGGCTCCCATCATATAGGCTCCCATCATATAGGCTCCCATCATATAGGCTCCCATCATATAGGCTCCCATCATATAGGCTCCCATCATATAGGCTCCCATCATATAGGCTCCCATCATATAGGCTCCCATCATATAGGCTCCCATCATATAGGCTCCCATCATATAGGCTCCCATCATATAGGCTCCCATCATATAGGCTCCCATCATATAGGCTCCCATCATATAGGCTCCCATCATATAGGCTCCCATCATATAGGCTCCCATCATATAGGCTCCCATCATATAGGCTCCCATCATATAGGCTCCCATCATATAGGCTCCCATCATATAGGCTCCCATCATATAGGCTCCCATCATATAGGCTCCCATCATATAGGCTCCCATCATATAGGCTCCCATCATATAGGCTCCCATCATATAGGCTCCCATCATATAGGCTCCCATCATATAGGCTCCCATCATATAGGCTCCCATCATATAGGCTCCCATCATATAGGCTCCCATCATATAGGCTCCCATCATATAGGCTCCCATCATATAGGCTCCCATCATATAGGCTCCCATCATATAGGCTCCCATCATATAGGCTCCCATCATATAGGCTCCCATCATATAGGCTCCCATCATATAGGCTCCCATCATATAGGCTCCCATCATATAGGCTCCCATCATATAGGCTCCCATCATATAGGCTCCCATCAATTTAATGGGAGCCTATATGTTGGGGCCCTTTTGACTGGGCCGTTTTGTCGGGGGCTGTTTCCTGTCACAGGCCTTTTTGACGTGCACCCTTAATGGATCATATATTTCCCCTACCATATTCTCACGATGTAAACTTGGATAAAAATGTGCTGTTTATGTTCTAAACTGCTTGTTAAAAGGAGTTATCTGACATTAAATTTTCACTAAGATGAGTTGTGTAACTGAATCAAAATTCTATAGACTAATAAATTGTTGAATGCACTGCAGCATTTGGATGCCACTTATCTGGGCAGTCAGAGCAGTAGGAAATAGCATGTTGATTGTGCTCCAGTGGTTGATCTTTACTTTTCTCATTTGTATTTGTTCATTCTATCTCCTGCTCCAGTGGTTGATCTTTACTTTTCTCATTTGTATTTGTTCATTCTATCTCCTGCTCCAGTGGTTGATCTTTACTTTTCTCATTTGTATTTGTTCATTCTATCTCCTGCTCCAGTGGTTGATCTTTACTTTTCTCATTTGTATTTGTTCATTCTATCTCCTGCTCCAGTGGTTGATCTTTACTTTTCTCATTTGTATTTGTTCATTCTATCGCCTGCTCCAGTGGTTGATCTTTACTTTTCTCATTTGTATTTGTTCATTCTATCTCCTGCTCCAGTGGTTGATTTTTACTTTTCTCATTTGTATTTGTTCATTCTATCGCCTGCTACAGTGATTGATTTTTACTTTTCTCATTTGTATTTGTTCATTCTATCTCCTCAGTGCTTATCTTCCCAGGGACCATCTTTATTTTGTCCCCAGTCCCTATTTTCATTTGTCCCCAGTCATCTTTACATTTTTCCCCAGTCATCTTTACATTTGTCCCCAGTCGTTATTTCATTTGTCCCCAGTCGTGTTTCATTTGTCCCCAGTCGTGTTTCATTTGTCCCCAGTCGTGTTTCATTTGTCCCCAGTCGTTGTTTCATTTGTCCCCAGTCGTTGTTTCATTTGATCCAGTCGTTATTTCATTTGTCCTGTGACTCTTATTGGTGGCTATTTATTTTGTTTCAAAGGACATATAAAATTGTGTTGGTTGAGTTGAATATGTTTATCTTTGTGTAAAGTTTCTTTGTGTTTATCTTTAGTGTAAAGTTTCTTTATGTTTATCTTTAGTGTAAAGTTTCTTTGTGTTTATCTTTAGTGTAAAGTTTCTTTGTGTTTATCTTTGTGTAAAGTTTCTTTGTGTTTATCTTTTGTGTAAAGTTTCTTTGTGTTTATCTTTTGTGTAAGTTCTGTTGTCTGTAACGCTCCATGTGTAAATCATTATTTGTATGGCTTTAGTTATAATTTACAGATATATCTATAAAGATAATTAAATTAACATGATTTTAAAAAATATTTTCTTATGAAAATGTAACATTTTAAAATATTGGTTATTTTATTTTTATATAATCTTGGCAGTTTTATTTTACAGTAGAAAATCTTGGCAATTTTCGTGTGTTAAACTTGTGTAAATAATCCAGTTTTTAATTGCATGTTCTCATTCTATGTAATATGGCTGGTTTTTTTTTTTTAATTTAAAATTTTCTAATAAAAATTTCTTCATGCAATAACTTGATCAACACAAATTGTCAGTTACTTCATTCACCATTTTGGTCATACTTTTTAGTTTTCTTTAGGTATAACAGTGTCTATTTGTTAAATGGATGGGTGGATGGATGTCTATAATATCACAGTGTCTCTGTAAATGGATGTCCTGATAGTGTTAAACACTTAAAAACATTTTCACATTTGGCACACCTCATTAGCATAATCCAAAGATTGTTGAGTTGCTCTTTAGAGTTTAAAGTTGCTATCTCTTTTAAATTTTAGATTTGCTCTCTCTTTTAGATTTTAAGGTTGCTCTCTTTTAAATTTTAGATTTTAGAATTGATTTCTCTTTTAGATTGTAGAGTTGCTCTCTCTTTTAGATTTTAGATTTTAAAGTTGCTCTCTCTTTGAAATTTTAGAATTGATTTCTCTTTTAGATTGACTCAGATAAAATGGAATCCAATCTACATATATCAAAGTTATCCTGATGCTGTCCTGTATCTTGATTCTTTTTTAAGTTTTGATCCCCAGAATGTTATTTTTCTAGCCAATGATTTTTAGAATCATTCAATATATATATATATATATATATATATATATATATATATATATATATATATATATATATATATATATATATATATATATATATATATATATATATATATATATATATATATATATATATATATATATATATATATATATATATATATATATAATTATCCAATAGATTTATCCAGTCCATGATTTTTCTACTGGTCTAATTTATTTCCAGACCATCTGCATCCCGTTCATCCCGGTCTGTAATGTCAACCCTGCGTGGTGGGTCGGATACAACACTGGATGAACAGGGATCCGAGGACGGCCAGGAAGAGCAACAGTCTGAGACATAATCCATGTGTATCCATCATCCAAGTTTGACACCACTTTGCTGGTCAAAGCTTGGCTAAATTATGTCTTGTCTATATACATGTACGGTTACTTGTCATATTTATGTGTGCATTATTCCATTGTTTAACTTACTACTAGCAGGTGATATATCTTTTCTAAAGGTTTGTAGCTGTAGAAGAAATTCACTAAGGACAGTCTGTACTGTTCAAACTTGTATAGAGTTGCTGTCAATTTAGACAGAACTCATTTCTACATTCTGTTTCTCTTGTAATATTGGAAGCATATAATTTTATAAACATTTTTGATGAATGTAGTTGCCACAAGCAAACAGCATTAGACCCAATGAGTTGATCTATAGAAGAAATGAATGTGTATATACGACTCTGTCCCAGTACGTGGGCTGGTTGTTGTAGTTTGACTGGTCTCTCCTGGGGTGTCTCTCTGTTTGTCTGTCACTAGCTGTCTGTTTATTGACCTGTTGTGCTCATTCCACTAGCAAGTATTGACTGTTGTCTGACCAAGGTTTGACTGGGGATGGGTGCTCTATACAATTCTATAATCCTAGTGTATGGGATTTCTCTGTTCTAATCTAGCACTGTATTCTCTTATTGTAGGCTATACAACATATGGAGCCAATGTATTCACTTAGCATAATGTTACTTGGACCCAACATGATTTAATGCTCAGTTGGGCCTAGGCCTGGGTCTCTTCAACATTGTTCATTCATTTATTATAGGCCAGGTAGAGCAACACTTGGGCCCTGCTCTATGTACGTCTTTGTCCTGCTGTATGTAGGACCATACGTCTTTGTCCTGCTGTATGTAGGACCATACGTCTTTGTCCTGCTGTATGTAGGACCATACGTCTTTGTCCTGCTGTATGTAGGACCCCTACGAGTCTCTTGGGGGCCTGGGTTCTGTTACTGGCCTGGGGTTAACATATCTTTAAAATTGGGATCAAACAGAGCTATCAGCTACACTTGTTACTGCTTGATGCAATTCTTCATATCTACTGCTTTGCTGAACTTCCAAATAAACTTTGAACCCATTCATCAGAGTTTCTTTGCTGTATTCTAATTGTGTCATTTGTGGTGTTTCACTGTGGTTGTGTTTCACTGTGGTTGCGTTTCACCGTGGTTGTGTTTCACCGTGGTTGCGTTTCACTGTGGTTGCGTTTCACCGTGGTTGCGTTTCACTGTGGTTGTGTTTCACCGTGGTTGTGTTTTAAATGGTTGGCAGCAGGTGAATTCTAACATTGTTCATCATGTTGATTGTGTCAGGTACTCAACTGATGTCACGTGGTTCTTACATCAAGCTCATTAAGTATGGTTAAGGGGAAAAAATCAACACTTGATATAGTGTACAAACTCATCTCAAACCTACATAGTGTGGGCGGAAAGGGCAGCACCCAGGGTCCACTCATTTTTATGGGCCCCAATTTTTTTGTTCAAACCATAGTAAACCTCACTTAATCAAAATTGTAATAAATTAAATAAATAAAATCTTGTAAAAAGATAAAGCTGAATATACATACAGTTTAATATGTCTAGAATCAACTAGCCATCGGAACCCATTACACGTGAATAATAGGCCTTTATTTTAATGTTATATTTGTTTAAAATTAAGAAAAAATGTTTTGTATAATAATTATTGGTCAAAACGCTGTGTGATTTACTACACGTTGAACGATATTAGTGACAAAGCAAAGAAATAACTAAATAGCTAAAAATCCGACACATTTAAAATAACATATCTATAGATCTAAATGAAGTTTGAATAAAAAAAAGTTCATTTCTTCATGTTCTAAAGATGTGGGGAGCGAATCTTATTGAAGATGACGTCATTAGCAATGTGTATCATTTTCGACATTCGATTTTAATTTTATTTTATATCCACTTTCCGTGGTATTAAACTTTTAATAACATTGTTTCATATTGATATTTTTCTATTTGTTTCACGTGACGCCATTCTTTTTGCCAGTGATAGCTTTTATGTCACTTATAATTTACACTAGACTACCCGTTATCTAGTAAGATAACTGTGGGTTTCGGTGATCATCCATAAATGACATCACGTCTGTCAGCACTTATCATCCCAAAATAACCAGACCCCACATTCAAAAAGAGGTTCTTTATATTTTAAAAACTCTACTAAACTCTACTTCACCTGCCCAGTGTCCCGCCCAGTCTCAGACATGTTTGAATTAAAAAAAAAAAACGATTCCGGCCGAGCATGGCTCTGACCACACTACCCCTTCATACGCTGAGTACATAGAAACAGGTGAACTTTACTTCACCTGCCCTGTGCCCCGCGAGGTCCTGCTAGTCAACCTTATCATTCACATGTAGGCCTTATGAAAAGTAATTGAAAACAATGTTGTAAATAGAAATAAAATCTTTTTACTATTACTAAAGTCATTGTTCTAAACTTTTATAATTAATGTGGTTAATCTACCTATGAATATATCAATAAATTAATTAACGGCTTTAAATTATTTTGTAATTAACAGTGTGTTTAAGAAGGAACAATATTTACCACCCAAAATCCTATTATACAGCTCTACACATAATGCAGATTCTCCCCAATAACAAATCAGAAAAACAAACAAACAAAAAATGAGTTAGCAAACGTCACTATTCAGTCAAAGTTAAGACATTGTTCTAAAACTTTAAAATTAATGTGGTTAATCTACCTATGAGTAAATCAATAAATTAATTAACTTCTTTAAATAAATGTGTGATTAACAGTCTGTCTGAAAAGAAAAATTGTTCTCTACCTACATACTATTTTACAGCTTTCTATATAGCGTAGATTTTCTACAGTACCAAATCAGACAAACAAACAAATAAATATTCAAACATGTAAACAAACTTGACTTTTAGTAGTATATAGATAGATAGATAGATGTTCTCTAGAGTGTATTTGTCACAACCATAAACACTTCTCGGGTTGTATAATTAAAGATCTGCTTCTACATTAGAATATGCTTTTATTTTTTTCAACGAAAGTCCGTATCTTTAAGTACTCCAAATATTGCTAAAGATACTGATCTTACTTATAGCGTCGAAAAATACGTGACGGACAGAGAGAGAGAGGGGGGGGGGGGGGTGGAAGAGAGAGAGAGAAGTGCGCACATGAACTTTTATGTATTAGAAGGATGGGTATAGGAGGATGGTACAAGATTTAAAAAAAAAACAACAACAGAGAACTTTAAAATATAATTGTACGAATCAATGACACAAACTTTAA